TCTTGAATGTAAGGAACCTTGCAATGGATCCCAAAGCACAACCGCCGTATGGTGCTCATAAAGACGACGCGTTTATTAATATTGTTTTATTCTCTGGCCCTCATTCGAAATAGCTGAAGCTCCAGACAAAGGCATGGGATCAATGGGATGACTGCTTCACGTTGACGGACGTCAAGCTGCCCGCGATCCCATACCTCGGTTTCACATCGGTTACGGGCGAGGTCCATGACAACCACGATATCATCTCTGTCACGACCAACACCCTCACGAAGACCGACTATTCCATCAAAGTATGTCGTGAAACGCGTGTCAGGGCGTAATGGTCGTCAACACGCTCCTGTTTTAATCACAGTAATTGCTTATCCAAATGCCTTTTGCTTTTTTTGTTGCCAATAGAAAAACAACAACACCCCTCCTCCTCAAAAGAAGACTGGCGTGATGTGGTATCTCAAGTTCCTGGCTGCCTGCGCCGTCTTCGGGGCGTTGGTCATGGCTTTCAAGTTGTCAAAGGGAAACAACAACATGAAGCGCTTCTAGGCAATCATGCTCGGCTTGATCGACGGCACTCGTTTTGCCACATTAAATTTTTTTTATTTTATTTTTTCAGAAAGGCCTTCAACGGTATTGGGAATAAAATGGTTTGGCGCATAAACATATCATCATCGATAATGGCATCTGTCATCACAATTCAAAAAACGAACAAGTGGAATATGACCTAACGCGTTGTCATTCGACTTCAGGCACATGAGAAAAAAAAAAAGGCCGACAATTCTGTATTGTTGAAAGACTCGGATGGTGCTACATAAATAAAGAGAATAATAGTATACAAGAGAACAATGAAGGAATGATGGCGGAATGGATGTTATCTTTTAAAAGTCAGCATCAAGGGTGAAAGTGTTGCTGCTCTTGTCAGCGGCGGTGCCCGACATGACACCGGCCTTCTGGTAGTCCGAAACACGCTTCTCGAAGAAGTTGGTCTTGCCCTGAAGCGAGATCAAGTCCATGAAGTCGAAGGGGTTCTCGACATTGTAGTGCTTGGGGTTGCCGAGGGCAACCAGGAGACGATCGGCGACGAACTCGATGTACTGCTTCATAAGCTTGGCGTTCATGCCGATCAACATCACGGGCAGGGCATCGGTCAAGAATTCTTGCTCGATAGCGACAGCCTCAGTGATGATGGCATTGACACGCTTTTGGCCAGGGCGCTGGCGCAGGAGCGAGAAGAGCAGGCAAGCAAAGTCGGTGTGAAGACCCTCGTCGCGTGAGATAAGCTCGTTCGAGAAGGTTAAACCGGGCATCAGACCACGCTTCTTGAGCCAGAAGATCGAGGCAAAGGAACCAGAGAAAAAGATACCCTCAACGGCGGCAAAGGCAACGAGGCGCTCCGCAAAGGTCGAATTCTCGTCAGAGATCCACTTCAAGGCCCAGGCAGCCTTCCTACGGATGCAGGGGACTATTGAAAAATGAAGAAAGCCAGAGAGGCAAGGTCAGTATGTGGCAAAGGTAAATATACTGTAAACAGCGTACGGCTTGTCAGGAAATGAGGGGACCAGAAATAAGATTAAAGACGCGACAGTTGAATAACACAAGCCATTTTTCGTGCCCAATGAACAAATGAACGTAGCCTAGGGTCAACAGCAATGGGTGGGGGATGAATCCATCAGTATATAAAAACACAATAAAAACAACTTACTGGTATCAATTGCGTCGAAGAGATGTTCGCGCTGAGCGGGCTCCTTGACGTATGTGTCAATCAAGAGCGAGTACATCTCTGAGTGGACATTCTCAATCATGATCTGGAATCCATAGAAGCATCTTGCCTCAGGGATCTGGACCTCGTTCGAGAAGCGCTCCAGTAGGTTCTCGTTGACGATACCGTCGCTGGCGGCGAAGAAAGCCAGGATGTGGGAGACGAAGAATCGCTCATCCTCAGAGAGACGGTTCTCCCAGTCGTGCATGTCCTTTGAGAGATCGACTTCCTCAGCGGTCCAGAAGGAGGCCTCAGCCTTCTTGTACATCTGCCAGACCTCGTGGAACTTGATAGGGAAGAGGACGAAGCGGCGAGGATTGGGCTTGAGGAGGGGCTCGTCTTGCTCAGAGACCTTCATCTCATTCAGCTTGGAGGCGAGGCCAGCGGTGATCTGGAGATCGGCTTCGTGGGTCTTGGAGGCGGTGGTGGACATTGCGAGCAAGGGTGATTGTGTGTGGTGTGGTGTGGAGTGTGGTGAAGGGTGGATAAGAAGAGAGGAGCTGGAGGATGGCTATTTGTCTAAATGAGGATATATGAAAGAGAAGGAAAGAAAGGCGAGGTGAGCTCGCGAGTGTTGTTTTTTATAGACGAAAAGTCGCGTCGAAGGGAGTTTAGTGCAAAAGGTAAACAGATGAGCAGGGAGACGATTGACCAGGCACGCGCAGAAGTTAAGTAAAGTCGCTTAAGTGCAGAGAAGATAATTAGCCCCGAAAAGGAAATTATGAGGTCAATATGTCAACCGAGACAACCGCAATTTGACTGTCACCTAAGCGCTATCGTTTATCAGATCCTGGGCGCACACCGGCTGTACTCTTTTTTGGCATGGTCCAATGTGCTATCCTAGCACACGGCGTGCAGCAACTTAGACTAATCATCAGACAAAATGCTGCATACCTGACCCTGTAGGAACCTTGGGGCGCCGTGCTGAGGTATTTGTAATAAAGGTAGTGGCTTTTGGTCGGCGTCTTAAGATGCAGATATCTAGGGCGACATAAAGCGCAAAAGACGAGAAAGAGTTGCTGCAAAGGTCCTAGCATCGTCGTCGTTTTGTAATCGTAAGAAGTGGCTTTTGGGCCCCTGGAACTGCTCAATCACCCGAGTAACCTTCAACTTTCCTTTCTGAGTTGATCTTGTTGAAACAACTCCGGCGCAAAAACATCTATCAGAACCCAGCGCAGCGACCTGGGTCCACGTATTCCCGTATTCCTTCGTGCGTAACTTTTTCCTATAATACTACGATATTACAATATTGTATTTAAATGTTTTTTACGCTACCGCTTCCTATGCCCTTGCTACAAATCGAAGGGTAGTTTGTGCCTTGATTCATGCCTTTACATCCCAGATTCGTAATACTTCAATAGTGAGTATTGGCAAGCAAAGTCGCCCTCTCTAAAATGATATTCCACACCAAATTAATGTTTTCCTCACCCAAAATTTCTGACAGACAGAGGGATACATTCTAAACCAACTTTTGCAGCGATCCCGTAGTATACCTCATCTTCATTTGCGAGTGCTTACAGGCAGACGGGTTCTGAGTGGCCTATCCGCCCGTCTTTGGATCCCAGGAAATTAGTCGTCGTTAGGATTTTACGGCAAGAAAGCACTGTAAATTTAACTTTGAACGCATTTTTTTATTACATCTGATCGTCAGCCACGGCCAAAGTAAGTATCCTTCCTTGGCTTCGAATGGTGGTGCATGGTCTACAACCTCACCTTCATCCTCCCTTGTTCATTATGTCCGATTTGGAGCATCAGATCGCCATCGATCTCTCACGTGCACTGAACCTCGTCAATGCCAATGATCTGCTTGCTAGGCAGGTCATCCAGATCGCAAGGAATCACAAGCAGGCGCAAGGATTCGTCAAAGGCAAGTCAACCAGGAAATAAGAATGAACTGAACAGCTTTTACCAGAACTTCTTGAGGTCCAACTCACTCATAATACGAGCCTTCTTTGCGCCATACTACAACCGAAATAGCCTGTGCTGCGTTTGGAAAGTTCAAGGACGAGTTTTTGTTCGATGTCTACACAAAGATACAAACCCACGATCGCGAGTATGGCGTCAGTGGTCCTTCAACAGAGGAAGGCGGATCAGGATCAACTGACAGGAAGCAGGACGGCATACGGAACAAGGCATCCATTCAAGAACCATATGTTGCCATGTCAAACTTCACACGCCCGTACGACGACGACGAGGAGGCGCCAGCACCGGTTTTGCCTGGAGGACTGATAATAAAAGGAAAACCTGCAGGCGATGAGCGACATGTCTTCAAAGTGCCCGCTGTACCAGTGGGTGTCTCACGTCTGGGACTCGACAAACTGGCCAAGGAGAAGCGGGAGGAACGGGAGCGCGCTGCTAAGCAGGCAGATGCCAAGAGGGTTAAGTTGCAAGTCGAGGACGAATGGAAGGATGGCGACGGCCGCTCAGTAGATCAAGGCAGCTCACAGGACGTGGAGATGACGGATCGGGACACATCATCAGGAAAGTCCTCTAGCATGCGCGCCGTACAGTCGCAGTATCGGACGAAGCGTATGGAAACACCTTCCCATCCTGGAGGCGTCAGCCAAGAGGCACTGCGTCGGACAGAGGAACGGAGACAACGGGACAGGGCTAGAGGGGGACTGTATGACAAAGCACAGGACAGCCGCGAGCGGAATAGGGATCGGGATGACGACAGGAATAGAGATCGAGACAGGTACAGCGGAGGAGGTTCGAGATTAAGTAGAGATCGAGATTGGGACCGTAGTAACGATCGTGATCGGGATAGGGATCGATATCGGTCAGGCGATAGTAGCGAGAGGAACCGACGTGATGACAGGGATAGGAGACCAACAGACAAACGTGATGATCGAGCCCGAGAGCCATTCACACCACGACGAGGCGAACTTGCAGGATCGCGAACTCAGCGCACTAACCGAAGTGAATGGGACGCCACACCTTCGAGGATGGATCGCAACACAGACAGTGTATTTCTCGGCGGCTTGACCCCACGAAGAGGTAAGCGCAGTTTCCTGTTGATTACTTTGTTTACTAGGGTTGACTCGGATTTTTTACTAACAATCTTCTTACTAATAGACTATAGGCCGCCAACGCAGGGGCGCGGAACCTCTGCCTGGGATACTGTCACGCCGCGCGTCTCGTCAACGGCTTATGACGACAGAGTCGACGACTTCCCAGATGATAGATTGGATGATATCCCAGATAGGGATGAGTGGGAAAGCGAACAGCGTCAGGTTGATCGCGAATGGTATAGCATGGAGGAGACAGGAGGAGCTATGGACGACATCCACAACCCATTCGCCGACTATGAGGAGCATGACGCCAAGAAGGAAGAGGAGCTGGAAAAGAAGCAGATGAAAAAGATTTCGGCTCGGCAAGCACAGTACAATAAGGACAATGAGATGTGGGAAACCAACCGAATGCTAACATCAGGTGTCTTCCAGCGAAAGGAGGTTGATACTGATTTTGATGATGATGCCGAGGCTCGAGTCCACCTGCTTGTCCACGATATCAAGCCCCCATTCCTGGATGGTCGAGTGGTTTTCACAAAGCAGGTTGAGGCTGTGCAGTCGGTCAAGGACCCCACATCTGATATGGCAATCTTTTCAAGGAAGGGCAGTGCTCTTGTTCGAGAGAAGCGCGAGCAGGCAGAGCGCATGAAGGCGGCACCAAAGTTCCAGGTGGCCGGAACAGCACTAGGGAATGTCATGGGACTGGAGAACCCCGAGGATAAGGCCAATGCCGAGGCTGCCGAGGCGATGGCCAAGACCAAGGCGAACAACGATGATGAGGACGATTTGGATGGCAAGGGTGATTCACAGTTTGCATCCCATCTCAAGACCTCAGAGGCCGTTAGTGTATTCGCGAAATCAAAGTCGATCAGGGAACAACGAGAGTATCTACCAGCGTTTGCGGTCAGGGAGGAACTCATGGGCGTCATCCGGGACAACCAAGTCATTGTGGTCGTTGGCGAGACTGGTTCTGGAAAGACAACACAGTTGACGCAGTTCTTGCATGAGGACGGATACAGCTCCTCTGGCATGATTGGATGTACGCAGCCTCGACGAGTCGCTGCCATGTCTGTCGCCCGACGTGTTGCTGAGGAAGTGGGCTGCAAGCTGGGATCGACAGTTGGGTATGCCATTCGCTTCGAGGACGTGACCTCTTCGGAGACCGTAATCAAATACATGACCGACGGTGTTTTGCTACGAGAGTCAATTCGTGAGGGTGATCTGGACCATTACAGCGTCATTATCATGGACGAGGCTCACGAGCGGTCGCTTAACACGGATGTGCTGATGGGTTTGATGAAGAAGATCCTGGCCAGGCGACGCGATCTGAAGCTGATTGTTACTTCCGCTACCATGAATGCTGACAAGGTATACGTATTTCCTTTTTATCAGCTTTGCTATTGGATTGATTGCATGTAGTTGAGTCCGGATGATCTTGTTGTGCTAATAAGTATTCTCCTGTTATATTGTGATACGATAGTTCTCATCATTCTACGGAAACGCTGCGACATTCACCATTCCTGGACGTACATTCCCTGTCGATATTATGTTTAGCAAGGTGCCATGCGAGGATTATGTCGACAGCGCGGTCAAGCAGGTTTTGGCAATCCATCTGGGTCAGCCAGCAGGAGACATTCTTGTCTTTATGACTGGCCAGGAGGATATCGAGATTACTTGTCAAGTAATCAGCGAGCGACTTGCTCAGATCGATAATGCGCCGCCCCTGTCTGTTTTGCCGATCTACTCTCAAATGCCAGCTGATCTGCAGGCCAAGATCTTTGAGCCCGGTGAAAACAATGCTCGCAAGTGCGTTGTCGCCACTAACATCGGAGAGACCTCCCTTACGATCGATGGTATCCTTTATGTGGTCGACGCAGGATATGTGAAGCTGAAAGTCTTCAACCCTAAAATTGGTATGGACTCGCTTCAGATCACACCCATCTCTCAGGCGAATGCCAACCAACGATCTGGTCGTGCAGGACGAACGGGGCCCGGAACGTCATGGCGGTTGTACACGGAGCAAGCGTTCGTTTATGAGATGTTTGTGAACCCGATTCCTGAGATCCAGCGAACCAACTTGGCGACGGTTGTCTTGCAGCTTAAATCGCTGAATGTCAAGAACTTACTCGAGTTTGATTTCATGGATCCGCCACCTCAGGACAATTTGCTTAACTCGATGTATCAACTCTGGATTCAAGGAGCATTGGACAACACGGGCGAACTGACACCACTCGGCAAAAAAATGGCCGTCTTTCCAACTGAACCGTCCTTGGCAAAAATGCTGATCGTAGCAGAAAAGATGGGCTGCACAGCAGAGATTGTGACGATCGTATCCATGCTGTCGGTGCCAACAGTGTTCTACCGACCCAAGGAGCGACTCGAGGAATCTGATGCCGCGCGAGAAAAGTTCTTTGTTCCCGAGAGTGATCACTTGACATTGCTGAACGTCTACACGCAATGGCGATCAAACGGGTATCGGGACGATTGGTGCGTGAAGCATTTCGTACAGCCAAAGGCGATGCGCAAGGCGCGCGAGGTCCGATCCCAGCTCATGGATATGATGAAGGCTGAGAAGATGCCGTATGTGTCCTGCAATACGGATTGGGACATTATCCGGAAATGCATTTGCTCGGCCTATTTCCACCAGGCAGGAAGGATCAAGGCACTAGGCGAGTACGTCAACTGCCGAACGGGTATGCCCTGTCACTTACACCCGACCTCGGCCCTGTATGGGCTCGGATACAACCCGGATTACATTGTCTACCACGAACTGGTCATGACGTCTAAGGAGTACATGCAGTGTGTCACATCCGTGGACCCACACTGGTTGGCAGAACTGGGGCCCATGTTCTACTCGGTCAAGGAGAAATCGTACACGCATCGCGAGAAGCGCGCAGCGACCAAGGCAGGAGAGGCTAGGATGGCATTGGAGATGGATTTGAAGGAAACGAGAGAGAAGGAAGAGCGAGAGGCAGCGGCCGCAGTGGCAGCAGCAGCGGCGGATGCAAAAACGGGTGGATCAACTGCAGAAGCGAGGTTCAGGATCGCCACGCCTGGGTTCAGAGCACCAGGGACGCCTATGCGTAAACGACGGCTTGGCATTTAGATTATGTATCTGTTAATATATATATCACTTTGGTCTGGGTTTTATTCTGAACTTTCCTTGTACGCGCAAATACATCGCTACCATTGCAGATTACTCGCGTTCGCGTTGTTATCTTTGCTGTGCTTAGGCAAACATCATTGGTGCATGCACACTCTCCATCACATCCTTACCCCTAACCTCCTCCACAATCCTCAACGCCAAGTCGAACGTCGATCCTGGACCCCGACTCGTCAGCAGTTCAGCTTCCTCATCCTTCACAACAATCGCACTTCCCTTGACATCGTCCCGATACTCGAAATAGTCCTTTAGTTCGTCCTTCACACTCGGATGGGACGTCACTTGTGCCCCCTTGGCCACACCAGCAGCCTTCAGCACTGTTGGCCCGGCACAGACAGCCGCCAGGAGGATACCGGGTTTGGCGAAATGGACTTGGACCCATCGATGGACCAGCGGCGAAGCAACCATAGCTTTGGCGCCAGGTCCTCCTCCGGGGATCATGAGGACGTCATAGTATTGAGAACTATCCGCGGCGTCGGTGTTATCCTCGGGCGAGGGAGGTGTTGGGAGAGGTAGGGCTGAGAGGTGTGTGTCGGGGACGATACGGACACCACGGGAGCACTTTACGCTCTCAGAGGTGGAATCACTAGGGTTGGTGCTGGCGACTGTTACCTCGATGCCGGCTCGCACCAACACGTCGACTATTTAGAAGGTGAGGAGGGAGATATGACGGATACATACATTCATATACACAGTCGCGTAATAAAAAAAAAGTCAGTCTCTCGCATAGAAATGAAGTCGTCTGGCCACGTTTGATGATATAGACGCTTATGTAGTTGAAGCAGACATACTGGTGATAACGGCTTCTATTTCCTCGGTACCGTCAGCGATGAGGACCAAGGCTCTCTTCTTGTCAGATCCTGCCATGTTGAATGCTGTGCTCAATGCTAGTCTGAGCAGGTAAGAGTGAGGGAAGAGGCCCAAGAGTAAGAGCCTCAAACTAGACTACATCACATGATTTGTGTTCTCCACATTCAAGTGATGTGGATTCCCCCGGGCCCCTAAATTTTTCTTCTTTCTCTTACAACTTCCATATCATTTCATCATGGTACATAAACTGCTACCCCAGCATGGATTGATACATACACATTCCATCGATCGATCGATTGATCTATCCAACGACTCTAACTTCACGGACATTGGGAGGCGGGAGGGATTATAATCGACAAGCAGGAAGATTATTTTGGAAAGCATTCTTCGGAAAGATCTGGATGGGGGAAAAAAAAACGCACTCTTGATGCCAGGGTTCTTAATCAGCAAAAAAAAAAAAAAAAGGAGCCGATTCGTTCGAGACGACTATCATTATCGACTTGGACCGGCAACCTTTTTTTTATTTTTCATCTCTGCGACAACAACAAAAGGAACTAATGCTTGGATGAGATGAGGGAGTTCCGGCGGCTGCGTGTATAATATATACAGGAATGCATCCGGAACCTTTGATTCAACACCTGACAGGACAGCAACATACTCCAACGTCCCCTCTATGCTCAAAGCGGAACGAACAAACAACAGCAGTAGCAGTAGCAGTAGCCGCAGCAGGGAAACACTTTTGAAGAGAAAGCGCAGTGGTATCAGGGAGGAGCGGGGAAACGTTTTTTCCCCAGTAGGGATGATCACCCCGAATAGGGTTTCTTTTTACTGCGGTAGCTTAATGCACCTACTACATTCAAACTCGGGAACTTGGGACAACAGCGACCTCTGGACACTCGATATGAGTACTATAGTTGGAAAACGATGTGAACTTGGGGAAGACATTGGGATTCGAAGAAAACAGGATTATCATCAAACATTAAACAACAACAACAACAACAACAGCAAAAAGAAAAGAAAAAGAACCATGAGAACAGTCGCTCTAACAGCCATTTCATTGGTATGCTTTGTGCGGTCTGTGATCTATAGGGTAAAGTCCACGGTTCTTTGGCTCGTGCCGGTAAGGTCAAGTCGCAAACCCCCAAGGTTGCCAAGCAGGAGAAGAAGAAGAAGCTCACTGGTATGTTCGTCATTCTCGGAAAGAAAAGAAAAAAAAAAAGCACGCGCCTCTGTCGCTGCTGTGGGATCTCCAAATGGGAAAAAAAACTGGCACGATTTATGGATTTCACGGCGTTAACAATCGACATAAACGTTTCGACTATTTTTTTTTTTAGGTCGTGCCAAAAAGCGCGATACCTACAAGCGCAGATTCGTCAACGTTACCAACGCTCCCGGTGGCAAGCGTCGCGTAAGTGGATTGAAAAAAAAAAAAAAAAAAAAAAAAAAACCAGCTTCATGTCATATCAATGGGAACGGTGGTTTTGAGTCCTCCTATTGTTCTGTTGTTAACGTTGTGCCTTGCTCTCGTTCTGCGTTTCATTAAACCTTTATAGATGAACGTTAACCCCGAGTCCAGCAAGAACTAAATGTGTTGTTTTTAAGATCAGGATGATTTGACAGGCGGGAAGTGCAAAAAAAATGGACGAATTGTTCAGCAACCACCATGTCTCCTCGTTCGTCCCCTCAATAAATACTTTGACTTTCTTCTCAATACTGCACTTCACACCTTGGAACCCTTTTTTTTGACACATTTGGCTGGCATGGACATGGTTGCACATGAAATAGTGGAGTTGCCAAAGACGTGATGCGTGTTGAATGAGCGTTGTCTGCACAGTACATATTTATTTATTTTTTGCAACCGCGATGAATATTCAGATTATGGAAAGGAAATACAGCGGTAGATTGGGCACTTGCTGCTAGAGTCATCACTTGGTATGCGCAGTATCAGTAAATCGGAACTTGCTTGCCAAGGAGAGATGGTCAGATCCAAACGTGGCAGTAGGAAGACCCGTCCCTCCTTCGAGCTCCCTACATGGCAACTCCAAGCATGCCACAAGCTCCAGCTTGGGCAAATTCTGAGAACCCGCTGCAGTCCGAAGATGGCCATAGAAGATGTAGTCACAGATCAGTTTGGCGCCCGAGTGAAATGTCGTGAATAGCTGTCCAGTCTTTCCTCGATTGCTGTCTTTGGCGTCAAGCGATGGTATGTTGATGTCGTACGCGCTCTCCAACAGGAACGGCTGAGAAATAACGGGTCCACATTCTGGCATCTCCTCAGAACCTAAAACAACGACTTGAGAGCTTTCCGTGGTCTCCTTGATACCCAATGTTAAAATGGATTGGACCGTGCCCGTAGATATCGATGCTTCTGCCGCGTCATGAGCAGATGGTGCATGCAAACCTCCAGTGGCGACTATGGCACTCTTGACCGAGGTGCTCACTTTTCTAATCGAGGTGGATCTGCGAGTATCACCGAACGCTTCATGAAACTGCTTAATGTTGTTGTCCCATATTCCCTGTCGAAATAAACCTGAAACCTGTCCAGACAGATGAGTTTCGGGCATGGTTGACACATCGATACTCTCTGCAAAGATAGGATCAAATTTCATGCGTTAGTTCAATGTAAAGTATGACACGCAATATTTTGCTCCGCGTCATATTCTCCTGTGGAGACGACCTTTACCATTTGTCAGGTAATTGATGACAGCGCTCCGTGGAACAGAATTCAGATCCCCGCACAGAACTGGATGCAGAAGAGGGATAGACAGAACGTTGTTGAAGAAAAAATAATAATAATAAAATAGATCAGTCTCAGGAAGAGCAACTACGATAAGCGAAACAATGTAAACGATTACTCACTGATTGGTATATCCATGTTCTCCTTAGCAATAAGACTCTTTGCCGCTTCCAGCAGCATCCGAAGCTGAGCGATCTTCATCATGCCGCGCTTGGGTGCGAACAAGATATGCGTTGTAGCCACACATATTCGTTTCGCTTTTCCTTCTAGTAAACACAACGGGCGCAGAAGCATTAGCAAATTTAAAGCAGAACCCAGGTCATTTTTGTGCTCATGAAGTAATATCCTGACGTGCCTTGCATAATATCAAATAGTGCAACAATCCCGACGTTTTCGCGAGTGATGAACTTGTTGTGATTGTAGTCGACTGTCTTTATCGACTGCGCACGAACTCTATGAATATAGAATGGTACAGGGGTCGTATAAATGCCAAATTTAGAACGATGAAACGTTTTTGCCTTTGCTCTTTGGAAGAAATGGACGAAAACTATACCTGTCTTTGCGGTAAAACAGAGCACAGCCGTCCAGCTTGGATCCGTTGCGCTTTTTAAAAACTCCCTCATATCCCCATGTAGCAAACTTTTTCTTAAAGAGGTACTCATAGTCCTTTGCATCCAGTTCCTGAAAGCAATAAATGTCAAGAGTGTGTGCTACAATAAAAAAAAAAAAAAAATAGGCAACATTTAGTACGAGTAAAGAAAGTGCGGTAACGGCGGGATCGGTTAATAGAACAGAAAACGTGGCGCTTACATTCAAGTCCGTCGAGCTCTGCTAAAAGAGCGCGGCTTCTGCTCGACCATTCCAGGTCCGCACGTCTGCAGTGCCGATAGAGGTGTCTGTTGCACTGGACCAAACTGTTTGCGAGCAAATTGTATGTCATGATGGTGAACGTTGCTAGGACATCAAAGATGAAAGACGATATGAGAGACCTTGGTAATGATAACGACTTGGCGTGCATTCTCAAAGGTACTCTGCTTACCCTCGGTCCCATTGACACTTCTATCCCAGCTACGCCTTATTCCTGTACTCCTGTTGTGTCTCTTTGTCAGGGCACCCTCAGCATCGACGTCCTGCTGGGGATCTCGCTCATGCTGTGGCCTCCTCTCTTGAATATCCTGTACAAATGAGCCCGAAAGGCGCGCTTGCTGCGGTTGATGATGATGATGAAATGCACGGGCCGATGTATGATCTGCATGTCTGGGTTGCTGCTGCCGCTGCTGAAAATGGTCGCGCGATGTTGCATGTGCGGGCTGGGCCTTCCACGATGGATCCCGCGGGTGATTTCCGTAGTATCCTCGCGCAGACTGCTGTTGGACATGCGGGCCCCTGTGCCGATTGTGCTGATGACCATGTGGAGAGTCGTATGGCTGCTGCGCCCGTTGCTGCTGCGGTCGCTGAGGACTGAACGTTGGTGGCATTCCCCTTGCACTTCGCCCTGCATTCCGTACAAGATGGCTATTTGTGCCTCCGATGGAGAAGAGTCTGGAGCTCATGTCCTGCTGGTTGCTGCGAGGCTGAGTACTTTCAGATCCAGTAGGTTCTTCAGGTTCTTGGCGGGTGCCGGTGTGTTGGCTCATCGTTGCAATTAGGTCGTGGAGCTTGGGCAGACAATCCAGGTGGACTTTTTTCTTTTTGTCGAGTTACCCACGTGGTTTCCGTTTAGAGAGGAGTGGATAGAGGGCGAAAGGCAGTTGCGCGAAGGAAGGTCGAGCCGGGGAAAAGAAAGACCTCGGTGGGCAGGTTGAAAATGGAAGGCTGAGAATCGTTCCATGCAAAAGAGAGTTTTGGGCTAGTGCTTGTGAGCATGAACCCGCAGGGTGAGGGCAGCTGGCCCTGTTTTCCTGTTTTTGTCACCCTTGGCCACGCATCGCTTCCTCTTTTGAAGAAAATCTCCTCGTGAGAGGGGTAGTCGGACAGAGTCCTTGGCTCGGAAGAATTATCCTGGGCAGAAATAACCAGGTTTTCCCGGTAAACCCGCCTTGCGACGGACTACGGACTCGAAGAACCAGACCCCCCTTTCCTCCCCCCTCCCCATCCCCCCAGGCTACTGCTGTATATCCCTGCAATCTACATCCATAGACTACAGCAGTGCCTTATTCCTCGCTCTCTCTCTCTCTCTCTCTCTCTCTCTCTTACTCTTACTCTTACTCTTACTCTTACTCTACTCACACACATTCACTCTCACACTCTCATTCCTCTCTCATTCCTCTCTCAATCTCAATCTCAATCTCAATCTCACATATTCTCTCCCCTCCCTCGCTCAATCTCCCTTGTCCATCACACCCACCCCTCTGCCCCCATTCATCCGCCCCATTCGCCTGCTCAGATATCACTCTGTCTATGCGCACCCCCGATCCATCACTGGACACGCTCATATCCCCATACACACGTACACACGTACAACACACACCCCCACACACAGACACACAGACACACACACGCACCCAAAATTGACTTTTTGGACGCACCCTCCAGTCCATCCGGTTGATTTCTATATATAACGATATATAAAAACACCCGCATCTGTTTGATACACATCCGCGTTCAATGGACATCAAGGCGTTCAAGCCAGCGCCACCCTACTCCGCCTCCCCCTCCCCCACCCCTTCCTCCACCTCCCCCACCATCACTGACCTTGAGCCCAAGCGAGTCGACCCGCGGAAAAGAAAACCATACACCAAGAAGGATGGAACCGCCGCCGGGGCCTCCGCAAAGGCCTCATCCAAGAACACCGCCAACAACAACAACAAGGGCGACAGGATGACATTCGAACTCGACGATGTCCTGCGCAAATATTCACCCGAGCAGTTCAAGACCTGCAAGGCCTACGATGTCGGCGGCGTCAACATCCTCAACAAGAAGCCAGTCGACTCCAAGACTGCGCTCGACAAGATCAAGCGCAGACGGGAGACCCACAACCGCGTCGAGCGGCGTCGCAGGGACTGCATCAACCAGGTATGTCTCTTTTTTCTTTTTCTTTTTCTTTTCTTTCCTCCACACAGTGCACTACACGCGCAGGAGTGCTGGCTGCTTAATACTGCTTAATGCTGTTTAATGCTGTTTAATGCTGTTTAATGCTGTTTAATAATCCCTCATGCGTGAATTAAAACCAAACAGCTCATAGACGAGCTCACGTCGCTGCTCCCGAAGGACGATGACGAGAGCCAGTCCAAGTGCCACCGCGTCAATGTCCTGCGCACGGCCGTGACCCACATCCAGAACCTAACCCAGCAGAACCAGAGCCTTGCCCAGCAGCTCGAGGCCCTTCAGACGGGCAGGCCCATGCCGCCGCCCGCCATCATCACCACGCTGGCGCCTACAATGGACTATGAGGACGAAGACGACTCCCAGTCCCAGATGTCATACCTGTCCGAGGCCAGCCACACCTCCCATGCGCCCCGCTCCCCAATCTCACCTCTCTCCGCCGGCTTTTTCTCGCCCATCGCCAGCCCAAACCGCCTCGGACCCCAGCATGAACCCGCGACGGGGGCCCCGATGGCCCATCTGACGCCACTAAAACTGCCCGGGACAGTGTCCATCGATGCAGCATCCTCGCACACACCGCCTCGCCCACCATCGCCATCAACCCTGCCATCTATGAGCGACATGTCCGTCACTTTACCCTCGATTCCCATGATCATCGAACCCTCAGAATCGATATCCTCCTCATCTCCCCTAGACCCTGCTTCCAGTACGCTTGGATCTCATGCCAAACGCCTGAATCGACAGACTCTGCCCCGCCTCCAATTGGTTCCGCCACCGTTTCACCACCATCGATCTAGCAACAACAATAACAACAACAACAACGGCAGCAACCACGGCGGCGCCTCTTCTTCACCATCATACTACGGTCAGGACTCGTTAACGTCGCCTGCATCGACCTACTCTGGATACTCTTCCACGTCAGGGCCGTGGTCCTCCTCATCCTCGCTCGGACCATTCTCGGCCACTTCGTCCACTGGACCTTTATCTTCATACGGAGGTGTAAGTCCACGGTCACCTGGATATTCACCCTATGGACCGCCTTCACCCTATGGACCGCCTTCACCCTACTCGCCGTACGGGCCATCAACAGGCGCGTCCATGACTTCTCCGTCTGCACACTCCCAATCGTTTGCACCGACACACTCACTCAGAGCAAGCACATGGGGTGCAGCAACGAGCGGAGATGGTGGCAGAGACGACGAAACCTATTCTGGTGAAAGTGCATATTATGATCACATGGGACGGCGAGAACTGCAGCAAGAGTCAAGTCCTTCGTAGATGCTACCTGTACACAATAAAGACTATAGTCAATGACTATTGTATCTTCCTTGTGAGAACGAGGCTGCCTTTGCTAAAATATCCACCGATCATTGGAATTGCCTCCATTATCCAGCCGTGAGCTTTGTAAACCGCTTAACGTCAGTGAGAAGTCGCTACCGTTCTTTAACTATCATACGAACAGATTCATAAACAGTCTGCTAGCCTAGCATTCTTTCAGCTCTTGCTCTTAAAATACATCCTGACAACACGTCAGAATGTGGATGTCCTGCGTCTAACCAACACCCTTGAGCTGAAGTGACTCGGGGGGTATTCCTTGCCTCAAGAACCAAGGGTTTCGCATCATACCATTCGGCTTTTTAGACAAGCAGAACAGTAGTCTAGTCTAATTTATGAATCAGTCTGCAATGGTCAAATGGCATGCCTCCTTCTGGAATTAATTAATTGTTTATGTATTTTTTGCTCCGTCTTGGTTATGGGCCCGATCTAATGTGCATAGAAAAGCAAGGAGTGGAAGGCGGCAGCAGAGTCGGGATATTCTAGCATCGAAACCACATCCCTGTGAGTGCAAGCGATGCAAGTATGTAAGGCCCAATCGTGCATCGGATCGGCCGTGCACCATGCATCTATCATTCCTGAAATCCACCAGGATGCGTATCAGCTAGATTAGATCCAATGCAGTGCACAGACAGGATGAGTGGGCCACGACCCAAAATGAACCAAGACCTCAGTCCATGATCTGAAATACCAGATTACTTGGAGGACCCCTCCAATGTTTACAACCAACTATGGGCATATTCACTCACACACACACTCACACACACTCACTCACACATACTCTCACTCACACAAATGTATGCGGCATAATTGCCCTAGGTGAAGTTAGTGTGAATCAAAGAACGCGCGACCATTCGTGTTATTCTTTCTCACACGTGTACAGGACAGGGAAAGATAGGATAGCCTTCTAAACAGGGACTAAAACCCTCTCCCCCTTTACTTTCACTTCCTTCTTGTTCTACTTCTTCTTTGCTGTCCCCTTGCTGTAGCCATCCTAAAGGGAGCAGACCCTCGAGGAGCTATTTCCATACGGTGCATTGCCATTGTCATTGTCATTGTCATCCCATGCAGCCCGTCGCTATATATACTAGCCTCATTTCCATTCCCATTTCTTTTTTTTTCATTTCCATCCTATCTCATAATTCACACATTCTTCACTCCTTCACCCCCTCTCACTCTTTCTACACCCACATACACACCCTTCCACTATGCTCCCACGTACCTGCATCCTGGCCACCGCTGCTGTATTCAGCGTGCTTGCTTCCGCCTCCGTCCATGGAGTTGCCATCACACAAAACACGGATCTATTGAGACCTGACATGGCAAACGTTATCCAACCTTCCTTAATCTACCGTCGCCGCAATCACGACAGCGATGGTGGGCGCGGTGGTAAGCACGATGGTAGCGAGCATGGAGACCATGAGAGCCATAGTGGCCACCGAGGAGACAGTGAACACGGCAAGTCCTCTGACAAGGGTGATAAAAAGAATGGTAGCAAGGACTCCAAGGGCGATGATGGCAAGTCTGCTAAGAAGGGTGATGGTGACGAGTCTGCTAAGAAGGATGATGGTGACGAGTCTGCTAAGAAGGACGATGGTGACGAATCTACTAATACGAGCGCGGTGAATGATGGGTCCGAGCAAGACGATCCAAATACCACCGAGCAAGACGATCCGAGTACCACCGAGCAAGACGATCCAGATGCCACCGAGCAAGATGACCCAAATGCCACCGAGCAAGACGATCCAGATGCCACCGAGCAAGACGATCCAGATGCCACCGAGCAAGACGATCCAAATGCCACCGAGCAAGACGATCCAGATGCCACCGAGCAAGACGATCCAGATGCCACCGAGCAAGATGATCCAAATGCCACCGAGCAAGATGATCCAAATGCCACCGAGCAAGACGATCCAAATGCCACCGAGCAAGACGATCCAAATGCTACCGAGCAAGACGAGCCTGTTAATACGAGCGGGGTGAATGATGGGTCCGAGCAAGACGATCCAAATGCCACTGAACAAGACGATCCAACTGCCACTGAGCAAGACGATCCAACTGCCACTGAGCAAGACGATCCAATTGTCACTGAGCAAGACGATCCAACTGCCACCGAGCAAGACGTTCCAACTGCCACCGAGGACCCCACTTCTGATGCCGATGCCATGACCAGTGACTCATCGGCCGCGCCCACTACCGTGGCGGGCGCCACTTGGACTGGCACGACCGGCGCCTTGGCGACCCCGACGCCAACAGTGACTCCAGCAGCGACCCCCCTCAGAGTTACAACCACCGTATCTGTTGCGACACGCATGCCCACAGCTGCTACCACCGCTCGTCCCGTGACTTCTTTCCCTTCCACAAGCAACTCTTCTGCCAGCAACAAAGCCCACGGCCAGACAGCTCTTACAGCGCTGGTCATTGCTGTTGTAGCCTATTTCTTCTAAAGGGGAAATGGTGCAAAAACCTACTTCATACGCGTCTCATGCTAGTCAATACATAAAGTAATTTGTGCAACTCTATGCGAAACCTAAGTAAACCTATGCAAGCCTATGCAAACCTATGCAAATCAAATCGACCCAGGACGCGTCTGTCCAGGGGCACAATAAATTTTCTACGGCGAGATTGTGACCGCCGTCACATCTCTCTCTGGCCCAATGGCGTGCGGGGGGGTATCGATCGGTGCAGCGAAAAAAACACCCGCAACGAAGATCCGACGGCTTCGCAGTTCCTCGCCCGTCCGTTTCTGCACTGCTTGCCCGCCGCACTCCCTTCATTCGCTTCTCCCCTGCATCGGATCATCACCCTCTCTTACCATCGCCCATCCCTCCACCTCTCTTGCCCATCCCCATGCACCCCCGCTTTGTCTCCTCCACCCTGACTGGCTCCGCCCGCGCTGTCAGGGCTGCCGTGTCTCGGCCCCGGGTTCCTTCCCTGGCCTTCACCACGCCCACTTCTCGCAAACGCAAGTGCTTCGAATTTTATCTCACGGCCCTATAATCAATCTTCTTTGGCCACGGACTAAACTAACCAAACACTCTTGAACGCCCCTCCAGTCTTCCACACCTCGCCTTGGACCCTCTCCGTCAATGCCCCCGAGACCAGCCCCGCCCCGACGCACTCCTCCAGCAATCCACCCATGGCCTTTCCTTGCGTCGATCATCTGGAACAGCGCACACAAAAGTTCCTGCAGTCATTCGATGGGGGTCCAGAGCCCTCTTACAGCAACCCGGTCTCCGGATACAGTCTTTATCAGCATAACGAGCCTTTTCTGCTGGACCATGGTGGCATTTTGCCAAAGTTCGAGATCGCATACGAGTCCTGGGGCGAACTCAATGCTGACAAATCCAATGTCATCCTGCTCCATACAGGACTTTCAGCCTCGTCGCACGCAAAATCTCACCCTGCGAATCCAGCACCAGGATGGTGGGAAAAGTTCATTGGCCCCGGCCTGGCGATCGACACCAATCGATTCCATGTGATCTGTACCAATGTCATCGGAGGCTGCTATGGCTCCACAGGCCCCTCATCCATTGATCCCAAGGACAACAAGCCCTATGCGACCAGGTTCCCCATCGTCACGATTTTCGATATGGTCAGGGCACAATTTGAGATGCTAAACTCCATGGGAATCAAAAAGCTGCATGCCTCTGTCGGAGCTAGCATGGGCGGTATGCAGTCCTTGGCTGCTGCGCTGCTCTTCAAGGACCGTGTCGGCAAGGTCGTCAGTATCTCCGCTGCTGCGCGTTCTCACCCATACAGTATTGCGCTTCGTTTCACGCAACGCCAAGGTAAAAAATATGTCTTTATCTTTTAAATTCATGCAATTGAACTCCAGCTGTTTCTCATCCCGCAATCGCTAATCGATACCCATCTCAATTGCACATGTCGGCAACAGTGCTCATGGCAGATCCGAATTGGAATAAGGGCTTTTATTACGACAAGGTCCCTCCTCATAGTGGAATGAAGCTGGCTCGAGAGATTGCTACTATTTCGTATCGATCCGGCCCCGAGTGGGAACAGCGTTTTGGCAGGAAGAGATCCCAGCCCTCAACGACGCCCTCATTATGCGCAGATTTCTTGATTGAAACCTACTTGGATCATCAGGGTGAGCGATTCTGTTTGCAGTACGATCCCAACTCGTTGCTGTACGTTTCCAAAGCCATGGACATGTTCGATCTCTCAGCCTCGGTCTCAGCACAGACCGCCCTTCGAAGGGCCAGGAACACTCAGCGACTTCAAGAGGGAAAGGGATCTTCGGCCCCTGAAAATGCGGCGGTTCCTCCTCCTGATGAGCAGGCTGCAGCATGCTCCACAGGTGCTACCCCTGCTGGCTCAAAGTCTGGAAATGATACCCAGGACGACCCCAAGGCTCAATTGAACGACTTGAAGGAGGGTCTGAACACCATCAGAGACATCCCCACACTTGTCCTAGGAATCCAATCGGACATCCTGTTCCCTGTCTGGCAACAGAAGGAGGTTGCGGATTGTCTGCGCGAGACCGGAAACAAGAATGTAACCTACTATGAGCTCGATTCGATGTACGGACACGACGCTTTCTTGCTCGAGATCATAAACGTCGGAAGTGCCGTCAAGGGACACCTTGAGCTCAAAGGATAACATGAAGATACACATCGCCCTCTACATAGAGACTCCTCTACATAAACCACACGTGACCCATAATCTTGGATCTGGGGTGCAACAGCAAAATAAACAAGTGGCGAAATGAAGCAGATAGAGCAGGTCTCCTCCTCCTTCGTTCAAACAGCTTCACTCTTTTATTCTTATCACCGTCAGCTATCATTGCTTTCTGTTTTCCCAGCAACTCCACTTTATAGCCGCAACTTCGTGTGCTGCAGTCTGCAGTATCCATACTGAGAACGTGGGTGCTCGATGCCCGTATATCCTCCCTTCGTACCCCCCAAAGTTCACAACACCACTATTTGTTTCCCTAAACCTGCTTTCTTTCTCGGTTTTTAATTCCACTCATTTTACGATTGCAGCAAAATGAAGATTAAGAAGATCCCAGTCAAGAAGTTGGCGCTCCCGGTAAGAACGCGATCCCAATACTCTGTTGACACTGTGCCAATATATGGGTGTTCATTATTCTGCTCACCGTGGACACACACCGGTGTTTTGACGCAGACTGGGGATTGGTTGCACGGCAGTTGGAATCGAAATTGCCGTTGACAGGGCTACGAGGATGAACCGGCGGCATCGACATTTCGGACTTCTCCTGCAGTAAGAGGACTTGGAGCCAGCACTTTGGGACAACCCTGTCTTTTAATCGACTCGAGCGAACAAACGTCTACGGAAGGGCGTTACTATTGAACTTGGAAGCGTGTGAAATACATGATGCATCCTTTGCCCTGGTTACCTGGACGCAAGCGCGCACGTCACCCTATCGATCCATCGCGTTGTCCAACAAAAACAGCACGAAACGAAGAATTTACCACCAAAAACGAAGGCAGAGCACTCAAGTTCTAATCCCCCCTCCAAAAAAATTGTACAACTATAGCCTGTTCCTATAAGAGACCTCATTAAGACTCTGAAGGAATGCCCCGAGGCGAATATTGCAACCCATATTGAAGCTACACCGGAATGGGTCTGGCCCCGAGGAGATCTTTTTCATTGGGCCGCTGTCTTGAACCGGTTCGACGATATTCTGGACAACATCTGCAAGACCTATGACATGAAGAAGGCCCAGCCAAAAGAATTTCCGGAGGACATTAGGCGCCTGACCCTTGCGATCTTGGGTTTTTCACGAATGTTGCTCGAAAACTGCACCAACCGCAACCTCTACGCATCATACGAGGTACGATAAAAGTGATGCGCATCAAAAACCTCACGACAATGAATGACCTAGAAAGGTTTGGATTTTAATTGTTTGTTCATATCTAATTTTGTTCACAGCAATTGAACGATTTGCTGCATGCGCGCGATCTGGATGTTCTCGAATCCTGCCTGCGGCTGCTGCTCCGACCTGCTCAGCGACACAGCGCTCAGCGATCGTCCAAATCTATATTCACAGTATCACAGGATCGCCTTTTGGCATTGGCGCATTCATGGGGGAATAAGGAGCACGGAATGGATCTCCTGCAGTTGGCGGGCGAGAATGTAAATATCCCGGAGCAACTGACGGCGCTCAACTTTCAATTCTACAGGACGATATCTCAATCAAAACCTGCTACCGATGCCTCCACTGCTGTGTCAGATGCACCTTCGAAGGCATCATCGACATTTAGTACGGCTACTACAGTAAAACCATCATCTTCCAGCACGACTGCCACCGCACAACAAACTCATTCACCAACTAAACAAAGGCGTTCATCACATCCTGGATCGTCACCTTCAACATCCACAACCGTGGCCAGCACCATCGCACCTGCATGCGAAGGAATGGTTGTTATTCACGCGACAAATATCGGTCGATTGGGCGCATCGGATTACGAGATTTTGGCACATTTTGTCAAGGAATACCAGATCCCTGAGGAACATCAGTTCTCACTTTTGAACCGCATCAGGGTCGCCATCGGCATCAGCGTCCCACAGCGCCGCCAACAGCTGTTAATTGTCCGCATCCTAGCAGTTGCTGTCATGGCCCATGTCTTGTCCGAGGCCGTTGTCATCGACAAGTTCCTTACGTTCGAGCCGGAGATCATTCAAAGTTTGATAGAGCTCATCCATCCCGACCATAAAGCGCCATATGTGAGTCCAGACAGCCTGCGAATGCTTTTTGGCACATACGAATCGGACGCGTGCTAATACTACTGTTTTACTGACGTATAGAATCTGCAAACTGTGGCGCTCTTTGCCCTGGATGGACTCGCCCGTCTTCGAAACAAGCAAACCGATGTTTTGACAGCAGTGAATGCTTCTGCGAGCCACGGCGTATTGCTTTATATGCTCAGGAGAGTCATTGCTGGACTGGATTCTGACAGTGGTACGTGATAGTGCTTTATTATCGGTAGTTGTGCTTGCGGGGGAAAAGACGGACACTATTTGACTCATTTTCATATAATTCGATCGCTCTAGTCACCTATCCTCAAGAGTTCCTGGATGCCATTTTTGTGTTCATCTCATTTATCATTGGGTCGCAACCTGGAGGGACTATGGTTATCTCTGCAGGAATCGTCCCGGTGCTTCTCAAGTTGCTTTCTAACAAACATACCTCACAGCTGAAGGTACATCATGGATCAAAGCTCTATGCCTTTTTATCATTATGAACAGAATACCTTGAATGCTTGAAACTGACAGGCGTTTTTGTTTGTTTGTTTGTTTGTAATAGAATATAACGAAAGGTGTTCTGATTCTGGACAGTCTCGTATACGGCTTCAGTGCAGCGTTCACGTCGTTTTGTTCTTCGGATGGTCTCAACATGCTAGTCGCCAGGGTCAAGGATGAAGTAGATTTTTCACTTGACCTTGTGAAGAAAGCTGAGACGGCCCAAATTTCAGATACAGTTTCAGTATTAGGCGCCAAAGGTATGCGAGAAATCATCCAAACATGCTAGGCGACGCTTTTGCACCTGTGGCCTTACTGACACCGATCAATAACTTTTTTGGATTTTAGACGATACCTCGCCGATTCCCTTTGAAAGAACTGCGTTGTTAAAGTCGATGTTCAAATTTGTGCTCCACATGATGCAAAGTCCTGGAACCCAAGAGGGCTTGCGGAATTTGATTGACACCACGTTGCCTGCCACTTTGAAGCATATCATGGAGAATCCACAAGCCTTTGGAACGGCTATCTATGCCCATGGTATGTATAAAACAGCGCCGTCATGTGTATTGTATAGATGTAAATATGGTAGATGCACCTCAATGCTAACGCAGATCGCATTCTTATCATGCAGCCATCAACACTATGGCATCCTTCATTCACAATGAACCGACCTCGCTCACTATCTTGCAAGATGCGAAAATACCCCAGACACTCCTTGCCAGTTTATCAAAGGACATTCCTGCCTCATCGGACGTTGTGTTGAGCATTCCCGAGGCATTCGGAGCAATCTGTTTAAATTCTCAGGGCCTTGAGATGTTCAACAAGCAGTTCAAGCTAAGGGCATTTTTCGACATTTTCACATCGGAAACACACGTTCGCGCGTTCCAGGACAGCGACCTTGCCTCGAACTTGGGGATGTCTGTGGATGAATTGATGAGACATCAGCCCAGTTTGAAGCCCGCGCTGATGAGCGAAGTCAACGCTATGCTGGAAGGGGTTTTGGATATGTGCAGCACAGCGCGGGTTTCGGCTGATGAAAAGTCATATTGTACGCTCCAAAAAACGCGCGCTAAGGACGCACCTTTACCAGGTGAAGCTGTTGACGAAGAAGAAGCCAAGGGAGATAAGAAGGAGAGTTTGGTCCCAATACTGATCGAAGGTGCCACAAGAGTAAGCTTTGTGTACCTTCTTGGCTTGAAGTACTCTCGAATTTTTGAATCTGCTGTGTTGCTAACAAGGATGGTTTTATCTTCACTGTTTTCCATCTATGATAGTTCTGCGAAAGCTTTTTCCAGAATACAGCCAGCACGAAGGATTTTCTGAAAGCAGGCGGAATCGACATCTTGATGAGATTCTATTCACTAGAAACGCTCCCCTATGAATTGGCCAGCACCGCTGCATTCTTGTCTTTGTCCTATCTGATCAAAATGTTGAGCGAAACGAACCCAGCGTGCGCGGTGGCCGCTGTGATGAAGGAGTTGATTAGGCTGCTGGAAAACGTCAAGCCTTTGTTGGAGTCAAACAACCCTAGGTCAGATTTGATACAATACATTGATCTTACAGGTAAAGTTGATGATGTTGCGTAGACTTCTTGACGTTCTTCGAGGAATACGGTCGGCAAAGGATCTTACACGCTATTTTCTACTCTATTAGATTCTAGCGAGGCAGAGATGGATCAGGGAAACAAAACAATCCGCTCCTTGATCAGCCTCTATGGATTGAGTGGACTGATGTCGGACATGTTTTGTGCGCCAACTTTTTCACATGGGCGCAACTCTGCCTCTGTGCTCTCAGCATTCATTGCTGCCCGAGGCGATGAAGCCCTGGCCGGACTAGGGCAACTGCACAGGTATGAAAGGACACTAAGACACCGCCTTAGAACTCGCCTTTATAATTTTCTTCTGAAGCATTGACTCCATGTGCTGCCTACATATATATTTTCGCTGACTTTAGGATGTGTGTATGGGAGAGTATTGTGATAAACCGTGCTCTGAAGAAAGACTGGAATGTCCACAATCCTAAACCCAAGAAGTTGCCAGGTACAACCTCCGTTCCCGGAACAGTGGACTTCTCCTTGGAGGAGCAGGAAAAGGACGACAAAGAGCAGGGCACCTCCCCGACGATCGACCAGCATAGCCCAACTTATATCAACGCAAAGCACTTCAACTTTGTGTTGACCCAAACCCCTAATTGCCTTACGCCGATGTACCAAGGTAGGCATATACTGGGGGTTGAATTTCAGAGAAACCTCCTGCCCTCGCCATAAAGATCTCTGTACTAATCATGGTTTCTCCTGTATCTAGGCCTGGCAAAGATGCTGTTCTATCGGCGAGATGTGGATTCTACTCAACGTGCAAACGCCTTCAAGATTGCTGGCTCACTGTCAAGAGTCCTGCAAGCACACATTTCTTGGCAACGACAAGGTAGGGTACTATGGCGCGATGCCTTGTTAATGTGATAAAGGCACCCCGTCCTCAATACTAACTGTGCTTTGTGGAAATATGTAGAAAAACTCGATATTGCTGCCGACAGGCTGACATATCTCACAACCATGCTTCGTCTGCCTGCATACCTTATGCTGGATGATCGGAATCCTCCAACACTGCAGACGATCATCGTTGTCGCTTTCGTCAGGTCTCATGGACTTGATACCCTTTTTGGCACACTAGATACAATCTGGAAAAACATGCAGTTGGATCCATCAGCGGAGGACAAAACGAAAATGTATGCTGTTGTTGAGATCATCCTCGGTATTCTCCAAACACTCACATCTTCGAAGCTGCTGCACGACTCCTCCCACACATCGATGCTGACTTCCAGAGACGACAGAATCAGGAGAGCGGATTTTTTTGAGCCACACGAGTTTCTGATCGACACCAGACTTGCCATCTTGCCCAAGATCAAGGCGTTTTGGGTGGACCCAGCCCTCCACTCTTGTCCCTCGTCTCTGGTGCGACAGTTGATTCAGGTTCTCCTCAATATCTTGAAAGGAGATGGCGAACTCAAGCCCGAGGCGCCACCAGGACCTTCTATCGTCCTCGGTGGCGCGCCTAACCTCTTTGGCGCACGCCCTCTTGTCGCCGATGCCGCTAGCGTTGCCATACTACTAGACATGGGATTCCCCAGAGCAGCTGCCGAACTTGCCTTGACAAGATGCGCTAACCAGCTGGATCGAGCTACGGAGTACTTGTTGACACATCAGGATATTGTTGCCGCGGCGATCTACGACCAGGAACGCGAGGCTGCTGCTGCGCGTGCCACAGCCAACCCCCTCATTTCGACCAACGAAACTGCAACGGGCGAGCCATCCTCATCGAGTGCGGTGACAGGCGCTACGGCGAGTGGAAATACAGAAACAGAGCCTCAAAGAGATGGGAGCGATGCGGGCGACGCCGAAATACTTCAGCGAGCCCTTGAGATCTCAGTCTCTGGCAATGATATCACGACGAATACGAGCGAAGGATCCAGTAGCGTTGCGGCAGCAAGCCAGTCCTCTGCCAAGTCAAGTGAGTCGGCCGATTCAGTAGAGGTTCATAAGGCTCGCAAGGAGGAGCTCACCAAGGAGCGTCTCGACTTGAAGGCGATTCTTGTGACCAGGTCGTTGGTGTTGCTCACCGAGGTTGACGGCATCATCTTTTCTGTGAGGGACATATTCCTCTTTATGTTCCAATCCAAGGACATCCCTGTTTTAGATACCTTATTCAATGTTACGGCGTCGCTTGGCGAGGAATTCAACAAAGCGGATCAGGAGCAGATCAAGGAACGCGGGGAATTGTTAGGAGTTCACATGCGGCTTTTCGCGCTCTTGTTTGCAGAGGCCAGCATCCAGTCGAAAATGCAGGACTATGCATCAAAGCTGTTGCCACTGTTGATGTCAACCCTGACCAAGGCCCTCGACACGCAGACTCCCCAAAAAGGAAACACCTGGCTCTCACCCCTCCTATTGATGATCGAAGGGTACATTTCACTCACAGACGAGCCCAAGGTTGTCCCTGACGAGACCTCGGCAGAAGGAAAGGCCAAGGCTGCTCAGCATGATTTGGAGATGACTGCAGCGGTTGTGTCCGGATCCGACATGGAAATTCTCCTCAGGCAATGCCTTTCGCTGCTCAAGCAGGATTGCCTTTCCAAGGATGTCATGCTCTCTGTATTCAGGATCTTGGTTCGGTTGACCCGTCACCATAATCTCGCAATCGAATTCTTGAGATCGGATGGTTTACCCATTATGTTTGCGACTCTAAAGCCGGATAAGATTGGTGTTCAGGGCCAGCAGGGTCTTATAATCATGATCATGCGACACATTATCGAGGACACGAACGTTTTGCAAGCAAGCATGGAGAGGGAGATCACGCGATGGTTCTCTCACCCGACACGGCCCCGAACAGTCGAAATCCAGACTTACCTTCGTCACAACAACTACATGGGACTGCGCGACCTTGATGCCTTCATTGCAGGCACTCTTAAAGCGTGTAAGGTGGCAAAGCACGATTCCTCTTATAGGGCTCTGTACCTGAGTTTGGTTAAGCTTGCGGCGCCATCCAAAGCCGAGGACAATGACGACCAGGAAGGAGCCACAGATGACAAGGGCGAGGATGAGAAAGATGACAAGGATGAGCGCAAGGAGACTGATAAGGAACCGAATGTGGATGAGAGTGGTGCTTGCTCATCTTCCACAGCAGCTCTCTCCGCGGCTATTTCGGAGGTGTCAAAAAAATACACTTCTGAGGTTTCGGAGACCGTGATGTCGTTCCTGGCCACCGAGTTGCTCAATATCCGAGTACCAACCAATCCTCCGGAGAAAACAGGACCATCAGGTGACAGCGCCAAGGACTCGACCAGCAAACTCGACTCAGCTTCAATAGCCTCATCCTCGAAAAATGAGGCAGACAAGACGGCGCTTGCCACGTCAGAGGCCACGCTGGATCATGAATTCATCTATCGGTGCTTTCTCCTGCAGTGCTTAAATGAGCTGCTCGTCTCTTATCCATCCTGCAAGGTTGATCTGATGAATTATTCCAGGCGAAGGAGTAGCAAGGATCCGGCGCATGCTGCCAGCAAACCAAAAGCCAGCTGGCTGAGCTATCTTCTGAACGATCTCATCCCTTATCGCGGTACGATCGCCCAAGCAACCAACGCCGAGCTCCGTAAGCAGTCGATCGAATCGAACTTTGCCTCTGGGGTTCTGGTGGCGATGTGCTCAAACAAGGACGATGACGAGGAAAAGAAATCGTCCGGTGACTTGGTCCAAGTCCGTCGGTTTGTCGTGGACGGAATCACTCGCGCCTTCAAGGATGCGATCGCCTCTATGGACAGCGTCGAATACAAGTACAGCAAGTTCCTATCGCTGTCGGAATTATCCTACAAGATCCTAGGTTCACATCCGGTGACCGGTGCATTGCCAAGGACAAATGAGGACACGTCAATCAACATTGTGAAGGTGATGCTGGAAAAGAATTTTATTATGACCCTCACCAACGTTGTTGCAGACATCGATTTGAATTATCCACATGCCAGAGTCCTCGTAAACGCTGTCTTGAAGCCCCTGGAACACCTGACCAAGCTTTCGCTCAAGATGAGTCGCGCCTCTGAACCTGGTGCACCGAAACCCAGGCGCCTCTCGACGCCATTATCAGGGCAGGGCAGTGGAACCGGATCAGGAGACGATGCACCAGACCTGTACCGCAACTCGTCGTTGGGCATGTTTGATGGCACGAATATCGAGTCTGGAGAGGATGGTGAGTCTGGAGACTCGATCAGTGACGAGGACATGTTTGAAGGCGAGGAGTTTGAGGAAGAAACCGCAAGCGACGCCAGCGATATCAGCGAGGACGACCTTAGTGACGAGGACGAGAATGAGGGCGAAGGCGAAGACGATGTCGTCCGCAACCCGTTCCATGATGATCACGATGGCTCTGAAGACGAAGAGGATCAAGACGACGAAGAGCACATAGAAGAGGAGGAAGATGATGATGATGAGGACATCGATGCCGAGATCCAAGAAGCCCTCGATCGCGACGAAGAGGAAGGAGAGGATATGGTCATGGAATGGGATGGTGATGGTCATCGACCCGTCTTGCTTGACCAGGATGATATCGCCGAAGTCATCGATGATGAGGATGACGACGGGGACGATAGTGACGAACAGGAAGAGCACAATAGATTTGTTGAAGGCCAGGGCCATCTTCACCACCATCACCATCACCATCACCATCATCGCTCGGGAGACGAAGGCACTGAGGATGATGACGAGGATGACGGCGATGATGACGATGAGGATGCATCTGACGACGATGAGGAGGATGATATGGACGATGATGAGGATGGCGAGGGCCAGGGCGATCTGGAGGATGGGGATGAGCCGCACCGTAGACGCGGTCGTCACAACCCTTGGAACATGACCAGCACGTTCGTCATCAATGAGAATGCCCTTCGCAACGGGCGCGCTCTGTTTGAACCTCAAAGTCGTCGTGGCCGACTTCCTGGCCAGGAACGTGGATTTATCTGGGATGACTTTGGGGCTGACCAAGGACGGCTCCCTCATCTGCAGGATGATGATTTGCCTACCTTCAGAGCGCCTGTTCGCAACCCATTCTTGCAGGTGTCCGATGATGCGATCACCCATCCACTACTCGCACCGCCATCCAGTGCCTCGACGGCCAACAATGCCAACGCTCATCGGCTGAGAGGTGGAGCACGCATTGGACTTCCAGACTGGCAGATGTTTGAGGAGCTCTTGAACGAAAATGCTCAGCAGTTGCTCGGAAGACTTTTCACCGGCGGTGCCCTCCGTCCAGGACATGGCGGCGCGTTCAGACTTGAGGTCAATAACGATCACTCTACGACACTGATTCCTCTCGACCGGCCCGGCGGCCACCACCATCATCATCACCACCATCACGGCGCAGGCGACGCTCTCACCGCAACCATCTCGATCGGACACGGTTCTGGGGATGCCGCCGGAGGAAATAAGAGCGACGTGTTCAGTATCGTCCATGGCTTTGTACCACTCTCTACTTCGCAACGCTGGTCTCAGGAGTGCCGTATGATGTACGGTGCGACGGCTCAGGATAAGGCCTCGCGCCTTCAGAATCATATCATTAATGCACTTATTCCTGTAGCTAAGGAGGAATCACGTCTAAAGTATGAGCGCGAGATGAAGGAGATGGAACAGCGTCGCAAGGCCGATGCGGAGCGCAAGAAAGCTGCAGAGGAGAAGCGCAAGGCCGAGGAGGAGGCCCGACGCATCAAGGAGCAGGAGGCGGAGGCTGCTAGGGTAGCAGAGGAGCAAGCTGTGAGCGAACGCGAAGCGGCGCGTCGAGTCGAGGAGGCTGCTATTGGAAATACCGGCGTAGCGATAACGCCGGCAGGAACATCCATGGAAGTCGAGGGATCCCCGTCCAGCTCGGCCCCTATGTTCAGTGCGCCTGCGCCAGAAAATGCAACACCGCCACGCCGAATGGTATTGATTGACGGGGAGGAATTCGACATTACGGACAGCGATATCGATGCCGATTTCCTCGAGGCTCTGCCGGAGAGCATGCGCCGCGAGGTCTACAACGATTACCTGCAGGCACACCGACCCCAAACGACTCCAGCATCATCTAGCTCAGCCAACAACAACGGCATTAGCATCAGTAACAATAGCGACATCAGCGGCGCCAGCAGTAGTAGCAACAACATCAATGTGGACTTTTTGAATGCTCTTCCTCCACAAATGAGAGACGAGCTGGATGAGTTGATCCGAGGACCACGCTCAGCAGCAGCACCCGCTGCCCGCGAGCCAACCATGGCAACTAATGCTCCACCTCCTGCGTTAGCAGGAACTTCCACGGATCTTCATGCGTTTTACCGTTCATTCGAGGATTCGGCACAGTCCCTGGGAGCGTTACAATCCAGGCTAGCTGCCACTGCATCACGGTCCAGTCAAGAGTTGGAAAGGTTGTCAGCATCAACAAATCAAGCAATCCGGCGTTTCCTTGACGTTGAAGCATCGCTGCGCACGACGGGCCCGCCTGAGACGCGAGCCTGGCTTGAAGGCCTCTCTGGCAGTCGGGCAATCTTGGCAGACACAGTTGATGATCTTCAGGCGGTTCGCGACAGATTCGTTGCACATATTGGAAGGGCCACCAACACATCTTTGCCGTCAAGCAACAAGAAGATGGCTCTGCCACGTGAAGCTATCCAGCTCGTGGACAAATCCTCGCTCGCAACTTTGGTCCGGCTCATGTTCCTGCCTCAGCCCTTGTCGCGAAACATTCTGAACAAACTGCTTGTTAATTTATGCGAGAACAGCAAGACTCGAGGCGACTTGTTGTCGCTGCTGCTATCGATTCTTCAGGACGGTGGTGCGGATTTGGCGGCCGTAGACAGGAGCTTTGCGCAAATGTCTCTTCGTGGCAAACCACTGCTCAAGACTCCGCATCAGCCCAAAGGCTTGAAGGGATCAGGAGCGGTTTCGGCACCGGCACAGCCAACAATGGATAACGTCCCCAATTTAGTTGCTCGTCGATGCTTCGAATCGCTCCACTATATCGTGTCGCTTAATGAGCAGGCGTCGTTGTTCTTCTTGAGCGAGCATGAGAACGTGGCACTGAAGCGGCCAACCAAGAAGGGCAAAGGCAAGGAGAAGGTGATCAGTAGCAAGTATCCGATCGTGCTTTTGTTGGATCTGTTGGAGCGACCTACCTTTGTGCAGAACTCTGCCTTGATGGAGCAGCTTATGATGCTGCTGTCAATCGTTTGCCGACCATTTGCAAATCTATTCAAGACAGCAGAAAACAAATCTGACGAGGATACTAAGGACAAGGATAAAGGCAAGGAGAAGGCTGTTGAGGGCGGCCCTGCGACGGCGACAACAACAGGGTTGGCAGGCGCGGCGGAAGCTGGTGAGCCTACAATTGCGGATACGTCAGCATCAACCGGCGGTAAGACTGAGGCTGGAGTAAGCGCGGAACCGGGACTCCAGCCTCCTGTGATCCCCGACCATTGTCTTCAGCTAGTTGTAGGTGTGTTAACGGCAGGCGAGTGCTCGAGCAAGACATTCCAGTTCACTCTATCTGTCATTCAGAATCTCTGCATCCTTCCTGGTGCTCGTGATACCATCACTTCGGAGCTCGTGAGAGCCGCTTGTGAACTCGGCGCCGGTATCCTCGAGAACTTGGAAGAACTCTCCAGGACCTTGGAGAATGCCATAAGTGGTGTTGATGTACAGGGAATGACTCTTGAAAAGTTTTCACCGGCTTCTTCAAAGCAGGCCAAGTTGTTACGCATCCTCAAGACTATCGACTACATGTATTCACGCAAACAAACGCCACAAACACCGGCAGCAACACAGCTCAACATTGAGCTTGCACCAACAGTCGACCCGGAGGAAGCGGACGCGGTGTTGCCTCGATCGATGCGTGACCTCCACTCTGTGGCACAGAACTTGAACAAGGACGAGCAGAAAGTGACAGAGATCTATGATAGCCTGAAGTTTCAATCCCTGTGGATGAAGGTCGGTCAGACGCTAGAGCAGATCCATGAACGGAGCGATATGATTCATGTGGCGACGGTGCTTCTACCACTAATCGAGTCGCTCATGGTTGTGTGCAAGTACGTGGGGTTGCGGCCGTCGACACTCGAAATGGAAGAGGATGACGCCAAGAATACCGCCAAGCATGACTCGACAGAGGATCTGTTCTTGCAGTTCACAGAGAAACACAGCAAGATTCTCAACATTATGGTGCGCAACAACCCTGCGCTAATGAGCGGCTCCTTCTCACTCCTCGTCCATAACCCAAAGATGCTGGAGTTTGACAACAAGCGCAATTATTTCACGCAGCAGCTGCATAAGAGAAACTCGACTCGGGACCTGTATGGATCGCTGCAGATGAATGTTCGCAGGGAGATGGTCTTTATGGATTCTTATTCGCACTGGCAGTCGCGTACGGGCGATGAGATCAAGCATAGCAAGCTGAACGTCAAGTTCCATGGCGAAGAGGGTGTAGACGGAGGTGGAGTGACTCGCGAATGGTTCCAGGTTCTGGCTAGACAGATGTTCAACCCTGATTATGCGCTGTTCAAGACCTCGGCGGCCGACAAGTTGACCTACCAACCCAACCGCGCATCTTGGGTCAACCAGGATCATCTGTTGTTCTTCAAGTTTATCGGCCGGGTCATTGGAAAGGCTATTTATGATGGTCGGCTCTTGGATGCCTACTTTACACGCTCGTTCTACAAGCACATCCTCGGACGACCTGTGGACTACCGCGATGTGGAGGCAGTGGATCCCGAATACTACAAGTCATTGGTCTGGATGCTAGAGAACGACATTACGGACATTGTAGACGAGACATTCTCGGTCGAAACGGACGATTTCGGTAAGACGAGGATTGTGGACCTGAAGCCCGACGGACGTAATATTCCGGTAACAGAGGAGAACAAGCACGAGTACGTCAAGTACATTACGGAGCAGAAGCTGACACTGGCGATCAAGGACCAAATTCACTCGTTCCTACTGGGCTTCCACGAGATCATCCCCGCGCATCTGATCAGCATCTTCAACGAGCAAGAACTGGAGCTGTTGATCTCAGGACTGCCGGATATCGACATTGACGAGTGGAAGAACAACTCGGAGTATCAGAACTATACGCAGGCGTCGCCGCAGATCCAAAACTTTTGGCGAGCTGTTCGGTCATTTGATCAGACTGAACGTGCCAAGCTGCTGCAATTTGTGACGGGAACATCCAAGGTACCTCTAGGAGGGTTCCCGCAACTCCAAGGCATCTCAGGTATTCAGAAGTTCCAGATTCATAAGGACTTTTCCTCAACCAAGCGACTTCCATCAGCACATACATGGTAAGCAAGCAAACTATTCTTTATTTTATTTAACCTCGTGTGAGCTGGCCATACGTGTGCTTAAAGACCTTTCCTATTCTAATACCTCTGCGCCCTTTACTACAAATAGTTTCAATCAATTGGATCTTCCTGAGTACGAAACATATGAAGAGCTGCGACACCAGCTGCTGGTGGCTATCTCGGAATGCAGCACAGGATTCGCCTTTGCTTAAAACCAGCCAAATCAAGGACGAGGAGAGAGTAAGAGGGGTAGAGAGGAGGAAGGGGGAAGGGGGAGGATATTAAGATTGAGAGCCAGAAAAGTTGTGCGGGCATGGCGAGGGAAAAGATAGACAATTACTGCGAATGCTGCTCTATTTTTTTTACATAAAGATATTTTTATTTGCATCGTTGATGTCAAGCAAGTTCGCGCACGGACTGCTCAGCCTTGAGGATCGTCACCTCTGCCTCAAGGGACGCTATGCAGCCCATGTTCTTTGTCTGCTCCTCTATCCTCAGCTTACGCTCCCTTTGGAACATCATTTCGAGTTCCTGGATCCTGCTTGCACTCGCAGCAGATGTTGCTATGGTGGTCGCGACTGCACCGAGTGAGGGCGATGATGGTAAGGACGATGAGGGCGCACCACCATGTCCTCCACCTCCTTCAGCGCGACTTAATTCCAGTTTGCGGATTGTGTTCTTCAGTTCCGTGATCGACGCCTTGAATCCTTCGCGCTCCTCCTCCATGGCCAAAATTTTTTCTCGCTGATCCTCCAGCTCCAGCACCAGGTCCCGGAACTCGTCCGAGTCCTCAAAGGAGACCATCTCCTCGAGTTTTTTCTCCTGCTCAATGACAACGATCTCGAGCTCGCGTTTCGCCTGTCGCAGAGAGATTAACTCGGCACGGTTCCAGGGCGTGTCCATCAGATCCTCGTCTTCTTCTTCGTCATCGATCGCGAGGTGTTCCCCCTCCGGTAACAAAACACTAGTAGCATCATCCTGACTCTCCATGAGATCGGTTGCAGGATTTGGATTCGCACTGTCGCCGCCTGCGGAAACAGGCGAAGTCACTATCTCCTTGCTAAATCTCTTTCCATTTGTCGCGCCTGATGGTCCTCCGTCCTGCCAGTTGAGGTTCATAATGGAGGCCCTCTTCTCAATCAAAAATTTCTCCCTCGGCTCCGTCTGCATATCGATCCTAGCCAACGTCTTTTCGATATCGACAGCCTCGCCCTTGGCGGTCTTCTGCAGCGCATTCTTCATCAGAGCAACCTTCTCTTGTTGCGCTTCCAGTTCTGATTGCAGCTGTCGCACGATCGTATCCTTCCTCGCCAGTCGGGACTCGATTTCCTTGGGGAACTCCATCACGCTGCCGTCCGCCGTGGTCTCGACAGTGTAACGACCCAATCCCGCCTGAGCACTACCTGCACTAGCCGTAGCGCCACTCGTTGATATACCACCAGCTTTGGCATTGATAGACTGCGAGGTCAGAATGAGTTTCGTAAGATGGTCAATGCGTTCCTTGAGCGCGTTGCGGACCATATTCATCTCGATCATCTCCTCCTCGTGCTTCAGCCGCTCCCTTTCAAGGAGGTGCGATAGTTCGGCGTGCTTCACCTTGTCCACCCCATTGAGTCCCTGTCCATATCCAGGTGTGCTTTGATCACTACCCTCCTGTCCTGCTGCTGCAGCGGTGGTCAGGAGCAACTGTGCCTTGAGTTCACTGATCTCGCGACGGTACTTCTCCAGCAGGGCCTTATCATCCATAACTTGATTGGTGTGGGCCTTGGTGACAACCTTCTTGACTCGGGCGGCGAATTTGAGGGTGTTGTGGGACTCTTCTACATTGAGGAACGATGGGCTGACGGTGCAGATCACGGAGACGCGAGCGTTCCCGCTTAAAGAGGATTGAAGGATCCGAGTCAACTTTGAGTCGCGATATGGGATGTGTGATCTACATTTCGAAAGACAAAAAAAAAAAAAATCGTGTGAGCAAACGAAAGAACAGACATACTCCTCTTTCAACCTCTCCACTTGTTCACCATGCTTACCCTTTGTCGTCCGTCAGTTTCGCGATGACGGTTCCGAGTGTCAGTAATGATTTGTTGATAAATGCGCCCTCTTTACGTCGCTCCACATCAGAGGAGGCCTTTTCAGATCCTGCGAGATCAATCAAGTTTAGCTGTGAGACCCGTACGGCGCTTGGTGATTTAAGTCCAAGACTCGATTTGCGTTCTGTAGGGCTCCGTGGTGCAGTCGGCGCTCGTTCTCTGCTTTCAATAACCTAATTAATCCCATGGCGAGGAAGGTGTGACCCGGGTTAATGAAATTGATGGAGATGGAGGGTAGCTGGCAATACGCTGATACTCCGAATCAACTCCTGGTGATTACAATTTGAAAGATGGAATGCGATCTGCTGCTGTGGGCATTGTAGTCTGTTGAACTTGTGTGCCTCTGATCTAAGATATAAATGGAACAAGTTGGATCCCATTTTTAGCCTGCATTTCCTTGCAGCATATTATCGAGCCATTGATACTCATCCAAATCGGCCTCGTACAGTCGCCTCTATGAATGATCCTCATGACCTGACTCGGCGTCGTGACAATTTCCTCTCTCAGTGGACTGACATACACTCCGCGCTAAGAATTCCCATACAAACGAAACTAAAGATTAATATTGCGGGCTATACAATGTCATGTAAAGAAGCGTCCATGGGCCTTACCTTCCGGTCCTCGTGAATCCGTAAGTCGATCGCCTCTGGTGAGAGCAAGTCCCGGATGCTCTCATTATAAATCTCCAGATACGAGACGCGTAGCAAGAACTCGCGCTCAGAGTTTTCGCGGATGTATTTGAAGACGTCCTCGACCGCACGAGGCGTGATACCAGGCTGCTTTTCTGTTCCGCTCTGAAGGTGAAAAAAAAGGCGGCGGCATGTTTTTGTATGTCTCTTAGTGATCCGATGGGCGATTTGAATCTAAAAAACTCATTGGTCCGTTGCAAATATATGTGTATATGTTGACCCTTCTCTATGTTACCATGGTCTACGCAAGGTTCATAAAAAGACGGCGTTAGGGATGCAATACTCGATTCACAGCGGAATCACTGAAACACAGCTTACGGCATATGACTTACATATGTCTTTCCGGAAGATGTCTGACCGTACGCAAAAACCGTGCCTGAAAAGATTAACCAAAACAGCAGGTTAGCCCATATTTGCTCTGTCAGCCAAGGGCTGTGCACAATTTCTTTTTAAGAATGCAAGCACGGACTCTGTTGACTGACCATTGTAACCCTCCATCGCCGACTGGACCAAATTCTTGACGCTCATATTGTAGATCAGCTCGTTATCGCTCCCTGTCAGAGCATGGTCTAATAGCAAAGACGAGGACGAGGACGAGGACGAGGACGAAGGAGAGTCCGCAGAAATCATTAGATGCAATGATAACCTTACGTTATGCAATTCAATTTAGATCGATTACAATTTTTTCCACGCTATGATGAATAATGAAGAGCCTTTCCCCCAAAAAATATGCAAAGTAGATAATAAACGGGACTTACCAAAGGCATAGTCAACCGCAGCTCTCCGTTCTTTCATCGCATAATCATCTGCATAGCTGATCCGCGCATTCTCGCGCACAGCCCAGACCTCGGCTGGCCCACCCGCGGCCCTCAGCTCTGCGACGCTAAACGGTCGTACCCGCACCGATACCGTCACATTCTCGGCCGCACGTGTGGACTGATGGTTTCCAGGCTCGGCGGTACTTCCAGCATTGACAACGGATTGGGTGAAGTTGCCATCACGGGTGTTGTTGAAACTCAAGGGCGGGAGGACGGGTTTAGGGGTTGGGCTGGAGGCCGAGGTCTTGCGGGGGGCGGTCGAGGGTTTGAGGGCAGGGGGGTTGTGCTGTGCTGCGCTGGCGGTAGTAGAGGAGTATTTGCTGTGGTGTTGTTGTTGACGGCTTGGGGCGCGCGTGGATGGGACGGAGGAAAAGATGGACGTGCGGGGGTTATTGGTGTGGTGGTGGGGACCGGGGGACGAGGAGGAAGGGGAGGAGGTGGTTGAGGAGTGATGCGAGATGGATGAGTGTGAAGAATGGGGAAAGCCTAACCGGTCGGCTACGGACTTGAACATCGCTGGTGAAGAGTGAGCGAACAAAGGCAAGTGGAGAGAGAGAGAGGGAAATGGAATGCGTGTTTGGAATGAGGGGATGAAGAGTAGGAAGAAAAGATGAGGAAGAGGCAGCAGAGGGGAAAGGCAGTAGGGTGAAGGAGGCGGGCCAAGAAGGAAAGGGACGGTGTGTGTGGGGTAAGACTACGAAATCGGGCTGACACACGCGGTATTCCACAGCCAAGAATCGTCTCGCATGCGCTTTCGCCCCCCATGCGGCTCACGCCCACATACCACACCGCGTCGGATAAGCACAGGCCTTTTTGCTGTCGACAAACGCGCTTAACCTACTGGACTGGCCTTTCGAATTAAGACTCCCTCCCCAATCGCCGATCGCATCCAAACATTTTTGGGTGAGCGTTTACGATCGACAGCTCCGATGAAGGCTCCTTGCAATGACCATCCACACTAACTTTTTTAGTGAAGCAGTGACTATATGGGACCGATGTCTGTGGAAATCGATCTAGCTCTTTATTAGACAGTTTGCGAAACAAATCATCCAGTACAATCAAAGTTTATCAAGTAGGGACTCGCACTTTTGGTCATTGCGAAAGTCTTACCACAAGTTCACCGCAATTTCGCAAGTTCACATTGCACCAATGGGAGCGCATTTTTTTCACATTTAAAAAAAAACACAAGCAGACGCGAACTATGCTTACACGCTTTAATTAAAGAAAGGTGGTGTGCTTGCTTTTAAACTCCATTGTTCTTCCCTCCGTCCTTACTCATTAAAGCCCACAGAGATGGAGCGCGATACAGACAGTGACGCCAGCAGCATCTACAGCAATGACACCGATATCGACGAACTCCACGCTGCATACGAGCTTAATGCCGTGGACGAAGTTCTACATGATGACGATGAATTCGATCATGTTCTATGGGATCAAGAGTTCGACGGTTTTGAGCGCAACCTTTTGGATGCTGAGCTCGAAGGCCAGATCCAGTATGAAGCTGACCTGGCCGCGAACAGAGAGGAGGGGGTGGTTATTCCTGATCGCGCTGAGTATTTCTTTGGTGTGGATGAGATTGGGGCCGAGTTGGAAGACATGCGGCTCGAGGCTGCCAACGAGATCGAGAACGAGGATCATGAACCCGAGCAGGAGCAGGGAGACTTCGAGGATGACAGGAGAGTTCAAGCTATTGTGGCAGGTATTGAGCTAGTGAGAGGGGCTGTTGAAAGGATGGATGATGAGGTTGTGCCAGATCCTGATGCTCAACAGCAGCTGCAGCGCTTCATTCCAGTATTACAACTTATTGCACAGGCGATCCAGGTGATGCATGGAAACTTTGTGCAAATACGGCCCAGGATTGAGCGACCTCGCATACCCAACATTCGTTTCGATCTCGAACAAGTCCCTAGACCAAACTGTCAGCTCTATTTCCGCTTTTACCAGGAGGACATTCTGGAGATGGTTGTTGCATTGCGAACGCCAGAGATCTTCGTCCTTGACAATGGCTCCAAAGTTCACTCTGTCGAGGCGCTTTGTATCGTGTTGCGTCGACTTGCATATCCATGCCGCCTCTTTGATCTCATGGATATCTTTGGACGATCACAATCTATGCTATCACGCATTTTCAACCACACCCTTCGGTTCCTCTATCGGCGATGGAGGCAAAGACTCTTTTGGGATCCCTTCCGTCTCGGCCCCGACAAGTTGGAAGAGCTTCATTATGCTATCCGAAGGCAGAATGCACCATGCCTTTCAAGCTTTGCATTTATTGATGGTACTGTTCGTGCAGTTTGTCGTCCAATCGATGGGCAAGAGCAAATCTACAATGGCCACAAGCGCGTTCACGCCATGAAGTATCAGTCAGTTGCCACACCCGATGGTATCATTGTTCACCTGTCTGGGCCGTTTGCAGGGAACCGCCATGATTCGCGTCTTTTCGAGATGTCTGCCCTTGCTCCGATTCTTCGAGCATGTGCAAAAGGGTATGACAACCGCCAGATGAGTCTGTATGGAGATCCTGCTTATATACTGAGCGACATCATGCAGCGGCCGTTCCACACAGCAGGCATCTCTCCTGAGGAGCAGCGTTTCAATGAGTGTATGTCTAAGGTCAGAATTGGTGTTGAGTGGTGCTTTGGTTACGTTCTGCAATACTTCCCCTTCTCTGATTTCAAAAAAAATCAGAAGACACTTCTTATGGAGGTGCACACCCACTATATTTGCTCTGTCCTTTTTGCAAACATTCGCTCCTGCATCCGACAAACAAACTCATCCTCTTCCAAGTTTCGAGTCAACCCCCCCACTCTTGATGAGTATCTTCATGATTAAACAAGGCAATCAAAACGTTTATATTAAGGGATATAGTAGTGCTGTGTATTAAAAAAAAAAAAAAAAAAAAAAAAAGAGGATTGAATTTAAATCTTTTTTCGAATATCCGAAACGAGTCCGTTGATGTTTTCCATGAGTTCCAACATTCTTTTCTCAACAGTACTTGCTCGTGGAGCCTGTGATCGCGGAGCGCGTCTGTTGATAGGGTTGAAGCGAACAGATTCAGCTGTTGCCAGGCGGTTTGGATTCGAAGATGTTGCTGTGGTGGTAGATGATGAACTTGAGGAAGAAAAAGATGATGAAGTCGAAGAAGAGGGATCCATGGATGATGAGGATGCTGCCGTGGCCGATGAAGTCGTGGGCATGCTCATCTGTCGTAATGACTCCTGCCTGTTGGTATGACCATAAAACTCCTCCAAGTTTTGAGCCGAAAAATCATCCACTGTGCTTTGACTTTGTTGCTGTCTATGCCCGTCGAAGTCGTCTTCCTTCTGTACCAGTTCCAGCAAAAGCTCATCCTGCCTTGTCATAGTCTCTGTGCCGCCACTTGACCTCCGTGATGCTGCCTCTTGTTGCTTGAATTCTTTTTTAAGCGCATCATATCGCCTCATGCAAAGAAGGTAGTTAGCCTTCTTTAGGTCGCGCCCTCCTTGTGTCCTGACATATGCTGCGACCTTCTCCCAGGCCTCCTTCTTCTGACCATGTCCAACGAAAGGTGGGTGTCCCATCATGCCCTCGAGTAGAGTGATAGTGTTGGCGTGGTAGTTGTTGCTCCTTGGTGCGAAACCTTGACATACATCGCGCTTCTTTCTAACCGACTGTTCCTGACTATGCTCCATCATGGTATCCATCGAGGTGGATCCATTGCGGTTTTGGAGAGTGGACTCTCCCTCTTGCTCAGGTTCCTGGGATTGCAGTTGTGCGGGTGGTTGTTGGTGCGAGACTTGGTCAAGTGGAGGGCGAGGTAGCTGAGGCCCTTGTTGCGTGGAGAAGCGAGGAGGATGAGGTGCGAGAGGACGTTGTTGCTGCAGAGGCGCATACGGCTGATGCTGCTGTTGTTGCTGAGGGGCACTCTGTTGCGGCACATACTGCGGTTGCTGCTGCTGTGATGTAAAGGTGGACTGTGTGAAGCTCATTGACGAAGAGAAGTAATGGAGTGACAAACTCATGTTGACTTTTCTTTTCATATATCTAGACAAAGCCGCCTGGTAGCAAGCCAATCAAAACGCCGAATGAACTTTGCTTCTGACCCTCGAGTTCAGAGCTCGAACTCGAGCTTCAGAGGCATAGTTGAGTTTGAAAAAATTCACTAGCGTGAACTTTATTGAACTTCGAGCGAACTCGAGGGTCGAGTTCAGTTTCGCAAACTGTCTATTATGGCCAAGTTGCGTCTTACATACTAGAGAAATGTTTAACAATATATCTAGCATAGGAGGCTGGGACCAACAGGTGGTAGTCTCAGGGGCATAATGCTTTTTTTATTAAAGAACTGGCATCGAGTGGTAGTAGAGTAACACTTTAAACGAATACGATACACTCCCATGGCCCTTTCGTTTCTTGCACTCTGTTGAAACTTATTCCATTCGCTGCTTTCTGGACCAGCTATCAACTTCTGCATCCTCATAAATTGCAGAAGAGCATCCACGCAAAGCCCCTGGTAGGGATCATAATAGTAGAGTGTGGCCCTGGATACATAAAATTCTCTCTTTTTTTTTGAAGGAAACCTGCAGGTGAGACAAAAAATAAAACAGTAAGCTGCCCGCTCCAACTATGTCGCAGCGGATCCATATTTCATAATCAATGACCGCATAGCCCCCTGCTCCCTACGTGGCCTGTTGTGCGCAAAAGTCATCCTTAAGTTACGGTCCTCTGACGCTTTAAGAAATTGAACATCGGGCAGCATCCGTAAATTTTTTTTTTCATAACTAGGATCCACGGGGACGTGTGGGCTTTATTAGCGTGATACTATCCTCTAGGGACCCCTATTGCTAGAGACGTAAAGAAAAGTGGTATCTAATAAACAGCTTTTGCTTCGTCAGCATGAGTGGTGGCTCGAGGAGCCCTGCTCCCTACTTGGCCTGTTGTGCACGAAGGTCATCCTCTAGCCAGTATCCACTGTCATCAAAAACTTGCATCCGCCTAGTCGCTCCATCAGAGTCAGCTCCAGCTGCTGGCAAAGGCCCTGTACTAGGCGCCTGTCCGCCTCTGCCCTGATCTCATCCATGTCTCTTGCTGGCCTCTGACTATGGGCTGATCCCATGAAATTACTTCTGCTACGGTTGTGCCCTCCGCCACAAGTGCGTCCTCTGGCGCGTTTGCTCACAGAAGTGATTCCACGCTCTCGTTCCCAGTCCACGGTGACTTTGCAACGTCTGTTCCAGATCCCAGTCCTTCCTAGCTCCTCGATGGCCCTGACAAAGCGCGCGACCATGTACCTTGCGACTGACTTTGACATCGGGCAGCATCCGTAAAAAACCGCCCTAAAAAACCCTAAAAAACCCTAAAAAAACCACCAGCGCAGACGATCACGTGACGTAAATTTATGGGAATTTATATTGTATTTGAAAATGCATAACCGATAACATCGGAAATCCGTCCGATTGGTCCAGTTCTGGTGGCCTAGAGGTAAGGCGTTGGTCTCCGAAGCCAAAGATCGCGGGTTCGACCCCCGCCCTGAACGTTATCGCGAATATTTTTTGCTTGTTTTTTTTTTACTAATTTCGACGCGTTTCCGGAGCGAAGAGGAGATCAGTTACTTTTGTACGAAGGAATGCAATTGCGACTCAAGTATTAGTTTAGGAACAATCTATTTGACAACCCCTGCACAAATCCCATGTAAAACAAGGCTCGTATCTTTTACGAATTTCAAGTCGAAACAACGCGGCGAGAGGTTGAGAACCATTCCTTCCTCCACCTGGCACCCCACGCAACCTTTTGCGACCTTGGGAGAAGCCTTCTTCATGACGGAAAACAGGGGTTTATCGATGACGGACTCAGCGATGACGAAATGGGAAACCAGTTACATTGTGGAGACAGATGACGATCTAACTTAAAGAACCGGGGCCAGGTACCATAAGGACTACTGGCATAATCGACATTTAAAAAATGTTGGCCTTACATGGAGTTAGTACAGGGGTTGCCAAATAGCAGTGGCAACCCGGGTTGTCAAATAGATTGTCCCATTAGTTTATTAGCGTAAGAAAATCTTTAATAAAGCCGTATTTTTTTTTTTTCTCGTCTCATTAGATGCGTCGACGACCGCTCTTCTGAGGCACAGGTGGTGGGGAGAGTGTGCGTGTCGTTGGCGACTGATTCTGTGACCAAGAAAACTGCTGTTGCTGCTGCTGCTCATGACCACTGCGCTGATCTGGGTATATCGATGGCGACGCTTGCGACAGATCATCCGAGTTATAGAACCCTCGTGAGCTTGGGGATACTGCCTGCGATGTCGCAGAGGTTGGCGCATACACGGAACTCCGGCTTTGACCATGGCTTCCCTGATCATGTGTCTCGATGGTCAATGGTGGTCGTCCATGATAAGTAATTGAGGTTACGACAGCTGTGGTCGACGGCCATGAAGGCCAAGGTTCCGATCCTTCGCTTACTAGTTTGGCGCGTTGTTGGTGTGGAGACCCTCCATGCACGGGATTGCGGTAGTAAATATTCTCGCGGTTATCCTCAGTCCTGGTCGATGCCTTCCGTGTCGGCCCTCCATATCCCACCTTGGTGTCTGTAAATGATACATGAGAAGTAGGGGACAAAGGTGTAGCCGCAGCGGTTTGGGATCCAGATCTCGTTAGATTGTTTCGGTAGTGGCCAGCAGGGGCAGCTGCAGCCTCAGGAAGCGATGTCAGGATATCGTGGCTGTTGTAATCAGTCTGATCCATCTCCAAGTCCTGCGAATAAAAGCCATCGTCCTGCTTCATATCCGTCTGCTGCACTTTCTTCGACTGTCCTTGTTGCTCTTGTTGCTGCTTTTGCTGGTGCTGGTGACGATCCTTGGTCTCCTTGGTAATATCGCCCATGAGGAACACCGTGGTATCGCGACCTCCAGACAATCTGAGCTTCAGATCCTGCCACAGCTCTAACTTGGTTCCAAAAATGGCCAGCACGGTAATCCCAAAAGTCGCAGGCATAATATCCGATAGCGCCGCCCATGAGAACGATGGTACATAAGGCCTCGCAATGGATGCACAGGCCGCCTGAGCCGCATCGCCTGCCATCTTGAGCTGCTCCACGGTAGGTACCGTAGTCAGGGACAACGTTCCGATTTTGATTGAAATTGCAGCTTGCTGGGCAAGACATTGTGTCCATTCGACAAACCAGGATGTGGTGGGACTGACAGTTTCGAGCTTTTTGGCTTCCACAAAATAGAATAGCCAGTAGATCATGTCAGTGATAAGGAGAAACAGTGCGAACAGACCGGGACGCCACTGCTGTTTGAGGAGCAGGGAAATGTCGCGTGCTGTTTGCAGGCGACGTTGTCTCTTGGACAGGACCTTGCTACTGTTGCTGAGGGATTCGCTTGGATTGCAAGAAGTCGAGTCGCCGATAGAGCCAGAATTGGCCTTGATGTTCGTCTAATGATCGTTATCCGTCACCACCATTACCAAAGAATAAAATAAAATAAATAAGGATAATTTGCCATGCTCGCTCCTCTACCGCGCAGAAGGGTGACTAACACCATACCCTGATCATATACGCGATGGTTCCTAGATGTATTAAAGTTGCGATGCAGAGAATGACCGAAAGCGGATAGAAAAAGTAAGGACTGGCGACCTCGGCGCTCACGAAGCAGATAGAACCAAACCCAGGATTTTCAATCTGTCGACGAATTGAGACCGGGAGGACGAGCGAGAGCGGCAGGAGGAACGAAAAGACAATCAATTGCGACATGTATGAGTGAATAAGCGTGGATCGGTAGACCGTTAGGAAGTGAAGGTTCGTAATCAGTAGACTAGCGAGACACAGCATCACCAGCACGAGATACATAAGCCCGATGCCTGCGAGAATCAGAAGAGAGAGACGCGTCAGTAACAGACCTGTTGGATAGTTTGGAGTCTCTTGAAGCTTGCGAGATTAACTTTCCATGTCCATGTCCATGTGCTATACCTTGTAATCCGCAAAGCCAAGAATTGGACATGGTCGCAATCTCAAATACGCTTTTACACAACAGTTTCTCCTTCTTATATAACCAGATTGTGCCAAGTCCCTCCCAGGGAACCACCAGCGCCGTAAAACAGAGCACGATCAAATGAGGATGTTTGCGTCGACTCGGGAGGATCAAGTAACATGCCAACAAGAACGCCCCAGCCGTCGCAGAGATTGCGCGAAAGATACTTGTAAGTGTGTAGATGTTTTCCAGTTTGTTGGGTTCGTAAAAAATGGACGAGGCTGGGCAGGGTAGACAGCAAGATCCAATGCACGACCCCGAGGTGAGATTGAGGGTATTGAAGACCATTGGCGGAGGACATGCAAGAGCATTTGCCCCTGTCGTCGAGGTTGGCTGTGGTGTTGCAGGTGTTGGAAGAATGAAGTCTGGAGTGGGACTTGAGACGAGAGTGGTGCTTGCAGATGTGGTCGGTTTGACTGCTGATGCGGTCGTAGAAGTAATTCCATGATTAGCTGTAGTCGTGGCCGGTGCAGCAGCTGAGGGTCCGGCAGTAGAGAGCGCTATCAGTAGCATGAGAAGCACGGTCCCTGTCTTTAACTGTAGCCCTATCCGCGTCGACTGTGATCTCTGTTGCTTTTTGGTACTCATAACTGGTGTAGTTGTATCGGCGACAGTGAGGGTTGGGGGCGAAGAACGACGCGAATATGTAGTGGAGAGTATTTCACAAGCGGTATATGGGTACGAGGAGGCAGGACACGTCGAGTGTGGAGAAATGAAGGTTGCGGGATATGTGGAGAAGGAGCAGGGAGGATATTCTGTGCAGAAGACACAAAAGTGTGCTAGGGCTAGGGCCAAACTGGGACCGACAAAGAACCAAAGAAGAAAAAAAAGAGAGAAGAAGAGAGGAAAGGGAGAATAAGATGAAAAAGACCAGAGAAGACTGACCTTTCATTACAGCGAAGCAACGATAAAATACAGATAACACACGCGAATGAGTGAAGTTACACTGAGCGCATGCGGAGCAAACTGCTTCAACCTCCAGTCAAGGTTATACTCTATATTTGTGTATGTGTGTCCTGTCGGAGCACAGGACCACTCAACTGCTGAGGTTGTAAAGGTGGTGGCAAGGGGCACTGTCGAAGCAACGGTTTCGATTACGGTTTCGATTATAGTTCGCAGCGGACGAGGCATCCTCTCGGCGATCGGACCGCGAAACTCAAAGACCGACATGCACATCCCACATCAAAAAAAAAAAAAAAAAAAAAAAAAAACATAAACAACCTATGTGTCTAGTGCATTGCGATACCTCTCTGGTAGCAAACCATCTATCCATTTGTCAAATTACGCCTGGACGACGGGATGCAGAGCAGAGGAAGGGCTGAGATTCCACTACAGCCTAGTGCATCAACTGTGCTGTACGCCATCTTTTCATAAAAATAATGGCGCGTGTGCACTTATGCAGCCTTCTATTACACGACATTATTATATGGTTAATGTTTTATTTGCATGTGTATGTGCGCGTAATCTTCATGGAGGCCTCTGTGCCACATACGCAAATGAACTTTCCGTTCCTCACTGGCACATGAAGGGATGACTGCTAGCAATTTTTCTTCTGCTGCATCGTATGAGGTAGTCATAGTCATTTGTTCTTTTCATTAAAGCATGTACGCAAACAACATTGACAGGTACTGTCTATCGGCCTTCACTTAGCCTGCCGCCCATTTCTCTTAATTTGATATGTGTTGATTTGGGTTTGTAGAACATGGTCATGGTGCCTTGAAGGCACACTGATCTGCCAACAATCTTTTACCGCCGTTTGGAAGAAAATGAGAACGGTCAATGTTTTAGGTGGATCCTCTGTCCTCTTTGGTTCTCATATCCGCCCATTCTCTGTCTTTCTAATGAACAGAAAGAAAGAAGGGCGCGATTGGTGCATTGGGGCAGCGACTTTTATCCGGAGGACCGCCTTGCTTCTCCTATAAGCATGACCTTTATCTTTCTGGTCCGCTGAGCATTGCGTTCAGGCATGCAACGGTAATCTTGGTGTAAATAAGAGCAATTGTAATAAACCGGAGATGGCTGCTTCAGTCAAATCGCGCAGTGTCTGCATCCAAAGACGGAGGCTCTCTTTGCTGGCAGAACCACTAATTGAGTTCTTCTCGGATGCATTTTCTTTCACATGGGATCTACGACACAGCAAGGCGAAGAGAAAAGTCGGATGGTTCTGCAAAGACTCGCTATTACAAAAGAAGCAACTTACAAGTCGCTTTCTAACCTTCTCATCCGGTTCACAGAGCCAATTTGTTCTCTTTCCATTTCCTGGAAGATAATCATCCAACTCGGACTGCACACGTTTATAAGAATTGCCTAACTACATGTACTGACGAGAAGGAGATGTAGGCGAAGTTGGCGATGACACACCCTGATTCTGATGTCCATACTGCTGGTACTGAAACTGCTGTCTTGCAGGACTCTTCAGCGGTATCGTTGGTGGTGAATTCTTGGCGTGAAGATCCAGTGCGCTCGGTGGATTCGATTTCTTGGATCTGCTACTAATTCTGCTGCTGCCACTATTGTTGCGATCCACCACTGGACCGGCCAGGGTTGATGAACTCTGCTTCTGTGGCTGTCGTGTTTTGATCGGTGCCCTTCCTACACTTTCCCGAGACGCCACCATAATTTTGTCGCTACTATCGTTCAGATCGTAGAGCGTTGCCTTTAGTGTTGATGAAGATGGAGACGGAGCCGTTGCTGAGGATTGCGCATAGGTGGTCGCTGGTGATCCCCAGACGCCGCTCACGATCGGGACCGAGTCCGGTTGAGTGGGCCTTGGTAATGAAGTGGACGAAGTTTTGCCAGGGGCCTTCTGGGGCATCGGTGAAAGAGATTTTTGGGGAAAAGTCGACGAATGTGATGAACTGGACAAGAAAATTGGTGGATGCGACTGCTGCTGTTCCCTTGATTGCTCGTGGCTAGCCTTCGACTTCGCCCGGGGCACGGGCAGAGGGATTACCGGTCGATCCACATATTGATCACTGTTGTCGTTGGCGACCAAATAGGTCTCGGCAGGGCTTACCGCAGAATGAGCCGCCGAAGACCATGCGTTATTATTAACGCTCTCCTGCACAGGCGGTGCATACAGAATGTCGCCTGAGTGGGGATCCTGGATACTGCTGGAAGGGTACTGAGGGAGCTGAGTCGAAGATTGATGGCCACATGCAGATGTCATTGCAGTCCTGGATCCATAACTCATATTCCTCTGTAGTTCGGCGCCCTGCAGGTCATATTCCTTGTCCAGAAGGTCGTCCATATCGTACCATTGTGTTCCCTCCTGGTGTTCCCGTCTGACGATGGGATTATGTTCATTCTTAAATTCTCCCGGTAGCACATCGTTGTATCCAACGCGGGTGCCTTTCTTCAGAGGAGAACCGTTGTAGTTGTATCGAGCGGTATGCTCCGCATTATTAGGTAGGTTGCCATCAGGCGATCCGTGTCCTCGACTGCCGTGTCCCAGTTTACCACGGCGGAAAATGTTGCTCAACAAGAACGCCCAGTCGGACCAGAACTCAGCCTTAGAGATAAAGACCAACGCCACTACAGTACCAACGAGGGCTAGAACAAGTTCTGCAGCTGTGAGCCATGGGATCGACGGCAAATTGCTGGAGATCTCCTTAGAGCATAGTGTTTGCGTCTCATCCGATGTTAACCCCTTGGCACCGTTGGTCATGACGCAGATGACCCATTGCTGGATCCACGGTGTTGTTGGGCCCAGATCTGCCAAACGATGGGCATCCACAAAGTAGAATAGCTATGTGTGAGCAATAAAAAGAAGATAAGCAAGGTCGTTCCTGAAAAGCAAAAAAAAAAAAAAAAAAAGAAAAAGAAAAAGGCATAGGATGAATAACAAACGGCGAAGCAACATACCCAAAAGATTAGCATTGAAGTCATGGCAGTTCCGACCATTAAGGCAGGACGCCATTGACCGCGAAGCAGTCGCTTAGCTTGCATAGTTGTGGTGATCTTCATCCTTGCGCTGGATGAGAGTTGGGATAAGCCAGTGTCAATGTTGGACGAGAGGATTGCGAGCTATATGATCGTATCATGAAGGACGTGTTACAATGGCAGCCTATATACGGTAACGGCATGCCTTCATGGAGAAAAAAAGGCTTACATGGATCATTTTAGCAACTGTCACGGTGTGACAAAGCATCGCAGGGTAGATGTAGACGGCCAGGGGATAGAACAGGTATGTGTTCAGATTGGCGGTGCTGACCAGACAGCTGAATCCAATGCCGGGGTATTGAGACAAGTTCATGACTGCGACAGGAATAGCAAAAGCGAGCGGGAAAATCCAACAAAAGCTTGTCAGCCAGCCGTAATGTCGATCGACAAAGTCGCTGCGCCAAACCGCCAGCTAGATCCGTTTATTTCATATGATAAGACTTATTCCGTTAGTGTCCATTTTTGTTTGCGGCTATTGCGGCCATTCTTTTGTGTAAATCAATTCTGCTTACAAAACACAGAACGATGCACGCAAAACACGAAAAAGACAGTGCTCGAGATAGAACGTCAGTAGAAGAAGGGGAAGAGGGAGTGAAACAGCTGGGAGGGATTAAGTAGAACTACGACCATTGAAGTGAATGCTTACCAGATGCAACTTATAGATAAGCAAGGAACACCAGAGGGAGCTGGTCTGAGTAAAGTAGATGATCAAGACGCCCTGGACACCACATAGTTTTGAGTTGTGACCAGTGGACTGTTCAAACTCGTTGATACAGGCGTTCGACACACCCGGCATGATGTCAAAAGAGATGTACCAGAGCGACAAGGACACGGACAAAAACAAGACTGAAATGTGTGGCTGCGACCTCTTGCCTGGTAGGAGCATGTACGAAAACGCTATAAAGATTGAAAGCGCCATCGAGACCTGGCGGGTTACATAGGCCGCATTCATGACGCGTTCGACCTTGTTTGGTTCGTAAAAGCTGTTCACGGCTGGGCATTTGATACAGCAAGGACCCATGCATGTCGGGATGTTGAGGCCGAACGTGTTGTTGATCAGAGGGCCTGGGCACGTCTTTAATGTAGAGTTGCCTGCGCTGGGGGTTGGTGCTGGAGCAGGGGTAGGTACTGTAGGGGCAGAGCTGGTAACAGTGGGGAGGATAAAGTCGGTCGTGGATGTGGCAGCAATTGATGTGCTGATTGTATTTGTGGTTGAGGTGGCCTGAGCAGAGACAGTGGCAGGGGAGAGCAGTGTGAACGCCACCAGGCTAGCTTTCATTATCCGTGGTATCCTCATTGCGGATATATTCGTGTAGGAAGTGGATTAGAGCGAGGAGGGGAGATAGGGATGTTGAAGCAGGAAGGGAGATGGTCGAGGCGAAGCGAAGGGGATGAATGGGCCAATGAAGGATGTAAGAGGAATGAGTGCCTAGGAGGTTTTGTGGGGGAGGAGAACGGGTGATGATGAAATAACCTTAAAGCAGAAAGGGCGGGAGTCCTTGTAGGGTGCGCCTTGAAGAGCGAATCGCCAACTATCTTCGTATAGAGACGATAGGACGAAGGCGAGGAGGTTGTCGTGAGAGAGGAACTAAAGAAGCTACAGGGGGAGTCGCGAGTAAGAAAGGTAGAGAGATAGAGGGGGACCGAGAGAGCGGAGGGCAGGGGAGGGAAAGGAGGGGGGGGGATGGAGGGTGGAGGGGGGGGGATGGAGGGTGGAGGGGAAGGGACAAGAGGGGCCGAAGTCTGTGGGTAGATGTTTGGGTCGCCAAAGGAGGGAAGAGGAAGGAAGACAAGAAGAGAGGATCCGGGAGAAGAGGGAGAGAAATTATTGGAGGCGCAAGCAGTGCAGCCCAACGCACAAGCAAGGAAACAGGGCTGATTTCTTTTCATACTTCTCTACAACTGCATCTGTAGTTCCGTCTACTCCGACGGCGTCCTCAACTGGCACTTTACGCAAAAAAAATAAAAAAGTGTTGCACACGCTTTCTCATACTTTTGTTTTTTGTCTAGTCTGCCACTTTGAAGAGTACAGCTACCTACCAGGGACATATATTTACAGATGCAACAAACCAGCAAACCAACAAACCAACAAACCAACAATGCAGCAGTAACCAGCAACGATAACAGCAACAACAACAACAACAACAACAACAACAACAACAACAACAACAACAACAACAACAACAACAACAACAACAACAACAGCTACAGCAGGAAGCAAGTGAGCAGAAGGCATTCCTTTGCACGCACACCCTTTGAGCATAGGGTGTTAATGTGCTTTGTACGCTTTGTACTCATGTTCGGAGTGTTATTCCAATGGCGTCGACAGAGCACGGAGCTGCTCTTTCACGCCTCCCTTTCTATTTTCTTTTTTTGTTTGCTGCATTAGCCGGCATGTAGGGATAACATGACCATATTTATGTATGGCTTCATGCATCGAAAAAGTACTCACCCACAGGGCCTCGATCCAACAAAAGTCATCTCGCGTGGTATGTTTAGATTTTCTTGAATAAAACTGCCTCTACCGGATCCTCGTTTATTTTAATTGTCTGCGTGCAGGTTAGTTGAAAGTAAGGGGGCCAGCACTGGATCAAGCACCATACACCAGTCGCCTTGAATGCCCAAAGTAACCAAGGCAGTCCAATGACCCCTGGCGCATAAACACGTTATAATAGAAACCGTGCCCTGTCACTAAACTTTATTTTTACCCTTGAAGATCTCTCCTCCACATTTTTTTTTGATGATCTACCGCACTGAACATGAGGTCTGATCTCCGTAAATAATGGCTACATAAAATCATTTATGATTGGAAGTCTGAGAGCAACTGAAGAACGAGCTTACACATTTCAATTGAGATTGCATCCAGTGGAATCCCTCTAGCGACGTTGCAGGAAATTCAATTTTTACAATATTAACGACATGGTTCCACAAGGTTTCCGCTCCGTTTATTTTGGGCAATGCGGACGGGCGCCGATATCAAAGCGTGCAAATGCAGGAGAGCAGGGATCTGAACCTGTCTAGGACTCCTGAAAGGAGTGCGGTGTGCGATGCGCCCACTTCCCCCGGCAACAGCAGTGGCGTGTGGGCGTATCACACAGAGCGCTCCTCACGTGCAGGACTGTCACCTCTTCAAAAATTACGAAATGCTGCCCCGGTCAAATCCATCTTTTCTCAATTACATCACTCATGGCACCCCGGACCAAGAAGAATGCTGGGCCCTCCAAACGAAGGAAGGGTGACAATGGACAGGAAGCCAGTCAGGCTTCGTATTCAGCGTTATCCTCAGCATCAGCAGGAAAGAGTTCAAGTCGACCCTCGACGACGACTATCAGGGACACGGGACGTTCGTCACGAAGCGCCACCAATTTAAAATTGAAACAAGAAGAGCCGATCGAGGAGGATACTATGATGTCCGACGATAGCGATTTTGACACACCTGGCAACAAAAAAACCTCTGCATCCAAGAGCCGCGATAAAAGCAGTAATAGCAGAAAAGCCACCGTAGCAACTAATGTCAATGACAAAAAGCGATCTGCAGAAGTACCGTCGCCCTCAACGACGTCAAAAAAGCAGAAGCAGAGAAAAGCTCAAGAGAGTGATTCCGACGCCGATTTGAAGGAGGAGTTTTACGACGACGACGAACCCGAGCCCAGTACTCTCGGATCAGGAAGCGACGGCGGATCAGGAAGCGACGGCGGCTCAGAATTTTGCGGTAGTGAGGAGGAGGAGGATCAAGACGAATGGGAAGAGGTCTCTGTTTCGGGTATGTAGCAATGCTGTATATTTCATGGGTTGACCGAGATTGTAAATCGAGCATGCATTAGATGGGTCAGTTAATTCGGCTACTTCTTTAAAACCGATAGCCCTGATCAAGGAACATGAAGGCGAAGGGTTTGAGGAGGACGAGGAGCTCTCAGGATCATGGGAGTACAATGCAGTGGAAATTGTTTTCGACAAACCTTTAAAGGAGATCAAAAAGTAAGATCGAGTACCTACGACGTGTTGTAGTTGAGGAAAAGACACGGAAGCATCGTAGTTTTTGACTGGATATATCGTCTGATTCTCATTTGCTACAATAGGATACCAAAGAGCAAGGGCATTAGTAAGGAGGAGCGGATGATCAGAATATTGATTCACCAAACACATCTCCTGTGCCTGATTGCCAACGGACTCCGCCGTAATCGGTGGATCAGTCATCCAAAGCTGCTGTCAGTGGCCCTTTCGTTGGTTCCTGCTCATATCGCCGATTCTACAGGAACTCTGCATGATAATCCGACGCGAGAGGTTAATGCGCTGCAGGTTTTGGCACTGTGGTGGAGGGATTTGTTTGTGGTCACTGGACCAGGAATCCAGCATCGTGAATATCTCGATCCAGACGTCGTCGGTGTTGAGGCAAGTAAAGGTACATTTTCGAGCCATGAGTACTGCTTCGAAAGTCTATATTGACGTTAACTTGTTTGTTTGACACATAGGCGACGATTGTTGACACCAAAGAAGAATGTTTGAGGTTGAGAAAGAATTTGCAGAGGAGGCTGTTGAACCGGAGCGGATCGACTGATGTTTGCTCGCAGCTTTTTACGGGTATCTGTCGTGCACTTGGACTGAAAGCAAGACTGGTGGAGTCGCTCCAGGCATGCTCTTTTAAGTGCAGTCTTCCGAAGGACGTGACCGTCTCTTCATTCAAGAAGGAAGGCGAGTCCTCTGTACGCCGGGCAGAACCAAAGAAAGGGAGGAAGAAAAAGAAGGAAGAGGAGCTAGATGACAGCGACACGACGCGTGGCTCACGGGTGGTGCTACCAACTCCTCATCGACTGCAAAAGAAGACAGCAAACCTTCCATACAACCACAAACAGGCTGGTAAGTATACGAATGTCGTTGTTATGTATGGAGTCAGAGAAAGCTGATCATGGTACATGTCCATTTTTACTAAATGTGGTTTTCTTTATACTCTGTAGATCCCCCCGTGTTTTGGACAGAAGTATATTCTAGATCAAGTAAAAGGTGGATCACCATTGACCCGGTGCGAGGTTTCGTCAATAGTCCACTGAAGATGCATCCATCCAACACCTGTCCAAACAATGTTTTGGCATATGTTGTCGCGTATGACGAAGGTTAGATGCAAGACTAGATGTTATTCTTGTCGGCGAAGCTAATATTTCGTCAGCACATGATACCAACTCGCGAACATTGCATTCTCCTTCTAGACAACTATGTGACGGATGTAACGAGAAGATACACTAGTATGTGGGGTAGTACTACGAAGAAGCTACGAGTGCAGCCTGCCGGAAAGGACGGGTATGACTGGTGGGTTCGAACCATGTCTGGATTGATGAATCCAAATCCCACAGCGGAGGAGGATTTAGAAGAAGCAGACCTGATGCAGGCCGAGGTCTCGGAGAGAATGCCCACCAAGTTAAGCGATTTCAATAACCATTTACTGTAAGGTTCTGGGAATTGATGATGCTAGTGGACATGGACTGTACAGCATCGGTGTGCTTAATCTGACACCCTCTTTAACTTCAATAGATACGCTTTGGAAAGACATTTAAAAAAATACGAAGTTTTGCATCCAAAGCATCCAGTTTTGGGCCATATCCGAGGCGAGGCGGTGTACCCGCGCAGTTGTGTTAAACAGATCGGATCCAAAGAGACCTGGCTCAAGCGTGGGCGAGTGATCAAGAGCGATGATGTCGTGCCGGTGAAATGGGTCAAGTCTCACGCTTCAACTATCTATCAGATGCGCCTGAGGCAGCAAATGTCTCTTTCTGGCGAGAGCAAGAAGGGCAAGGGTCGTGCAGGACAACGGAGTTCAACCACGGAGGGTGATGACGACGACCAGGATACCAACGAAAGCCCGGCTGATAACGCACCAGAAAACGGGGGAGGAGGCGAGCGTGACGATAAGGTACCATTGTTTGGTGAGTGGCAGACAAAGGCTTATCAACCGCCATGGGTTATTGATGGGAAGGTGCCGCGGAACCAGTATGGGCGACAGGATGTTTTTACACCAAACATGGTGCCTATCGGGGGAACTCACCTCAAAGGTTAGCTCCGAGCTTTCACAGATCTACTCTTTTTTATTTTCTATTTTCTGGACTAACGTTAAAAACTGAATGTTTGTGCAATACTATTCTATTCTAGGTCGAGGTATTGCTCAGGTGGCAAGGCTACTTGGAGTCGACTATGTGGAAGCAGTGGTATGTGATATGTGCTGGACTGCCACGACGTGCAGGTGTACCTTTACTACGTCCATTCATTGATTCTTACCGTCTCCTCTTCATCCTATCAATTTCATGTGCTGTACGTCTAGACGGGATTTGAATTTCAATCTAGACGATCCGTGCCTGTTATCCAGGGTATTATTGTCCCCACCGAGAGCGCAGAGCTGGTCATGGATGCGTTTCAGGAAGTGGCACATCAGAGAGAACAGGACTCTCATAAGAAGAGGAGGACAGAGGTGCTGAGGCGGTGGCACAAACTTATCAAGGGCGTGTTGATGCGCGCCAGGCTGCTGGAAGAATATGGCGACGGTCTCGAGGTGAAGGACGACATGGATACGTGGGTACCAAAAGACGACGATGACAATGATGAGACGAAATGCAGCAAGAAGGAATCATCCATGACAGATAACGCGTTGCAGCGAGGCGCGATATCGACGAGCAAGCCAGTTCGTGTCGATCCTGAAAATCAGGGTCATGATCCATCTCAGGATGTTGAGCAGCCGGATTCTGGAGCCGGATTCATGATTGACTGACTAAACTAGACAATGCAAAATGAAAGATTGCGAGTTAAATATACCGAATGTTCTATTTCGGCACGGGCCAGTGCAGAGATGTGTCGCTTTGTTGAGCGGTAGAAGCCTTCCTGGAGGTTTACTGGTATCCGTGACCATTTGCCATGAATAGATAATCCACTGCATCAAGTGTACCAAAGACTTTATTTGAAAGAATGTATGGTATGGAACAAATATCATGCGGAGGATTTTTTGTTGTCGGAAACAATAATCTGGGTCAGGGTCAATTGCTCACTCTCGTTCGTGTTTAAATATAAACGTGGATAGTAAGGAAAAAGAAGAGGGGGCGTATTTGAGGAAGGACAGGAAATTCCACCAATCTTCTTATTTCATTTACCGAGAAACCACTGCTTCTCGAGACTCGCTAGCTCCTTCGGTTGGGGTACAAGAGAGTGGCTATGGCGCAGGTAGACAGGCAGGATCAAGCGGGAACATGTACTTTGTATGCCTCGACACAAAAGAATGGAAACAGAGGAAACGGTGGAAGCAATGGAAACAGTGGAAGCGAGGGGAAAGGAGGACGAGGACCAAGGGGGTAGGCAGCAGCAGCAACGGCAGCATGACGCACCACATGTGGGAATAACACCGAACAACAACAACAAAAAGCCAATCCCCGGGATAGGTTTTGTGCTAGTGCCCGCAGCTCATCATCATCGTTAGATCTGAGGATTCACACAGGCACACCACACTCACCTCGCTAGGCTGTCTGTGTACGAAACCACTTTACTTCCCTTCCTTCCTTCCTTTTCTCCCTTTCTCCCCTTCCTTCCTTCCTTCCTTCTTCTTTTCTCTTTCCACTCCTCTGCCCCCTTTCTCTTTTATCTCTTTGTTGCCACCAATTCCTTTTCCTCGCTTGGCTTCTCTCTTTTATCGGTCTCCCTTTTTTCATGCCCTTGCTGATCACCCACACCCACACGGATAACTCATACATGCACTCGTACACTCATACACGTACACAAATAGACGTTTAGTTCTCTCACCTTGATTTACATTCCCTATCCGAATGTCCTCTCTTCACGTCCATCTCAGACTACATTCGGATAATCGCACCCCCTCACCATCATCTGCACCATACCTCACAGTACACTATCAGCACATACCATAGCATACCTGTACCATATCAGCAAATCTCACACGCACCTCCCTCCCTCATTCTCCTTAGTTTAATTATTTGCATATTTGCACTTTTTACGCTTCCCATGCTTCACCGTAGGGACCAACCTTCCTACCTTGGCTGCTTTATCGAACACCCCTACAATCCAGATCTCACGGGCGAGCCTCCACTGATCATCACCCGTGCAGAGGCATGCTTCTCTCACTGCAGCATTGGCACCTGGTCCTATGCAGCCATCCGCAATCGGACCATCTGCACCTGTGGTGACGCCTAGTAAGCACTTTCTTTACTAACCCGAACCCCGCTTGCCGCTATCTATTTTCTTCTGTCACAAACCAACACAGATATACATCTTAGCGCGTTTCTTACCAGCTACCAGCTGGCACGCATAATAATTCTTTGGAACAATGCTTCATCCTTTATCCGAACATAACATTTTTACATCTTTTCAAGCCTCTTTGTTGTCAAGCGGCTAATCGATCCAACCTTTGTTCTTCTCTCCTAGTAATAACTACGGTGCCGCGCCCGCCTCTGCATGCTCAACGCCCTGCTCCGAGAAACAAAGCACCTTTGACGACTGTGGTGGACCAGAGGCGAACAGCATTTATGGTGTGCAACTCACCATCCCTAAGGTCCCCTTCCCCACGCCCTCAATCAACTCCGGTATATACCCGACACCACCAACCCATCCTGATGGGAATCGCTCTCCAAATGATTACGAAGGCGTTGATGATCAGGGTTCTAAGAGTTCGCGGGCAGCACTAATTTCAAGCGCAGTGATAGCAGTAGCCGTACTAGCGCTCGGGCTTATGTCGCTGATGGTGTACCGCAAACGGAAGAACAGGACTTCACTGTCATTGCTGGGACATAACGGAAAGGACGACAGATGTATGGATGACAAGGCGCGAGCGACGACGGGACATAGTTGGTTTATGATGGGAGGTAGTAACAGGAGGAACGATTGTGACGACGAAGCTGACCAACCGTACGGCAGCAGCTATCGAGCAGGACAGTATCATTCGAAGAGAGCCCCTGGTGCTCCAGGAGATATGGAGGCACAGCTGTTCGAAGGGTTTGAGTCGTCGGTTATTATGGAGGATCATCAAGGGGGTACCAAAGACGGAAGTAGCAATCGGCACCAGGACGGACGACAATCTATCGAGACTACTAGCAGTGCAGGAAGTAGGATATTTTCGCATACCACACATCATTCAGTGCCTCAGCAATCGTCATCTGAATCTGCACCGGTCTCTGCAATGACAGCACCGGACGACTCTCAGAAGCCATTATCGACATTCACCTCGAAGATAGGGTCAAAATTGGGCCATTTGCGAGTGAAGACGCTTCATCTTCAGCCGCCCCATCCCACATCCACATCTTCAGCCACATCCCAGGGAGGCCTGCCTGTTATGCCGATCTCGCCAGTTTCGCCCATCTCGCCTATCTCCCCTGCGTCTGCATCCTCGACAACATCCACAATGTCAATGGGCGGATCTAGTTCTTCGCAGGCCCCAGGAGCAGGGCTCGATCAGTATGACACAATGTTGCGCATCATGGACAATAGTGGCAACAAGACTAGTAGAGATCCTGCAAGCGCCACGCCCTCCTTCTCACTCGCTTCGGCACCCATCCCTGGTCCAGCCTCGAATCGTCAGGGTTGCTCGTCCACAACACCATCAAATGTGGTTTCAGCAATGCCCTCACTTGAGCGGTTTCAGTCCGCGACATCCTCGTTGCCACCACGATTTTCTCAGGACTACCAGGACAGGGATCTGTATGAACCACTCCCATCGCCCATTTCCCCATCGGTTCAGTACGGATCTTTACCACCGTTGCCGCACGTAACATCTTCAATACCCTCGTCACCGCCTAGTCCATCGCCTATCTCGCCAAAAAAGACATATCAGAACCCGAGGCACCAGAAGCAGCACCGATCGGATTTAATCAAGGATTTGATCCTACAGGGGGACTCTGTCCTTGAAGATAAGGAGATGGCTCTCATGGCACAGTACCAACCACATCATTGTCGCCAGCAACAGCAACAACAACAACAACAGCAGCACCATGCAGCTGTCGCCTCAGCTGCGGTGAATAGTACTGGGATGCATTCTAGCAATCGACTACAGCATCGACGCAGCAGCAGTACAGCAACCATCAAGTCCACACCACAGGCTGGACATGCCACAGACCCTTCAAAATTGTCAGGCAAGCTTCCGCCACCAATACCACAGCCATCGTCAATGTCTACTTCTGGACCTGCATTAGGATCCGGATCAGCTGCAGGGACGAGTGATTCGGCATTTACAGCGACGACGATACCCAAGAAGATACCTGCTATTGATACCAAATATCTAGCGCCACCACCCCGCATCCTGATCCATAAAGCCATGTAATATAATCAGCTTCCCCCCTCTTTTTTTTTTTTTTTTTTTTTTTTTTTTATTGTTCATGTTGATGAACAGGAGAATTGGTTGACATTAAACTAAGTAGCCCCACTGTTTCTCACGTTTGCGGATGAAATTGGCGAGATGTAAGACGCCCGCAAAGGTCTCTTGACCTGATGGCAGGATCTCTTCCTCGGGCAGCAGGAATCCGTGGCGACCTGTGTCACGGAGCTCGACAGCATAAGAGTACTTGACATCACCCTCGGCATACGTCCTATACAGCCAAAAGACACCGTTAGTTCTACCACACCTCTTCGTTTTAAAAGTAAGAAACTGTCAAAACGAAAGAGCTTCTTACCAGTCCAAGGATCCACCACTGGCCTGATAGATGATATTACAGACGCTTCCGACTGCGAATTTGGTACCGTAAACATCTCTGAGGGCCTTGGCAGCACCCAAGCCGGCCTCCATGATGTCTTCATCGTCCCTGGGAGTCTTTGAGCAGTCGGCTCCGAAGGGCATCATCCAGAGCTGAGAGTACGAGTGGAAATCGATGTAGGCGACAACATTTTCCTGCTTAGTGATGTAATCGGCCATCATCTTGGGTTCCTTGGCTGCAAAAGGTGCGGGTCCATGGTATGCCTCGCTGCAGGGGTTGCCGGAGCTGCCGCCCGTGTTCCACATGTAGCCCCAGTTACGGTTAGGGTCCTGGAATAAAAAAACAATAGCAAACAAAGAAATCGTCAAATTCTGCGATCAATAGAGTATGATAATTTTGATAATTCACACTTTTGTTCGATGCTTACGATGCCTGGGCAGAAGGGGATTGAGGTGGGCTGACGGTTCTTGCGCCACATACGGTTGTGCTCCCAGGTGTAGGCATATCCATCAGCATTGAGAACGGGGATGATGACAAATTCGAATTGATCTAAAAGAAGAGTAATCTTCTTGTTGGTTTTGTATCCGAGAATCAGTTCCTTGGCAATGTACGAGACAGTGGCGGGTCCAATCCATTCTATTGTAGAGGTATCCGTGTTTGTTGGCAGTTGTTGTTGGCGTAATAATTCGTTTTGGCACCATCGTTACCAAATAGAGTGAAGAAACAAAAAAAAAAAAAATCGTTAGAGATTCATTAGACACATCTAGAGATTGGATTATGCATGCATAAAATCGACAAATGCTTTACCTCTAGCATGCTGCCCGCCATGAAAGACAATGGCCTTGGGATGCTTCTTGGGCTTCGATGGCTTCTTCTTGAGCGACGGATGACTTTTGGACTTTTTAGAAAATCCAAACAACCGAGACCACCACGAAAGAAACTCGTCGCGCACCTCCTTCACTAAATCCTCCACCAAGTCCTCCAAGTCCTTATCATCATCATCATCATCATCACCATCATCGTCATCGTTTTCCTCATTCTCTTCACCATCTTGAGCCTTTGACTTGCCCTTGTATCCATGAATGGTCATTCCAAAGACCTCGCGTCCCTCATAGGTATGTCCAATCGACGTACGTTTGACCAGGTCTGGGAACTGATTGACCATGGCCTCCGTAAAGTTGTTGAGGGTGGCCAGGTCATGGTATTTGAGCCAGAACGAGTCGTCCGTAAAGTTCCATTGACCCTGCATCTGCAAGGCATTGAAAGCCGGGGCCTGTTCCGGAACCAGGTCCTGCAGGTTTGAGATCATCACTGTCGAGGGGAATGGAATCGCGGCCTTGAAAGCCTCAAGTTCTGAAGGGGGCACTCGCACATCGACCGTGCCAATTCTCAGATTCGACCACAAATCCAGGTTCTTGTCCTGAGAGGATGGATTACAACCGCACAAAGGAAGTGACAGGCGTGAGAAAAGGGATGATGGTTAATTAGACTCTTGCCCACAACGGCCGTTTCACACGCGAGCAGATGAGACGAGAAGGCACAATTTGGAGTAATAACAACAGGAGCAGCGGGGGGTGGGGGTTCGATACCTCGACGGCGGCCTGGAGCTGTTTCAGCTCCTCCATTGAGGACACTTGGACACGGAGGACCTGCTCTTTATCGAAGCGAGCATAGCCAGTATCGCTATGATCGATATAGTCGCCATGGTTGTTGCTGTGACGAGCAGGTGTGAAGGGGTGCTGCTGCTGAGCTTGCGGTTGCGGGTATGCGACACACAGCGCCGACAGGGTGAGTGCCAGTGAGATTTTCAACAGATGCATAGTGTATGTCTATGTCGTTGAGAGAAGAAAAAAGAAGGTGGGTCGGGATGATGAATGGGTGAGATGCAAAGGTAGGGATTGCGGCCAGGGCGCATGAGCAGGGCCTGGGCCCTCTGTAATTGCACATCCGTATAGCGTAAACTTTAATTTAAAGATTGAATTGAACGTCTCTGAACGGGCTATTCTAAAGATGGAAAATACAGTCACATACTCAGTCACACGCCGCACCGCAACCGTACTTCACGCTTACATAATGCGTCTCCATGGACACGTCTCTCACGTTGCATTCTACATATCTCAACACCATGACTACAAATCCGCGCCAAAAAAGACATTACGAGTCGCTCTCGACCCAGGCAACGACGACAAGCAAAAAACAAAAAACAAATCTTGTATTCCTTTCTGCCAAGGATGACAAAAAATACACCAAGCGTGAACTTGAGGCTATCGAGCGCGGCCGTCGACGGAGCTACAACGACCTTTTGGATTGTGCCAGGCGCAAAGATATGTCTGTACTCATGATGTTTCCTGACGCCGATGGGTTCGAGATCCCAACGGCCAGGGTCTCTTACACCCTGGAGCAGCAAGTCGAATTGCTGGACATATATCATTATCTCTATGATCGGAAGGAAGACCTCAGGATCAAGCTTTCCCACAGCTCTTTTGGGCCCAAGATAGGAGTCTATCTTCCGAAACATAGCCTTGAAGGCATGCTCAAGCGAGAAGACAAAATACGTGCTGCAGCCAAGACGTACCCCACGGGCGCTCATTACATCGTCGACCGCAAGAATCGCAAGAGCGCAATGATTGAGGACGTCCTCTACCGGTGGTTGCAAGACCAGCGGAAGCAGAACGTCCCTGTCAGCGACAAGATGGTCAAGAAAGCATGTACTATCCTAGTCGATCTTCAGGATAATTCGGGCGATACCGTGTCCGAGGCACCGCCGTCATTTTCGGTTGCGTGGTTTGATGACATGGCAGACAAGACGATGTCCAAAGCGTCACCGTCATTTTCAGCCTCGTCGTCTAATGCCATCAAGAGACGCTATCGAATAACATATTGCCAGCTTCATAGAGAAGTAGAATCGGTCGACCCGGAGGTGATTGAACCGGAGCTTGCCCACATCCGTCAGCTTTGCGCCTAATACACTCCGGACAACATATTCAACTGCGACGAGACCGGCTTTTACTTGGAGGAGCTGGACGACAAGTCTTACACAACCCCAGGGTCAAAGTCGAGCGCCAAGGCCAACAGGAGCTGCAGGATCTCCATCCTGTTTTGCATTAATGCTTCTGGTTCCTCTCTCGCCATGGCAGACACCAAGAATTCGTTGAAGCCGTTGGTCATCGGTAATGCGTTGAGTGTATGATTACGTTGCAATTGTCTCAATTTTTGACCTTCACGACTCTGTAATGGCCTTTACTTCTTTAGGCACAAGCATTCCAAAGGATCTTGAAAAAGATTCAGCGGATAGGATGCTCACGAAAGAAACAGGGTCAGGATGGATGAACAACGACCTATTCGTAGAATGACTACAAATGTTTGATGATGATCTCTCGCAGCCGACCCTTCTTCTCCTTGACTCCGCAGGTGCGCACAACAACGTCGACATGCACGATTCAGGAACCAACACGCTTTGGAACATCTTCGCATACAGCGGCTCCCGAAAAACACCACATCAGTAACGCAGCCTCTCGACGCGGGCGTGATCAGTGTTTTCAAACGAGCTTTCCAAGAGATGCTCAGCTATGAAGCCTGTCTTGTTCGTAGCTCTGATAAAAAGAAATGTGTCTCTAACGAACTCGCTTGGACATTGATCCCCTATGCATGGAGTCAAGTGAAGCCTCTAACGCTGCGAAACTGCTTCGCCAAAACGCCAGTCCTTCCGACGGAGATGGGCGAGCAGCTCCGACGACGACGGCCAACTCAAGCTGAATAGCAGTAACCACTTCAGTACTCCCGACACAGCCAATATGAAGAGCAGGAGAGGGCATATTTCGAGCATCTGATCGCCGAGACTACTATGGAGGACAATTGGAATTTCCGAGTAGTAGGGAATAAGGATGAGCAAGAGCTGGCTGAGGAAGCGCTACAACAGGTGGATGTAAAGAAAGAAGAAGAAGGTGACCAGTCCAAAGACGACGTTAGCCGTGGAGGGTCTGCAAGCTCATCCGCAGACGTGCAACCATTCAAACACTGAAGTATCTGGCAGGAGACTAGGATGTACTCAGTGTTGAGGGCCTCAAACAAGTCAGACAGAGAGCGGAGCGGAGCTTGAAGAGGAAGCGGGAAATTCGAAGGACAGTGTTCGTGCTTGTGCCTTTAAGAATGAGGACATGGACACGGATGTTTCTTGGTCTGCGGCGCAACATGGACTGAATATGTGGCTGTATTTTTTTCGTCTTTAGTTCAGAGATGTTCAATTCAATTTTCAAATTACATTTTTAGGCCGCGTTTTCCATAAGAATGCGGCCAAAAAACCATTTTCGACTGTAACTCTGCATAGTCGGCGGAAAACCACTCCTGAAAGTTTCACGCGCCGTTACACAGCAGCATTCGCACCACGTTTGTGATGGTGCGTGATGGAGACGGAGAGGCTGCCGTCTCAAGAGTACATGTGGAGCACAAAAACACAGCATCAACCACCCAAACCTCGATTACATAAAGGAATAGGGCCAGTAATCGCAAAAATAAGCAAGGCATCGTGAATATCCCAGGACCATGGGCGTCGTGGATCTTTTTTTTTTTTTTATTTTTTATACTGGGTTTCCATCTTTTATTTTCTATGATACATGTCATACTGGTCTCCGCGCTTTCCGCTTTTTTTTTTTTTTTTTTTTTTTTTTCTTCATAAGATTCATAATAGTACAGTGGACGACGATAAAGTGGTCATTAAAAAAAAAAAAAAGGTAATAATGTCGCCGCTACATGTTCTGTTCAATCGATGCGGTGTTCGAAAAAGTCATCCATGAGCTCTACAAGATCCTTCACCCGACTAAGCGCATCCTTCGTAAATCGGTTCGACACTACCCACTGGCCCAAGGAACAAACCCCAGGAGAGAACCATGACAGCACGAGCCTGGACGACGCTGAAGATGGCGATAAGGGGGATACCGAAGAAGACGACGACAAATTCGTCTGGCGTTGCTGTTGCTGCTGCTGTTGCTGCTGATCACTAAAAGTCGAAGTGCGCCTCGTTCTCAAAAGATACGCCTCAGCCGGATGCGTGTTTCCCTGGAGACCATTGTACGTATAACTAGTAGGCGCATACCTCGGCGTGAACGAATCCTGGACATCGAATTCATACTCCATGGCCATCCCGCTCACTCCATGACCATTGGTGTTGTAATAGCTTCCTTGATCGCCGCCGTTGCTGTTCGCGTTGTTGTTGCTGCTGCTGTGGGTATCACCACCTCCAGAACCATCATGCAAATTATCTCCCTGTTGATAAGACACTCGCTCCACATGAGCCTGCTGCCGCTGTTGATATTGCTGGAATATCGGCGTCAGTACCCATACGGCCATATAAAAACAGATGATGATGCCGATGAAGCACAAGAGCTTCGACCACAGGGTTTCTGCAGTATCCGAGATCACAGACAAGAAGTGGCTCGCAACCGCAAAGAGGAGCGCATAGAGCAGAGACCACATGGGCGCATTAACTTTAGTCAGTTTTGCTGGTGTCACTTGTTGTTGCTGCGATGGTTGCGATTGCTGCTCCGGTCGCGTTGATGCCGCAGTGACTGTAGTTATAGCTGGACTTGCGGTCGATACAGCGGATGGCACTGTCGATAGGGATGGAGTCAATAGGGCCGACGACGACGACGACAGGGGCGTGGACGGATATAACGAGCTTGTTGGCGAAGATAGCGGAGTCGAAGATGAGATAGACGACCGTCGGATATCGTACATGGACTGCCGCCTGCGCTGCTGGTGCTGAACCAGGTTCGACAGATTGTGCTGCAGATGAATGCTGTTGGTGCGGTGTCGATTCCTGACATTGCCATTGGCATGGTTACTCGGGTTATTAAACGTTGCTGCTGTTGCTGTTGGTGCTCTGGGCGAGGCTGCACTGCTGACTGTTGTTGATGTCGATACTGCCGCGGCCTGTGGTCGCGGTGGGTTGATATTCTCGGCGTCGGAGCCCATGAAGGGCTGATCCTTGTGCAGAAAGCGGCATAGCGGACAGATCATCTCCTTGTTCCCCATACTGAACGCCACTCTGGAATAGTAATAATAATAATAAAAAAGTATGATATTAGTACCCATTGCATTATTATATTGGCATCCGCTTTCCCCCTCTGTTTCTTAGCAGCTCTGTCATTTGTTGACAAATACTGTGGTTGCTTCTTTCCTCATCCATCATTTCAATTTCATCTAGGGATCTTGTGTCCGACGTGTACTGTGTTGATGATGCTGAGCATAGCCAAGTTGTTGTTGGTGTGGTGTGTCTTGTGCGTGCTTTTGCTTTTTTCGGTTCTCCTGTTATTCAATACATTCAACCAAGAAGCACTTGTTTGTTTGTTGTAGTATTGAAATACCAATGAGTCGGATGTGGTTTTTTTCAATATATCTTTTCCTTTCTCATTTCGCTCATGTAGATCTGCGTGCCTTAGCCGTTGTTGTTGTCGTTTAAATATTCCTCGGTGCTGTTTGTTAATGTTTGCAAGTAGATAATCTCTCTCCTCACCATCGTCACCCAGCCTCTCTCGCACTCGGTCCGACTTTATCAACTAGTCATGATCGCGTTCTATTTTGTCCCTCATTTTCCATTTGATCTTCTTTTTTTTCCTTGCTGCTCTCGTTCGCATGGGACTGAGCCAACCATGGGACATACCAAAAAAAAAAAAACAAAAACAAGTGAGACTTACGAGATGCACGAGAGATGAAACTCATGTCTACAGGCGAGGATGGCCTTGGCATGATATTTGGGCCGGATGTTATCCAAGCATATTGCACAATCTAGTGTATCAGGCAGTGTCATCGCTGTTGTTGTTGTCGATATTGGTGTAATGGTTGCAGCAGTACTATTCTTGGTCTTGGTTCCTGTTGCTGTTGCTGTTGCTGCTGTGCTGTTGATTCGTAGTAGTCGTGTTGCTGTTGCGAGATATGACGAATCAGTCAGTTGAACGCGATTCATTCTCTTTGCTTTTAGGAAAACCATAAGGAAAGTAGGAAGAGAAAAAAGGGTTAATGCGCTGGCATTTTAAAATACAAAGATCCTCAGACTGATTCTGTGTCCTGCTCTTCTGGCATCCTTCTGGGGCTGTTGGGCGAAAAAAATTCAATAACAAATGGAGCATGATATGAGAAGGAGGAGTAGCATGGGGCAGGCTCTCGGTGCTACGGCTCACTCATAGGATTGATCCACTACTATTCTTCTCTTCTCTCCATTCTCTCAAGTTCTGTCGGACAAGCACAAGAGGAGGAGGAAGGGAGACTGAGCAAGAGGAGGGGGAAGGGAGACTGAGCAAGAGGAGAGGATGGGACAAGGTGCCAGGAAGGTGCATCCAAACACAAATGCACAAATGTATGAAAAAAAGTGACCGGAGAGGAGCACGAGAGTTGCAAAGAGAGCATGGGCCCACAGACGAGTGTGTGCTCTCTCTTTTGTATTTGTCCCGATTTTGACTTACCCCCAAAAAGACACGCGCAGACAGAGAGGGACAATGGGGGTGCAATAATTGGCAGATCAACTTATTGCGACAAAAAGGAAAGAAAAAAGAAGAAAAGTGTACCGAGAGTGAGAGAGGAAAAGAAGAAGAGGGGGGGGGAATCCAAGTGCAGGGGCTGACAGGCAAACTTTTTTTTTGCTCCGAGGGCGGGGACAGGGGGCACAGGTAATATGTGTGATCTGCTTCCAGTGGGAAGAAGGGCGAGTGGAAGAAGGGCGAGTAGAAGGAGCAAGGCTTCCAACTGAGGACAACAAGGCAACAAGGCAGAGAAAGGATAGGCGGGTATGCGGGGAAATAAGGATCGGATCCAAAGGAGGGAAGGGCAATTGGTCAGGAATGAAGTGGGGGAAGTGAGAGCTAAGGAAGGAAAGGCGGAAGGGAGGAGGTATTTGTATCTTTTCTATGCCGTTTGGGCTGACGAGTGTCCTGTGGAGTGCGATGCTGAGTGTTGTTTGTCGGTGTGTGTGGAGAAAGAAGCGGACAGGGACAGGGTGCGACAAACAGGCGGCGCTCTAGTCTTCAAATATTTTATCTTATTGTCTGGACGAGGAAGAACAGGAAAACGAAAAAAAAAAAAAGAAAAAGAAAAAGAAAAAGAAAAGAGATGAGGGATGAAGGATGGGATTGGAATGGCCCTTTTGGCCATGAACTGAACTGGAATCAACCTTTTATGTTCATGGGCGAGTGTGAGCAAGAAGACACCCCTACGGCCAATTATATCCCCTCTATAGACTCCATAGACTATCGCCTCGAGAGGTATTGCCGCCCACCCCTGGACCCGTGCTCATCCTCACCTGCCGCGTGTGTGTAATGTCTCCCCCCCTTTGTCGTCGTTGTCTATCCATCCGGGGGGTGCATCTGTGTACCCATTGCGCCCTTTTTTTTTTGTCCGCTGTTCTTTGCTGTGTGGAGCTCCTTCCATACTACATTTCATACCGGCAAAGGTACACTTCCTCGTGTCTGTTTCCCATCTCTTCATTTCCCATGCGAACCCATAACGCACTCGTATTTCCCGAACAACCAAAAAAGGGTCAGAAAACTCTACGGCTGAGTCGGCAAAGGCGAAGGGAGAAACATGCGTACAATTAGAACAACTCTTGGCCCTGCATCCGACCAACCTTGTGCCATAGTCTATATTCTTTTTGTCTATGGCCCAGTGCTCAATGTCATGCTATGCCATGCTATGCCATGCTATACCATGCGACATCCAATTTAACAAAGTTACTCAATTTCTCCCCAACCTCAACAAGTTGCTTCACAACTCGCGTCCAAGGTATGCCATGCACCGCATTTTGATTAAACACTGATACCTTCCAGAAAACGCTGAAATAACAAACACAAAACAAACAATCACTGGTGGAGGAGAGATACAGAACTGGGACAAAGACAAAATAAAAATAAAAATAAAAAAACAGATGAGATTGGCGAGGCGCGCAACGCACTGAAGTGACGCAGAAAATGTAGACTTCCCACCGTACCGACAATGAGATGGAGAAACTGACTGACCTGGAGCAGTTGGGAAAATAGGAGCAGGAACAGGAGCAGGAACAGGAGCAGGAGTCGATCTCCTAGGCGAGCGAGTAAAAAGATGCTGCTTTGTTTTGTGAGCACCGGCAACCATGTCCACAAACAAAGCAGCGCCCGCCCCATCATTGTCCTTTGTCCGTCTTCGCTTCGTTGTTTAGTTCATACAGCTCACGTTCTATCACATCTTCCCATTTTGCTCCTCCATCATCTCTATCCTTATTCTGATGGCTCGCTATTAACAATTTCTCGCGTTACGAGATCGAGATCGAGCAATAACAATAGCAATAGCAATAGCAATAGCAATAGCAATAGCAATAGCAATAGCAATAGCAATAGCAATAGCAATAGCAATAGCAATAGCAATAGCAATAGCAATAGCAATAGCAATAGCAATAGCAATAGCAATAGCAATAGCAATAGCAATAGCAATAGCAATAGCAATAGCAATAGCATTAGCATTAGCAATAGCAAGAGCAAGAGCAAGAGCAAGGATGTTATTATTGCTGAGAGGACGAGGAGGACGAAAAGGAGTGTCTAATAAATTTCGCGCTCCATCTCTCTCTATCCCAGACCGACCTTGCTCTACACTCATAAGCAGATTGATGTGGAGCAAAATTATTCATGCATAAATAGATTGCCCAAAGTCCTACGCGTCCTGCTTGGCTCGATCGCTTTAGTCTTCTTTATTCCGCAAGTCGATGGCCGCTCACCTCAACTATCGCTGCTATGAACTTACTCCTCGATCATTCTCATGGATTATCGTGAACATTTCTTTATTTGCCATGGCTGTTGAACGTTTAAAGCAATGAGCCTCCTCCTCCTCCCCCCTTCCCTCCCATCTGTCTTCATGTCATCACTGGCGTATACTGTTGACCAATCATACATTCATCTTTATTTTCTCGTTATTTCGTTCATAAAGCCTTTCTCAGGGCACAGTCGAGCCCATCATGGCCATCTGCTTACTCACACATCCTCTACAGATCCACCGGTCGCCACAAGTGCCCACCGGCATCTTATACAACCCTCCATACCCCTCTCCACCTCCAGGCCCCGTCACCTCTGGCAGACCCGTATCTTGCAAACTTGCTCCCGCAAACTGATCCGACAGGTCATCATACCCTCCGCTTCCTCCAGGTCCCGCGGGTAAGCGCGCATGTCCCAGTAGATCGCTCTGTGTCACCACCGACGGTTTGTGTTTTAGACTCTCCATAGACACAGCCTGACACTGCCGCCGCACCAGTCGCACGAGCCACTGCTCCAACATCTTCAGCGTCGGTCCGCGCAACGACCTCAACTCGTTCAAGGACGGCGCAGGTCCGACTTGTTGCTGAATCGCTCCCTGCAATGCTTCATAATAAGACCGCAACGAAGGATACCACCTCTGGCAGTTATCCAGCGGCGTACCCGTCAGTGTCAACGGACGATCCAACGCTGGCGTCTCGTATCCTGGATTATTGGTCCCTGCTACTGCAACCAGATGCAGCAGTAATTTGCCCACATCCTGCACGAACGCTACGGGGTCCTGAATAACGTATCCGCGGTGGTCCGTCACATGTGCATCCTCGCCATATCCACTCAATCCCTCGCATAGCAGCACCAGCCGCAGACTCTTGTTTTGGAACAGATTCGTCGGCCGGAACGGCTGTGCCGGGTCCAGATCCTGGTGCATCGGCGGGACCAACATAAACAACCGTGGGATATGGTCAAATGGCGAATCCAGAATACGCCCAACGCCCTCCAACAACAACATTTGGTGCTGAGAGGAGGACAAACTCGCTCCGTAGGCTGAATCGCCCGACCCACGACTGTTGATCTCATTCCTTTGCTCTCCACTCATCAGATTACAGAGTCGAGTTGCCTTAAGATCCCGCAGGGACAAAATATTGTTGTTCCTGATCATCTGATTCTGCGGTACTGGTCGTGGAGAAATGGGTCTCGTAAAGAGATCCATCTTCAGAAGCTGCGACGCTGACAGCCGCCTCTCGGGATCGTGCGCGAGCATCGCGTCCAGGAGTGGGTGGTACTCTTGGTCGATATTCTTGCTATTATAGTACCGGACCGGCTGAATCGTCCTCGATGCATTATCGTTGCGCATCAGCACATCCCTGGCATGTTCATCTGTCCGGAACAGCGGCTGGTCCGTCAGTAGCTCATAGACGACTAGCCCCAACGACCAGATATCCAATGATCCCTTCGCATATACACCCTGTCCTGTCGAATTGCCCATCAAGATCTCGGGTGCCGCATACGAGAACGTGCATCGGCCCACGATCTCCTCGTCAATCACACGTGCGGCCTCGAAATCCACCAGTTTCCAACCTGCGCCACGCTGACTGTTGATGGACGAGGCCATATATGGATCGCGGACAAAATTCGACGGCTTGATGTTCAAATGACAGACCTTGCGTTGGTGTATCCAGGCCACACACTCAACCAGAGACCGAACAATCGGCAGCGTCACCTCCAGTCCCTCGCCCGAGGCAATGCTGTCTCCAATATATCCCTGTAGGGTCTCAGGGAACCACTGCAGGACAGAGAGGTACCGACATCCATCAAGATCGATTCCGTGGGGGTGCATAAACGTCTCGTACAATCCTACGACGAATGGGCTCACGGTCTGAGAATGCTGCTGCGCCTGCGGGTAGTCCAAGTACTGGCTCTCGAGTTTCTCTTCTGGGTGCGGACAGGTAAGATATCGCATCATCACACAGTCAATCTCCCATTCGCGCTTCGTCTTCAGATATTTGATGATCACCCGGTCATTTCCTTCCTGCTCCATCGTGAACTGACGTTGAAGCTGTCTCTGCGAATCCGGTCTTTGCTGGCGTTGTTGCTGTTGCAACTGACGCTGCTGAGGTGTCAAACCGTCCGACATGAAGGGACTCTTTTCCTTGGTGTAGAATCCCTCCCGGACATACTTTTCCCGAGCCATGCCCAGCGCATACCGCGACAATATCCTGCGGCCAATCGACTGATCCAACAGCGAGTCTTGGATATCCTTGCCGTCCCATGTCACTGCACGAGGTGTGTACTGACAAATGATTGCATCTCTAGCCTTCAGTGGGATTTGGGCCATGGAGGTGAGCGCAGGCGATTTTTGCATCGTATCGAAGGCTTCTATAGTCGAAAACGTGGATGTTCCTGGGTTGTGGTTATGATAGCTGTTGGCCGATTGCTGCTGAGGCATAGATGTCTGTGGCTGTGGCTGTGGCTGTAGATGCGAATGCTGTTGCTGCTGTTGCTGTCGATGTTGCTGATTCTGACCGTATTGTTGCTGCTGAGGGACGGGCGAAGCAAAGTACATGGGCTGTGTAGGACCTTGGTTCATCACAGTCGCCGAAGGCTGCTGAGTCGGTAATTGAGAATAAAACGAGTTGCTGGTTCCGGGGCGCTCAAGCTCTGAACGAGAACCCTGCACGATGTTGTACCCCACATTATTGTGCTGCCCCGGACCGAGAACTGGATGCGGAGGCACTGGCGGTGCAGCTGGAGGCAGCTGATTCACGAGCACACGCTGATGCTCCTGGGTATAGGTGTCGGGCATATATCCAACGGCTGGTCCGAGCGCCGTCACTGGTGGGACGAATCCCTGAGTAGTCGGTCCCGGTTGCTGCTGCTGTTGAGGAGGCGGCAAAGACGAATGTGGCATATTGATTACCATACTACTAGGGTGATTCACGCCTGGTTGACTGAGACCTTCTCCAAGGGATCGCAAATGCTGTATCTGTTGCGGGGTGAACTGGTTCCGGGAGGGCAATGACATATATTTGGAGTTGCCTGCAAAGTCCATCTTTGACCGAGAGGATTGGGGCGACTGGAAGGCAGTCTGAGGCTGGCAAGATCCTGTGGCGGGACCCTGAGGTTGTGGAGACCACTGCTGTTGAGGCGGGGTCGGATGTTGTAGTTGGTTGAGCATCATTTGCGGTTGCGGCTGTGGCTGTATCATGGGAATCTTAGGGGCTGCCCCAGATGGCGGTTGCTGCTGCAGTTGTTGTTGTGGATATTGTGATTGCTGTGGTAAGTATTGTGGTTGCTGTTGATACTGCTGAGGGAGATGGTTCGAACTGACATTGATAGGCCCCGTGTTAGGCCTTTGCTGCCGATTTGACGCCTGTGGTTGCTGCGCCTGACCAAAGCTCTGGAAGGGCTGGTGGCCGTTGGGTATATAAATTGGTTCATTCGAATAGCCGACATGCGACTGCTGCGACTGGGGCCGCGGAAAGAGCTCCTGTGGGTTGGTCGTCATCTGCTTGTTGAGGTCCTCATAATAAAACTGGGCAGAGAGAGCACGGCGCAGGATCGGCGGCGTGGGCTCCAGCCAGTTCGGGTCGAAAGGTGCCGTCAGCCAGTTAAGCTGGTTGATGTTACCCTCGTTGTCCTGAAGAGTGAACGTCTGCTTGGGACTACTGATGCTCCTCTTGTCCCCATCGTTCTCTGCGACAAAGGAGTCGCCGTCAGAAGAGGAAGTGTTCATTTCCCGGACCTCCTCCAAGGATTTTGAGCCCATTCTATACTGGATCGGTTCCTGAATTTTGATCGAGGGCTGTCGTTCCTTCAAATCTGCCATCGACTGTGGTCGGACCAACCGACCGGTGGGTGTGCGTTGAAGGCCGCCTTCGCCATTGCTGCTGGGCTGTCCTGAAAAATAAGAAAGTGTGCCTGAATTGACGGGCGTACCTCCTGCACTTGGGCCGGATACTTGTGCATTGTAGCCGGCAATCTTCATATCTGCCCTCCGTTCCGACTTTGACTTCACGATACGATTCTTATGGTCCAGACGAACTGGTGCATCCTCAAGCTCATCCTCATCCTCCTGTGACCATCGTGCATCCCACAATACCGTAAATCGAAATGTAAGTAAAATAAAAAAGAGAGCTGTTAGTTATGTCATCATGGAAAACGCGAGCAAAAGAATACAGTACTCCTCATTACGCCTATTCTCTTGATGGAGATGCCACTGCAACTTACAGAGGGCTCGCACAACTGCAAGCGGAGGTGGACTTTGCCAGACTCCTTGCCATCATACATCAGTTGGAACCAGCCTAACCGTATTCAAATGGAACAAGCATGGTTGTTCGATTTAATTTGCATGTTAGTCATTGTTGCAGCAAGTCGTCATCCAAGTCTTCTTCCCTCTTCCTTCTCCTACCGTCATGAACTCCCGTGTCTGACCAAAACAAAGTCTTCTTAAGATCGATCTCGCAACTGCCAATCAGTCCATCGCTCGAGCCCATCTTGACGCCCGTCTTCTCGTGGATGCAGTAGACCGTGAGTGTGGTGTCCTCTCTGGATGTGGCATCCTGGATACAGTTGTACTTTATCTACTCGTGTGCATTGGCGACAAAAAATGGACAAGTAAGCAATTAGCTGAACTGTTTGAGTTTCCGTGCAGTATGTCAGTGCTCATCCCAAAAATCCTGCATGCAATGTCATAACACATACCGTTTGGTTCCACTCGGGTTTGACGCCGCCCTTGACAGCGACAATCGTGAACTTTCGTCGTCCCTGGAGATAGAAGGCCAAATACGGATCTATCGATTGTAGTTCAAAAGTCCAGGTCTATTAACAGACGCAATAAAGTTGAAGGGAAGCTTTGTTGTGTCCGCGGTGAAATGAGCATACCAAAAAATGCTCATTCCAGAAGACCAAGCATACTCCATGCCCTACTCCAGAATTCTTATTTTTTTTTTTTATTTTAGCGCGGGAAAACCTCGAGCAAATGCCGTACCTTGTGCCCCAAACCGTTTCCGCTTCGCAAGGTCCTTGGCGGCAACGGCTGTGATAGAGAGTCCTCGGGGGAATGATTGCACCATTTCCGGATTTAGGGAAGAAGAAGGAGGCGGTGCTGCAATTGGATGTGTTGCTTGGATGTTGTCGGAAAAGAAGAATCGAAGAAAGTTAAGATGGTCAACAGCCGCAAGGGGGAAGAAGGGAGAACTGGTTTGTTTAGCGGTGTTCTTTGTGGAGTGTAAAAAGAGTCGAAAAGGAATGTGGGGAGTGGAAAAAAGGCTGGGAGGGTAGGAACTGGAAAAGCAAGAGTCGAGTTTAAAGGACAGGCAAGAAAAAAAAAAAAAAAAAAAAAAAGAGGTGGCAGTGTGGATGAGAGAGTTTGTGCTCAAGAGCCAGAAGAAGCGAAAGGGCGGTTGTGTAGTAGGCTGTGTTTTGTTGTTATCCAGAGAGATTGCTGTACACCCGCCACTGTGTCGTGTTGTATTGCACTGGATGTGACAAACCAGCCGCTGGTTGAGTAGATCGTCGGTCGATGCTGCCTTAAAGATGATATGGTTGCGCCAATGGTGGTGTCAGTATGAATACACGTCTTTGTGTGCTAGCGGGCGATGGTGCCTGGGATTAGAAAGGAGGACGGGTGCGAGTTTGTGTAGGATATCGGTAGTATGAATGATGTGATGGCGTCAGTGGTTTCTATGATGCAGTTGCTACAAGAAGCAAGCGGATGAAAATAAAGAAGTAAAGGAAGAAAGAAAGAAGCAAAACGAGAAAGTAGACGTGTCCATAACGCATTACCGCGCATAAATAACGATCAAATCTGAAATGTGCTCAATCCACTTTGAGCGATGGACATGCCTGCATTACCATTTGCCGCATCCAGAACTTGTTAGGGTTACACCGCATTTCTACGTTCTATCCTGAGAAGGCCGGTTTTCCATTCTGCTGCCATTAGTCCGACTCATTGTCAGTTGTTGTTCTAGCTAATCAAAAGCAGGTCCATGGAGCCATTTCAAAAAGCCTTCAAGAGACCACTGCCATTGATTGGTTCCTGTCTTTTAGAGGAAATGTCTCAGGGGCAAGATTAGCACGCGTTATCGCTCACAAAGGACATTAAAGGACGTAAAGAACGTAACAGGCCCAAAGTCTTTGGATCCGCCTGTCCGCGTCCGAATCTCCAGAACGAGAAGACCTGCCTCCTCAAAGAGTGCAGTAGAGTGACAAAAACCTTTTCTGTTAATTGCTTGCGCCGCCCATGGTCGTAAATTCTTGTCCATGACGACGTACAAATACTATATCGAGCACACAGTTATGCACGACCCTGAGATGATGCTTTGCCGGCGTTGCGTCAAGAGGAACAGATTGGTGACGAACAAGAGAGCGAGGGATGGACGAAATTATTTCAATGACGACGATTGCTCAGTCGAAGAGGCGGTGACGGAGTGCAGTGCTCCAAAAGTCAAGGTGCCAGCCTTTCTGTGCGACCGTGCCATTTGTGCTTTGTCAAGTTGTCAAGGCGGCTTTTTTTTTTTTTTTTTTTGCATCCATTGTTAGCTCTGAAAGTCAGACGCGTGCTTTCCTTCATTCGTCTTGCAATTTTTTACCATACTTTCAAATGTCGAGTTACGATGCGCGATGAATTCTTTTTCAATTGCACGAGAAAATGATGATGTATATAGCACTGAACCATTGTCTGTGAACTGATCCACACGAACAGAAAAAAAGTTGGGATGTGGAATTAGGAGTGGACAAAAACAGACACCTATGGACGACGCACCAACCCGAGCTCATGCCACAGGTTTTCTCTCCTCAGACCGCATCTCGGGTTTCCATCTTATGCAAACAGATTCTAGTCTAAGGGTCGTGCAAACACATGGGATCGAGACCCTCCATACCAAACGCTGATTGATTTTAAGTGTTTATGGGGTTTAGGAGTGGGCAATTTTCTTGCACAAACATGGATGTTTCTAAAATGCTGTGCTATGAGATAAGAAAACAATGAGCAAATATCTCCAAGAAATGCCTAGTATGTTCTGTGGGATGTATCTTGATGGAGGTCATAATCTGCCCTCTATTTCTTATAAAAGACAACGTCGCCCTCATCCTCCACGAATCGACACTCCCTGAACGACCTCCAGCAAGCGACTGCGATCGGTGTGTCGTCGTAGATATAATGAGGCCCCAGTAGCTTCTTCAGATGATAGGTCGCCTCCTCCGCGTGGTAGAACGGCATCTGCGAGAACAGGTGGTGGGCCACATGCGTATGCACGATTCCATGGAACATCACATCCAAAAACTTGCCGAACGAGCGATCGACCGTGCACAGGGCTCCACGCTGGAAGTTCCAGGTGCCCTCGCGGTAATGGGGCATCTTGGGGTCGGTGTGCTGAAGGAACGTGATCAGGACCAGCCAAAAGTTGACAAACAGGTAAGGGACGATATAGTACTTGGCCACGGTCAGGAAAGAGGTCTGGAGAGCGGCATAGGTGATACCGCCGAGAGTGAGCAGCACACCAACGTCCGAGAAAATAACATCCGAAAAGTTGCGGGGCTCGAAAATGGGGGACCAGGTGTGGAAGTGCGAGGTCCACCGTCCGTAGTTCTGGCCCGAGGCGTTCATGAACAGATAAGCGGGCCAGCCGAACAAGAACTGGATAAGCATCCAGAACAGGGTGACAATGGGGGCCTCCTCCTCCAGATGAGAAGTCTCAATATCGTCCTCCTTCTCAATCACAGCCTTAGGAGGCAATCCGACCTGCGTGCGGGTCTTGGGGACAAAGACCTGATCCTTCGTCATATGGCCCGTGGCCTTGTGGTGCTTCGAGTGCGAGATTCTCCAGGAGTGGTAGGGGACCAACATGCACGAGTGTAAGACCCAGCCGACAGTGTTGTTGAGGGTCTTTGAGGTTGAGAAGGACTGGTGGCCACACTCGTGGGCCAGGACCCAGAGGCCGGTACCGACAATGCCCTGCAGGACCCAGTAGACGGGCCAGGCGAGGTAACGGAGTAGGGGGTGGGGCAGCTTGTCGATCTGGGTCGCAGCCAGGAACAGGAGCGACATGTAGGTCAGATCGATGGCCACATGGGTCAGGCCGCGGAGTCCAGAGCGCTCAAAGCAGTGAGCAGGAATGCACTCACGAATCTCCTTGATCGTGAACTCGGGGAGTTGGTAGTTGCGCTCAATGATAGGCTTGTCAGCCGAAGCAGGGGCGGTAGCAACTCGGCGGTGAGCCAAGCCGGCATCGATAGTGTTGGGTGGTGCCATCCTGAATGTGTTTCTGATTAGAAGATAAAATTCGGTTCCTGAAATGGGAGGCGCCTGTGCTGCTTGGGAGAGCTGTGGTGTGTTTACCCTCAACGGATTGGGAAGGGAGGGGGAGGGGGAGGGGGGTGTGCAGAGGAAGAGGCGGAGGAGGGAGGAGAAGGGAAGGAAGGAAAGGAGAGAGGAGGAAAAGGAAGAGGCCAAAGGTCCTGCTTTTAAAGGAGATCCCGGATACAGCACCCAGGTGCAAAAGAAGGGTGAGCGGAATAAAGTGTGTATGAACACCTTAGCGACCCATATGTCTCTGTGCCTGATTCTGATTCTGATTGATAAACCCATATACTATGGTTCGCCATGTTTTTTTGTTGGTCTCTCTTTTTGCGTTTTACCTTTTACCTTTTCCGACAGACGCACACCACCGAAAGCGTGGATTCCGACTGCTGCTGCATCTGCTGCTGCCTTCGTGCGACCCTTCTCGCTGCTGGTTGGAGGCAGCTACTACTGCTGCACCAATAGTGTCGTCAGGAAACACTGGTTTCTCAGGAGTAGATCCATCGTCATCCTAAAAACCCGAACAAACCAATGCTCACACATGTTTCGTTAACACCATGGGAATTATGTATCGCTGATAAGAAGGAAGAAAAATGAAAAAAAAAATAAAAAAATAAAAAATAAAAAAGGGAGAGAAAGGGAAGGAAAGCCTTTGCTTAAATAAACAATTACTTTGTCGGCGGATCGTACTATTGTTCAAAGGCCAATGGGTGATACCTTATTGCTCTATCCCACGTTTTTTGCCGTTGTCCATAGCTTGATCAGGAGCCAGCATGTGTCTCGCTGTCTCTTTCTTTTCACCCGCCTGCTCGGTAAAGAATTGTTGTTGTGTTCAGCTGGAGTCTAACCTGATCTGCAAAAGTCCTTTTTCCGCATGGCGGCACCCTTTTCTTTGTAATTGCGCTTATTCATACGAAATCCCCTTGGTTCGTACTCTCTCTATTCAATGTTTAAAGTCCGAGCGCTTGAGTGCTCGTCCCTTCCCCCAAAAAAAATCAATGCTTATTTTTTGCGTACACGGGTTGCGTACGGTTTTTGCTTCTCCAGAGAGCCGATCCTCGTGTTTCATTCATTTTAGTTTATTTCAATTCGATACTCTACGCGCCAGGGTAGTTTGGGAGGGACACCATTCAGCTCCTTCTGAGTTGCGTGGTTTGCGCCACTGCTTCCTTTAGCCTTTTTAAATGCGAGACCCCTTCAACTTCTTCTCCTTGAGCTCCTTCAGCTTGTCGACGACCTCCTCCAAGGGGCGGACCTGTCCTTTGGACTTGCTGTCCACATCATCGCGCGAGCGAACGTTGACAGAGTTGGAGGACTCCTCCTCCGCACCGACGACAAAGATGAAGTTGTAGTGTGCAATCTCCGCATTGCGAATCTTCTTGTTCAACGTCGAGTCTGAGACGTCGACATCCACAAAGAAGCCAGCATCATGGAGTTGCTTCTGAACCTTCTCGGCATAGGGAATTAACGCTGCTGCGACGGGGATCACCTGAACCTGACGAGGCGAGAGCCAAAAGTCCCAGCGACCAGCGCAGTTCTCCGTCAAAATGGCAATCATGCGCTCCAATGATCCCAGCATGGCACGATGGATAATAATGGGACGAGAGAAATCTGATGCCTCGCCTCCGCTATTACGGTACTCGAGTCCGAAGCGCTCGGGCAGCTGGAAGTCCAGCTGTATGGTAGCACACTGGTGGCTACGGCGCAAACTATCGCGGATTAAAATATCGATCTTGGGTCCATAGAAAGCACCATCCTCGGGATTGATGGTCCATGGGCGACCGAACCGGTTAAGAGCGTCTGTGAGATGCTATAAGAATAAGTCGAAAGATCTTGTTAGACACCAAATGCTCCAAAGTGTCACTGTTCATCTTAAAAGGCTGAACCTTCCATGCCGTTTTATCATCCAGTAAAGCAGGTCTCGTCCAAAAATTACCTTCTCAGCAGTGTCCCAGTCGGAGATGGCTCCCAAGAATTTCTCGGGGCGGGTCGAAAGAGCCAAGGAGAACTCAAATCCAAAGATGCCATAGACGTGCTGCAAAAAGTCGAGCGTAGCGTCCATCTCAGTTCCGAGCTGGTCGAGTCTGCAGAACAAATGAGCATCATCCTGCTGGAAGCGACGGACACGAGTCAGTCCACTCAGTGCGCCCGAGGCTTCGTTACGGTGAAGAACACCGAAATCAGCAAAGCGGAGAGGGAGCTCACGGTAAGAGCGCTCGCGAATGCCGAACATTAGACAGTGTCCGGGGCAGTTCATGGGCTTTAGAGCAAAAGTCTCTTTCTCCACGTTGAACGAGAACATGTTCTCCTGGTAGTTTTGCCAGTGTCCCGAAGTGTGCCACAACTTGACGTTGTACATGTTGGGCGACATGACCTCAGTGTATCCGCGCTTGTGGTACTCTGCCTTGATAAAATCCATGAGAGTGTTGTAGATACGGGCACCGTGGGGGAGGAAGAAGCATGAACCGGGAGAAAGATCATGGAAGAAGAACAACTCTTGCTCCTTTCCGATCTTGCGATGATCACGTTTAGCCGCCTCCTCCAAGAACTTCTTGTGCTCGGTCATCTGCTTGGTATCCGGGAAAGAAACGCCATAGATACGCTGGAGAGAATCATTCTTGGCGTCTCCTAAGAAGTAAGAAGCAGAGTTCTGCAGGGTAGAAAAAGAATCGATAAAAAAACGTTATTTCATCTGCATTGTTTGATGTTCTCCACTACTGAATCGTGCATCTCGCAAAAATACACCGCCTTGTACCTTCATGACAGCAAAAGCCTTGATTCTGCCTGTGTGAGGGATGTGGGGACCACGGCACAAATCGATTAAAGGACCGCAGCGGTAGACAGTGGTCGAGGTTCCGTCAGGGATCTTGGACTGGATCAAATGAACCTTGTAAGGGTTGTGCTTGAACATCTCCAGTAAGCCCTCCTTCGTGACCTCAAGACGGACGAACTGCTGCTTCTCCTTGATCGCGTTCTTGGCGACAGTCTCCAGGTTTGCGTAGTCACTGTTGGTGACAGCACGGTCAGTGGTCATGGCCATTTCATAATAGAAACCGTCCTCAATTGGTGGTCCAATGCAAAGATGGCATCCGTAGTGCTTCTCACAGGCCTCTCCCAGGACGTGGGCAGATGAGTGCCAGAAAACAGCCTTGCCTTCCTCGTGTTCAAAGTCCAAAAGCTCAAGCTTGCAGGAGGCAACAAGAGGCCTCTCCAAATCCCAGAGAACCTTATCAACCTATGAAAGGCAGAAAGATCATAATGCACACAAGTGAATATTTGGGGACAGAGTAGATAAAGATCTCAGGTCAAAACTGGCGCCTCCTTTGACACTCAGCTCTCTGTTCAATCCAATAAGTGAGCACATGTTACCTTGGCAATGACAATGCGCTCAGCAAGACTCTTGGCGATCTGCTTGGCAATATCCATGGGTGAAGTCTCCCAGGCGGTCCCCTCGCGAACAGAGCCGTCAGGCATGGTGATGTTGATGGGAACACGGGGTTGGGCTAAAGACAAACGCACACAGCAAGAGGAAAAGACATATTAAAACACTTATTGGAGAAACTTTTGCGCAAAGTGTTGCATATTGCAATATCTCCAAGGTTATTACCAGCGTTAGTCTCATCGGCCTTCTTCTTGAGTTCATCGAACATGGCAATGCGGTGAGCGATGTACTCGGGCTCAGGGGAGACCTAATTGATATATGAGGAGGACATATGAATAGGGTCAGACATTAGTTCATATTCCTTGTGTGAAAGATGCGGACCTAAATAGCTGTACGGGCTAGACGTTCATTCCGCCAAAATGATGCAAAGGCTCTCGATGCAATGCATACGTTGCTTCTATGTATATCATGTCCCTGACAGCAGCAAAAAAGTCGTGTGGGGGTGGTGTGGTATAGTGAGGCGTGATGCGATATGGTGCCGGTGGTGATGTTCTCAGTACCTCAAGGGGATAGGATCCCTCGGCGGCCGGCTTCTTGGCCTTCTTCTCCTTGGGCTTGCCCTGGGGCTTCTCAGCAGCGGCAGCGGGTGCGCTCAAGGACAGATCCTCGACCTTCTTCTCGATTTCAGCCATGATGGACGATTGGGATGTTAAACGTGTGAGAATGATTTAAAACCCTGGCAACACCCTTTTTTATTTTTGTTTTTTAGCTGAAGGGCGAGGTCTGGATTGGGCACAAGGCCTGTGGAGTCATCTTTACAAGCCACTACTCGGACATTTTGAGTTCCCATCTACGGAAATCCACCAGCAAACGACGAAACAGGGGTGTACCCAGGGCTCTGAAGGCTACTACTGTCTCGAGGCGCCGGCGGATATATTTGTGAATATGGAGGAAAGGGCGCAGGAGAATATGGATTAGAGCTGGTCGAATTCTGTATCGAATGCCTCGGGTGAGGACTTTGGGGTGAGAATGGCTCGTATGACAAACCGCTAGGCTGGATGTGTTGTGCAGGCATTGACATTGGCATCGCCATAGGCATTGACATTGGTATCGCCATAGGCATAGGCATGGCCACAGGCACTGGCGCGGGGATGGGGGCAAGGGGCCAGAAGGGAGCGCTATCGAAACCTTGGCGATATACACTGTTACGGATGGGGCTGTATGGCGGATCTGGCGGATAGGCTGCATAAATGGGCTGCTGCTGAGTGAATCGAGGAGAGGGGCGCTGTGGAATGGCTGATACAGAGGAAGGATACACTACAAGAGGCAAGGTAACTCGTGGCGGAGAAACGGCTACTTGAACGCGAGCAGGCGACGGCATCAACGTAGGAAAGAGAGCAGATGTCTGTGAGGTGTACGAGGACTTTGGCTGGTACTTGATGGGCTCAATGAGCGTTCTCGGAATCTGCGGTGCATTATCCAACTTGACAACTCTGCGGGAATCTCCTTTGCCAGGATCAGACTAAAGAGACGCCATGGTTGTTTGTCCACCGTCAGTGCTGTGCTTCTGTAGAAAACGCTACAATGCCTACAAACATATCACGAATAAGAGTATATATCTTACCATGTGCACATGGATCACTGCGTTTCCCTTCAGATCCACGTCAGAATACAACATGCGGATGTTATTTCCAAGGACGAGCTGCTCCAGCGCACCCGTGTCGATGTGGCGAATCTCGATCAACTCGCTTTCGAACGCAATGATATAGGGATAGACCATCGCAAACGACTCGGCGCGACCCTCGAACTCGATCAGCTCGGTCTTTGCCAGATTGCCGTTCTTGGTCATTGTAAACGCGAAATCTGCAGTAGAGATAAGGGAGATAAGTCCTGCGTTAGGATCCATTCTCGTATCGATAGCCTAACCAATATGCGGTAATCAAATTCGTACCAGAATAGCACATCAAAAACGTCTCTGTGTTGATCTTGAACATGCACACCGGTACACTCTCGGTCCTCTTCAGCAAGAAGGCATACTCGGAATCCGCCTTGGTGGGGTACACCCTGGTCTCGCCAAGGTTTTCTAACATCAAGACCTCGAATCCCCTAGGACAGACAACGCACACCATCTTTGACAACATCTGCAGTTGTGAAGAATCGCTGGGGACGTAGAATTCTCGATATAGCTTGAACCACTCCGGTTTCGACTTTCCAAGAGATAGACCGAACCCGCGGTGTTGCTGGGTGCTCATGGTCGCGTTGTCCAAGGGTTCAAAGGCCGTAAAATGGCTCTCTCCCGCACTCTTCCTCCTCATAGTGATAACGAGCGTCTTCCCCGCACAGACCCCGGCCGTAAAGTACTGCACGTTCTTGCCAAGCTGCTGGCCAACATGAAAACCCTTGTCGGAATCGGGTTCAAGACAGCTCATATTAAATGCTTTCAAAACCTTGCCAGAGAGAACCAGCAATAGATGGTAGCCCTCCAAGACGCTGATACTGCTCACGTTAATGTCCTTGAGTGCCAGCCTAAAACTGGACTTGTCGTCCTCGATGCCCACATAGACTCCGTACTCTGTTCCGATCACAATCCGTCTCTTCCCATCCAAGACGTTGAGATATGGCGCACTACAGGTAACGCGTTTACCATCCATAGGATGGGACGCGGCCAACGCGACTGGTGAGATTGGTGCTTGGGCACTCATTTCCGTGATGGTGTTGAATTCAAATAGCTGGTGTCCGGACACCACATCTTGACGTGTCTTTTTAGCCATCGCCACCTGCTGCACGAACTCGTCGCGGTCCCTAAGAGTCATGTATAGTAGGTATTCACCGCCTCGTCTTCCTCTGTGTTGGATCGTAACTGGCGCAATCTGTTTCGAATCTGCCTCTACAGTGGACGATACGGTCGCAAACGCGGATTTAGGACGGCCGTTTGGAAGTTCTCGAGCGCTTAACGAAGAAGGCTTGCCATCATCTGGCCAAACATCCGCTAGCTCCAAAGGGATCGCCTGGAAGGGCAAGAATGGTATGAATGTCGGCGTGAAAAGAAAAATCATTGATGACTAATAGAATCAAATCAAAATATGGTCAGGCCCACTTACATTTCTGGAAACCTGGTAAAGGACGCTATCCTTCTCCCCTTGCTTGTCTCGCTTCTCCTTGGTCATTAACAACATGTGGTCGAACAGGAACACCCGAAGTTCTGTCGCCTGTACATCGAACGTTGCTTTTCGCCTACCCATGCATTCATAGTGCAACTTTCGCGATCGTTCGCCCAGCTTCAAGTCCTGATGCTCCTCCTTGGATTTCCAGAAAATTTTGTCCTGGATAGTCAATAAGCGCAGCTGCCGTGCGCCCTCCGGCATGCATGCATCGATTCGCTTACCAAGCTCAGTGCAGACCTTAATGACCTCCTGCACCGTCTCACGGTCTTCAACGCCCTCGTCTGTTCTCTTAACCACCTCACTAAGGAGGAGCGGGTATCTTGGAATCCTCTGGTAGGGCTGGCCCACAAAGTGCCGCAAGCCGAGTCGGCGCGCCTCTGGATGCCGAGTACAGTCCTTGAGGAATTGAGCGAACTTGGGGTTTTTGGTCTCCTCTTTTTTGTATGCATACTCTGATAGGGCTATCCGTGGAATATAGCGCGCATATGCCTCCTCGAATCCAACTACATGTGCCAGGAGCACATCACCAATCCTCTCAACTAAGGGCTGCTCCTCTTGGCGCACTTTCAAGGCCTCCAAAAGATTCTTGTTGAGACCCATAATCTCTTTGTAATTGAGAAAAACATCCTCGATGAACTCATCCACCTTTTCTGAGTCGACAATATCCCCAGCTCGAAGTGGATTGATAAAAATCTAGTTTCGATTGACAGATCAGATAATCCATTAGATGCGAGCCGGATCAGGACAAAAGAAGTAAAGTCTCATTAAATAAGACACTGAGTCATGCCGGCTTACCTCCTCCATCAGCTCCAGATCTCGGACGTAATTGCCCTCAGTGTTAACAACTTCGAAAATGGCCTCCTGCCGATTGCGCTCTTTCTTGGACGCACTGGCAACGACACTGGCGGGTACAGAGTTGGCCCAGACTTTTTCTTGGCTCCCAACGGATGATGCACCACTGTTTTGTCGACCGAGAACGTTGCCCTGTGAGGATTAAAGAAGGCCATGTTAGGGAGAGCTGTAATCATCGAGAGTCTGACTCTAAATGACGAGCAAAATGGGGCCTTACAATATGCTGCCGATTGGGACACAGGTACGAGTAACATGTGGCATCTCCTGGGATACACCCATAGCTATAGCATTTGGCGCTGTAAGGAAATACACCCGTTGGAACGGTAGGAAACTCGGATTTGCCTGGCAAAAAGGCGAGCGTAGCATCGGAGAAAAAGTACTGATCATTGTTGGAGTCGAACAATTTGTTGTTCCCGCCACCGAAAAATAGGAGTTGCGACTCCAGAGATCTGGCGATAGATAAGCTATGTCGTCTGTCGTCCAGTTTTGTTAGTTCGACCACAACATCCTATAGTTGTATTGTACGCGTTGCGAATAACGTTAATAAACAGCAAAGCGCGATGAATTACAGATACGCAAGCAGGCAAGCCACTTGACAGCCCTAGGTAACAATCCTTACAACTGCCTCTTTTCCCGTAAATGTCACTGGAAATTCGAGACCATAGTTCTCGGACTCTGACCGCTTAGCTTCGTTGTCTAACATCCGTTGTCGAAAGGCGACAGCGATAGTCGACAGAATGCCAGGGTTAAAGTCGAGCAGAAGCTGTGCTTCTCTCGCTAGATATGGCACGCTCGAGTACGTGTGATATCCACTGCTGAACGATCCATGTACGCTGTTGCGTATGTTGAATGACCCTAGCTGATGATCAGATGCGGATGACTGGCCCCAACTGCTGCTTATTGTAGAAGAGCTGGGTGAAGGGCTGTACAGGTGGCTGCTTGAGTATGAATTTAGTGCAAGAGGCGAGAATGTATTGTCGGCTAGATAAGGCTGCTGTTCAAATGACTGATGCTGAATATGTTGCTGCGGTATTTGCTGTTGCTGTTGCTGCAGATGCTGCAGTTGATGGGATGGTTGTGTCGCGTAATGTTGGTGCTGCTGTGGAGGTGTGTGAACAGAAGAATAGCTCTGAACTATGGGTGCATGGGATGGCAACTGTTGCGATAGCTGCTGTGATTGTTGCTGCTGGTAATAGCTGATCGGTATGCCATTGTCGTGATGCAGCGATTGCGATATGGATGCTCGGTGCTGCTGCTGCGCGTGAGGATATGATGACACACGCCCGTGCGCCGACAACGGAGACAGGGGCAAAGGCGAAGTTTGTTCTGTAGTCGAATAGGGAATAACGTCCGTAGACGCGCTTGCGTCTGCGTTCGTGTGCGTGGGCTCGTCAATGCCCCCTTGTGAGATTGCAGCCAGAGATCGCTGGTATTCCTGTTGCATCGCCAGCCTTTTCTGCGCGGCCGCATCTCTGACGGTCTTGTTCCTTGAAAACGGCACCTCCTCCTGCTGCTTCTGCTGTTGTTGCTGCTGCTGCTTCTGCTGTTGTTGCTGCTGCTGCTGCTGCTGGGATTGCTCTCTGTAGCTACATGTTTGTTGCTGATACGGCATTGATGGAGGTGGGACTGAATGGCTGTTCCAATGGCTGGTCCTATGGCTGATGTGGTCATTCCTATCGCTTGTTGACGGGTTGAGTGTATATGGCTGGAAGGGCGTGTAGCCCTCTGGTGACATTGGATTGGACCTGGTGCCTGTGCTGTCGGGCGCTTGTGTTGAGTGGTATGCCATTATGGTATTATGGTATTATGGTATTATGGTGCGCAACTGTACTTGAGAGCGTCCCTTTATGTATGAAGGGCAAAGAAGGAAAGCAAAGAGGGTGTACGCTGGTGAGCAGTGGTTCTGGCAGCCCTTTATCTTCCCTCCTGGGCAGGTCCTAGGCTGCTCATACGCAGGGAAAAACTAGTCTATCCGAATGAGCGAATCGTGACAGAAAAAATACTGTCGGCTGCAAAGCGCCTCGCCTCACTCGAGTAAATCGGTGTCATCGAATTGTCCTCATCGAGTTCGAATGCCTGGTAATGCCTGGTAATGCCTGATGTCTGTCTGTCGTCTGCAGTTAATTCCAACAGTTTCCGAAATCAGGTGTCGACTCCTTGTTATTTCTCAGGTTCTCTTTTTAGGCAGAGACAGTGTGCCGAGTTCATCCTTACCGAGTATTTGCTCAACTGAGGAAGGCGAGCGGTATACGTTTGAATAAAGTAGAGGGAATGGAGAGAATGAAGGGAGATTGACAATGGTGATAAAATCAAAAGAAAGAAAGAAGCAAAAAAGGCTGCAAGAGCGGGGGAGGAACCGGTAGTTGAAACCGATCCCTGGAGCGAGTTGACCTCGACAGTATGCATGCAGATGCATTGCCTCCTTGGTGCACACAAAAAAACAACAAAAAAAAACATGAGGACAAACACTGCCCACCACTGCCGCATCAAAGTTTTGTTGGCAATGGCCAATTGCTCACTCGATCATGCTCTCACGAATGCACAGCCCTGCAAACAACCATTAAACACTCGGCCTGCGGCCTTCGCAGCCCTCAGATCACCCGTGATCAATGCTTTGTTGTGCAGCGTAGAGTCGGCCGTTTTCCTTTCAACACAAACCTTGGACTTCATGCTCTTTCCTCTACTTCATCCCAGTCGTAAAGATAAAACGTCCTTCTGAATAGTTGCATGTGGTTATACCCAAGCTCTTTCACCCTCTTATGGACTGCGATTGATTGCATCAGTCGCACGCCCTGTTTTTCTCCCTCTCTCTCCCTCTCTCTTTTTCCTTTCCACTGCATTGTAATGCCGGCCCCTTGATTTCTTACACCTTACATTGTTGCGACCTTTCATGTCACACGTTCTGCAAGTTGTCGGACGCTTTGATAGGAATCATGCTGGGAGGGCACTGGTGCAGTAGAAATTCAGCGAGCGAAAGGTGCAAGGTGTGTGCGAGTCAGCGGAGATGAGTGGCGTGGGGTGGTTGTGGGAAAAGTGTGAGGAGCAGGCCAGTTGGCGACTGATACCTGCACAGACATCAAGACGAATGCAGCAACAGTGCGCAACTAGCGGAGCCCATCGTACAGCAGCAGCATCCGGTATTCAAGAAAGGAATCAATTTTCGAGCATGCGCTGAGTTGCGTGTCGAATCTGCGTACCCTCAACAGACAGAATACTGTATGAAGCTGTCAAAACGACTTAGCCCATGGTTTCTAGTAGTCAAGTGTCCTTTATTCGTGCATATGCCAAATAGAGTGAAAACATGGGTCTGTTGATGTATATTCGATATGTGCGAGAGCCCTGTTCTAAGCGCCCAAGACGATTTCAGAAAGAGCGTGTCTTGACAAGCATTTCCTCCTTTCTCCTTTCCCTCTGCATTCCTTCACAATTTACGCAAAGTTGGTTTGAGGAACTCCACCCTGCTGCACGTCGCCTGGGAAGCCAGGCTGAGATTCGTCGACGTGGTGGAAGTCCAGAATCTCGCTGTACATCATGACCTTCCAGGTGTCCACCGGCAAGTCCGCATCGTTGAAAGACCAGTCAAACACCTCAGCAGCCACGGGCTCATCATCAGGATCGTGGTAAGGCTCCAAGTATTTGTGGTACAGTGCGTCTCCCGCGGTCATGCGCTTCTTGGGGTCAAAAACCAGCATCTTCTCCAGCAAGTCGAGGGCTAGGTGTCAGGAACAGGAAAGGACAACTACCATGGTCAGCACGCCCTGAGTAATACTCGATATCCTCAAGCATACCGTATGCAAAACGAGATTATCTTATAAGCACAGTCTGGAACGCACCAACAGGATCCGTGTTGGGGAACTTTGTCGTCAATGGAATCTTTTCTCTCTTGGGGAGCGATTGAACAAAGCGCAGGGTCTAGATGCAGTAAAGAAATTATCAGTGTTGTTGGCACCTTTCTCTTCGACGGGCTCGACTTCGACACCTTGCAATCCATGGCTTACATTTTCACTGCCGATGGTCTTAATGACATCGTCAGGAGGCGTTCCAAGCAACTCGGTAATGATCGAGAACTGGTTGACGTCTAAAAAAAAAAAAAAAAAAAAAAATAAGTCTTGAGTTATTTATCAATGCCTCCGGCATAAGATTACAGGCACAATCGCCGGGTTGGTCACTTACGATCCTTTCCAGGAAACAAAGGCTTGCCCTCCAACATCTCGGCAAAGATGCATCCCACACTCCAGATATCAACAGCAACATCGTACTTTTGCCAGGTCAACATGATCTCAGGCGCGCGGTAGTAGCGCGTGGAGACATATCCAGTCATTTGAGGATCCTGAATACGGGCCAAGCCAAAGTCGCAGATCTAAGATTCGGTATCGCAGGAAAATTCCCAGGCGCATGGCATGGTCAATTGGTCGTTCAAGTTGTGTACGCATGAAGTCCGACCCTTGATCCAGCGAACTCGGATTTTTTTTTTGTACCTTGAGATCGCAGTTCTCGTTGACCAGAATGTTGCTTGGTTTCTATACGATCGAAAGAGGACAGAGCAGAGCATGGCTGAGAACGCGGTTTCTCCTGTTTTCTGTGGAATAGTAAGCCTGCCTGCCATTTAATAGCCCATGCTGTTCTTACTAAGTCGCGATGGACAACACCAGCCGAGTGCAGGTACTTCAGGCCGCGCTGTTTTGTTTTTCACATCAGAAAAAACGAAATAAAAAATGATGTCAGCGAATTCTAAGTGAGCATAGAATGGGTTTGCCAATCACAGAGGAGAACTAGGTGATAGGATTCAAGCCCTTCCCATTGAAGCCCGCGAAGAGCAAATGACGGGTTGATAACATACCAGGATCTGGTACAAGAAGTATTGAATGAACTGCTTGTCGAGAGGCCTCGACGTTAAAAGGCGATGCAGATCTGTTCCAAGCAATTCAGTCACAAAGTAGCTAGAGTGTATGCACGCATATAAAGTAGCACATGTAAGCAGAATTATCTCACCCCTCGTTCCCTCCCCACATGGTCGCCATGTCATCGAGAGAGGGGCCCGCATGGCAAGTTACATCACTTTTTATGGCTCGAAAGGTATTTTATCACTTACATGTCTTCCAGTGGCGAGATGAAAATGTCGCTCAGGCTGATAATCTGTTGAAGGAAAAGACAAGCAATTGAAGATCGAAGGTGAGATTCCGCTTCTTTGTGCTGTGCAGTAAGGCTTCTTAATGGACGTCGGCGGTATTGACGACAAAGTTCAGGAAAAGATGCCGTACATTTTCATGCTTGAGGTGCTTCAGCAGCTTCAATTCTCTGTAGGTACGCTTCGAAAGGACCGGAGTACTGAAGGGCTTCATGATTTTCTTAATAGCAACCGGTTGGCCGGTCAGCTCATCCTTGGCAGAACTAATGAAACGTATCTCAGCAAATGGCGTTCGTTCAGTTAGTTAACGTCAAGTTGCCCAGACATCCTAGAGCCGAATCCAGTGGTAATATCAACTCTATAGGAGACGCACCAGACGAGGCCGAATGCACCCATGCCGACGGGCTGGAGATCAACATATCTAGGTTAAAGAAATGAAAGCAGCATGGTTGTGTTAATAACAAGGCATATCATATACTATTACTGGAGATTCAATTGCTCCGTCTCTTTCGAAAGGGGCTGTCGTTTGCGGAGAACGAGTGCGGCCCTACCGAGTGGTGACCTCAAAGACGGTTCCAAAGATGGAGAGTTTGGCGAATTGAGCCATGGCGACGAATGACTCTTTTGCAGCTTGTCAAGGTTGTGCGCGGGATGGTGTGGAAGTGAAAGGAGGGAGGTAAAAACGAGGCGAAGGAGATGAGAGATGAGATGGGGGCGAGAAAAAGGAGCGGACAAGAAGTAGGGAGGGGAGAAAGAGAGAGAGAGAGAGAGGCGAGAGGGATGAATGAACGACAGGCCGTTCCTTTTGTTTTCTTCTTTTTGCCCTGGGCAGCGGCATGTCTTTTTTCTTTGAGACCCGCGCGCACAACAAACGCGATGACATCATGCGGATCTGAGCCCTGCTTACTGCCCTAAAACCAACTGCAAAACGAGCGGCAATTGAGGGTGGCCAGCCTCTCTTAGTGACACGCTGACTTCCTCAGTATCCATGCATCGTATCATGTCTCCTGTCTCGGGTTGCGTGGTGTTTTGCCTCTTGTTTTCTTCGTCCGCCACATCACTCTTGCTTCTTCTACTTCGTCTGATCTTGTCGCTTCACACAGGCTTGAAAAGATAGGACATTGCCATATTCCTGATCGACCTCACGACTCACACAGACGCGTATCTTTTTTACGCGTTTCCTTGAAGGATAGACACGAGCATTAGGCAGTAAGAACTATTTCAGTCCGCGATATCGGCTTTGGAAGAATGGATTCTAGCCTCGCGGACATTGTCAGGGGCGAAGAAGGGAATAGATGTCGAGATGATTACGGACACATACACACACAAAAAACTAAGAGAAATGCGCCACGATCTATTGCATGTATCTCACACCTTCGATCGACTGAGTGCTGCTTAAAAAAAAGGAACTAGCGGGTGCAAGTGCGTGTCTGTTTATGTTGGTCGTGGGAGGCGCGCTGGTGCGCAGGTTCGATTGGAGCTACAAAGAAGAAGATGGGATGTGGTCAGGCAGAGAAAAGCGTGCGGAGGAGAGCGTTCATGCCTGTGTCTTTTCTTCTCTCGCCCATTCATGCTGCCTATCGTTTCCAGCCCATGGTGCGTGAACTTCTTTTCTGCTTTGCTCTCGCCGGAGAAAGAAAGCCCACACCTTAGTTGGCATAGGTGTCATGCCGCTCACCATTTCTAAAAGTCTGTCTCTGTTTTATATCGTCTCTGCTCGTTCTTTCTTCCTAGAGGTTTTCCGCGGTCGCGTCCTAGAATGAACGATCTTTGCAAAAAGGTGCGCAAAAGGAAGACGGAGCTATCTTGTGTAAATGTATCACGCATTCATTCGCATGGTCTTCTTTCGTCTCTTGCTCACCATCCACTCCTCGTTTTGTCTCCTGACTTTATTCTTATTCGCTTCCCTCTCTCTCTCTCTTTCCTGTTTCTTCGTCAGCACTGCCTCAATCGAGCCACGTCAAATCTCAAGCACAACTCACAACTAGCCTTCCATCTTTCTTTTTCTCCTTCCCTCTTTTCAGCTGCACCATATACTTATCTGTCTCCACACCCTAACTACGTGCTTGGTTTGTCCAATTGGTTCGTCCTCCTCCTCCTCCTCCTCCTCCTGTCCTGTGCCCTGGATGGATACCCCCTTCGCAGTCAATTCTTGAAGCGATATTTAACCACAGCGACAAAAAGCAACAACAGCAGCAGCGCCAAGTGCAACTGCAGCCCCCTTTCCATTTTCTAATTGACTTCCAGCAAATCCCTCCCTCCTTCGCTCTCTCCCTTCCTCCCTCCCTTGCATTCATCAGCCAGTCTATTGTGCTGCTGACATAGGCAGTCTAGGCTGCTGTTCTTCTCCGTTTATTTGCTCTGTCTTGTACTCAATTTGTTCTCGCCTCATACACCGCACGAATTATGCTGCGCTGACAGTCTGACCAATCTGTCTGGACGCTTTTGTGAATTCAGTGGGAGTGTGTGCGCGCTACACACGCGTAGCCCGCATTTCTTCTTTTGTCTGTGTTTGTTTGCACACGGGCAAGACGCCCCACCTACGTACTCGCAATGTTACGTTATTTTTATATATCGTTAGTGCTCGCTGCATAAATCTTTTCCTTTGACTCTTGTCCTCCCTCTTGCTCTCTCTTTCTTTTCTCTCTCTCACTCTTTCTCTCTCCCGCTCTCTCGCTCTCTCTTTCTTTCTTTCTCTCTCTCACATCCTCAATACCCGATACCATTGCACACATATTCATCTTCTAATTGAATCCAACCCCTGCTTCTCGTCCCGTTTGCCTTCTTGTTTCCCTCTTCTTACCTCTTTCTCCCCCACAAACGGAAGCCCACTTGTAAAAACAGTCCATCCTACAAAGACTTGGTAATACCATTCAGCTGTTCAGGCACAGTTCAACGTGAATGGAGGGAAACACTTGTCAATTAGCCAGCAGCCTCCAGCAGCCTCCATTAAGGCAGCACTCTCCAGCACACGCTCTCGACCCGGCACCCCTTCCCTTCTGATTTCATACTCTCATCACATCCACTCTGTTGCTCATGCTATTACCCCTCTCATTCCTTTTACCATCCAAAATAGACACCCACTGATCAACCCGACGACTACAAACGATATCAATTGAGACTACAGCAGACGTTTAATTGCACACTTCAATTTTTGTGCACTGCCCAGCTATTTCGATACGACTACGTGAAAACTATCAGGCACCACCGCAGCAGTAGCATCACCAGCTACAACACCAGCAGCAACACGGACGATACTCATATATTTGGCGATAAAGCATTGGCCTTTGGAGGGCTCATTCACATCATCCACGGAATAATATATTGGCAGATTCCTTTTTTTTTGGTGAAGACGCACCTCTCTGCTTTAATTGCTCTCACAGTCCCCCGCGTACATTTTTATATTATTTCTCTATACGTCCACTTCACCTCCTGTCGTCTACTTTCGAAACACACCCTCATATCACAGAGCAGAGCAAAGCAGCACACCTTGCATCATGGGTTTGTGTCTGTCAGCAGAGGAAAAAGAGCAAAAGGAAATCAGTCAGACCATTGACCGTGGCCTAGAAGACGACAACAGGCGGTTAAAGAAGGAATGCAAGATCTTGCTGCTCGGTAATAAACGTTTACATTTATTTTGGATCAGTGCTACAATGGCATAATTTATCTACATGTCCCAACCCTAACTCCCCCTTTAACCCTTGGCGCACTATTTGTAGGGAGTGGAGAGTCTGGCAAGTCGACCATTGTGAAGCAGATGAAGGTCATCCATCAGGGCGGATACAGTAGAGAGGAGCTCGCCACGTACAGGCTGACCATCTACAAGAACCTGGTTGACTCTGCGCAGTCGCTGGTCCTTGCAATGGAGAAGCTGCGGCTCGAGCCCATGAAGCCCGAGAACAGGATCATGGCGGACTGCATCCTCGACTACCGCGTGGATGCCGACCCTTACTTCACGCTGAGCGCAGACATTGTTAATGCGATTGACTCTCTCTACCACGACCCGATCACTGCAACGTGTATGGAACGATCCAGCGAATTTTACATTATGGACTCTGCACCATAGTAAGGTTCCCATTTACTGTGTTCTGTTTGTTTCCACCTTCCGCGCATTCGATTTGTTTTCATCTTTATGCAGCGAATATTACACTAAGACAGTATGACAACAGAGAAAATGGAGCGTCAATTGCTCTGCTGCTCTCACGCACGTTGACCCTCCCCTAGTCTTACAAACAAAACTTTTCTCGCTCTCTGTCTTTCTGCTTCATAGTTTTTTCAGCCAGGTCCGCAGGATAGGCGCAGACGACTATACGCCAAGTGTACAGGATGTTTTGCGGTCGAGGTCCAAAACAACAGGCATTTCGGAGACACGGTTTAACATGGGCCAGCTCAGCATACAGTAAGTCGCCTGTTTCTGTCTTTGCCTGTGATATCCTCGATTGATGCATACAGTGGTGTGCATTCCCAGTCTAGTTATACTAACACATCCATTCTTGATTGCGGCTATAGCATGTTTGACGTTGGGGGACAGCGATCAGAGAGGAAAAAGTGGATTCACTGCTTTGAAGCAGTGACCTCTATCATCTTTTGTGTTGCGCTAAGCGAGTACGATCAAGTTTTGCTTGAGGAATCAGGACAGGTAGCAACATGTTTGTTTTTGTATGCTCTATGCTTTCAATTCGGTACAATGGAAACTAAACCTCCGCAACCTTGTTTCCTTGTTTCAATAGAACCGCATGGCCGAAAGTCTTGTGTTGTTCGAGTCAGTTATTAACAGTCGCTGGTTCTTGCGGACATCTATCATCCTATTCATGAACAAAATCGACTTGTTTGCAGCCAAACTGCCCAAGGTACCGCTGGAGAAATTTTTTTCGGACTACACAGGCGGTCCAGATATCAGCAAGGCAGCAAAGTACATTCTCTGGCGGTTCACTCAGACTAACCGAGCCCGCCTCCACATATACCCACAGTAAGTGTCCTACACGGGCGATTTTATGTTGTTGTGGCGGCTGAAAGGAGCACTCTCTGACCTCAACACGACCTATTCTGCCCATTGGTCTACTATTCATGGTAGCATGACTCAAGCAACGGATACTTTAAACGTAGGCATACAACTTTGTTTGTTCTTGACCTCGTTTCACTTTAATACATGATGCTCTAATTATTCTGCGGCTATTAACGGTTTTTCGTGTACTATGTATTTGTATTTTTCTTTGACCTCGTAGATTCGGTAAGCACGTACATACATTGCAGGGGAAAACGGACAAACTGCGGAAGGAGTAGATTGCTAACACTTTTTATTTTTTATTTTTTTGTAATAACCATTCTCTTTTAGACTCGTGTTTGCGGCCGTCAAGGAAACAATTTTACAGAATGCGCTGAAGGACAGTGGAATTTTGTGAAGCAAATGAGAGAAATAAAAAAAGCGCAAAAAACATCTACTTCATTCCCATCAAGGACCTTGCCCTTATCATTTTCCGTGTTCTTCTCCTTGTTCATGTTATTCTTGTTGTTATTTTGCCCACTCAATCTAGCAAGAATGCTATTAATATTTAAACCTAACTAGCAACGATCCGCTTCAGTCGCCGTAAGACAGGTCGCGTTCCCCAGTTCTACATTAATTTGCGCAACAATTGCCATGCCTCATTAGCATGTTAAATGCTGAAGACGGCCATAATGGATAGAGTATCTTCCTCATTCCCCACAGGCGGTCCAGTGGCGTTCGATCCGCAGTATTGGGACCCACAGTGGGCCAGGTTTTTTTATATCTATTTACTAACAAAGATCCTCAACGACATGGGATTTGTAGTCCACAGAGGCTGTGCTCCATAACGTCTTCTATAAGCAGCATAGCTACATCCATCCCGACACAGATGTCCTGGTTTCATAATCGCTGACCGCATGAGCAAGTGCCGTACGTGTCTTGCTCGCTAACGCGACCTGTTGTGCCCGTGGCGTCTTTAGGAACTTCAGCCCTTTCGTTCCCTCCATCACGTCCAATCCCAAACAACCCTGATACTGATTCAGCAACCGTTCGTCCGCCGTCCTTGATAGCTGTTGCGTGTTCGATGCTGACTCCTGCCGTTGAGATCGTCCAGAGGCAACTCCACGGCTACCTGCGCCGCCCGCTACACCGGAGGTCCCACGCTCGGCGCCTTCCAAAACACGTTTGCTCACCACGACTATTTTTTTTTTTTTATTAACATAAATCCCCATGAGCACGAGACGCATGGTTCGCAAAGGCCTTGAAGCCATAGATGCCTTCCATGCACGGCAGAGCCGCATCCCCTACCAACTATGTTGGCTTGAGGCGTCAAATTCATAACCCATGTCGCATAGCTAGCCTAACCTAACTCCTACGTGACCTGTTGCGCGATACACGTCTCCTAATCCAGATCCAATGTTAATAAAGTTGTTTTTAAACCGAATAAACCCTCCATTATGTCCAACTTCCCTCGCCCCAAACAATGCTGCAGCACCCTATAATCCGCGGTCCGTCTACCTTCCTGGATCTCCGCTGCAAGTAACCGTCTCCCTTTCAAATCAGAGAAATCACCAACACTACGTTGGTGTTCCCGATCACCGTTGCGTCCTCCGGCGCGTTTGCTCATGAAGGTGATTCCAACTGATTTTTCCCAGGCGACAGTGTCCTCGCATCGTTTGTTCCATATCTTGGTCCTGCCAAACTCTTCGATCCTGCTCACGAACTTTGTCACCATGATCGTCGCAATCCACTTGGTGGTGGTAAATAGCTGTTTCCAGGTCTCAATGAGTCTCGTTGGCACCAAACCTCGGTATAACTCCTTGACCTCCCAATCCGTATCACTCTTCGGTGCCTCTCCTTCCGCAACGTGATATGTCTCTCGTCTTTCCGCCGTCCCCTGGATCCACTGCATTGACTCGCAGCCTGTGGCACGCCTGCACGCCTGGGGGGATCTGGCGTCAATAAAAAAAAAAAAAAAAGGATCCACTGCATTGACTCCCAGATAGCCTTCGTTCCTGTTGCCGAGAAGTTGGGACAAGTCGCAGTGAAGGGGTTGTCCTTCCGTTCGGCCTCCTCTCTCTCCTGTTCCCATTTTCGCACTGCCTGTCTTCATGCACGATATCCATTCAACTCCACCTCCTCCACCGCATCCCTCCACTCTTGTCGCTGGTTGCACAAGGTAGCTGAACGACGCCAAAGATGATCGTTCGTCTCTGCTTCCCTTTCATACCTACGACACATATCCGTTTGGTAGGTATCTGGATGTCGTTTCTTCATCGCCTGTTTGCTCACTTTTTTTTATTTTTTTTATTTTTTTTTATTAACGAGAACCCTCATAGACATGGGACTTATTAACTATGGTCTGAAGGAGTCCTAAAGGTGGGACAGAAAATAAGCAGCGTACTGCTCGCCCCGACTAGTGCCGCGACGGATCCTTGGTTTCATAATCTACAACCGCATGAGTGGCGTGCCAAAGGCTCCTGCTCCCTACGTAGCCTGTTGTGCGCGAAGGTCATCCTTTAGCCACGGTCCTCTGACATTTTATAGAAGCGGCATCCTCCCAGCCGCTCCATCACGTCCAAACGCTGTTGTCCAAAATAATACCGCAGCACCCTCTCATCCGCGGTGTCGTTGATTTCTTTCCCATCGGGTGCTTGTCGTTGCCTCAGGGTAGATCCCATAAAATCATTGCTGCTATGTCTGTGCTCTCCAACACAGTTGCGTCCCCGGGCGCGTTTGCTCACAGCAGTGATCCCATGTTTACGTTCCCAGTCGACGGTGACTTTGCATCTTCTGTTCCAGATCTCAGTCCGCCCGATCTCTTCAATGGCCTTCACAAAGCGGTGTACCATGTACGTTGCAATTCGTTCCGTAGTGCTGAAAATGCGTTTTCATCGCCTGTTTGCTCACCAAGACTATGCCTAAGGTCTTCTCCTGTTTGACAGTAGCGTCATATCTCCACCGCCTGGACGATCTTCACCACAATTGCTTTTTTTTTTTTTTTTTTTTTTTATTAACATAAATCCCCATGAGCACGATCTTCACCACAATTGCTGCAATCGTTCCCATAGTCTTGTAAAGCTGTTTCCACTTCTCTACCATGGACTTTGGCACCAGCCCACCTCCGCCCATCCTTCTTAGCCCACAGTGGGGGCCAGGACAGCTCGTTCCTGAAGCACATGGGTTGGATTATCGCGAATAAATATTCTATGAAAAACTTTGAGTTTCGGGTTCCGGCTAAGGTCCCGATCTGGATAGCTTCCGTGGCGCAATTGGTTAGCGCGTCTGACTGTTAATCAGGAGGTTGGTGGTTCAAGCCCACCCGGGAGCGAGGCCCCAGACACCCGGTACCTCTGGTACCCTCATCTGTCTCTTTTGACGTAAATCTCTCTGACAGCCGGTCTTATTCAACTACCATACCCAATGGTAATTTTTTGCGTATTTTATGATCTCGCTCTAGGCCACAATAGACGGGCCCCGGTTTATTCAACCACGACAATCGTCAATCCAACTCCTGCACATTCGCAACCCGTTTTGGACTGGGACATCGAGTCAAAACGAAACCAGCGTTTGACAACCCATCCGGAAATCTATAGCTTGTGCAGCCTGCAGTGCTTTACATGGATTTCCTGCCGGATTCATCAAAAATAACGGGCTAGTTCTAGGGCATCACGTGCGGTTGTTCTCATGACGTTGTCAGAATCGATCTTTGCCTCGCCAGCTCCTTACTCTCTTTCCAAAACATCATCACCCACAACCACGACCACCAATAGCCACCATATCCATAACCATATACCACAATGTCTGCTCTCGTCGCTACTGAATACTGGTAACTGCTTGAGCCCAGAAGAGCACCTCAGGGGCCGTGTCTATTCACAGCAGGACATTGCATTAACATGCTGTGTCTTGTTCCATCGTTCTCTTATTAGCCCTGTGTACTCCCCCTTCTTTGGAGTCATGGGTGCCACCAGCGCAATCGTCTTTTGCTGTAAGTGCTACTCTCCTTTCCACTTCCTCAATAAGCAGTACCCACACAACAACCACCAACGACAGGTGGGCCACCGATCAGGGCAAATGGAGAGATATTTTTTAGAGCATATAATGGATTCTGCAGCCACCACAAGCGCATCCATACAGCTTTTACAACAGCGAGTTTAAGGAGACAAGACAGGCCCACAAACACAGTCTGCTGCTACCGTCTACCCCGGCGACATGTGCCATTCAACGAACATGCATTCAGGGCGCGTGATCTGACGCTGGGCAAGGTGTGATCATAGGACCTGTTATTGAGTTTTGCGCGCTTACAGGTCCATTTTCGGGAGAAAGGGGCCAAAAAAATGGATTATGCAGGCGTCAGATGGGAGATATGACCGAAGGACCTGCGTTACTGAACCTAAACAGTGGATGCCCAAACGATGCTCTTGGATTCATACACGCTGGGTATCAACTCACGGCTACGCTGCTCTTACCAGGAAGAGAAAAAGTCCCTGAAAGCGTTCAGGATCACGGTAGACACACTAACATTTTCATCCTTTCTGAATATGTAGGCTTCGGAGCTGCGTACGGTACTGCCAAGTCTGGTGTTGGTCTCACCTCCATGGGTGTTCTCCGCCCTGACTTGATTATGAAGGGTGTCGTCCCCATTATTATGGCCGGTATTATCGGTATTTACGGACTGGTCGTGTCTGTGCTGATCGGAAACGGATGTAAGTGATTCTCTACCGGGTAGACCTTGCTGGAAAGCATCTCTCAAAAATATCTTCCTTAGTCATTAACTTAACTCTCGAATGTCAACATTCAATTTCCAAATAGTTTCCCAAACAATGTCGCTGTACGCTGGCTTCATTCAGTTGGGCGCTGGATTGAGTGTCGGTCTTGCCGGAATGGCTGCTGGTTTCGCTGTCGGTATTGTTGGTGATGCTGGTGTCCGCGCCTCTGCTCAACAGCCACGACTCTTCACAGGAATGATTCTCGTCCTGATTTTCGCTGAGGTGTTGGCTTTGTATGGTCTTATCGTTGCTTTGATTCTCAACACCAAAGCTTCGGATGCCCAGTGCTAAGCGCGTCAGTGTATCTATTATTCTGGAGTTGTTCGTCAATTTGTCGTTTTTGTGAGCGAGACCACAATAAAGTCGTCATTGCTTTCTCTTGTACTTTTCTACATTGCTCTGTACTTTGCAGAGTTGAAGAGATACGAGGGCCTTAGTGGCAAAACCGCACGGACGCTCTTAAAAATCGGTCCAGGACAATGGAGAAATTGACGAGGACTACGATAGCAATGTGCGTACATTGTGTCGAGCGATGCAAGAACATATAAGCGCACATGTCCTGAGAACTATTACCTGGCGCCTGATGAGCGCCAAAAGAAAGGTAAGTCTCGTCGCTTTTCTCACTCTCATACTTTCGATCATTTTCATCAGAGTATACAAACAATAGCCATCAAGCAAAGAGATCGACAGGAACAAATTAGCAGCAATCGATGCCTGAAGAAACCATTCCAGCTCGACTAACACCCGCACTCAGCCTTTATTTTTCGTTCTTGCCAATGGAGAAAGATACAAGTAACGCCTCGAGGGGAGGGCGGAGGGGGGAGGGGGGTTTTAATTCGTTCCTTCAAGAGAGACGAGCACTGACCCTTCGCTCCTTCAGCGAACTTCATATGGAGACACACGTTGCTGTCTGTACATGTATTATTTCCGTATTATGAAAATGTAGTGCCTTGAGCGAAGGAGGGCAAAGGAGAGCGAACAGATAGGTTCATTCACTAGGGAGCGAAGAAGAAGGAAAAGTGGGGACGAATAAAGTTTCCTCCGTTTGAGGCTGGATACAAGAGCGTGATTTCCTTTCCAGACTCGAGATGCCCCGCACGAATCGTGGACACTATAACCACCATACTCTTATAAGAAAGGCCGGGTATTCGACTCTTACGAATCAATCTACATCTTGCAGATGGATACAAAAGGCGCACTGCTCATCGGTGACTTTTATGCAGCAGGAGCGGTTAGACATTTGTTATGAAATACGTTTTGCGGTCATATTCTTTGCACTTGCGCCGTCTGATTCAATCTGTCACAACGTCTATCTCGCGACATTTCCAGTAATGCTCATTATGGGCGGATTCTTATGGATTCGCTACGCAAGAATCGACCGAAAGCGACATGATCTTGAAGGAACCATATGGGTATGTGGTATACTAGAATTTGTATGGTACTCGCCTGCTCCTTACTCGTTTGATACCCTGTACAGCGAACTGCTTCCTGACACGAAAGGGATTAGCTACTTATGATGTACCTGGAAATAGACTCGCCCGTGTTGCATGAGTAAGTACTACGATACGGACAATGGTATTTCGAGCAAGACAAGTCGGATAAGAGAGCACGCAGGGTTTGGCTCGCCCACAGAAGTTTGCAGACATGAACGCTCTTTCGATTGCACACATAGATTAAAGGTGGCGACGAGCATTGGCCTTACCTTGGCCGTGGATTATGGCCAGCTGGTTGGGCTTGACAATCCATAATATTCTACAGGCTTGCTGAGCAAGCCCGATCCTTAATTCATAATCGTAGTTATCAAACAGGAAGAGCGTGTCGATGAGATTGGCTTATGGCGACGTGATTTAGATAGCCTTATTAAAGACCACAACCACTCGGCTGAAGCCTTGTGTAAGGACACGAAGCAGTGGACGCGTCAAAGACGCGTGAGATTGGTGGCAAAGAACCTTGTTTCTCATTTCCGAAACAGGAAGCAGGTAAACAAGACTCGCCGTCACCCGCCATGTCCTGGCCTGTCCGCCTTGCCGCTCTCCTTCTATTGATCCGCTTCCACACTCTCTCTTCACATTCCATTCCGGGAGTCCAGTCAGCGCAGTAACGACCACGGGACAAGGACACGGGACTGAGGAAATCAACAACGAGATCATAAATCGATCAGGGTTGATTAGCTCTGAAGCATCCCCACACTTTTATTCTTTTATTTTCATTCCACTCCGCAAATGCTCAGGACTGCAGCAACATACCGAGGCTCGAGCGCCTTCCTCCTCAGGAACGGCTTCTCCTCACTCAGTGTCCGCGCGCGGCCGACCCTGATCACAGTCGCTTCGCCGAAGCCAGTAGCAGTTCCCTGTTCCAGGACCTTAGGCACATCATGGGGATCGTTCCGTTTGATGGCCACAGCAGCGAATACGCCCCCACCGCCAGGAGCTGCAGGATCATCAGCCGCAAAAAAGATCATGAAGGAAAAGCCGGATTCGAAATATTCATCGACCCTATTGCTCCCCAAGACTAACTTTCCGCTCCGATCAGAGGCTGCAACACGCGAGGCTGGATACCGGCAGCGATGTACAACCGATCTATACCACTGGCAGGTAATTTATTCAACATCATTTCAGTATTGGAGAATGTCGATGGTGTTTCAACTGCGATGGGGAATCCCTGTTCTGAATGGGAGCCGATTGCTAATATCGTGAAGGGGGCTTTTTTTTTTTTTTTTTTTTTTTTTTTTAGCGTGAGAATAATCCAGGGGAGTTGTTTGTGCTTCACGATGGACCTCCGTATGCGAATGGGCACCTGCATCTCGGACACGCGCTCAACAAGCTGATCAAGGACTTTATAAATCGCAATCGTGTCATGAGAGGCTTCAAAGTCGAGTAAGCAATTCATCATAGTTCCGACCTCGCTTCTATATGCGCTCCATATTCTCTCAGGCTGACATTCCAATGTGATCATCCCTCTTTCTTCACTGTGGCATGATAATAGTTACCGACCAGGATGGGATTGTCACGGTCTGCCCATCGAACTCAAAGCGCTTGCAGAACTCAAGGGTCGGGACCGATCAGCACTTTCGCCTATGGATATCCGCACAGTTGCTCAGGCCTCAGCCCGTGCTGCGATTGACATTCAAAAGAACGAGTTCTTATCATACGGAATTATGGGCGACTTCGACAACGGATACTTGACGATGGACAAGGATTTTGAAACCAGACAGCTCAAAGTCTTTTATGAGATGATGAACAGGGGACTGATCTATCGTGCCAACAAGCCCGTGTACTGGTCCCCGTCTTCCCAGACTGCCCTGGCGGAATCAGAACTCGAGTACAAGGACGACCACAAGAGCCGTTCCGCATGGGTTGGCTTCGAGATGGACAGGCCATGTAGGTGTTTTCTTGTTCACACCCGTTTCGTATATTAGTATGCTCTTGCCTTGTTGCTCACCACGCGTTTTGATTGCTCTGTTTGCTTCTGTACTCAGCTGAGGCACTGTTAAATGTCTTGCCAAAATCAACCTCCCTGCAGGCAGTCGTCTGGACAACCACACCCTGGACTCTACCCGCCAACCGTTGTGTTGCCGTCCACCCAAAACTCAGCTACACACTCTTCCGCACCAGCAACTCGGTCGACCAAAGTATGATCTACCTGGCAGCAACCGATCGTATGGAAGAAATGAAGAAGCGGTTCGCCGCCTCCGCACCAGCAACCGATGGCTCCGCAACAGCACAAGTTACCTTGGAGCCCCTTGCGCAGGTCTTGGGACAGGATCTCGTCGGAACCACATACAGGCATCCCCTGACATCCGAATCTCTCCCTTTCATCGCCGCGGATTATGTTACCGCCGACTCTGGATCTGGATTGGTCCATACTGCACCAGGCCATGGCATGGACGATTACAAGGCTTGCTTACCCCTGGGGATTGAGGCTTTCTGTCCTGTTGACAATGTTGGAAAGTTCACTCCTGAGGCAGGCAAGGAGTTGGAGGGCCTCCAAGTTCAAGCTGAGGGTACCGCCAAAGTACTTGATATTCTCAAGGAGAAGGGCAGTCTGATCCAGGAACAGGCCTATGTCCACAAATACCCGTATGACTGGCGCACAAAGAAGCCTGTGATTCTACGAGCGACATCACAGTGGTTTGCAAATGTTGGTACTATCAAGGAAGCGTCACTCAAGGCAACGGAGAACGTTAAGATCGTGCCCGAGTCAGCACGTCGGCGACTGGAGGGATTTGTGCAGTCGAGGACGGAGTGGTGCATCTCGAGACAGAGATCTTGGGGCGTACCAATCCCAGTGCTCTATGAGGTCGAGACAGACGAGCCACTGCTGACCGGAGCCTCGGTGCAGCACATCATTGAGACAGTCAAGGAGCATGGTTCGGATGCCTGGTGGACCATGACGACTGAGGAATTGCTTGCACCTGAGTACCGGAATAATGGAAAGACATATCGCCGTGGCTACGACACCATGGACGTGTGGTTTGATAGCGGCACGAGTTGGACGATGATCGAGGAGAAGATGCCCCGACCGCACTTACCTTTCGTTGCGGATGTATACTGCGAGGGTTCGGATCAACATCGTGGGTGGTTCCAGTCGTCACTTCTGACTTCCGTGGCGTTGACAGGCAAGGCGCCATTTGGAACGCTAATTACGCATGGATTCTTGTTGGATGCCAAGGGATTCAAGCAGAGCAAGTCGCTTGGAAACACGGTCGATCCGGCAGTAGTGATCAGCGGAGGGAAGAACCTGCAGAAAGACCCAGCCTATGGAACGGATGTGCTTCGGTTGTGGGCGGCGTCGTCCGAGTATACGAGAGACATTGCGATCGGAAAGACTATCCTGACACAGGTGGCCGAGAGTATTCGCAAGTTCAGGAACACGGCGCGGTTCATGTTGGGCAACTTAAGTGGGTTTAAAGAGGAAGAGCAGGTATCGTATGACCAGCTTTCGCGGCTGGACAAATTTATGCTGGCGGAGGTTTACCAGTTTTCGAAGAATGTAAATGCAGGCTATGATGAATTCATGTTCAACAAAGGTGCGACTCTTTGCTTGTTGTTTTGGTGCAGAAATAATTTGGTCCGCATTAAGCTATGCTAACAGGCAATTTTGTTAGTGTTCACGCAGCTCCAGTACTTTACGAGTACGACGCTCTCGTCGTTCTACCTGGATGTCATCAAGGATAGCCTGTATTCTGATGCGGAGCGAAGTCTTCAACGCCGTGCCATCCAGACTGTTCTCTTCCACGTAAGTGTCCATCATCTCATACATACTACTATACTACTACTCGGTTGCAAAATCGGACAGCTAATCACTTTCGCGCCTCTACTGCCTTAACAGACACTGAACGCGTTCACGCGGAGTGTCGCGCCATTGGCCCCACATCTCGGCGAAGAGGTCTATGAGCATTACCGCGATTGCTTCGTCAGTCCACAGCCCTCGGTCTTCCTATCTGGCTGGCTCGACGCTCCCGAATCCTGGAACGACCTGCAGCTACGCGACGAGTTCTCGGTGCTGAAACACCTCCGCAGTGAGGCCAACCAGCTGCTGGAACAAGCACGTACGGCCAAAGTGATCCGGTCCTCGCTTGAAGCGACCGTCGAGATCCAGATGATCGAGTCAAAGACCGGCGCGGATCAGGAACAAGAGGAAGAACAAAGGATTTCAGGCAACAGAGGCAATACGGACAATCTAGGATCGTTGTCGCAGGTGCTGGAATCTTATGCGGACGATTTGAAGAAGCTGTTTATCACGTCGGATGTTACTATAACGGGGTGTGGTGCTGGTAGTAGCGATATTGCAGAGGAGGACGGCGAGAATGTATTTGTGCGGGAGGTGTTGGTTCCACGGCTGGGACTGTGCAGGATGGTGTTGCGCAAGGCGACGATGCACAAGTGTCCTCGCTGCTGGACGTTTACGTCTCCAGAGGCGGATACACTATGCCCGCGGTGTGAGCCTGTGGTTTCAGCGCTGCAAAAGTAAAAGTGGGAGCGTAAGTTTGTTTCTAGATTACATATTCATAGAAAAAGATTTTTTAATAGTTTCATTTTCGAGGGAGTTATTTTACAAGTGGCAAGAAAGAATGATGGTGTCTAATTGAGATCGAGGTCAAAGATATCAGCGGCATCTTCCTCCTCTTGCTGCTGCTGTTGTTGATCCTGTTGAGCCTGTTGCTGCTGCTGCTGTTGTTGTTGCTGCTGTTGTAGTTGATCACTTTCAGCCTTGACCCTTCCGTAAAGTGAGAAGCCATCTTCTTCAGAACTCGATCCTGATTCGTACTCGTCCTCGTCGACCAACTCGTGTGGCAACAAATGCGCTCCGTTTGCGAGGCGATGTAAATTGTTCGTTCCCGCGTTCACAATTGCCTGTGCATCCCCTGGTCCAGTGCCAGGACCAGCACCAGGACCAGCACCGGCACCGGTACCCGTGGTAGATTGTGGAGAAATCGGCTGACCGGCAGTGCCGGGCATGATGTTTCCGTCGAGGGAGACGAGGGCGGCGGCGGGGATATGTTGTTGGTTGAGGATTCCAGCGCGCATGCTGACTTCTCGAGGGTAAGGGGGTTCGAAAGGTTGGTTCGGGTCTTGGGGGTTGAAGTTTGGAGGTGCAGAGGTATAGTTGCTCAGGCGGTTCGCGTATGCGACTATCTCTGATACTGACACTTCCGCTGCAAGCAAACCAAAAGATAATAGCGAAGAGGTTGAGCAGAGGTTGGTTAGTGCAATCCCTTGGGGGTTTTCCTCAAACAGAAAGCCTGTGTGCGTGCGTGCGTGCGTGTGAGCGTTGAGTTGGTCTTACCTGACCGGGCATCGGCGGTGATGGCCTGTTTCTGATCCTGGTCTTCGAGGCAGGTCTCGAGGACTTGCTTCGCATCCCTAAGACTTTGGATCACGGCCATAATAGCCCGATTTTGATCCTCGATTTCTGCGCGCACCTGTCGGATCCGTTGCTGTTGCCTCTGGTGCAGCTCAACTATCCAGCATCCACAAAAAAAAAAAAATTCCCCCGCCAAAAGATATATGATTAAATTCTTCCATATTGTCGGCCGTGTTTTCACAGGTTGTCAAACAACCCTTGTTTTTTTTGTTTGTTGGATTGCGTGTGGCGCGTCTGGTAACGTACTCTTCTCAACAGCACCCATGAGTGTCGCGTCCAGTTGGACGATCTGCTTCATGATATCGTTCGGAGGCACGGGTGCGACCTTGCCCTCGACCAAGACATCCAGTGAGGCAAACAACGATTGTGTCAGCCTTGAATACTCTGTGATCTGCTCCCGAACCAGCTGTCGAAGGGAGTGCTGGGAAGTCGCCCCTCCTGCTGCACCCGTCCCTGACACGGCTGATGTCGAGGTCGTCGTTGTTGACACTGCCATCTATCACACTGCACTGAGTATGTCTTTAAAGATTGAGGCTTTGGTAGGATGTTGATGCCGATGCCGATGCCAATGCCGATGCTGATGCCACGCGCCTTCCTCGGTCCTGTTTCGCAATCTGTTAGACTTGCAGAGTGATGAATTGAAAAAAAAAAAAAAAAAAAAAAAAAGTAGAAAGACCAAAAGTGATGCCCACTTTGGTGGCCAAAGAAATCCGTCCATAGTGGCTTTTCACTGGCGCGCAACCCAAGTCGCTATTAATTAAATTCAAGTTCGTTCTTTTTGTCAAAGAGATACACATTCTAGAGTCATTGAAAGGGGGTTTTTTTGGACATGAATCGAATATATTAATGGTAACAAATGAATATCTACAAACAATCTAAGAGAAATACAATGCAATGCGAAATGAAGTAGTAACTAGGCAAAATGGGAGCGGAGTGGTGGTAGTGTCATATCAACCATCTATGTGTAGAAAGGCATAAACATGATATCGTCATGGGCTGGCGCATATTTCCCTTAGATTGATAAAAGGTCCGGAGCAAGCAAAAGACGTTGGGCCGGCGCGCGTTCGGGGAGAGAAGATTTAAAAGTCCTCCTCAGAGTCAGAGACCTCTTCACCGCGCTTCTTGGCAGCAGCACGACGCTTCTGCTTGTCCTTCAACTCCTTGCGGGACAACTTGCGCGTAGACTTGACCTTCTCGACGTTACCGAAGGCATCGATCTTGACCTCCTCCTCCTTCATGACGATCTTCTCCAAGTTCTTCTGGGTGTAGTTCTGGCCAGAGACAGTGAGCTCTCCAGCAATGACCGACCACTTCTCAACAGTGACGCTGTCAGTGAACTCGCGGTTGTGGGAAATGATGACAACTCCACCGCCAAACTCCTTGATGGCACCCGACAAAGCTCCGAGAGAGTCGCGATCCAAGTAGTTAGTGGGCTCATCCAAGACCAACAAGTGGGGGTTGAGCCACATAGCGGCGGCAAGGACGACCTTGACCTTCTGACCACCAGAAAGACCGCGGATACGGCTGTGGGTGGAGAACTCGGCATCCAATCCAAGATCTCCCAAGTGCTTCTCGACCTCGACGGCAGTCAATGAGCGGGTCCAGGCACCAGCCTTGGCGGCCTCCTTGTCGTCAAAGGCCTGAAGGACCTTCTCGAAACCCCACTCCTCCAACTTCTCACGAGGGATCCAGGCGTTATCCTCGTACGAGCGGCCAACGAACTGAACCTCGTACTCGAAGGTGCGCTTGGCCTTGCGACGTCCGTAGAGATCCTCGATCTGGACCTTCTCAATCTTCTCGTTGATCTCCCACTGGATGAACTTCTTCATCTGAGCCTCCTCCTCGGGCGAGATCTGACGAGTGGCCTTGTTGTTCATCTCACGATCCTCGCCATACTGGTAACGCCAGCGGATGTACTCGTTGGGGGTCTTGTCCAAGTGCTGCTCGACGTGATGGAAGGCGTGCTGGGCGACGTAGGCGACACGGACGTTGGGGTGCTTGGTGACGGTACCGTCAGTGGGGACGGTCTCACCAGTCAAGACCTTGATAAGGGTCGACTTTCCGGCTCCGTTGGGACCAATGACAGCGACACGGGAGTTGAGCGAGACCTGGCAGGACATGTTCTTGATGGTCAACTTGTCGGAGCCGGGGTAGGCAAAGTCGATGTTCTGGAGCTTGACAAGGGCCTTATCCTTGGACTTGACACCATCCAAGAAACCGGGCTCGGGGAGCTTGAAGGCAATGGGCGAAGCCGACAACTCGTAGTAGGAGCGACCAGCGGGGTACTGCTCGACGAACTTGGACAAGTTACCCTTGTACTTCTTCAACTTGCGGGTCTCGTAGTGGATAATACCCGTGCAGACAGTGTCCAAGAAGCTCGAGTCGTGAGAAACGATCATCGAAGTGACGTTGGTGAGGGAGGTGAGGTAGTTCTGCAACCAGGCGACGTTGGCAACATCCAAATGGTTGGTGGGCTCGTCCAGCAACAGGATATCGGCGTTCATCAACATGGCACGGGCCAACTCCAACTTCATCTTCCAACCACCGGAAAGGGAACCGACAGCCTGCTCCTGCTTCTCCTTGTCGAAACCGACAGACTCGAGCATGTCAATGACATTCTTCTTATCGAGGTTCTTGATGTTCTCGTCATTGAAGATGAAGGTGGTGACGGGGAGGTCAGCCTCCTCAGCCTGGAGGTTGTGCTCGACAAAGACAGTGCGGAGCTCATCGGGCGAGGGGAAACCCTCGAGCTGGCCCTCGGCAATGGCGCGCATGAGGGTTGACTTTCCGACACCGTTGGGTCCGCAAAGACCATAGCGCTGACCACGGCGAAGGTTGAGGCGGGTCTTGTTCAACAAGATCATACCACCATAGGCCAGGGAGAACTCGCAATCGCAGAGCAACTCACCCTCCTCAACATCAGCAACAGCGGCGTTGGAAAGAGCGTTCTTAGTATCGTAGTCGACGTAGTAGGCGTTAAGCTCCTCAGCCAAGACAGCGACCTCGGCATCAGAACCGACGACAGCGAGGTAGGGGGAAATGGAGGAGACCCAGGCATCCTTCTCAAAGTTGCGGGAAGCAATCAACTCGGCGCAAAGGGTCGAGACGTAAGCAAGGAGGGTGGCAGAGAAAGAGTCCTCCTTGACAAAGGCGGCCTTGGCCTTAAGGACCTCGAGGACCTCGGAGGAGGAGACAGTGTAGGCGATAGTGACGACCTGGTCCTTGGAACCGGGCTCACCACCACCGACGCGGACCAAGGTGGAGCGGGCACGCTCAGCAACGCTACGGAGCTCGGGGGAGGCACCAATCTCGATCATGCGGTCTAAACCGGGCAACAACTTGGGCAAGAACTGCTGGGCGTGAGCGGGGTTCTCGACAAGCTTGCACATGTTATCGATAATGACGGCGGTCTGACGCTGGATAGAGGGGGTACGCTCAGCAAGACCACGGACCAAGAGGGGGCACATGATGGCGAGAGTGGGCTCCTCGACAGTGGTGACGAAGGTGGTGGCAGCAAGCTGGTGAATGCACTCGGCAGCCTCCTCGGGACGGTTGATGCATCCAACGAGGTAGGGGATGGAGGAGATCAAGTCAGGGTTACCGACGACGTTGAAGCAGTCGGTGGTGGTCTTGGTGGCCTGGTCACGGACCTCGGGCTTGGAGTCCCACATAGCCTCGCTGATGATGGGGATGATGTCCGAAAGGGCAGCAGAGATTTGCTATTGAGGTATAATGGAGAAATATGGTCTTGTCGTTAGATTCCATGTGCTTGCTGCGAGTGTGAGTCCAGCAAAAAATAACGCCCGTTCCTGAAAATATATTGTTTTTCGTACCTGAGGAGCAGTCTGGGTCAAACCAGACAAGATATCCAGGGCACCAATCTTGGACTGCCTGTAGAAGCGAACAAAAGCAAACAAAAGCGAAACTGGGTTAGTCAGCATTCTCTCCCTTCATATCCAGGCTGGTGGGCACACAGGCATACAGAGAAAGAGACTCACCACTTGGATTCCTTGATGGCGTGGAAGATGACGGGCAGCAAGAGACGGACGGCATAGCGGGTGGGGAGGGCCATGATGGCCTTGGAGGCGACGCCAGCAGCCTGGCGGACGGGGACCATCTTGTCCGAGTAGAGCTCAAAGACCTTGGGCATCTGAGGGATCAGGAAGGGCTCGGCGGCCTGGCCAAAGGTGTTGGCCAAAGAGCCGAGGGCAAGGAGGGCGCCCTCACGGTGGGGGACGGACTTCTTGTTCTCGAGGAGGGGAGAGAGGCTGTCGATGATGGCGACGGACTTGACGAGGCCCTCGGACTTGGCGAAGGCGGCAAGGGCATCGGCGGCAGCTTGGCGCTTGTCGGTGCTGTCGGCCTTGACGATGGCATCAATAAGAGGGGCGGACATGTTTGTATGGGGGTGCTCAGGGGCAGAAAAGGGAGGGGAGAGGGATGGAGGGGGTGGTTTGAGTGGAGTGGAGTGGAGTGGAGTGGGAGATGAGGGGGGAGGGGGTATGAAGGTGGGAGCGGGATAGGTAGTATGGGTATGTGAGGTGGTGAAGAGAAGGAGGTATGCCTGATCCCGGGCAGGTGTAGATGCGGTCGTGGGGAGAAAGAGAAGGAAGGAGCAGACGGGTTCGGTGCCTGAGGGCTCCTTTTTAAAGGAAGGAGGGAGGGGGAACCCAAAAAAAAAAGAAGGGCAGGCTTCCGTGGCTTGTTGTGTTGTTTTGCCCCGAATGAGCGAATGAGAGGAGGAATTGAAGCCCCGCCCAACTCCGCCGTCGTCCTCGCCTTTAGAGTTTTCCCTTTTTGTGTCCCCCTCCCTTGGGGCCAAATGGGAGTGGGGCAATGCGGCCATGCGACGGGATGGGACAGCCAATGCGAGGCTGGCAAGCGGGAGAAACACCCCAAATGAGATACTGTACGTACATGTCCGCAGTAAAGAAGGATGAGAAGGCGGGCCTTGCTGGTCTCAGAGGGCATCTCCATCATCTCCATTATCAGGCCACGTTTTATTCACCCGTCGTCATTGGTTCCACCAGAAGGATCCCCCATGTCACCCACCGAAGCTCCCATCGCTATTTTTGTCCTTTCTCTCGTCTTCCTATTTCCTTGTTTTCTCTTTTTGTTGTTTTTGTTCACCTCGTGCTAGCAAAACAAATGAAGTATTGTACTGCTCATGTACGCTAACCTAGTGGGAGATAGGGCGAGACGAACAAAGGGCGACAACTGTTTGGGCTGTATATAGACCACAACCTGCACAAACAAAGGGCTACAAGCCAAGCCAAGGCAGGGCAGGGCAGGGCTGCAGCTGGGTATCTCGATTGGAATGACAAAATAGAACGCTTACCCCTGTCAAAAAAAAGATCCTTATCAAATTGCAAATAAACCACAATGAAAACAAAAGAGCAAGCCCACCGTCATCGTCTCCATTCCCTCCCTGTCTTCGTCGCTGAGAAATCCAATCGTCTTCGATGGAACATAGCCCAGTGAGGAACGCAGCTCATCTCCGGTTGGTGTCTCAAAATGCAGAAGAGGGAAAAATGACAGCAGCAGCTAAGCTGTCTTTCGAAGAAACAGATACGCAATGCTTCATACTTCCTGTTCTGGCTGGTGTCTCACTCATATTCAGGTACGTACTGTGTGCCAGTGCAGATCGGATCTTTTGATAGCCGAAGGAGTGGAATCATTTACAAAAAAAAAAGAAAAAGAAAAGACCGCCGCTGCACAAACGTTCCATCTCTGTCGCACGCACGACCATTGGCCAGGAATGTCTCCTGGCCTATGCTTCTGCTGTGCCGTGAGCACCATCGCTATTGGATTATTAGAAACTCAACTGCGAAAGGACAGTCGAAAAACGCAGTCGCCTTTATGTAAGAAAGAGAGAAAGAGAGCAGTCAAGTACAACTCCGCTCTTTGGGATGGGCCAAGCAAGCATCGAAGATAGTCTATATGCATTGAACACTATTATTATATTTTATTTGCTGTAGGGTATGATACTATGTCATGTAAAAAAACCATCCTTCTTTCTACAAAGCTCGCTCAAATCGATGGAGTTCGCTTTTTTTTTTTTTTTTTTTTTTTTTTCTGCCTTTTGTTAGAAAGGGGGAGGAGAGGGGATGTTGAAAATGGGATATGTAATAATAGAACTGGAAATTAGCTCGATAAAAAAAAAGTTTCCCTTTTTTCACTCAATCCCCTGCATGCGTGCTTGTGTGCATGTCCATTTTACACCACGACCAGGTGCATCAGGGACTTCAATCGGCTCAAATCAACGAGCCAAGGAGGCAGGTATCGCTCAGATTCGACATCTATCTCCCTCAGCTCAGGCGTCTCAAATGATCCTGCATCGTCCAAGGAAATGGCATCCAGCATCAGTGTGTCGTTCTTCTCCTGCGCTGCCACCCTCATCGCAATCGCCTTGATCAGATCCGGACTCACTGGCACCTCATAATCCGCAATCATGTAGTTCTGTACCAGCTTCTGCACCTGGCTCGGCGTCAACATCCAGCACACATCGTAAATGATCTCAATGTCGCTCAGCGATGCCTTCTTGAGCTGCAGCAACTTCGTTGCCTGCATCAGATGCTCCAGCTGAAGCGTACCCTCTGGCAAGTCACGTCCCTTGCACCATTCCTCAATTCGAGTAATGTTGTACTGGATCTGCATCGCTCGTTTCCATGTGCAGAAGTTCCGGCGCATCAACAGGTCGTTGAATCCTGCCACTCCCACCATCTTCAGCAGCTCCGTCATCACCTGCTCGATCACAGTGTGCTCTACATAATAGCAGTTCATAGCCCTCCAGACCTTGTTGAACAACAACAGCAGATCGTCCATGCTGAACGTAGGGCTCGATCCGATCAACTTATTAAAGAACCGTCCAGAGTCGTTCGTGATGAATCCTGGAAGGGCCTGGCTCTCAATGATCGCAGGGATGATCATCTTGTGGAGTTGCTTCTTCAACGACTTCATCCAGACGTGGAAAATGTTGTACTCCAGGCACTCGAGTTCGTACTTGATTGTCGACACTAGTAGCTCGTATTCGTTCCAGAGACCCGCGTTGCCGCGCGCAATATACTCCTCGCGAGTGATCTCTTGTTCGCTCTGGCAGATAAACGACAGGAGCTCGTGCACGTTCGAGAGCCAGTATGCACAGGGGATGATCGACTCATCGCCCGAGATCGATATGGACTGCAGCTGGATAGCCTGCATCACATTAATCATCAGACGCTCCGACTCCTTAACAAAGCCATGCTTCCACATCTGCGTCGTCAAAAGACCAATCAAGTGGGATGGAGCCAGGACTTCGTTGGGCTGAGGCAGAGTCGAATGGCTGGGTGATGGAATCTTGACGTTCTTTATCAGTCCGTTTAGGACTTCCTCCTGTAGGCCCTCCTCGTCCTTCAGAATCCGCATAATCTCCACTTCGGGCTGCTCAACCAGGCTGTGAATGCTAGGTCGGCCACGAGGCACATGACGGGACCAGTCATCGCTCGACATCGTTTTGGCGCTTCTGCTATGGTTGTCCAAGTTGTCAAAGACGCTGTTGGTGGTCTTTTGAGGCTTGAAGATGGTCTCTAGAGCGGCGATATCGGGCGTGCTGTTGCTGCGGTTGCGGCTGATCTTTGCGGCAGCGGTCCGGACTCCGTTAGCATGCGGGATGCTGACGGGCGGTGGCAGCGCAGTGACCTTGTGGGGGTGCATCTCCTTGGCAAACGAATATGCGCTTTCATACTTATCAACGGTGTGGCTGTTGACTGAATGGGAGCTGTAAGCAGGAGGCATCGTAGCCGTGTTGCTGTTAGGAGGCGACATGACCTTGGATGTGACAGGGAAGCTGGAGGTATCGCGACCAGTGGCCTTGGAAAGCTGTGCCAGCTGGTCCTTGAGGTATTGGTTCTCGCGTTTGAGAGCGACCACGCTCTCGGAGTCGTCGGGCTTGATTTTGACCTGGGCCGCTAGTTTGCTGACCTCTTCCTTGGTCTTGGCGAGCGAGTCCGTGAGCTTGAGGATCTCCTGCTCAAGAGCCTGCGTCTTCTCAATCGACTCTTCATATTGGGACTGTAATTTGGTATTCGCTGCTTTCAAACTCTCGTATTCCGCCTTGGGTACAGTAGGGTTCTCGGCAGCAAGTGCAATCTCCTTCGACTTGGATTGTTGTAATGATTCGTATCGTTCTCTCCATTGTTGGACCTGGTTTCCTAGACTCGCTACCTGCAAGTCGGAATGTTTGTTCCGCTGAAGCGCCAGGTCCAAAGCCCGCGTCAGCTCCACCACTTTTCCCTCAAGGCGATATGAAATTTCTTTGAAATGGCTCGCAGAACGAGCCTCGGCCTTGAGGACCGCCAGTTCCTTCTTGGCCTTGTTACGACGGATGCAAGACTGCACCAGGACAATGGCCTTGACCTCCTTCTTGTACGCGCGACGCGCCTGCATTCCTCGCCAGATCTGCTGAATCCTGGTGGCACCGTTCGTTTCCCGGAGTGTCTGGAAGGCAGTACGGGCGACCTTGGCACGGATGGCACACTGGATCTGAAGAATGTGGTTGCGTGTCTGGATGAACTTCTTGCGCTGGACGTAGCCACGCATAAAGGTCTGGAGTAGGGTCGCAGAACGCTCCTCGCGGAGGATACGGGCCTCCTTTTGGGCATGGACCTTGCGAGCAAAGCATTGAAGCTTGACGACAGCAGAGCGGATGGTACTGTACCTCTTCTGGCAGATGAAGCGGCGCATGTTCTTCTGAATCATGGTCGCGTACGCGCTCAACTTTTCCGCGCGCAGATTCTCCATATAGGCGAGCATACCGGCACGGAAGAAGATCTTGGTGAGACCGATCTGGTACTTGTCGGCCTCCTTGATGGTGGCCTCGAGAATGGCAGAGCACATCTTTTGCGTGTCAAAGCCCCAGTGCTCCGAATTGACCAGCATGTAGTAGCGCTCCACAAATTCTTCAAAGGACCAGCGTGAGGGGTAGCCAGCACAGCTGATGCGAATCGTCTCCAGGACACCGCAGGCACGAAGCTGACCTAAGACCATGGGGGCATCAAAGCCCCATGGCTGCTTGGCCTCGTTGGGTTTGAGACAGCGGATATAATGGACATTGGTCGAGTTGATTGTGTCCATGAGCTGAATAAGTGAGCCTTTGAAGATCGAGCCCAGTGTGGGCTTGCGGTTGATGACGCTCCTGCGCTTATCTTCAGATAACTATTATAGAATCAAGGTTTTGTTAGTACCCAGTCGTAGAAGCGCAATAAAACATACAGCCATAGCCATGGCAAAAGAAACGTACACTTCCTCCGACCCCAAGAGTAGCACTGGTCAGAAGAACTTCCTGCAAGAATTCGTTATCTGAGTTCTTGAGCAGGTTCAGCAGCTCCTCTGGAAGGGTATCGCGATTCTTTTCCAAGAAGCCCTCGCACTCGTATGTGACATCGTGGGCATAGTGAGAGATCGTAAATGCGCTATTGGAGAAGCGAGGCTTGGCGAACCACGTCTTGTACTTTTCAGTGCCGAACTGTGTGAATAGCTTGTTGCACCAGCCTTGATCCGAGCCTGAAGGCAGACGACTCTCCTCGTCCAGAAGGGTGAGTACACCGAGCTTTCCCTCAATCATCTCAATACAGGGTTGATTATCGCTAAACTCGATGAACTTCCAGTCGATCTTCTCTCGGACATACTCCTCTTGCTCCAGCTTGAAGACGTGTTGGTTGAATTCCTGCTGCAGCTTCTCATTGGCATAGTTGATACAAAACTGTTCAAACGAATTCTTTTTGAAGTGCTCGAAACCGTAAATGTCAAGAACACCGATGAAGGAGTGGATTTGGCTGGCAACGGCGTCACTGGAAAGACTAGAGTTGATGTTGTTGACAAGCCAGTCGAACAAGGAGGAGTAGATGTATTTGGCCACAGAGTCACGGACGATTAAACTCTGGTCAGGCTTCAGGCTGGAAACAATCTTCTCAGAGCGGGTTACGATCTGCTTCTTGACGAGCCACTTCTTGAATTCTGAGAGGGAAATACCGAGGACGCGAGCTGCGGTGATCAAGGACGGATCCTCATCATTGATTATGGCATCGTTACGGCCGGTGACTTGGATATTACCGATGTGCAGTAGGGCAGCCAAGATGCGGAAGATGTACCATTGCACATGGACAGAGATACCGATGGTCGAGAGGGAGCGCTGGGTAATCTCGAATTCGGCTGCATCGTCGACGCCAATGATGGTCTGGACACCGCCCTGCTTCAGGTAATTGAATTGTGTGATGGACTGCAGGTCAAGCTCCTTTTTTTCTGATGGTGGGGCTCCTGCGACCAGCTGGTAGAAGATGTGATAGTTACGCTCGTGCTCGGGCTGGTACACGAGACGGGATCGCTCCAGCAGATATGTTCTGATCCTGGCACCGATAATGTTGCGGTTCTTGTCGAACTGAATTTCTGTGAACTTCCCGAATCGTGAAGAGTTGTCGTTGCGGGTGGTCTTGGCGTTTCCAAAGGCTTCCATAATGGGGTTGGTGGCTAAAATCTGCTCCTCAGTCTCGCTCATTCCAACCTTGGATAAATCCTGATCTCGGTCACTGTCGTCAGCGGTAGCAAAGTACCGCATGATGAACTTTGCGCTGACGGTCTTACCGGCACCACTATTCGTTGGCGTACGTGTGGATAAAAGAACAGGACGTCAGTTTGTCAGAGCATAGGATTCGAAGCTATAAGGTGCTGCATTTGTTTGCGAATTCCAGTGGCATGCAAGAAGTGACACTTTTTTTTTATATGCTTTGTTCCTCACCTCTCTCCAGATACGACGATGGTCTGATTCTTTTCATCACGGATCATGCAGCGGTAGGCATCCTCGGCAATAGCAAAGAGATGGGGTTCCAGTTCACCACGTCTCCTTCCAGAGTAGGCCTGGATAATATCTTGACTGTAGAGGTTGACGCGGGCAAAGGGGTTGGCGGCAATCAAGACGATTCCCGAGTAGGTGTAGATGTTGCAATGTGAATAGCGGGTTCTGATGTTGCTAAGGACTGCGGAAGGGAAGAGCAGAGCAACAGCACTATTAGACTATATAGAGGATCCATCTTTTTCGATGCACATGCAGCAAGTATAGATGCAGGTTCCTTGAGGTGTACAACGTACCGGCAGGTTCGTTCAAGTATGAGAGATTGGTCAAATCCTCGGTTCCTTCCAGCAGTGGAGGGTTGCGCAAGGGAGGTAGTATGGTATCGTTGCTTTCTTTTATTTTGGCTAGTGTGGACGAGAAGACATGTTCCTGAAGAAGAGACGATGGATGTGTGGGTTAGCAGTGTTTATTATTCAAGCATATCACACTTCTGCTGATGATCATGACAGTAGGACGTACCTTTTCATCGTCGTCGACAAAGGTCAGGGTTACTTTTCCATCGGCGGCAAGGTCTTTGGTGGTCAGTGAGGCACCGATCCAGCCTTCCTTGTCATCCGTGAACCAGCACTTCGTGCCCTTCACAAATGTGTCGAGAGACATTGTTCCAAGCAAATACAGGGGTGTGATGCTCCTGGGAGTATGAGGTAGGGGGAGAAAGATAAACACGTATATACAAGATGTAGAGAAGTATGGTGAGATAACGAGTCGAGCTGTCTACAGTAGTTGGGAGACTGTCTTCAGGTACCGTTGGGCCTGGTGGTGGCTCCAGATAAGGGGGTTGTAGCGGGTGCCAAGTGCCAATGCCAGTGTCAGAGATCCCCAGGTAAGGACGGGGCAAGCGAGCAATTGAGATGAAAGGGAGAGAGAAGGCGACGTTGTCTGGTGGATGAAGAAAGGGGGCGTAGGAAGGGAAAAGAAAGAAGAAGGGAGAGGAAGGAGGAGAAAGAGAAAGGAGGAGAAAGAGAAGTCTGCGTGTAGCGCCCATGTACCCATGCACCCATGCACGCCCATGCACACCCAAGCGCCCATATTAGTATCCTCCAATGGATAGGCAGCCATCACCACCAACACCAACGCCGCCACCAATCGGCGATGTTAGAGAGAATACCAAAAGAACTGGTGTGGAGATCAGTAGAAGAGGCGCCTACGCGTATGTTGTGTGGCCATTGAATTGCTTCACGTCTCTTAAGCAGCAGGGCAGTCTGCAGGATTGACCCCTCCGCCACTTGCTGCTTCGCCTTTAATAATGCAAGGTAACCATGGAGTCTTTTTTGTTATAAAGACGGATGCACATCTCGCGGACACCCACACCAACACCCTTTGCTGTCCACCCTCTCCTCCCTCTTCTCCCCCTCGGGCCCATATCCGCTCTTTGCTTGTGGTATTGAAGTAGACAACACTGTGTATGCATCTTATCCATCTCTACTGCTTTCTCTCTTTTTTTTTTTCACTTCCCTCTTTCTTTTGCCTTTTAGTGTGGCAGAGTGTGGGTCACGCAGCCAACGAAGACTCCCAAGACCATCCGATTGAAATAGACGCGTGTTTCCTATGCTCTCAACGTGCAGGTTCGTGTGTGTGTGGGTGGGTGTATGTGTGGGTGGGTGTATGTGTGGGTGGGTGTGTACAGAATGACTGGAGTGTTGTAATTGTTGTAATTACAGTTGTATTTGTGCTGCTCGCTTGCTCTCTCCCTCGAAGGATAGAGATGACTCTTCTGCTCACGGAGGAATCAGAATCCGGGACAGAATGAAAACGGCGGGAATGGGGCACCTCTTCTTTCACTTGCACATCCTTCTTCCTCTTCTTCTCGGGATAGGCATAGGTAAAGGCATGGGCATAGGGGCGAGGCACCGAATAAAAATACTTTCAGCAGCATGTCCAATTGAACGCACACACACTCCCAAGCACTGACGTCCTTGTGCAGCAGTAAAAAAGAAATAAACGCCTTCGTTCTGTTCCTGCTTCTCATGAACAAGACAATGTTTTTTCTCATTCGCCATGTGCTTGTTCAATCGTTCTTCCATGAAAAAGCACCAACGGCAGGAGAGGGGCATCAAAGACAGCGGAACAATAAGAGTTCAGGACATACCTGTATAGTGCTTGAAGGTGGGGGGGACGAGAGGTAAAGAGAGGCAAGAAGAAGAGGTGAGCACTTTGTGCGTTCATTGTACCTCAAATACCGGACTTCTCTTACAACACCATTGCACCACCGCCGACAAAAAAGCCGCCAGACTCAGGGCCAGGGCTCAGTTGGCATTTCATTTGAACACTGCCCCTGGAAAAATCGATCTTTCCATCACAATTACATGGCGAACTTGATACAGGAGAACGCACTTCACGAGCACGAATTCTTTATCCTTTCTTTAATGAGATGCTAAATAGCAGCAGATGATACACGAATGAACGAAATATAACGATGACCCTTCTTTCAGATGTCCTTCCTGGATTCAGACTTGGTGCCCTTGAGCTTCTTCTCCAGAGCCGTGTTTTCGTCTGCCATACGCAGGTACTCAAGCTGCTGCTGGTTCGCCTGCTTCTTCAAGTTCTCAAGATCCTGCTTGAGCGACTCATGGCTGGCCGCATTCTCCTGCATATCCTTGAGCTCCTTCTTCAACTTTGTCTCGGACTCCAACACGCGCTCGTATTCCTTGCTTTGTTGAGCAGCCTATCCGATTGTACACAGAACGTAATAGTTTTTTTTTTTTTTTTTTTTTTTTTTTTTCGATGGTTAGCGCTCCATGAAAGCCAAAAAAAAAACAAAATGCCGCACATTGTTCCAGAAGAATGGCTGACATACCTGCTTCTTGACAATCTCCATCTTTTCCTCGCTCTTCATCAAATCCAAGATCATGAAGAAGGTGCGGTTCAAGATCAGGGACAGGAACAGGGTGAATCCAGTCAGGTACCTAGTGTATTTTAAGACATGTAGTATAGCGGAATCCAGGTCAGCTTGGGAAACGGATAGAATTGCCACGGTGTCAGATGCAGAGAATGGGTCGAATCACATACATATTGCGCTGAGCATAGAAGCGTCTGGCGGCCATGCTTGTTTCAGCATGGGGGTTGTGGTGATGGTGATCATTATCATTGACGACGTCCTCGACCTTGATGACACGGTTCAATGAGTCTGTAACATGAAAAGGCAATCGGCAAGAATCGAATCAATTGGGTTAGGACAATCGTATATCTGACCTCGCTCACAGCGACATATTTCATTCGATAGTACGTCATTGTATAGGAAGGACTTACCAACAAAGAGAATGAACACGAAGCTAGCATCGTGGGAAATGAACAAGGCCAATGAAATAGGCGTCAACAATTGCTGGCGTGATCCCAAAATATGATTTTTACGCTCCCGAGGAACAGTGCAACTTACATGAAGACGATCTTCATCACATATTGAATGTGGGCCATAAAGGGTGACTTTGACAGGAAGTTGATTATGCCTCGTCGCCAGTTGAAAGGCAAGGGGAGCTATTATAGAGTAGAATTAAAAGGCACTAGTGTTCAGCCAACAGCACAGGAAAGCGACCACACAACAAACATTGCAAGCGCGAAACCAGGGTCGCGTATCCATTTCCAGTGTGCGACTTACAATCAAGAAGATGAAGGTAATCATCTAACAGAGGCGAAAAAGCAGGCAGGAATCGCGTTCAGGTTAGTATGTACTGATCGTCCTGCGCAATCGCACCGGGTCTGATCGATCTCTCTTTCGTACTTACCTCTGTCATCAAGAGGGTAAAGACCATCATATAAGGCAGCGACATGGTGATATGCCTATATGTTTTGTTATGCTGGTTGTTGCTTGTTGATTGAAAGGGTTGAGCGTGTACACGCGTGCACGAATGGGCTGTGGTTTGAGGGAGAGAGGAAGGATGAGCAAGCAAGCAAGCAAACAAAAGAGAGGATCGTTCTTTCTCCCTCGTGGGTTTTATGCTTCCTCAACCAGCTCGTGCTTCCTGTGCCAAGACCACCTCGACTTCGATGTGACGTGGCACAGCGGATTCACGCTCTTTTTCATGTTCGACATGTTTTGTCCGAACTGGGCCAAGCAATTGAGAGCATCCTCAATGTAGTATTTCACTTTACAAAGCATTGCTGGCGACTCCTCCACAGCGAAGCAAGGACAAGGCTAACACGCGCATCCGTCTTGGCTTGGCTTGGCTATCCCTTCCCTTCCACATCCCCCTTGGCACACGATCGTCTCGGCCATGCACAGACCAACAAAGACAGAAAAACATAGTTTGATTCCAATGGGTGTTTATTATGAATGAATAGATCGAATGCAATAAAAGTGTATGTGTGTGTACATGGGAATACCCGGCTCCTTAGTGTGCTATCTCCGTTTTGCACTGTTTAAAAGCAGCACTGGCAATCAAACGGACACAGCTCTGTCTCACCTCCCTTGCCAATGTTCAAATCATTAATATCAAACAACCGCAGCCCATCGTCCATCCTGCGCTTCGCCTTCTTCTCTAGCTCGTCATCACTATCTGGCTCCGTTCCTTTGGGCCGCTTGAACTTTTGGATCTTGGCTGTTGCAGCCGCTGCAGCTGCAGCTGCAGGTCGCTCATTGAACACAACGGCTTCAACTTTCCCTCCGCTCTTCGGCTTCGTCGAAACCACCCCTGATTTGTTCGCACTCTTATCCTGCTTGGCCTTGTTCTTCTTGTTGGCCATCAATTTCGCAAGTGCCGCCTCCTCAGATTCATTCTGTTCTTCCTCGTCAAACATCAATTGCTCCTCATCCACCTCCTCCTCGTCCTCGCTGTCGTCAAGCGATTCACCTAAGAAGACATCGTCTTCGTGAGTGTTTCCCTTCCTTGCCTGTGCCTGTTCCTGTTCCTGTCCCTTTTGACTAAGTACGCTCACAGGTTTTGATTTTGATCCGGTGGCCGTTGCGTCCTTCTTAGACCCATTTTTCTTCGAGTCCTTGTTTGATGTAGACCCTACTGATTCATCCGTTTTAGACTTTGGCTTCGATGTGGATGAAGAGATAGTTCCTGTGCTAAAGATGTCATCGATCTCGGATGCTTTCGAAGCTATAAGCATTCATGGTATTAAAAGAGAGAGGGTTATTGTTGTTGTTAGATACCATGGCAACAAATTTCTTTAGAGCTGAACTGAACAAAAAAACAAAGCGCCTTGGGGGAGAGGGGGGGGCTCATACTAGAATTCTTTGAGACTCCCTTGGGCGTAGCTGGTCTCACCAGCTTGGCTGTTGTAGACTTGGGGATTACGGACTTGAGCGTCTTTTTAGGAGGCATTGGTGATGAGTTTGATAGTTTCGAGACCAGATCTGGTGAAGAAGCAAGCTCATTTTTTGTGCCATGCATGCTTTCCTCAAAAAGCACAGCGAGCGAAGTAGGGCAATAAAAAAAACATAAATACCGAAATACTAGTCACGTATTGTATAGTCTCGAATACGCCCTCCTTCCCTGCTCTCCTTCCTTCTACTATTTTTTTGCTCTTTTGCAACAACAACCTTTGATAGCAAGACGCCATGGCTGGAGCAGTTATCAGAGTCGCCACTCGACTGGGACATCAGGCGAATGCGAGGAATCTGTAAGCATCCTCACACTCGTCTCATCAACTTCTCGCTTTAGCTTCCCCCCCTCCCCTCCCCTGAATTTTTCCACACCGTGGAGTCCCCCTCTCGGTTCTCGATATCTATTAAAGTACCACTAACTCATTCCCTCAATTTGGCTACTGTCTTCAAACAGTTCCTTAATTGCCCGTTCGAGTGTCCGTGTTACCGGCTTCCTGGTTCCTCAACCACAGTTCGCAGCTCGGTAATGACACCCTGTCCCACTACTGCAAAACTGCAGCACTATGCTATACTACTCAAAGAACACCATTTAACCCCTTGAAATATCTGATCCTGTATACATCTCTAGCAGTTATGCTCCAACATTGGCCCACCTCCATCGATCTGTCTTCTACAGCACATCCACCACTGAGCCCTCCAAGAACGCAGCGGCGGCACCTGTCCAACCTCACCCAGCACCCCTGGAAGATCTTATCAAGCCTATCGGTGCTGGAACTGCTGGTTCAGTTGCGCCCGAGAACATCCACAACACCGTCGACCCCGTTGCAGCGGCTCTTCAATCCCCACCAAACGCTGGGGTCGTAGGGAAAGCAAGGGATTTCTTCCGCAAGGGCAAGGAAATTGTCATCCAATGCAAGGACGGCGTCAAGATGTTGTGGGTGAACAAGAAGATCGTCAAGGACCTCAAAAGGGCTCAGAAGGAAGAGGGACATCAATTGACCCGTCGGGAGTTCCAGCTTGTAGGGAACTCTTTGTTCTATTGTTATAGATACCCAATCCCTGGGAACGCCAATGTTCAACCATTTTAATCGCTTGCACTGACCGCTCTGTCTTCTGTTCACTCAATAGATCCACCAGACGGATATGAACCTCAAACGATTGATTCCCTTCGGCTTGGTTTTCATCCTAGCAACAGAATACATTCCCTTGATCATCATCTTTGCACCTCAGCTGATCCCAACAACCTGCGTTACCCCATCACAGCTTGTAAGTCGTTCGTTTCTTCCTATCGATGCTATTGTCATCTCTATATTTTATGGGAAATTAACATGGCTGGATTTGCACGCTTGATAGGAGGGACTTCGCAAGAAGACACATGAGAAACGCAGTGCCATGACCGAGAAGTTGATTCGTTTGAACCGTCGCGAGGTATATATTTCTCTCTTTCATATATAAGAGTGCGGACAAAAAAACCAAAAAAAACTCTCCCAAAAAACCAAAAAAAAAAAAAAAAAAAAAAAAAATGGATATCCTACCATAGACCATCCGCCATATCTCGCGAACAATCATTAACAACTTTAATTTTTTTGTATCGTGCTCTGCAAACGTATTATTCTGTAGATCAACAAGGAGGCTCTTGCTAATTACAACTCCTTCATCACGATCGCCAAAAAATACGGCGAGGGATTTGACTACTCCATGATTGATCACCAACACCTCGCTTCCTTCTGTCGGTAACGTATTCAGTGCTATTTTGTAACCACATCCAATTCTATGCTTATTGCCTTTGTTCAAATTCACGCGTCGAGATTCACTCTTCCCCCACCCCTCCTCCTCACCTCTTCTTCTCCTTCTTCGCAATACCCAGGTTCATGGGCTTGAATGGATTTGGTCCCAAGTTCCTGCTCACCAAGCGCCTGGACAAGTACATGCGGTACATCAAGGAAGACGATCTCCTGATCCAAAAGGACGGTGTCGACTCTCTGACCTTCGCCGAGCTTCAACTAGCAAACGAGGAACGCGGCATGCGCTCTCTTGAGGTTAGCAAGGAGCATTTGGAAAAGTCGCTGGCCTACTGGCTGAAGCTGAGCTTAAGCAAGGATGCCACTGTCCCACCAGCGCTGATGGTCTTCAGCAGGATGTTTTTGTTGCACTCAACATTCAAGTCCGATGCCGGAAAGAAATAGAAAGACTTTTGTGCAAAGACTCACAACCTATAGGCTGACCCGTTCTAGACCAACCATAAAATGTATCATAAAGGGACCAATTTCGATTCTCTACTTCCAAGTTTGCTTTGTTTGACATAGGCTTTCAACCACTTTTTTTTGATGGTTCAAGAAGGACGAAAAAGTTCGCGCTTCTTTTTAATAATATACACTCAATTGGTAGAATACAAAAAATTAGGTCGCAGAAAAATTAAAAGACGAAAAGATTCGTCCTGCTATGGCTCATTTGACACAGGTGTCGTAGGATCCTTGCTGCGCTCGTAGACATCCACCATTGTTGCCAAGTGCTAGATGTTATGAGAATAGAGAAGAAATGGTTACCATCATGGAGCATTCAATATTATGCAAAACCAGATACAGAACAGTCGCCTTACAACAATAATAGCCCAATCATCAGCCCCAGTGATCCCGCCTAGCATCTCACGCACAACAGCTTCCTCCTCTTCGGTCAGGGTCACCGTCGTCATATCCTTGCCTGACAGTGGTTTACTATCCTCCTTCGAGTCCTCTCCTAGCTTCTGCTGCTGTTGCTGTTGAGATGTCATGCTATCTGCTTCTTCCATAGTACTGACTCTCGCTGCATCAGCCGCTGCCACCGCAGCATCCAGCGATGTCCTCGTTGAAGAGCCAAAAGACTGTCTATTGCTACCGCGTAAACTGCCGTTCCCCTCGTGTCCAAACGAGCTCAAGTTTCCGCTGTCTGGCCCCGCAAATGTCTCTAAGGAGGTCTCGTACTCTGTTGCACTCTCACGACCAGGGTCCCGCCGCGGGTCGTACTCGCTATCATCGATTTCAGATCGCTCTTCCAGAGATGTCGATGCTACAGCTGCTGTCGTGCGAGGAGGACCGGTATCTTTTGATGGCAGTCTGGCGCCAGACTTCGGGTCCAGTCGCTGCCGGTGTCCAGCCGAGAATGATAAGACAGTAGGCGATGTGATCCTGGATGGATTGGCAGAGGACACACGACTGCTATTGTTGCCACTGCTGAGGCCCGACGAAGACAGTTTGTTTGCCAATACGCGGGGCGTGATCCGAGTCGGTTCCTGTGCTGCAATTTCCTGAATCGTCAGCGGAACCTCCAGCGCTGGTTCAGGTGCGTGATATGGTCGCACTGTCTGTGTTAAATCAACGCTCGAACGAGACTGCACAGGAAGAGCGGTCAGGGCGCTGCTTGCAGAGGGTATACTGGATGGAGCCGATCTGGGCGCTGCGCGCACTGTCATCTCCGCGTCTTCAGCCTCCTGCGGCAGTGCAGGCAGGGCTCGTTCAGGCTCATGAGGTTCATGGTCGTATTCCTGATCATCCTCGCTCAAATCCTCGCCATGCTCGTCTACCTCCTGGGGCTCTTGCCCAGCCTGCCCAACTTGCTCACCCTCAGAAACCCTACTCCGTCTCTTCCGCTTAGACTTTAGTAGCCACGCCTTGGCTTTCGCACGGGTCGATCCACGCCTCTTCACCTCCTTGTGATGATGAGTTGAATCTGAAAATTCCTTGCTATTCCTGGGGCTGGGCTGTATCTCTGTGCTGCGCCTGCTCGCATTCCTGGAAAGTGTGTCTACCTGAGGTGTGGCGTCTTGCGCAATGGTCGAGCCTGATGAGTGCCCAAAGGACATGGCTCGAATCGCACCAGCAAGACTGTGAAAGGCGGTCGAGTGAGGAGGCGATCCTACTGATCCCGATGGTGCTCTCCATTTGAATGACTCTCCGTTGACAGCACCAGTTTGGTCGTCTTGTCCGCTCCGTTCTCGTTCCCGCTCCCGTTCTCGCTCAGCTTCGCTCAGCTTTGACGTCGAGCGATGGAGCAAAAGTGGCCGCTTCGGCTTCAGCCTCCGCAGCGCTCCCGAGCCTTTCGATGTGGGAGTCAGTGCTTCGGTCAGATTGGCATAACTCTCGTTGACCCTTGGTTTGGCTACCTCTCCCTCCTGATCATCATCGCGACTCGCCAGGTACTCCATCCTACTCTTCTCGTTCATAATTAACTCTTTCTCGAACGTTGCCATGTCTTCGTTATTGATGTTCAGCTCTGAGTCGCTACTGTTGGACACTGGAGATTTCTCCTTACCCTGGTTGAAGTGGTCAAACGCAGATTTTCGATTCCGCTCTCGATCCCGTTCTCGATCACGCTCCTTCTCCCTTTCTCTAGCCTCTCGATGTCGACCGGGACTTGTGTGGTGGTTAGGTAGGGTCTTTGAGCGCCGGTGCGGACTCGAACGCCTGCTGCTGGTTCGTTTTCGTCGATTGTCATCGCCCGGGGCGCCCTCCATCGCTACAGCAGCAGAGTCTGATCTTCCAAAGGCTGCCAGTGCAGGATCAATCATTGCCGCACTCTTCGCACTCCAATATTCGAACCATTTCTTCCATTTCCGCATGCCCTGCGACGTAGTATATTGTGTAGGTCCTCCGCCCTGAATGGATTCGTCTCCGGATAGGAGCAGCCGGTCTAGCCCATTCCTTTCATAGTGTTGATGCCCTCGATTCCCGTGCTGTCCTTGCAGAGGCTTCTCGGCATCAGACGACTCATGAGATGACAGAGATGCCGGTCGGGTGCTCGAAGTTTTATAAAGGGTTGCTCCAAGCTGCGTCGACGAGGGATAGGCCGATGTACTCCTTCGCGCCAATCGTGAGAATCCGGCAGCTCGCGGTGATGCCGGCGACGGTCGAGAGCTACGAAAATTGTTCTGGTAGGAAAAGGCCTCGCCATCATCTGAGGCGCCGCTGGAGTAGAATGCTTGGGCTCCCGGTGCCATTAGTCCACCTTGGTATAACCGTCCATGAAAGATCAGATGATAGTACAAGAATGATTTTAGGAGGATGTCAAACACTTTCGCATCCACAAATGCCACAAACGAGGCATCCTCCGAAAAGATGGACAAGTTGCGAAAAATCGACTCGAGAAGAATGCCATCAGTGTACTGCCGTCCATTGGCCCATGTGAGAGTGTCGTAGTCCAGAACGCAAACATCGGATTCCAGAAACTTTGGGTCGATCTTACTCGAGTCCACGCCCACGAGACATAATCTGTCCATCTCTTCCACTTGCAAAAGTCCATGTCCCTGGTACCATGTTACGATCTGACGCTGGTGCTCTATCAGCTGCTCCTCTCTCGATGGGTAGCCCACATGTGGCAAAAATGTCGCCAGCACCGCGACCAATGATCGGACCTTTGCCTCATTCTCGCTCTTGCCCATAATGCATAGCTTCTGGCCACTGAATAGCGCAAATACAAGATGCTTGGCGAGCGTTGGATCCTTTTGCAGCGTATCGAGAATGGTAGTGGGGCAATATGTAGCCTGAATTGGTCCTGATGTAATGATGCCCATGCTTGTCCCACTCTGAGCAGACTGTCGGTGTAGATGCCTGTTGATTGTTCCGGTTGCGAGAGACTGTTCTCCCTGGTTCATGCCAGCACCGAAAGACCACGGCACCTGTTCCAAAGCTCCATGAGACGATGTGTTATTAGGAGCGCCCTTTGCACGATGTAGTGTTTGCTGTTCCTGGTGCCATTCTACCACTCGCGCAGAGCGGTCCAAGGGCGAGATGATGAATGCGTCCCGTGTTGGTGTCTCCGAGTGCGTAGCCATTCCTGTTACCGCCGTAAAGAATGAGGCAGCATCGTCCAGCGAGTCATATCCCGTTTGTTCATCATCGGCATCCTCAGCGTCCATAGTAGGCCCTGGTCGTCTCTCCTCTGCCCCGGGTTCACCGAAAGTTGTGGCAATTGGCTCTTGCGCTCCAGATATCAAAATCTCTTGGGCCGGCACTCCATCTTCTGAAGGGGCATTAGCGAGCGAAATCCCTTGAAGAAGCTCCATTAGGGGGACAGGAGATTCATGATGCTGCGTCGGACGTGCAGTGATCCTGTAACCGAAACGACCATGTTAGCCACATATGTCCAGGTTCTTGGTTATGAAAGATGAAATAACACTCGCTCATGCGACCTACCTGTTGAAATCTGGATTGCGAAAGTTGATCATGAATCTATTATAGCGAAAACAATAAACAGCTTCATCTGTAAGGCTTCCAGTATGTAAGGGTCGATAATCACTGACAAGAGTGCCTCCTTCATTACCTCTGCCCTATTGTCACGGTTGAAATTGTTGGACCTGAAAAAAAGAGTGCAATAGATTGAGCATTATTACTGTAGAATAGAGTCGTCATCAGAATACTAATTTAAAAAATAAAAATAAAAATAAAATAAAATAGAATGCTTACGAATGCGCTTGAGACTGTCCGCAGCTTCACCGAGCAGCTGCGAGTCGGCTTGAAACTCCTTCAAAATGTCCTTGATCCTTTTGATACCCAGGTGAAAGTGAAACGACGAATTCCATACCATGTTGGCTATGCACAGCTCACGCAGCGGTCGAAAGACAACTTCGTCGCGATAGATGGGGTATAATGTCGTGACATACTGGGCTTCGTATTCTGGAGCCTCATACATCATCGAGTCATAGTCCGACACGACTGAGTTCTTTCGCGATTGATCCTGTTGAATACCAAGCAGATGAGGAGGCAATGGTGCTGATAATCCTTCTGACATCATGCCTGTTCCTCCTGCTGCATCCAAAATTCTGGATGGTGCTCCGCCTGTGACGTTCGGTGTCGAAGCCTTTCGGCGAATCCTAGATCCTGATCTTAAGGAGGCACCGAGGAATAAAGAAGGATCCGTTGGTCCTGATCGACCCGCTGCCAACATTGCAAGGTTCTCAGAAGAGGTCATGGGCGAGAGATCAGAGAGGGGTGCCATCGATTGAGGGCCTTCATGTCCATCGTCTGCATGACCAAGCAAAGGCTGACCGTCGATAGAGTAGTGCTCGAGTACACTGATGATGTGAGTTGCTGTCTCGATGGCGTCCTTGATCGACTCCAGGTCCGCCTTTTGTTGTTCAGTCAAGTCTCCGCCCTGCGATGACTCTGCTTTTCTGGACAGATCGACAGATTGGGCGAGGGTTTTCGGGCTGGATTCTGACGGCAATGAGGACTCGCCAGACACAGTCGTAGCTGATGTGTCCGAATGACGCGTCGGATCTGCAGGTGCCTCTGACAAGAGATTGTTGGTATAGTTCAGGTCCCGCAGTTTTTTTGTGAGGTCCTGTCTGAACAAAGCGTAGTTTCCTGTCTTGAAATAAAGTGCTGCTCTAGTAAATTTGTGCCGCATTTCTTCGTAGTGTTGCAAGATCTTGTGCGGATCTCTAGTGATGTATGACATGCAAAAGGGCCGTACAAATCCTCGCGCGTTGATATCGAACAGCGTGAACTGGTGCACCTATAAACAATGGCCGGAACAAACTCGTGCGTCGTTAGTCTCGGCCATTACTTGTAAAAGAAAATAGAAAGCAGAAAGCGAAACAGTCGTTTAACCTACATATGCCCAGTAGCCCTTTTCTGTATCGCTGATATGGACCTCGATATCCTCGGGAATATGGAAACTGCCTGACCTATTTATGGGATGTTTAACAAATCAAGCGGGTCAGGAAGGATGGCCCATGTCACGTTCATGCTCCTGGTTATACGAGGGTAGAATGTAGTGGTCGTGTGAGCACAACACAAAGACATAAATGCATTTGAATATTATTAACACGTACGATTCCCTGGCCTGTTGGTCAACAGAGGTAATTCGAAGAACGAACTCATGGATATCGAACTGGTCCTCGCTATCCGGAAAGCCGCTGCCTTCGGCCGCTAAAGTTGAGGAACTAGCATCAGAAGCATCCTGCGAGTGCTTCGTAGATGGCTCTTGTGCGCGCTGCTTCTGCGATGAATACGAATCCCTTGTGAGGTCGACAATGTTATCCGGGATCGTCATTACTGCCCGTGGCCCTTCCATCTCTGAAAACTCTGAGATAAGCACAAAGTCCGGGAGATCCGCGCTCTTCTTGGTGTACCACCACGACATGGACGGTGGCTCCAACGACAAGCCGCATTGCAATCCTCGGTGTCCTATTCCAGCTCCGGTTAAAGAATGATCGTTGGACGAGTTTGGTGGTGCTTTCAGGCCACTGCTGATGGGCTCGAGTGACACGCCGGCTTTTAGAATTGAGGCCTGCTTCGAAGAGGAGCCCGCTGAGAGTGGGTTGGACTCGGACAAAGATATGGCACCTGGCACTCGCTGGTGCGGTCGAGATCCTGTCGAAAGAGGATATAGGCTCCCTGTGGCAGTCTCAAAGTGTGGCGTGGGCGAAGTCGAGTCAATCTGAGATGTTGAGGCGGACCTGGGAAGGGCTAGCATTGGAGAGGGAGCAGTGGGCTGCGGTAGGGATGAGATAGTGGTCGAGGATGTAGCCGGGATGGGGGTTGCAGAGAGAGGAGAGGCCAGAGCCGTGGACTCGAGGTCATCATAGTTGTTGTCGAGGGATTCTGGGAAGCCTGTCCAGCTGAACATGGCTCCGCACGCTCTGTCGACAGGAAAGGAAGGCCAATTGAGCGGACAAAGAAGCAAAGGCGTGCTGAGGGAGAGGAGCCACTTTGACGCGCTGTTGAGTGCGGAATAGAGAAAGAGGTGTCTGTGCAGATGACAAGAGGATGAAAGAGAGGTCTTTGTTCTCGAGATTGACGCGGTTGAGGGCGTGTCCTTGCTACAGCGAGTCGAGTCGATCCTTCATCGCCCTCTGCTTTAACGCCCTAATTCGCTCCGAGGTATTTCTGTTCCTGGAAGGGGATGGGAACAGAGTGGGATCTGGCCACGCTGCGTGATAGAATCGATGGGCAGCTGCCGTGCAAGAGGGGATGATGGCAGAGCGGGAAAAAGGGTCAGAAAGAAGAAAGAAAGGGAAGTTGACACACATACATCACATGATTCCCACGATGCAATGAGCAGGATGCTTTATTATTTAATCGAGTCGCGCATCCGGGGGGATCTGGCGTCAGTAATATATTGTTTGATCGAGTCTCTGGGCTTGTTGCCAGCAGCAATATTCTATGCTTCATTTCTGAGCGGCATCGCGCTCATGCAGCAGCTCGTGGATGTGCGAGGTAACGAAGTAGCGATCCATGACCTCCGTCGGCAGGTACTTGGCGCCCTGGATGCTCTTGCAGCACTGTTTTGCACCGCACCAGCAGGGGAAGGGCTGGTCCATCTCCCACTCGCTCGAAGGATAGAAAAATGTCAGCGCATCGCCTGTATCTCGGTTAGTGCATCAATTTCTTCCCTTGACAATAACGGCATGTACAAGTTCCAGTCAACCAATAGCTTATACGCACCCTTCTTGATCTCGACTGCAGCAATCAGCTCCATCCTGTCAGTATCGAAAGAGGTGGAGGGTTTGCATGAGTGATTGAGGAATACGACTACGAAATAAACCACCGAGAACATTCAGATATTGGTTAGATGCACAATGCATGCACTGTCCCCTTGCTGCTGCTGCTGCTGCGACAATCAACATGCCGATCTCTGCAGTCTTGCCCTCTGTGCAGCCCTCGACTAGTTTCCATCTGAATGTACAAGGCCTTGATCCGCTCCAACTACGATACATACGGTCAGAATTCAGCTCAATGTGCAGGTCCTTCGAGACCTGGACAGTCGTGTACTTTTTCGGTCCAGGTGTGGTGCCCTCAATCTTGCAGATCACCTCTCCTTTGCTGTAGTCCCTGGACGCCACCAGTTGTGAGTTGAAGGAACCATCAGCATAGACGACCGCAAAAAGCCCAGAATGGGTGGGTCTGTACGCCTCCTTGATCGCATCTGCATCAGTAATGATGTCCTGCTTGATATATGTTGACGGCATATTTGAAAGGACGGCGCGGATGAAATGGAGGGAAGAAGACGAAAATGACAATAATAACAATAACAATAACAATAACAATAATAATAATTGTTTGTTGCTTTGGAGCGCCGTCCCAGCTAGAATACCGGATGGATTGACGTTTTTGACGTACGCATACCCCACAACCCAGAGATTGTCTATACACAGCTCATGCTCTTCCACTTCGACGACTCTAGCTGCATCGATGGCATGTCCCCTCTGGTAGTGTGCATTGATCTCGTGCACCTGTTCCTGGAAGTTGGACCTGAAGTCATCTCGACGGCGTCAGGGCTTGAGAGTCCCTTCGAAGGAGGGGCATCGGGTGCAAATGCGACCGATAAAGGTGCCACAAGGTTCAGATAACCCGGGCATTTAAGGCGTAGCGTCCCCCCGTAATTGTTTGCGTAGGCAGTCTCCAGAAGTGGAATCGCATCGCCACTGCCAAGACCATTTCTACAAAATGACCTAACATGGCAAAAGTCCAAGCCGGGCGGTGTCTTGGCGGAATATGTCATGTCACAAATAACGAAAAAAAGCGACCTTCATTTTATCTCCATTCTTCTTTCAAGACCCACCGATACCACTACCACCGATACCACCAACCAGGACCCGATCACCATGTTTAACTGGCTCAACTCTCCTCAACTCCCAGACACCATCGAAACCCAGGCCTTTCGATCCATCTCTGGAGGCCCCACCCTCAGGGTCAACGCCATCAATGATCGGACCCATAGGATGAAGCTTGTTCCTTGGGAGGATATTCTCGAGGTCTTTCCTAACGCTATCTATCTCCGTGATGCTAATGGAATCGTCATGCCCGCAAGGAATAACACCTTCAAGAGGTAATACAACCCCCGTCCCACCACCACCACCACCACCACCACCACCATGGTTGGTCGGATCAACGCATTTTATTGACATTTTCCTTTTTTTTTCAACTAGGATTACTCCACGATCAATAAAATTACAGTCGGATGTCGTCCTGGAAGTCGTCTCCGCACAAGATATCCCACCTGCTTCTACAAGACCAGCCAATATCACAAAAACAGAGGACCTTGCCAAAGAATCGTCATTATTACCTGCAGTAACAGGTTCCTCGTCCGCTGATCGCTGGTCCTCAGAACAGGAGGCCCGCAATGCTAGGATATCCACATCAACAACAGAATCCAATCGAGGCATCACAGGGTCGTCGCAACAGCATCAACAGCATGACGAGGCCGAATCGGATTGGTCACCCTTCCAGGCCAACTCTGCCTCCACATCCACATCTTCGGCACAAACAGAACTTTTGCGCCAGGAAATGATCCATCGCATGGAGCTCTTATCTGCTGAACAAGAGGAAAGGTTAGATATCGTCCTCAAGGCCTATCGCAGGCCTACTCGGTCATAAGATGGAAACCCATCTGTACCCATGAATAAAAAAATTGAGAAAATGCAAAATGGTTTTATTATGAAAAAAAAAAGATGCTTAAGAACAAACAAAAAAAGAGGTAGTCTATGTTCTCCAAATTCAAATACACATGTTCATGTGTGCCTTCCCCTTGTTGCTTTTTACAGGTGAATAATCTCAACACCATAGTCGGGGATTCCCTCGCCGCCCTCCCACTTGCGTCTCCTCCTCTTATCTGCAGTAGCTCCACCTGTCCCACTGACGGCGCCCTGGTTTCCAAAAGCAGAGAATCCAGCAACAGTCGCCATCTTCTTGCGACGCACCATCTCCTTGTGCTTGCGGTCAAACAATCCCAAGGGCCCACGCAGCGCTTGCTCCAGATAGTTCGAAATCTCGGTCTCACGCTGGATCAGCAACTGGATCGCTTTCAGTACTGGGTGCAGTTGTGGCGACAGGATCAGTGATGGGAAATGAACATCCATGATCAGTGTTGTGAAATCAACCAGCTAGAACAAACACAACAAAAAATATAATAGACACGTTAGATAAAAGCAATCCAACCATTGAAGCTCAACATAATGTACTTCATGAATACCAATGCTTACCAAACCGTAGCCAGGAAGACCTCCAGGGAGCTGCTTCCTATCTGGTTGCTGGTTCTGGTGTCCAATACCGCCGCGCTCACCCCAAATATCCATCCAACCCTTCAAAATTTCAAGAACGACCGACAGATCATCTGTAGTCAGCCGCTTGAGAGCCTGCTGCATAAATATGTCGTTCCTAGGTGCCGCCATGATCAAGTTCAAGAAGTGTGGAGTGTCTGGTGCTGATGGCGATGGCGATCCTGAGGATCCTGCTCCCGCTACTGTCGTTGTTGATGGCGCTGTTGATGCTGTGGTCCCTGCCCTGTTCTTGTTGAGTCCAATAACTTGCTTCAACATGACAATCATGTCCATCTCAGGGATATCGTACAGTTTCTTGACCGCCAATTCGAGAAGTGGCCATTGCTCACGCTCCATAAGCTCCAGAGCAATACCAGCCTGGCCTGAACCGGGATTTGAGTTGCCAACAAGCTGATTCTCAAGTAGGTACTCGATTACCTTGGCAGGCCAGAAACTCATATCGGGCTGACCGTTCGACTGGTGAGCAAAACACCGCCCGATGACTGTTGTGAGGAAATGATGTGAGAGTTCTGGGAGAGGCGTCTGCTTCCGTCCTGCGCGCAAAAGACGGCGCTGCGTCTTGTACTTCTTAATCGCCTCTGCCTCGGTCTTGCGCCATTCGTCCAGCGCATTCAAATAGGCCTCGTTGCGGATACGTTCCTGCTCTTCCGTCACCTCGTAATCCTGCTCATCTTCATCCTCGCCCTCGCCTCCATTGTCCTTGTGCTCATCATCCGAGCTCAAAACAACTACCTCGTTCTCCTCAACCTCATCCTCATCCTCATCCGACGAAGACTCTGATGAAGAACCGTCAAGGACATCCTTGGCATCCTTGGCTTTATCGTCCGCCTTTGTTTTCTTTGCAGCCTTCTTGTCGGCCTTGTCGACCTTGTCGGTCTTTTTCTTCTTTTGCTTGTTCTTCTTGCTCTTCGACTTCTCTTTATCCATCACCGATGAGGCAGCTTTGACCACTGGCTCAGTATCAACCTCCATGTCCTGAGTGTTCCCTGTCTTGTTCAATTGGGTTTGCCTCGAGATGGCGACTCTCTTCTCATCAGCGGCGACAACAGCAGCCTTGGCCTCATCCGCATCAACACCAAACCGTTCCATCAGATCTTTCACAGCCTCGGTGGTCTGACGCTTCACGTGCTTAAAGAAGACGGCCTCGAACTCGTGCGCAGATGCTGTTCTGGACTCAGAGCTCAAAGATTCCAGAGCCTCCTTCTCTGTAGCCTGGCCTGCTGCCAATGTGCTCTCCAGATCAGCGCCGTTGACAATGATATCCTTGGCCTTTGCGATTCCATTAATATTTAAAGGGGTAAGCAAAGCAGTCGTGGTTGAGGTGTATGCGTCCTGAGCGAGAATGGATCCTTTTTGTCCAAGGAACGGAGCAGTATCTTTCATCTTGCCCATAGCACCCAGGAGCGACATTGGTTCGGCATAGAAGGGGCAGAGGAAGATGTCAGACTTGATGGTGGTGTTGTGGAGTGTAGAAATGGTCATAGTGAGAACAGATTCGGGTAGAAGAGCGAGTTGACAGGTTGTGCTTCCGGCGCTGTAGGGCCCAGGAACGACGTGCTTTGCCTGGAGGGTGCCGTATCTAGTGTCCCAGATAGTCAACGTCTGCTCTTCTTTGCCTGTAATGTCCCAAGTAAATAGATATAATCGTAAGTGACCGTCCATTGTAAATGCTGCTGAGAGAATGTATAAGTCTGCCAGATTCCTGACTTACCATCGTTCTGATGGATTCCAGCAATAGCTAGGTAATTGTCTCCGAGAGCGAGGGTGTCGACATGTTGAGCTTTGGTGTCGATCGCTGGGGTTGCTTTGCCGCCCTTCTTAACGGCCCTTGTCGAGGCAAGCGCTGGAACAGCGTATCCTGGGAGAGGCAGTGTCAGAATCTCTGAAGCACTAACGATGTGATCTCTTTGGCTCACTTCAAAGTCGTAAATCTTGAGCTGACCAGAAGCAGCTATGAAGTGAAGGGGAGAGACAGGAGGTAAGCATCGTTGAACTCTGATCGTACTTGCAGTAAATGTTTGCATCTGTATGATAGACATACTCAGGAAAGAAAGCTGTCCAGTCTTAACGTCAAAAGAGAATCCGGATGAGCCTGCGGCAGCACTGATTTCGACCTGACCGAATGTTGAGAATCCGCGCTGCTCTTCGTTGACATATGAGAGAGTTGCAACAACCTTTTCCTCGCTCGATTTCACAATTGTCATGATGACAAGGATATTGCGAGCAAGAGCGCTTGAAGGGATCCATGACCCCGTTGTGTTGTATGTGGTTGCCCAGATCGTGGTGCCTGTTTGATTCTGAGCAACGTCCTTCCTTTCTTTCTTTGAAGATTTTGTCGCAGGAGCAGTCAGCAACTCTGTAGTGCTAACAACCCTCTTTAAATCCTCCGTAACAAGCGAAATACTGCCGTCTGAGTTGGTCAACAGCACATGGTTGGGGAGCAATGTCGAGACGAATAGCTGGTGAATCTTATGGTCGAACTATTGTATCGAAAATGCCAATTGTAAAAATGAGCAAGGTATTATTTTAGCTGGTCATGTACTCACGCGCTTTGATATGATGACCATAGAGTCGGTCGTACCTTATGCACAGTTTTACGGGCACTAGACGACTTGATAGAATCCTCCTGCATGGCATTGTCTGCATCAGCCACACTGGTGACTGAGGGCGAGGATGACTCGTCCTTCCACATCCAAATGACCTTCCCCTCTTCTTTTACAGGGACATCTGTTCCTTTGGCAATGACTGCATAGATATGGCGAAGATGGGCAGATTTGCGCAGGATTTGGGCTGGCCCTGTAAACGAATATCCTGGTGGTGTTGAGTAGGAGAGGATGCATTTTTGATCCGCGGTCTACAATGCACAATATATCAAGAAATAATTGATAGTCGTCTGGTCAGTCCACGCTCCTTCAGCCAGATCGAACCAACAGCCAGATCTACGGGTGGTTCATAAACCTACGTTGAAGAGCTGAACGCCCTCACCCTGGATAGCTACAACGAGAAGGCTGGCAGCATCCTCCTGCTCCTGCGTCGGCTCAGACCGTGTTTCCTCGGGTGTGCAGCAGACCGCCTGGCGTTGCTGGTGTTGGTGAGTGGTGGAGGAAAAACTCGCGAGGAGGAAGGGATCGTCGACTGAGACAGGCATTATAGAGATGGAATTCTAGTTCGGCTCCTCGCTTTGGGATGTAATGTGTTCTGAAAGGAGAGAAGTTGAGCAGGTGCCTTGGTTCCAACGGACGGAAAGTAGGGGCAACAAAGGTAACAATGGCGGTCTTGGTCCGTCCGTGAGTGAGCGACTGAACGAATGCTTGGGTCAAAAAAAAAAAAAAAAAAAAAAAAAAAATGTAAATACGGCAAGCCACAGCCAACATTCTTGATATCAATCACAGTCCATTTTTTCATTTTTTATTTTTGGCAGCTGCTGTGCTGTGCTCCTATTTTTTCTAGGGGGTCGACCATTCCATCGAAGAAAAAAAAAGATAAATAAAAGCGATTTATTTCAGGTTATCATCGAAATCACTATGGTTGAATGGTACACCTTTAACTAGTGTTACAAGAGCTGCACATGTCAGCATATGCGTCGTCCAGCCGATGACCTCGTTGATGTCCTGAATTCCGTAAAGCCCTTTCGAAAGAGCTCCGGCTTACTCGCTCTGTCCTCAAACCACATGCGTCCATCAGCTCTTCGAGCCATTGGCCGACTTTCCGCGCTAGGATTCTTGTCGAGGTGTATTAACAATCCTCCGCGTAGAGTCTATCATCGACTTTGTTTCTCCCACTCAGTGCTGGTTCACCATAGGAGTTGTCATGGTCGCAAAGCAAGTAAAGAGCGTATTAGGTTATGCAAAGCTTTCCTTCAGGAGCAGTGAACCAAATTGAGCCAGCTCCGTATTTATGATGACTTACGTTTTCGTATTGGGTTCGAGGCGAAAGGGGGGGTGATTGGCTCAATATCAAGACCCCCACCAGCCGCCATTACGGTATCGAGTGGTATACTCGCCTTTAGAGTGAGCGTAGTTGGGTTTATGTAGTGGTGAACTCGGACAATAGTAATATCCACGGTTGCCGTCATTATAGTGGGTGCAATTGGCTTTACTGGCTAAGCGAGCGTCTCGCCCTAGTGGTGGTATCCATTGTACCTTTACGAATGGCAGACAAGACCACGGCGTGAATAAGGGCCTAGTACGTGTCCATAGTATCGACGAACTAAAAGTCTGGTTCTTGGATGAATGGATGGTCTGCTTGGAAGGCGCGGCTGCGCTTCTGGGGAGCATGGCATGCTCCCCACACACCTCATGGCCAAGAGGGTTGCGGGAAGCCTGCAAAGAGACAGCGTTCAAAGGATAGGGTCCGGAATTGGTGATAAATGGTTGTGGATGGTTGTCAGTGATTGTGGATGGTGGTGGGTGGTGGTAAAAGCGGAGCGAGAGTGCGCCTGGGCAGAAAACAGACCTTTTTATATCGCTTTTTGGAGAGCGATGTTCAACTCAAGACGACTCTCGTCCTTTGGAGACTCGATGTGGAAATAGCACCCGTATCGCAAGTCGTTACACAGCTGCACTGCTATGCTCTGGACTCGGGACAATACGCGGTAAAAAAAAAGAGAACCATGCACTGTACTAAAGAGCCGAATGGAATTCGCATAAAGGATGGCGATTGTCAACACTGCAACTTTATGCGCTTCGCCATTCTCATATGCCATATTATCATCTTTGCTGAAAAACACCAGTGAGAAAGGGATTTGGAGCCTCGCCTCCACGCTCGGAGGATATTTACCAAGTGAACTATCAGGTTTAACGTACAACTAGAAGAGTTTATGTTTCCTAGTTACGATATGAATATGGTCTGACTCTGAGTATACAACATTCGCCAGTTGACGTTTTCTTTTCTTGTCTATCAGATAAAAAGAGAATGACTCGGTAGCTTCTCACTCAGACCAAACCAGAACCCTCACGACATCCAGACTGCCTCCTCCTCCCTGTATCTTCCCAGCCGGATCATAACAATCGCGACTTTCCTGGTCATGTCGGTTCTTGCAGGGCAATGGGATGTGCGACATATGGCTGGATATGCTAGGGGTTTATAGCGCGGTGTTGTCAACAGTCGCTTTCGGAGCAAGGAAATGGCTTATGACTTGAGTATTCAGAAGTCCAAACCGAGGGACCATGGACAGCGCGCTGAAAAGACTAGGTCGTTTTCTCCGATATGAGAATGTTCTTTAAACTGCGCTAGTCCATGGCTCATGCACCCCACTCGACCATTGACCATATTTGGCATAGCAACAACGCGTCGCACTCAACACTTTGAAAAGTATTTGTACGAAGTTGCCTGAACCCCATCTCCATAATTTTTCAGGGACCGCAGGTTAACATTCTTTGTTGGAAACAGGGTTTCAAAGAGCTGACCATCGCATTCGATGCTCTTGCGAAAAACCATAAGTCTTGAAAATCGAGCTGACTTTTTCTAGCATTTCTCTTCGATCTAGATCATCGTCGTGGAGCGCACCTGGAGAAGAGGAAGAGGAAGCAAAAGGCAGATGACAGTTTCAACAACACGCGTTGCTTCGAGGACTGTAGGGGTTATTGTACTGAAAGTGAGCGCCTGCTACGACAACATGGTCGTTCATGATTAACAAATGCACACCAATTTCCCTTTGTTGACCCTCAACCGTTCCGCAACAAATGCTCGAACATTCCTGCGCCCAAGGCATGCTGCGTGCAACATGAGACACAGCACAAAAGTACTATAATATCGCGGTGTTCATTCGTTCCTTTCTCTTCTTTTTTTTTTTTATTCTTATTTTTTTCTCACCATGCAGTTCTCTCCTTCTTTCAACCTGGCTCGACTTTCACGCTGGTGAGCTTTATGAGAGATATGTGGAGGCCACGTATACGTTTATCAGACGTGGGATAAGGTTTAACGTGTTGTACGCCCACTCAACACTGTGTAAAAGAAATAGTGTTCTGGAGAGCGATGAATCTCCATCACAACAAACCCGCCAAAAAGAAACGTGAACTCAATTGGCTCTTCTTTTTCTCTCTCACACTCCGCGCTTCTCTAATTCTACCCTCTCAATTCAGACAACCCATAAACCGACCCCACTCATCCGGCGTCTTTTGTGTTCAGCCTATCTCTACTTGCCCTCCAACGCACTCATTCACACCCGAATCCCCAACAGGAAAGAAAAGAAGCGAGGAATAAAAAAAAAAAAAAAAAAAAAAAGAAAAGAAGAAAAAGAGATCGCTTTGCTTTGCTGTTTTCTCTCTCCCTCTCCCTTTCCCGACCGACCGACCGACCGACCGATCGCCACGACACCAACCCTTGAATGACAGTATTTGAACTACAAGTCGATCCAGAACGGAATGCCGTCATTCGTCGTGCTCTAGCCAAAAGGATCGTCCACCAACGGGAACTCGAAGAGGAGGAGGCCTCAACCGAAGAGGACGAGTCCTTTCTAGGCGAGTCGATCACCCCTGTGAGAAATGGTATCGTTGGAACATGTGTGCCCAATTTCAGCTCAATTTGTATCCCCCACACGTCTTTGGAAGGCAGCAGCGAGTGTTTGGCTTAGCGGGTTACGGGGAGAAGAAGGGGTCTTGGGGCGAAGGAGGGGGTGGGGGGTGGGGCTATGGTGTACGGGGACATATTGGCAACTAGTCACCGCTCTCTCATAGCATGGTCATTACTTCGTATTTGGGCAATCGACGCTAATATGAAAAGAAGAGTCGTTCAAAATGAAGTCGGCTTTATTGTTCTGTCTGTCTAGCTTGTGCTGTTTTTGCTGTTTGAATGATAATATGCCGATGATCGTACAGACCTTGACGCCCACTCAATGTCGAGGCGAGGGCTGTTGAAGAAATGAATAAAAATCACCCGAGAGGGAAAAAAGAAAAAAGAAAAAAAAAAAACAAGAGCAGGTCGTTGCGAACGAACACACACTGCACAAGAAAAAAGACACAGGGCAGGGGAGGACGAAAAGAGCAGAGTATCGAGGATGGAGGGTTGGGTTTGCTCATGCACTGTGCTGCTTTGTTTACTCCACTGATGTTGTTACGTCCCCATCTCAACTAATTGCTGTCCCTTGCCTCGCCTTTCGCTCCCACACAAATACCTGCCTAGGTACTTCAGCGTCGCCCTCGATATCAGGATCACCTCCAAAGAAGGACCACCATCACTATCATCATCTCCATCATCATCATCGTCATCACCATCGCCACTTGAAGCACCATGAACGTCAACGCACCGCTTCGGGGAGGGCAGGAGAGAGTGGCGTTATGAATGTGAAGAGTCGTTGGAAGAGCGAATATCTCAGGGTCACGAGCTCCTCGCCTCCGGGGTCGATTATCAGCACCATTTCTGAAACCATGCCCGAGATCCTGCCGGAGATTTTGTCGGAGGACACGACGGCAATTTTGAACGAAAAAGCACATAGTAGTGATGGCACCAGCAAGTATAAGGGTGCGACGATTGGCGATGCGTTGGCAGAGAACGCAATGACAACAACCGTTAGCATCGCCACGGTGGAGGTATCGCCCTCAATATCCAGCACTGCAGCAACAACAGCAGGAATAGATGAAGAGCAGAAGGGAGAGCTTGCTGTGGTACAAAAGGAATTGACGCCTGTGCCAAGAGATACCGAAACCCTTGCTGCAACTGCGTCTGCACCTGCAGTTACAGCCGCCACGGTTGTCGCTGTTGCCATGGAAGAAGACACCCCAGATCCGGTGGAGCAGGACCTTCTCTCGAAATTGGAGGAATTGAGAAAGGAGAAGAGTCGACTCTTCTCACTCTTCCGGGCGGTTTTACAAAAGAAGGAGAAGGAGGCGCCTAGACCATCGCCCGCGCCTGCAGAATCATCACCGCAGCCTCAGGAGGGTACTGGAGTAACACCGACTGAGAAGCAAGAAGAGCAGCAACAGAAGCCAGTCGTTACCAATGGAATCGAACCTGCTGCACCCTCGGCGCCATACCCACAGGGGACGGTGGCAAGTGGGATGGCGGTGCTCGCGGATGTAAAGGAAGAGACAAGGAGACCGGCGAATGTGAGACGGCCTTCTGAGCATGATCATAACAAGAGGACAGAACCGACAAGGGCAACTGTGAAGAGGTATGAGGACTGTGTAAGAATGAACGAGCATCATGGAATCATGTACGATTCCATGTGTTTATGAACAAAAGTGCTTACACTCATACCTATTTCTCTCTTTTGCTGTTCTTTTGGTGCAGACGCGAGCACGAGCGTCTGATTGACCGGTCAAAGCTAAACCTGGAAATTCCACGGAAACCGAGCACTTCATCTTTATCGTCGAGTTCGACGGCGTCAACACCTACGCCGACCAGCACAGCCTTTGCGCTCTTTCAGTCATCCTCCTCCTCATCGTCCGCGATGGCCCACAAAGGAAAACGGCAGCGCAGTATCACACCAACATTCGGAAACGGATCTACTTCATCATCAAGTCGAGGAGCATCGGGTGCTGGTTCGTTCGGTTCTGGAACAGCAATGATGCATGGGGACTCATTCCCTTCGAATAAGTATCCGCGGGCGGATTACATGGGATCCCATAGTCGAAATCACAGCAGCAACAGTAATATTAGCAGCAGCCATGTCCACAATAATGGATTACCGGAGAAACCCCAAGTCCGTCAGCTTCACTCCTCGACATCTTCGTCGTCATCGTCCAGGAGCATAAGTTCAGATGGGTACCATCATCACCATTATCATCATCATGCGGAAGATGCGTATCATCGGAATAAGACCGGTGGAGGTGGGCCGTCGTCTTCGTTCTCGAACGTCAATAGCAGTGGCAGCAATGGTGCGGGCGGCGGATCCTATCGACAGAATGTACCACATCCTCCTCCCCCGTCAATGGGATATCATCCGCCCCCGACTAGAATCGGGTTCGGGAACAGTAGCGGAGGCAACAGTAGTATCAGCAGTGCTGGCAGTGGTGGGGGCAGTCGAAGCGGATATTATGGACATGGCGATGGAGGAGGAGCGAATTCATCGAGCGGCAGTGGGCTGGGCATTTCAAAACTGGGCCACCATCCACCTCCTCCATCGGCGCGTCCACTACCGTTTAATAGGAGTATGATGCAGATGCCACACGCGCGAGGGATAATGATGAGTCGTGGAGGGTTTGGTTCAGGAGTCGGTCGGGGTGGTGGAGGCGGTGGAGGCGGTGGAGGAGGAGTACCGCCAGAGAGACCCATGGCATCGTCGGGTAGACCGGGCGATTGGGTCCGGAGACGGAGCAATCGTGCGTGATATCGGGTTATACACGCCGCCTGGAGAGTTTCTTACTCGCCTCTTCTGTTTTCTTTCATTCTTTGATGGTCCTTCTTCCCCCAGAGTTTGACATGTAGCTAAGCATCCTACCCTTGTCATCATCCTCATCCCCATTGTACATATCCCGCCATTCACTTTTATATTTATTTCACTAGTAACGATAATTTAAATACACAGTAATGATCAGAAAGGCGAACGCAAAGTGTTGAAAATGGTGATGATAGTGGAGGGGGGTATCATTTTATTAGTGGTATAGTGTATTCTACCGACTAATAGCAACGGGATAAATGTTAGGGATCTCCTGTAGCCGCTTATCGTCCATGCTCGAGGAAGCATGATACGAAAGCTGGTGAGAAGAGTGTAGATGCAACGACTGTTGCTGTTGTTGCTGTTGTTGCTGCTGGTGATGGTGGTGTTGCTGCGTGTAATGCATCGCACCAAGTGGGTGCCCCTGCTGTTGCTGGTGCTGGTGCGGATGTTGTTGTTGTTGTTGCTGTTGCTGTTGCAGATGTTGAATATGATGCGACGGACGCATTGAACCCCTCTGTTGTTGTTGTTGTTGCTGCTGCTGCTGCTGAAGATGCATCCTCGCTTCGAGCTGATTGGCCTTCTCCTGCAAAATCCTGTTCCTGCGCTCGAGGTGTTTAATAAAGTCTACGGCCTTGAACAGGATCGTCGACTTTGAGCTATTGACGTCTTTCAGATCCGGGATGATTTCCGTCATGTCCTTGAAGCCGTTGCGGATCGTGTTGCGGCGTTTCTGTTCTGAGGCAATGTGGTTCGCACGCTTTTCTTCCTCGGTCAAAAGCTCCTTGTAGGGCTTGCGTCTTGCGGTCGAGGTCGAGGTCAATGCTGCGGCTCCTGTTGTCACTGAGGAGTTGTTATCGTTGGTGGTGCTAGTGCCGTTCGAGTTGAACGCCGCTGTTGCAGCAGTGGCGGCGTCTGAGGTGTATTCGTCCGATACTGAGTCTTGCCGGTTTGATGATGGTTGTTGCGGCTGCGACTGTGAGCGGGACAGAGATGACGAGGCTGTAGAGGACGTCGAAGACCGATGATGATGACTATTGGTACTCTTGCCGTTCTTCACAGTACTGCCCGCCTGAATAGGATCCGTCATCTTGCTGTCCGCTTCATCTCCTTCTTCGTCCTCGACATCCTCGTCTTCTTCTTCGCCTTCCCTCTGAGGCCCGTCTCCTTCCTCCTGCTGCTCGCGCTTATTCTTTTTGGCCCTGAATGGTCCATTAGGAGCAGTGCCTGGCTGGTAATTCGCTTGATTGTTTTCGAGGGACAGCTTGGACAGCTGGTGGATGGGTGTTGCGATCTTGTGATGGTGGTGGCGATTGAGGGTTGTGGCTGTGTCGGTGTTCGAGATTGGAGTACCCTTGCGAGAGACAAGTCCTTCAGTTGTCGTGGCCTTGTTGGTCTTTGTTCTTTTCGCAGGGATAGAAATCGGCTGCGGATGCCCCTGGTCTTGCGCGTTGTCGACGTTGCTGTACGAAGCAGACATATCTAAATCCATCCCATGCTGCTGCTGTTGCTGTTGTTGTTGATGATGATGCTGCATTTGTTGTGGATTTGGCGCGTAGGCACTGTTTGCATCGAGATGGAACCCACCAGGGATCAGCGCGTCCTGAGAGAAGAGGTTCAGGTTCGGTAGGTTGGGTATAGCGCTTGGGTCGAATGTGAAGTCCTGGTCGACAACCAAAGTATCGAGGAATTCTGAGAAATAGCGTTGCTCCGAGGGGTTGAAGAGGTTCATGGAGGGGTCGTTGGCCATCATCATCATCATGTTGGGGATGTTATTTGCACCTGGCCCTGCGACTCCCGGGGGCAACGGTGGCGGCGGCAATGTGGATGAAGATAGACCCGGAGAAGCGGGCATGTTGAGAAAGTCCTGGTTCGGGAAGCGGAAGTCTACTCGAATGCAAGGGAGTGAAGTTGGTTAGATTGTTATTCAGAGTGTATGATGATAGGAAGAGTCAAAGTGTGCTTGAGTTACGTGCGTATACCTTCGTATCCAAGGGCGTCGCCAAAGAGACTGTGGCCAGGTGCGGAAGAGAAGGTCAGGGGCGACGGGGGTCTGAACCCCGAGTCGGTGTTGAACATGTTCTCCATTGGGGGTGGTGCTTAAAAATGGACAGGTAGAAGGTGTTGTTGTTGCTGTTATTGTTATTGTTATTGTTGTTGTTCTTGTTGTTGTTGTTGTTGTTGTTGTTGTTGTTGTTGATGTTGATGAGGGAGAAGGAATGATGCACAAAGAATGGGATGAGAAGATGAGGAGATGAGAGGATAGGAAGTGTTGGAGTGTGAAGAACTGTTCAGGGGCATGAATATTGTACTCAGATGTACCATGTGCATGTACGAGTGTAAAATGAAAAATGAAAGTGAGTATGAAAAGCGTCTGTGTGTGCCTTTGCGGCATGTAGAAGGAAAAGATAACGGATGGGAATGGGAATGGGAATGGGAATGGGGCTGCAGGGACAGGAGAGGGAAAGAGACAGAAGAAGAAGCCCTAGAAAGCCGTAGTGAAGGAATGAAACGAGTCGGCAAGGGGATGGAGTATCCGGGTACCGGGGATGGTCTGCATGTTCGATATGCAAATGAAGCGTGTGCTATGGGGTGTAGAGTCCATGCGTTCAAGTATGCGACATGATACGTATGTGATATATATGTGGTGCGTGCGTGGTTCATTATTTTCTCGCTCTGAAAGATAGGACCAAAGAGCCCGCTCGCTCTGCCCCTCTCTTTCTTCGTTATGGGCTATGATTGGCTGCCTCTACTAGTCCGATTCCTACGGCGATACATCGCCATTGCAATATAGTGGACTAGGGCGCATGAGCCATACCAATCTTCAAAGCTGCACACAGGCAACGGCTTTATATACCAGCGACAGACGAGAGCGAGAACGAAAAAGTAGGGGGCATAGACTATCTACATCTCTATCATCGTTCCACGCAGGCAGACATGTGCAAGGGCCATCACCCGCTCAACAAAACAAAACGCGTCTTCAGATACGCTGTCCAGCCCTGGTCCCTTGCTCTGCTCTATATACTCTGGCTGGTGTGGTGTAGGTCTTGTGCTCACAAAAAAAAAAAAAAAAAAAAAAAGAGTGGACGAATGCGCCCTTGCACCTGAAAGTGAACGAAAGAAAAGTCTTTTGCTTTTGAACCCTCTCTTATCGTGTAAAAGCGCGCGTGTACAAGCTGTCCTTGCTCTGCTCAGAATGAGTGTCGATCATCTACACCAATGTGGTCCTATAAATGTATCTTAATGCATGCACGTAGAAGGATAGCCTTCGACAACGCCATTCCACGCCTGACACATTTTATTTATCTTTTTCAGGGGAGCAATAAGCCATTTCTCGTGTTTTTTTGGCAGCACTCTTGCTCTCTCATCCGTTGCCATGTGCTTTTCTCTCTCCAATTTCGCACCCTTACTTTTTTTTTTCTTCGCGTTCTTATTTATCGTGTTATTTATTAGCGTGGTCCCTTCACGCCTTCCTTTCATGAACCGTGTTTAAGTACGACCATGACGAGAGTCGGCATACATATTCTATAGTAGCGATATCATTTGTGTTGGGGTAAATTAACACCAACCAAGTTGAGGTGAGGGCCAGGCATGGAGCGGAGTATAGAAAGCCGCGAATCCCGCACCGATTACTTGGGTGGCGTCAATGCGGACCAAACGTTTTGTCAAGCAGGTGGTCATCCCTGTGTCCGCACTTTCCCTAGATAGCCTCTGGTGCTCCGATGCAACCGCCTTGGCTGCATACCCAAACACGTTGGGCCTGATAATTGTGCATACGACACTCGCGTTGTCAGGAATAATAGAAAAAAGTACCCGGTGTATAATACCAACAATCATGTAGGTGTATATTACCACAGCCCATGTTTATATTTGTTGATGATGATAGTCCATTTGTGGAGCAGGAGAATTGCGAAGTGACAAAGAGATTCGGAAAAAGAGGACCGCTGTTCTCTTTAATAAAGTGCAGAGCAGTAGTTCTAAAGGATATTTGCGAGCATCGATGTAGATGCTGATTTGTTCTTTTGTTGCCTAAGGCCGGTCTTCCTCAACGCCATAACAACAATGCTGTAAACACGGAAGCAAGAAAGAGTCAGGTTCGCACTTGTGCTTCTTGTTATGCATATTTTGCTCTCAACATAATATATTATACATGCAGCCAGCCAGCCGCAGCTGGCCATGCTCACCAGCAGCGAATCTCCTGGACAAACACATGAATAACTCTAATGCGTCGGTTGGTCGCCAAGCTGCGTTACGTTGTTTGCTCCTTCTCTCTTTCTCCCACAACTTTGGTCCGTTTTCGTGATAGACTAGTGGCTGTTTTATGGTGCCGGAGACTTAGGGGCTAATGTACAAAGTTTTTAAAGTGTGTGCACACGCTTTTATATTAAAGGAGTCTTCACTCGTTGTGCTTGTTGTTGTTTGCTCCACACGAAGTACAGTGGTGTGGTTCCACTGGAGGAGGTTGAGCAGCAGCAAGAGGAACAGAATCAGGAAAAACAGGACATGATGGCATGGCGTCCCTCTTGTGGAGCGAGTGTGGAGTAAAGTGGGAAGAGCCAGATGCCGGAAAATAGAGCAATGGGCCTACATGTCCGCGTCGGTTCTGCAAACAAAAGCAATAAATTGCATTTCTGTAAATGCAAAGTAGCCCTTTGCTCTCTCCGCTTGCACTTACAGGGCACAATTGACGTGGGGGTCATCGAGTTTTTTTTTATTCCACACCTCACCCCACTCTTCCGTCCTTCTCTTTCAACTCCTCCTCGTCCCGTTTTTTTTCTTTGCCACCGACTTTTTCTTCTTTTCTTTTTATGTGGAGTCCGATTCCGTGTTGATCCCTCCTCCTCTTCCCGTCCTCCTTCTCCACATTCATCTCCATCACTCACACCCACATTCACACTCACACTCACCTCTTCAACCTCCTTCCTCCTTGCCGCGCCCTTCCCCCATCCTCTCTCTCTCTCTTTTTTTATTTTTATTTTTTTTTTTATCTTTAAGTGCTCGCTCTCTAAACGAACGACCCTTATCTACACCCACCCACCCACACCCCTTTCAAAGCACCCAGTTGAGCCCTCCACCCATCAATCATGTCCTCCACAGCTGCAGCCCAGCCCCAGCTGGCAGAGAAACCCGCTGCGCTGGATCGTCCTGACAAGAGACCCTACCCAGGAACCCCACCATCTGAGAATGGTACATTGTCATACCACCTGCTGCAAAGTGTGCGCTTTCACACATCGTATCCTAATTCCCCTCCTAACAACTATCTATCTCTTGGCCATACGGTCTACTACCTTTATCTTAGCCCGAGGAAGCTACTCTGACGACGACGGCGACGACGACGACATCAATGACGACGACGACGGTGATGGACACTCACTTAAGAGCTTTGGGCAGTCTTCTGCTCAGACCGGAACCATTGACAACGCCCGAGACCGAGATTCGACGGCCCAGCCCCCCCTAAAGACCCGCAAAAAGCCCGGTCGCAAGCCCAACCCAGCCTCGCCCGCCGTCAGGAAGGAGCAGAACAGAGCTGCCCAGCGCGCCTTCCGCGACCGGAAAGAGCGTCATCTTCAGCAGCTTGAAAACATGATAAAGGAGCTCAAGGACACGCACCACCACGCCAGCGTTCGCTTCCAGCGCGAGTCCCAGCAGCTCAAGGGTATTATCGAATCTTTGCAGAGCGAAAATTATTATCTGCGCGAGGTCGTCTTCTCGTTCGAGTCCGCCCTGGGCAAGACCGGCAATGCTGCTCTTCTGCAGGATGTCAAGGCCGAGCTCTACAGGCGCCATTACGAGAACCACGCCGCCCGCAAGCTGTCGTTCTCGGCCCCCCAACAACATCCCTCACCTGCTACCTCCTCAATGACAGCTGACAGCCCTGTATTGGCCCCTGCGCAGGTACCTGCGCCCTCCCCCTTGCCTGTTCCCATGCCCGGACCCGTCCCTGTTGACGACAGTATCCCCCATGCTACACAGGTCCAGATGCTGAACCAAGCGCTCACTGCCGCTATGGCTGCCCATGCCGCTGCAATGACTGCCAATGCCAGTGGCACCTCCAGCGCCAGTGCCAGCGTCAACGCCAAGGCCAACACTAATGCTGTCAAGCAAGCATTTGTTCCCAGCCAAATGCCACTCAATAACATGTCTTCATCCTCCCCAACGCCTTCTACCACATCCAATGCGTGGACGCCATTTGGACTCGCTGATCCTCAAGATGACAACATTTTCTCAATGAACAGCGACGTACTTTACAAGGCACCATCAATGTTCTCTCCTTCCGGCTCTGATGATGGCAAGATGAATACTCCCGCCGCGCCTTTCGATCCTCTTGCGGCCGCCCGTTCAAACCTGACTGCATCCGCCAGCTGGCTTCCGAAGCAGACATTTGACGACCTTCACGCAACGCTTTTTGCTCAGACCAACCTCCAGTCGGGCGGCAATGGCAGCAGCAGTGGTGGTGGTAAAATGTCGTCTCCCCAGAATGTAACAGCGAATGCAAACCTATTTGGCCAACTCCATGACCAGACAGCGTTCTCTCCCAACCAGAACGGGTTCACCTTTTCAGTGGGTTCGATGGACAATGGATTCTCAAGCCATACGCCTTCATTCCTGGATTCGGATGATGTAGACACGAACGAGTTTAGTATGGCGACCCCGACCATGGCATTTGATGACGGCTTGAAGCAGAATGTCCTTCCAAGCTACCGCCTTCAAATGGAGCTTCGCACGCTCGCCTCTGCGCCTCCAGCGACGGACCCTTCGATCGACCCCAAGATTTATGCGATACCCCACGACACCCGCATTGACTTGATCCCGTGCCCCAAGCTCCGCGCCAAGATGATTATTCATCAGCACGAGTACGACATTGAGGAGCTTTGCCAGCTTTTGCTCGACGGCGCCATTTGCCACGGACATCCATTGGACCCACACAATTGGGAGTTGCCTGGCGCATTCTTTGACCGCTACGGATACTTGATGGGACAGGAGTTGATGAAATACAAGAACAAGGTGTGGCCCAAAAAGACCGAGCCCCAGAGACAAAGTAAGTCCTCGAATCCCTTTAGCTACGGCTACGACGATATCTCATGGATATAAGGCTGACCTTGGCTTGCTGTGCATTCTTTTTTTTTTTTAGATGTTTTTAGGAACTTTTAAACCCGCTTAGGATAAGCGGTCTTCCACCCTTTGTTGTTGCTGTTTGTATCATACCCCATATTCCCGACTTCTATTCTTTTTGGTCATCCTCCCAGCTGGTTCCTCGAAAGTATCGCATCCATTCCCTCACCTTGAGCGCTCAGGGACGAATAATTATTTTCGTGTTTCCCTAGAGTGTTGGGCATGATTATTTGCCTCTCAATCCTCTCTTGTACATTTATCCCCCTTCCTCTTCTGCCTTTCGACCACAATCCTAAGCAATGGGTACATTTTTCGAAGAACCAGCTCTGTTCTTTTATGTTTGCAATGCGTCCTTTTTTTTTTTTTTTTTTTCTGTTTGTGCTTCGCGCTTCTCTTGGCCCCGGACAATTATGCTCCGGGCAGACCTGTACTCATATCAATCTCCATCACTCTCCCAACTTGTAACAAAACCCTTTTCATCTTTTCTCTCCTTCCTTTGGTTTCGGCGAATGACTTGCCAACCGTCATCATCAAAATATAACCAAGTTTCCTTAACGATAAGCTCGACTGTCTTGTGCGATACATGATACTTCTATCTTCAATAAATGATATTTTTCTTAATTGATGTGCAAAGCCTTTTTCTTAATGTATTTACATGTCGCAAAAGGCACAGGATATATTTCGATTCTGCCCTTCTTTCTTTTTTTTTTTTTACAACTTGCTCTGAGGACCCTTGTTGGTCCAGAGAACGACACATCCGCCATTAATGACAATTTGGTCGCGTTCCTTGGCGAGGACCTGGAAGATGATTTTTTCCTGATCCTGGTGCTCTGCAGGAACCTTCCACATCTTTGTAACGAGCGTGTCGCCTGGATAGACCGGGGCAGTGAATCGTCCGGTAATGGACTTAAGGGCGTTGGAGTTGGACTGGCCAAAGGTCTTGAGAATGGCATGGGCGGCGTGGCCATAGGTGCACAGGCCGTGCAGGATGGGCTTCTTGAAGCCGACACGCGGTGCAATCTTTGGGTCGATGTGCAAAGGGTTGTAGTCGCTATGATTGAAAAAGAAGAGGGCGGGTGTAAAATAAGCAAAGTGTCCTTTCCCTTCACCCTCCTGTTGCTTGACCATCATTGGCCACGATATCATTGCTTGGTGTGAAATGTCTGCTTACCCCGACAGTCTGTACAGGATGGCCAGCTCATCGTTTGTCTTGTCCTCATAGACCGCATCCGGCTGCTTGTCCTTGGGAGGCTCATAAGACTCCTGCTTAGGTCCCTTGGGCCCACCCCAACCACCGGCGCCTCGGACAAAGGCCGAGCCCTTCATGGACGAGTACGGTCTCGAGGGATCCTTGGGGTCGACCATCTGGGTTGTGCGCTCAATGACCATGCCCTTGCCCTTGTCATAGACACCCGTGACAGTTGTGTGGAGCTCAAACTCGCCACCAAGGGGCAGAGGGCGCAGGACCTCGAGGGACTGGTCGCCATGGACGAGCTTGTTGGGATCAAAGGGAGGGATGCCGGGGACATCTTCGCCACCGCCGCCGTAGACGGAAACGCCGTGGTTGTCTCTCTTAAGAGGGAGAACGAGAGGGTAGGTCGGGAAAGCGGCAAAGGAGGATTCGTTCTCGTAGAGAAACTGGAGCTCATCCTGGCGGACGCCGACAGAGAGAGCATAGAGCATTAGGTCGCGAGAGGTATAGATGACGCGCTGGGGCCGTTGCTTGAACCCGACCGCCTTGGAGACGTCGACTTGAGGAGGCGAGGACATAGTTTTGTTTTTGAACGTGCTTTGGAGGAGAGAGTAAAGTGATGGCGGAGTAGAATGAATGAAAAGAAGGCGAAAAGGGATTGTGGAGCTCAATGAAAGGTGTGATTGCGTTCGGTTCAGGATTCTGCCGTGAGAGAAAGCGACTGTGGGGTAAATCCGATCTCGCACTTGATTCGCTCCTTTGTCTCGAAAAGGACAAGATTCGATCGTCCCTTTATGCGCGAAAAAAAATAATATATCCGGTGCCGAAACGCGTCGATCGCGTTTCCACGGATGCGATCTGCTGTGCTGCCTGCCGAAATATAACCACCGCCATGGAGAAGAGACACGGATTTGTATGAGTTGAACTACATTCTATGCATACATGGACATATTTGGCTGTTCACCAGCATCAATAGCACATCCCAGTGTCCCTACCCAGGAATCCTCATATCTTTTGCGATTCTAGTCTCTGTCTTTTTGGATGGAGCAAGCGCTGATACCTCCCTAGTTACTTGGCCCCGAAACATCTAATCACTAGGCCCAACGATTCTCTCAATGCCTAATTTGAATATGGCCACTGTATCCTACATGCGTTCCGTTTGAGGAGCAAAAAGAAAAAAGAAAAAAGAAAAAGAAGAATGCACTGAATCCCTCCCTACTTCGAGATGGAATGTCGCATAAGTGGACATTGAACGCGTGCGGTACACCTATAACTTTGATCTGCAGTACGAATCAAGTCGTCTAACTAAACCGATTATGTGCTTTAGAAAAGTCAATCCCTAACTGAGCTTGTGATGTCCTGATCCACCCCCTCGTTGCTATCCATCAGGCATATAAATTGAGTCGCAAAGAGTTCTGCACTAGCTCAGGGGTAACTAACCTTATCCTGGTTAAGAACGCAATGGAAGAAGACATGCCGTTTGCGTGCGCCCTGTATGATAATGTTTCCATGGATGAATACTCCCGTCCCTGAGCCCCTATTTGTAGAAAGTATCCTTCCTTTTTCCTTTATCGCTTTTTCTCACTCTCTTCCATTTTCTCAATCGTTACCCAGCGCCCTCTTTTTCATCATTCATTTCACCTACTGCTTTTCAACACCCATAAGCCCTAACAAGCCATAGCAAGCCATAGCAAGCCATGTCGCGATCAGACATCGTGGAGCATAATCAAGTCCGCTACCGGATTCGGGTCTCGGCTGGCCCCGACCTGCAGACTCTTCGCCCTTTAAACGTCAATGACGACGCTAATCCAATGACGATTGATACGGATGAGTTTGTGGGCCATGTGGTGTTTCGAATCAAGGGACTGGATCAAATCCACGGCTACAAAGAAGGGCAGCAACAGGACGGACTCGAAGTTATGAAGGACAGTCCATGGTTTGACAAGGCGGCCGAGGCAGGACGAGGAGGGAATTTGCTGTCGTCAATGACGATTGTTGGCAGGTTTAAGCGCGAGTGGCCAGGAGAGCAAGTTGTCTTCGCTGTAAGTAGTGAGAGGCGATATAACCAAGAAGACTTTTCAAGAACAGATTGGCATTGAAAGGAGTTGACCTGTTGGTATTCTACTATAACTCTGTTTGAAAACAACGCATACAGTGTGTGTTCGATAGGCCACTGAATCTACCGCCACTGACATCTCTCGCCGTTAAATTCTTCAAAGCCATGGATCCAGGACTTCGGATCGACGTTCAGGCTCCAAAGCCCTACTACATCAGCCCACTTCTTGCCGCCATGAACACCGTCAATGTTTCAAAGGTATGCGCTGCAGATATCACCACGTCGACTACCGCCACATCGTTGACGACGGGATCAACATCTCCAGCTTGGCTCTTGTTCAATGGCGAAAACCTTGTTGAGGATACTTCGATGATTGTTGCTGTTGAGGAGGATGTGAGAAAGAGGACAAAGATCGCCAAGAACGCCGGCGCACGACAAAGTTATTTCGCCAAGGCGAAGCATTTGAGCAAACACCGGTTCGAGAAGGACCATGTGTATGGGCTTGAGCTGTTTGATGCGTACATGGATTGCTCTCGGTTCACACTCAAGTTACCGGGGCTCAGTCTGGACTTGTACAAGTATCTGAACGGACAGGTAAGACATCTTCACGAGCGCTTTCTTGCTTATCAGAGTACGAAGAGGATAAAAAAAGTAGGCCGAGGGCTAATATGCAGATTGGCGGGGTGAACTTGTTGCTTCTTGGTATTTCTAGCCTATCACGTATGTGCTCAGAACGCAGGATGGGTCAACGTCGTTCGTAGCTCTCTCGATTGAGCTTGTACCTGTGAATGATCTCTCAACTTTGTAAATTGTCAGCAATGGCATTAGGGTACAATAAAATGACTTTTCTCATCGAGAAACCCCTGCGTTTGCTACGCAGGATGAACCATTAGGCGTGAAAGGGTAAGCGCCAGGCAATGTATTATATCCCGTAGATCGTCTCATCTGGAAAGAGAGATAGCTACCTAGGGTAATTTTTAACTGATACGGCCAGTACAGTTATTCTTGTTGGGGCCGGCGGAGGTGCTCTGGGCGAGACAGGCTATTAATCCATTCGAGGCCAATATTAGCCAGATTCTGGGCGCCCACGCAGTCCTGTCTAGCCATCTCCGACACCCATCCTCGAGATGGACGAACGCCTGATTCGCTGGCTTTGCTATTCTTCGGTCCTTGTTTTGACGTACACAGCTCGGGCATTTCGATGACGTGAGATACTCATCCGAACAAATGACGGTGTACCCGAGGCTGTTTGCCTATGTGGTGCAATGGCATGGGGAAACATGGCATTAGTATTGATACTGGAGTGAAAACAAGTAAATCGTAATGGATATGTTTAAACTACCTAGACTGAGGCGGCGGGAAACTGCAGTCGCTGCGAGTTAATGTATTTCGTGTCAGGAGGGGGTCGACGAGAAAAAAGTGGCACCACGGGTTTCTGGACTATAGTCTCCAAAGTAAACATTTACCATGGATAATAGCAGCAAGCTATTCTATTCTAGACAACTGGATCGTCAACAGGTCCCCCAAAACGGAGGAAGGGATAAACGACGCGTCGTCACTGCGCTCGAAGGTCGTCAGTCGGATGACGCGTTGATGCCGCCTCATGTTTTCGATATACATTCCAGGCGGTCAAGGAGACCCATACTGCCGACAGAGTGCTCTTTAAGAAAAGGATCGAGGTGCCAGGCCTGGCAGGAAGGATCGATATCGGCATATTAATGCAGTCCACGTACAGCACAATGGTGCGTAACAGACAAGGCCCTGAAGCGCGTCATTGCTTGGCTCTAAATGGACACATGTGAATTTATTTGCTCCCTCTCGTCCCTTTTTTTGTTTCCTCAATCCATTCCAGTAAAGAAGCGCTCCTTTCATTCAAGAAGGAATCCTCCTCTGCCTCGCCCGAACAATGTCAAACGGGACCAACAATACCAACAGCACAAGCAACGGGACAACAAACACGGACAGGACCATCTCAAACGCCTTCACGCAACCACCAGGGCAGGATGCCTCCGCTCACAGAGCTGCTTTTACCAGCGCCACCATGACAACCTCAACCACAACAACGGCATCGCTCCTCTCGCGCGCATCGGAGGATGCATCTCATCTGCCCCAGACCAACCCAGCAGCAACAACGGTAGCAAGTACACCGTCCACCAGTATCGCTGCCACCGCTGCAACCGCGACAGCTGCAGCTCACGTCGTCAGTCAAAAGACCGTTGAGGCCCTGGGAGACTGGTTACTCGAGTCAGCTTCTGTCCATTCTGTACCCGCAGCCCAGGAACAACGGCGAAAACAAAGCTATAAGTCCAGTGCGATCATCAGCAAGACCATGAAGCAATCGCAGGAGGAGCGTCGCCGTCAAGCATTGGCAGAACAGGCCAAGGTAACTATAATAATTGGAATTACAGCAGCAACAATAGCCACGCCAAACCCCACTGGGATGACTTTGTGAGCCGTGGGATTCTTGTCCAGCAAGAACCTTGTGTTTTACATTTGCTTTGGACATGCTACACATATCTTCGTACACATATGGGGGCGAAAAAAGAATAGTCTAACATGGTATTCTGTCTCATACCTATAGAAACGCTACCAATTCACGAATCATGCGCGGAAACTTGCTCTGTTTGCCAGTGGACAGTCCTCCGAAGGGTCCTCCGACGATGAGGACGGCGATATTCAAGATGATGATGAGGACGAGGAAGATGATGACGAAGACGAAGACGATGAGGACGGTGATCACGAACAAGATAACAACGATAACATCGACAGTGCAACACGGTCTACGAGGAGGAAAAAGAAGCGATCCAGCAAACAGTCGGCTGCAGATGTGGAAAAAGTCACGGGAGAAACAACCCTGGCTGCGCCCTTAGCCAAGTCAACCGCAGCACATAAACGACGACTGAGTTCCGAATCGGAACCGGAATCGGTAGCAGGACGGAAAACAGACAGGATAGGGGACGTTCTTTCCCCAAAGAAGCCGCGCTTGCAGAAGAAGCCGTCGTCCAAGAGTTCGAAAAAGAAGAAGATGGAACGAAACCCATTCAGGCACGATTATCAGTAAACAAAGGATTTTGTTAATCAAGCAAAGGGGTTTCTTGGTCAAACAGCTCTAATACTATGGTTTCTACATTGGATACGAAATAGAGACCAGCTCATGATTCCGGAGGCAATGGCAGACATCCCAATAGATCTCGATACTAGCTACTATATTGTTCCACTCCCGATCGGCCATCGATGTTTTGTGATTTCTGCGGACGGAAAGACTACGGCACGCCTCCCATCGGGACAGCTTTTGGTCTCTGCGTTCGAGTCATGTTTACCAGCAGGATCCAGTCAATATCGAGGCAACAGGAGGTCGGACTACTGTATTCTGGATTGCGTCTACTCTTCCGTCACCAGGACTTTTTGGACCTTGGACATCATGTGCTGGAGAGGCCACCCCGTTTATGAATGCGAGACAGAATTTCGATTCTGGTGGTTGAGAGGCAAGTTGGCAGAAATTGAGGGTTTACAGGGCAAGTGGGTTGCAAGCCAGACAAAGGAGTGGGAGCAAGAAATGACAAAGAAGAGGCTGAAAAGGGCTCGACAGATCAAGAAGCGGCAGGAAAAGGCAGCAGCGGCAGCTACGACGGCTGCCATGGACGTAGTGCCGGTAGAAAAACCAGAGGTCACAGTTCAGGAAGAGGTCGATGATGGAGATGATGAAGCAGGGACTGAGAGCATGGATGTTGAGGACAACGCGAAGTCAGGGCCAGCAGGAGTGTCAAGAAGATTCTGGCCAGTCGTTTTCACGCCATTGCCGTACTTCAATGCATCGATCGATTTGGTCAGGCTGTTGGCAGAGTCCATGTATCAGCCCGCACCTTCTCAATCTTCGTCGTCAGCTGCACCGACGAATGCTATGAGTAATACAGGATCTTCGTCTCAGGATCCGTCTTTGGTAGCCAAGAATGCAAGCATGGTACAGTCCACGCTTCCATCATCCTCACCTTCATTATCCTCACCTGCGACAACATCGACATCTGTCCCTGCTTCAAAACTGCCACCAGCGACAAAACTTTCATCCAAACCGCACCCAGCGGGCGCTTTGACTCATTCACATGGTGGCAATAACAACAACCATGTTTACAGTAACAACGATGGTAATTTGAACAATGGTACCTCGGCTTCTGCTTCCCTCTCGATTCTCGGAACGATGGCTCTTTCGGGAGAAATAGCGACCGCGGCGGCGTTGTTCCCAGCGCACGATAATACCCAGAAGATACGACAGGACCAGACGCTCTTGCATGAACGGGCCGCAGGACTCGTGTTTTTCAACAAGAAGACCATGTATGTCCTAGGAACGACTCCGCTCTGTGGATGGGTTACGATGGAGCAGATCGGAGACGTGTTCTTTGGTGAAGAAGGCGGGATTGGCCCAGTGCCGGGCACCAGTGCGGTCGAAGGCAGGGAGGTTGAGATGGAGGACGCGTTGGAGCGGATCCGGATCTGAAAAAGAGAAAAAAAAAAAAAAAAGCGAACAAGACATACTATGGGTTTTTACACCGACACAGAAAGAACTCTGTTATTTTTCCATCTTGCACTCACATATCACTAAACATTCCATTTTGCAGACACATACACAGATTTCAATAATAATAATATTGCATGCCTCGACAAACATAAAGCCATATACCATATGCAGGCTACTTTTCTTTTTTATTACCGACAATTTTTGTGCACTATGCGAAGCAGTTCTTTTTAATGGCGCTTTTAAAGAAGGTGCGAAAGCGCATCTCCTTCAGGCTATAAGTTATTAAGCGCTGCCTGCAGCTTCCCGTCTCCGAAGTTCATCAAAGTAAGGATCTGTAGGTGATAAACAATATAACAACAAAAAAGAAGAATAGGAATGAATATTGAAAGCAGTAGGACCATGTTCAAGACATGAGAGACCTCGGAGGTCCGCAGGAAATGCCACTTACGAGCGAGTGCCGCATCGGCCGATATCCTCTTGTCTGGGTTGTAGGTGATAAGGCGCTAAAAAGGACATGCCCATACATAAAAAATAGCAGCATTGGTGAGCATTCACACTTTGTGGAGCATAGCTTGAATTAAATCTTTTTTTTCTGAGCACATGAACACAAAGCGAGCGCGCAGTCTTGTTGCACCACGAACGTGCACGATTCAGGAACGTGCGCAGATTCATTTCCCATCCAAATCTCGATATCTGGCCGATACTCCAGCCAACACAGAAGCCTGCGTGCATTGTCTACCTCTCGCTGCTTGTGTATGGATAATACCAACAACAGCATTAACAATAATTAAAAGCAACTTACGCTGAGCAAATCAATGCCAGAGGCATCTAGTTTTGGGACAAGGTTCTCTAGAGGAATCGGATTGTACATTGGGAAATCCGGTCGATAGTCCGGTAGTCTTGATACATCAGGCCAAGTCTCTTCTGTGGGGGTTCCTAGAATCTTGAAGATCTTGAGTAACTGATCCTTAACGGAGCTTCCTGGGAAAAGCGGCCGCCCTGATGCCATTTCTACTCATGTTGCACAAAAAATTCCAAATTTGTGTTGGGGTGAGAAAGGTTGATCAGTGTTCATATCGCTTGAGCAAAAATAACAATAATAATAATAAATGAAATGAAACAGGAAATAGCGCGAATATCATGAAGGCTGAATGTTGAATAACAGACACAAAAGCCATAGAGATCCAGTCTCGATTGACGACTCGTATATACCTGCGAAGATGCATCCTGCGGACCAAATATCGATGGATGTAGAGTACTGCTTCGACCCCATCAAAACATCCGGTGCTCTGTACCACAATGTTACGACCTATCATCAGCATGGAAGAGTAAACCGCCAAATCGTTGGGTCAATATCCCATCGTGTCGTATACAATTGCTCTTTCCTTGTCTCCGATGCAAGGGAGCCCGCGTTGATGGTTATTTCTGTCCAGTTCCTTTGTCATACCTCATGCGAGTAGCTCCTCACTGGAATGCCAAAGGCTCGTGCCAATCCAAAGTCACCCAGCTTTAAATCGCCCTTTTTGTTGATAAGTAGGTTTTGTGGTTTCAAGTCCTAGATCAAAGGGAGAGAAAGTGGTATATGTGTGAGTCCAAGTACCTACATTCTCATGTTTCGTGACCGTAAAGACATGGAATTAGATATGGACATTCATTGAGTTACTTACTCGATGCAAAACTCGATGTTCATGACAATATGCAATGCCCTTCAACAGCTGGTACATCAGTTGCTAAATTACTCAGATAATCAAATCGAATTAGATACGCGCGCTCTTGAAGTGCGAACCGTTCCATAATACTTCCAGTCCTCCTAGGAAGAAACACACACCTTTATCGTTAGCACATCAATGTCTCCACTGTAGGTGTCCAAGAACTTTTTCAAATCCGAATCCAGATATTCGAAAACAAGTGTCAGTTTTTTCTCCGTGTGCAGTACATCGTATAGCCTATTCATAAACCAAAGAGGGAGGCAATCTGCAGTTAGAGGAGACGGTTTCCAAGCGAGCGATTCGCTAGATAGCGACAGACAAAACCTGAACATCGTACCTGACAATATTGGTATGTTTCAATTCTTTTAGCAACGAAATCTCGCGAATGGCTGTGCATGGTACCTAGATATGATGCGATATGTTGGTTTTAGAAGTTGCAGCAGCTTGAAAAGGATCAATTGAACTACGAGTGGAAGGAAGAAAAAGTTGGTGCATTGCTCTTACTCCTTCTTCTTCATTGTCCAGACGGATACGTTTCAACGCAACCACATCATTGGTCTCTCGATTCTGGGCTTTGTAGACGATACCGTATGTTCCTATACGTCAAAATTATCGTTAAATCAGCGGTGGTTGTTCAAATAAAGGTCAGGCTTGCGGCTTACTGCCTCCTCCATGCTCCTGTTTTCGAAATTCCGTTCCCAACCTCATTGCTACATGCATCCTGAACACGGTCCGCATCATGCCTGGTTTGCTCCTGTTGGCTCCTGCTGTCCTTGGTGTCCTCTCCATTCGTTTGAGGTTACCCATCAACGCGCACTGTCTGCATGCAAGTGACCTTTACTTCAAATAACGAAGTTAACCCATGTGGGTTTGTGTATGTGTGTGTGTGGAGGGGAGAGACTACTCCGTGCCACCCTCTGTTCCTGAGTCGCGTTTTGGTGTGGCAAAACTATTCCCTCCTCAGGTCCAACCCTAGCACTTGTGCCTGGGTCTATGTTTATCAAGGTTTACCTTCTCCAAGCTTCTCGATTTTCTGGAGGCAAATTGAACGGATGAATGAATAAGAGAGGATATGAGGGAGCTTTGTCAGAATACAGCCTGAATATGGCCAGCTATGGAGACAATGCAATGCTGAGTAAGTGCATTGCGGTACCTGATATTTGTCCATTGATGGGTCTGATCTGCTGTTTGTCAGGCAGTTAGAGTGAAAGGCGAGGAGGTAACTTGCGGCTCAGCGTGCTTTAAATACAGGGGCTAAAGCAGACGAATGCGAAAGAGAGTGGAGGACAGATGCAAAGAGATGATGACGAGAGTGAACAGCGGCAGGACCTTGCTGCTTCTGATGGGTCGATCAAAAAAAAGAAAAAAAAAAAAAGGATGGGAAGAGATGGAACTGACAAAAAAAGAAAAAAGTTAAAGCAGCAGCTTTGGCCACCTTTGACAAGACCGCATTTCTTCTTTGAGTTCATGCTCCTTTTCAGGCTGCCCACCCGCTACACGAGCAATATGGCCAACCCATTGCCGTCGCTTTGTCGGCCATGCATGTCAACTATCGTTCCTCTGGTCTGGTGTCGATGTCCAAGTCAATACAATTTGCCTTACTCTCTCCTCGTCTTCACTCCGCCTTTGGGCGTGCAATCAATATTAGGAGTCAGGCCCGTAAAGTTTCCTCCGCTCACGACCAAACTTTCTCAATCGCGCTCCTGCTGCGACAGACCTTGGCCTTGTCTATCATATCTCATTTATAAACAATCTGGGGGGAGCAAAGGTGTTTGCATAAAGATCCGCCAGTTCAATTGCTGGTTCCGTAAATCAGGGTTTCGTTCTTTCATGGTAGATGGTAAGAAGCGTTTAATTAGCCATAAAGAGTTCTCGGACAGATTTGTAAGCTTGCTGCTGCCCTGCACGACTGCGTCATATATGTAGATCGTACCGTCGATCTCGGTTTAATTACAGATGAGAAGGGCCAGAAACGGACGAAATATTCTCGCGCTCTATCCTCCTTCGTTCGCATAGCCTATTGCAGCAGCGATCTTGTCAAGGTAGAGATCCATCTCGCAGCAAACGAAGTACCATAAAAAAAAAAAAAAAATAGCGAAAGAAACAGAATCTACTATCCTCATTCGACTACTGCATACCAATGCTTGCTACCAAAAACCTTTTCATCAACATGACTACTTAAGATAAACATAGTCTTTAATGAAGTGTTGCAGATCCTCACCGATAGCACACCTCTTGAGCATATAGATGATAAGTCAACCTTGTATGGCTTTAGAATCAACCAATAGCTGTTACAATACGCGCAATACACTCTGATCGATGTTCACCCAAGAGAGGTCCGGTGTTATTCCTGACCAAGTAATCGGCCACGGTTCGGATCTATAGGCCCTCACGCTGCAAGGACATTTTAGAGATCAGCGCGGGAATTTTTATGGCTGCGGAGAAAAATTGGCATAAGCCATGCGAGTCTCATTGCACGCGCAACGGATTTGAACAGCGATTGCAGGGCATTTCTGCAGGATCCGCTTCGAGAACCCGCGATGCTGATGATAATGATGTTATCATAAATAGTAAATCATCATCCAGAAGCCAATGATGTGTATTATGTAATCGCCCGTCGACAATTTGTTGCCACGCTGCAACCTAAAGAGAGCTGCTAATGTTCAAGTAGTAGGTAATTTTCGTTTCCTTGTGCCGACTAATATTTTTTGCTGTGCTGCCTCGCTAACTCGCTCGGTCGCTCTTCAGAGTCCACGAGTTTACGGAGTCTCAGATACTGCATGTCTACTCATGCCAAAGAAAATAGTCATTCTTTTTAGAAAGTGCTATTGACAATTAAGTATAGATGTGTTGGCGTTCATGTCTGTAGTCCTGAATTGCTCGGCGCTCGCAATGAATCCTGGCTTATGTTGAAGCAAAAAAATAAAACTAGTCTGCAATAAATCCAATAATAATATCGCTATCGACCGCTGCGTGTTGCCTTCGATTGCGCACTCATCCCGCTCAACCTCATGTCTATCCTTTCTATGTGCCCGCCCTCTTTATCCTCTAAATACCCTTCTGTCCACCTCGCGAACGCTCTACCGCCTCCTCGATAGCCCGTCCCCTCCATTCGTACCACGAGATCGCCTGCAGCAGACAGTCGCTGAGATCATCCCGTTTCTTCTCTTGACCATACCAATCCCTGACTTCCGTGCGGCACCGCAGCCGAAATCTAGCTCCGATTCTATCCCCCTCGCCCATTGGGGTAATTAGATCGTTATCGCTGTTGCGTATCCACTGGTCGACCATGTTTCTGGATTGCCCCTTTTTGGTATGGTACCCGCGCGTCTTGCTTGCTCTTCCGCCTGCATCATTCACTTCTGATGTATTCGATGCATCCAATGCGTCGCTGTTACTTTTCGTTATAGTCTGCGTCTTGGCCGCTGCACCGATCCCCCACCAACTGGCCACGGCTCTTGGCGATACGGATTCTACAAAGACAACATCCTCATTCTCCTTCACATCCTTGGTCTGGTCCTGTTCTTTGCCAGCAGCGCCGGCAGTCATTTCGGCAATCTTTTCTTGTTGTTGCTGCCGCTTCTTGAGCGCTTGCTGCCACACCGCAAGCCATACATGGATCATACCTTCGAGCACTCCACACCTGAAAGTCGCATCCAGGACCGAGTGCATCCCTGCTGTCCGAAACCGCTGCTGCTCCACGATCACTCCTTCCAACGCTTCACTGTCCACAATCTTGTGCATCACCTTATCCAACCTCAGCGCTACCGATCTGGAATCGAACGGCAGTGCAGGCGCTTTCACCTTGACTTTGGCGCCCTTGCCTCTTGTAGCCTTTATCGTTTTAATAGGCGGGGCATTATCACCAGAAGCTTGCTCACCTTGGGCAGATACTTTTAATGACCCGTCGCAATCCTCGGTCTCGTCGCGGTGATCATGGTGGTTTTCATCAATTGGGCCAAGGAGATCCTCAACTGACCAGCGCAGAATTTCTCCGTCCCTCGAGAGCTCGACCCAAGCGAGGTTGCGGATCCCAACATCGATCGACACGATGGATCGAGGCAACACACGCTGCTGGATCCTCTCCAATGTTTCCCCGTCTACCTTCCGCTCCAACCGCTGCTCTTGGCAGGATGGCAAGGTGCAAGGGTTGCTAGAGGCCTCAAATATGGTCCCATGGCGAGAAAATTCGGGCTCCAAGCGCTCGACCTTGTGCAGGATCGCACCCATGTGTGTCAAAAGTCGGTTTTTGAGAACTGGTTTCGTTCCCGAAAGCTGCAGACCCATCGCGTTCAATAGCGACGACAGATCCTTGATAGTGAGCCTTAATACCCAATTATCCGATTACAATAAAAAGAAGAGATACAAGGGCGCACAGGGGCGTTAATTAGGGTATGAAGGATTTGAAAAGTTGTTTGCTCGTTGTTACAAATGTCAAAAAGCATTGTGGATTCGCCAACTCACCTGCTGAGCGATTGTTCGAGCTGCGTGCTAAAGTGTCGCACAGCCACTTTGGGAAACAATGAGATCAGGGAGACAGGATTTGATAAGTGTGGTGAGGGAGGCTGGGATGCGATCGTGATCGCGATTCCCTTTGAGGCTGTCGACAAGGAGCGCTGCCATCCACAAGACAATCGTTGTGATGTAAGGCGCGGTACATAACACCAAGGTTGCATCGAGTTATATGCGTGTGTTTCGAGAATACACAAACAAACAGGGATGAGAAGTGCGAGGAACAGCTTCCTCGGTCCTACGATTCTTTACAGAGCTTATTGTTGTTTTTCAGCAAACGAAGGTTCTTTTTATTAGGGCTTGGACAAGGACCCGCTACATCTCGTTGCCTGCCCTTTCGTTCGGCCGCATCATGCCGCTGTTCTTAGTCTTCTGTTGCTGCTCCAGCTTGGGACACTCTGTCACACGATGACCCAGACCACCGCAGTAGCCGCACCCGCCTGCAACGCCCATGTCCTTATACTTCTCTGTAGGATCCTCTAGTGCCTCCAGAACCGGCGGCACCTTTTGCTTGGCTTCCTTCAGCAGATGCTTCAAATCCAGCAGGATCTGCTCTGATGAGTTCATGTTGATAAATGTCGTTGCAATACCCGTCTTTCCCGAACGACCAGTGCGACCGATCCTGTGTACATAATCCTCGATCTCCTTCGGCATGTCAAACAAAATAACATGATGAATATCCGCAAAATCCAAACCCTTGGATGCAACATCTGTGGCGACTAGAACGTCCTTCTGATAGCTCTTGAACGCATTGATGGCATATTCACGTTCTTCTTGGGCTAAATGCGGAGAGAACAAGAATATATAAATACCAGTTTCTAGCACCTTGTCCTCATAAAAACACGTTGATCTCGTTACAAAGCAAAAAACAACTTACTCTTGGACCCATGGATAGCCACTGCCTCAACGCCCTTTAGCAGCAGGTACTCCTGAATATCATCGACATCGTTCTTGTTCTCTGCAAAGATCAACACTGGTGGCGGCGTCTTTTGTAGACATTCAAGCAGATATACGATCTTGGCCTCTTGCTTCACGTACTCGACCTCCTGAATGACATCCAAGTTGGCAGCTCCTGCACGGCCTACGTTTACAGTGACGGGCTTCACAAGAGCCGAGCGAGCGAAATCCTGGATCTTTTTGGGCATAGTCGCTGAGTAAAGAATCGTCTGGCGCTGGTGTTTGAAATACGACAGAATGTTCCGCACCTCCTCTTCGAATCCCATGTCGAGCATTCGATCAGCCTCGTCCATACACATATATGTACACAAGTTCAAATTGAACTTCTTCTTCGCCAACATGTCCTGAAGACGTCCTGGTGTCGCAACCACGACATGAATACCGCTATTTTACATAAGAACAAAAAAGGTTGCTAAACATCCCAATTCTTTGACAGCACATAGGCACAATGATCTCAGAATAAAACGCTTACCTATGCAAGACGGATGCCTGTTCCTGCATATTGATTCCTCCCATGCAAAGTAGTATGTTAATTTTTGCATACCCTCCTTTGTGCAGTATGTCGGCGATTCCAACGAAGCCTTCATAAGTCTGTCTTGCCAACTCGCGCTATTAGCCAAGTAATGAAAATTGAAATACTGGTCAACTTTTTTTTTTCTTCTTTGCCGAGCCCTTCTTTTTTACAATAACAAGATAACGTACAGATGGACAGACGACCATTCCGATAGGTCCTTCGCCCTTAGCCAAGGGCATCTTCGTTTCTTCTTCAAGTGCCCGCATGATCAATGGAAGTGTGAACGAAAGCGTCTTTCCCGATCCTGTGAAGGCGATACCGATCATGTCCCTCCCCGAGAGCGCCACAGGCAATCCTTGCATCTGAATCGGCGTGGGCATTTTGATTCCTTTGTTCTTCAGATAATCCATTACTGGCTGCGGGAATTTCATATCCCTGAAGGCCTTGATTACTGGTGGCATATCCTCTCCTTCCGCGTCGATGTGGTACTTCTGTCGAATCGCCGCCAGTTGCTCCTGAGTCAACTCACGAATATGCCGTGGCGGAGTCCATGTGGTCTTGATTGGGTCCTTGTAAACGATTCCCTTCGAGATCTCCTCCACAGATGCTAGTTGTTTCCGTTCCGTGACAGCCGCCAAAATCTTGGCCTCCTCCTCCATGGTCTTTTGTGCATCTGTCTTCTGTTCCTCTGCATTGACTTGCGCCTTCCGGATCTCGACCGACTGCTCAATCAAACTGACACCCGCACGAGGTCCGATTTTAGAAACCTTTTCATCATCGTCGTCGTCACTAGGGTTGTTGGAATCGCTGCGACCGCCGTCGTTCTTGGATCTGCTGCGGTTGGTGGTGTTCTGATCGCTTCCGTATCCACTGGAGGTGCCGTGTGATCCAAAGTCGAGAACGCCGCCCTTCTTGGAGACGAGCTTTTGATATTTTTCCGCGCGGCGCTTTGCAAGAGGGACGTAGGGCACATAGTTGTCGCCGACGTCCAAGTCGTCCTCGAGAGCGGATTCGTTTGGCTATTCTCGCATGTGGAATGAGAAAGGCAAATGAGTGTCCACGAACATGCAGATCTTTCACAGACCGCTTTAGAATGCAATATACAGTAAGAAAAGTAAGGCTTACCCTCTTGTTGTCTCTTTCTCTGATGCGACTCGTTGCCATGGTCGTGTGTATGCGTATGTGTGTGTGGGTTATGGATGGTTGAATGGAAGCGATGCAAAGTGCATACCAGGAACCACCCCTTGGTTCATTCTGAGTGGCTTACTCATCCAGACCTCGTTTGTCCGTCACAGCCAATTGGGGGTCTCGCCAACTGGAAGGCCCGACTGCAGAATGTTTGAGCAACAACCTGTACAGTGCGAACCGCGACTAGATGCTGCCCAGCACTTGTGCTGGTCTACTGTGGGAGATCAACCTCGTAGGATGACCGCTTTTGCCGCCGCTACTGGTATGTTGCTGTTGTTGTTAAGTATCAAAGTTGCTGACAAGTCCTTTTTGTCTCTTCGCTGCGTGTTGTCGCACAAAAAGAGGAATGCTGCATGCCACTTTCACTTTCTTCGGTTGGTTTGGTGCAACCAAGTGCCTTTCGTGCTTTGTATGCGCTGGCAACGGCTCACAGGATGTCTGAGTGCTCTCCCTTTCGTTGTCGACTACTTCTTCTGTGAAGAACTCGCTTCAGCTTCTTTCTTTTGTCTCCATTTCTCACACTTTCTTCCTTCTCCACAAACCACCCTTTCCTCTTCACTCCCCACCCACTCGTCCAGCTATGCATCTCTCGACCAAAGCAAGTCTCCTAGCTCTGTCCACTTTGATCCTCTTGGCCACATCGCCTCCCGGTGACAACCACGGTGCCGTCGTCTCTGCGACACTCACTCCACAAGAACGCCTCGAAGTCGAAGCCAAGGATCCCGACAATCCTAACTACTGCCCCGCCTGTCTCAAAAAGGCACTCTTCAATCATTTTCCCCATGCGTGCCCTAAGGATCTCGAGCCATGGGAGGCTACCACACGACCGGAGGGTCCTCGCCCTAACGAGCAACGGTGTATCTGCATCGCCTTCGTGGATCTGTTCTGGATGAAACGCGATTGTGAGCAGGAATGCACGTTTGTGAATAACCCTGCGGCCATGGCTCATTTCCAGCCTGCAGAAGACATCCCAGGATGCGACAAGTGGATCGATTTTGCGACAGGGCAGGAGAATCAGGTTGAGGGGTTTGAACCAAGGAACCCGAGCCATCAGCCAGAAGTCTATGTACCCGAGGATACCGAGGCGGAGACGGAAGCTAGCCAAGAGGAGACCGTCAAGGACAAGGAGGAGGAGCAGATTAAGAAGAGGGAAGAAAACGGCCCAGAAGAAGAGGTGGTCGAGGCGACAGAGGTCAAGCTAGAAGGACCCCGGGGCTCTGAAGATGAGCCCCACATTCAAGGGGAGGTCAAGGCGGAGAAGGGGCCAAAAGACGAACTGTAATTCCCGCAATAAACTTTCTCCATCTAATTCTGCATGTTTGTCTGCCAGTCTTGTCAATGCGGGCACTGTTGTCGTGAAAAAATCTGTTGTGGGGGCGGAGAGAACTGCTTCCCCGCGTGGAGTGTATCGTTCAATTGCCCGAGAAAATAGGGCTGCACCCAGGAAGTGGGATCTCCGAGTGGAAATGTATAAAAACCACGCCTAGATTCGCCATCGCCATTGCCATTCCGTTCGTGAATTAGACAATCACTCCTCTATACCCCCCCTCACACCTTCTTATATACCCCTTTATCTGAAATGGCCATCTCAGCAGATCAATTTTCGTTTCGACAGGTAGGCAATGGAGCCAGGACCAGCAAAAGCAGCAATTGATTATGGGTAGAGCGACTTGATGTGCCTTGCAGCTGTCTAATGCACTCTACGACCTTGTGTATTTGTGTATGCATGTAGGCGAAGCCAGAAGAGCTCGATATCTTTATCGACATCCTCGAGCGAGCCGCGCGGTGGATGGAGGCTAACAATTTGAATCAGTGGATCCCAGGATCGTTTGTCGCTCCAAAGACCCGCGCTCATATTGAGCACGCCATCTCGATTGGAAACGCATACTTCATCATCAATCAGGAGCCCACTGTTACTACTGCGACCTTGAGCGGTTCGACAACACCCATAACGTTAGTGAGCATGTCATGCAAACCGGAAACGATCATCGGCACCTTCACTTTGAACTACGCAGATCCATTCGACGAGATGCTGTGGAAGGACATTGTTGAGGACTGGACGGACGCTGTGTATCTGCACCGTTTAGTGGTTGAGCGAGAATATAAGGGCTATGGGCTCGGTCCCAAGGCACTGATGTTTGCGGAGCAGGAGGGGTTGAGGCGGGGCAAGCACTATCTGCGATTGGATTGCATGGCCGACAACAAGCTACTGAAGGCCTACTACCGAGAGAAGGCCCACTTTAAGGAGTTCGAAGACTACCCTGGAGAGCGACTCTTTGGGAGATTCGAGAGGCCCATCACGGCGACCTTAGTTTGAGGCGACTTTTTCTATTGAAACTACGCGGGCAGATGCCACCTACAACGGATCACGTTACTATGTTCGATAATAAAAGAATCATCTTTTCTGCACATTGACATAATTCACGCTACGATAATAAGCTGCTTCGTTGCGCTTGTGATCGAGCGTTGGACGGACTCATGCGTCCGCAAAGAAGGAGGGGAAAGGCGAATCTGCATGCATTCTTCGGAACATAGCGGCTGTCTCTACATCTGCTAATAGACTCATAGTATATCGCCACTTATACAACTATTTATGGTTCTGTTTGGCCGTCTACACTGTAACCGGACGCAGGATGCAGCGAGCGACATGCCAGCTGTCCTCCTGCGAAGACCATCCCTTTGAACCTTTATGATACGAATGAAGTCCGCGGGAATGCAAGTGTAAAGGCCAGGGAGGGCATGTACAGTATGCAAAGAAAAAATGGCTGTCTGTGCATCTGTTTGTAGGACAGCGTTCTCTGTGCATATGGCATGAATCTAGCGATGCTGTTCGCGTTTGAAAACTCTTTCCCCCAAGTCCAGTGTCCTTAGTGTGCATGTATAGGCGCGTGTATATCCAGAAAGTTACCGGCCAGGTTATCCCGGATGTGGTTATCGTCCCCCGCCATTGCGTTATCCTATTGTGCATGCTTAGGGTACATAGACGCTGTCATGCTGAACCCCTTTTACGCTCAATTCTTGGTACCCACCGCAGGGCTGTAACGTATTGTGTGCGAATGGTGCTGTCATGTTTGTAACATCGATCCATGGGTTGGTCAATGCTCCATGTGTCCCCACTCAGTGGATATTTCACTCAGCAAAAAAAAAAACACGTATTATTGCATCGTCATTGACACACTCTGTTTTTTTTTTTTTGGGCGGAGCGAATGTTTGGTTTTTCAGGCCCCAGTAGAAATCCCGCGGTGTTTCAGTGGTATTTTGCTAGCTTATGACCGCACCAGGAGGGAAGCGAGCGCTTTTGACTTCCTTTTCATAAATACGTTGAGGATCCCAGGAACCAGGGCATCACCGCCCCTGGCTAACTCCCTCTCTTTATCCTTTTATCCAGTCCTTCTGATATCCACATACAGTCCCCATTTGCATTTTGCCCATAACTGGGCATTGCAGCACAAGATGGGAACTTAAACACGTTTATGAACGTTCCACAATAAAGAAAACACCGCACACAGAAGCAGCCCCCGCATCATCCGCGGATCATTTTCAATCTTTTTTTACTCTGCGAATTGGCCCATTGACCAACAACATCATCCATTTTTATCTTCGTTCGGCGACCCTGCTTGTCCCACCGTGCTCACATCCCTGCCTTTTTGTTTTGCAAGAAACGTCAAGAACAGGACCACCAAAGCAACTTTAACAACCGTTCGTGCGCGGCCCATGCACCAGACATCAAGTATTAGGTCTAGAGACAGGGACGAGTAATTGAGCAGCTGAAGAGACAACCATCTCCGGCTCTCATAATTGAATCATTTACTTCAGCTCAGAGCTCAGAGCAAAGCATGGCAAATGCGCATGGACACTTTGTGCCCACTGCCTTTATTCGTATATAAAATAACCCTCGTCCCCCATCCTTCCTTTTTTTTTTTTTTTTAAAGACCAACCTTTTCCCCAACGATATCTTCCCCCCTTCGCTCCACACCCTTTTCTCGCAAGGCTGAGCATCAGACTAATACCACATTTTCTCTCAAACGGTCTTCATTATAATATACTCCATCGTCATTTATTTCCAGAAAATAACAACCAGCATTTTCCTTCACACAAACCGCCCGACTACCATTTCGTCCTACAATCAAGCTATGAGCACCTCTTCAGCAGCACCCAGCATTATCTCGTCTTTCCGCCCGTCCTTCACGACTTCACGTATGACAGCATCCCACACAAAACAGCGGAGCAAAGTCACAGCCCTACTTCTCTCCCTCACTATCGCCTGCATTTTCCTCGCCTCAACCTGTTCCGCCATCTCTATCCCCAAAATCGCCCTCCAGCTAAACCAGCAGCGATCGATCGCTCAGCAAGTTCATCATGTCCAGGTCGCGGACGAAAGTATCCACAATGCCATGATCCTGATGAAAAAGTCGCTTCAAAAGCAGCGTCAACAAAAGCGGCTCCTCCAGCAAGAAAAGCATCATCAACAGCAACCAAAGCAAGAATCTAAAAAGAGACGATCCCAGCTACAAAAACGCGAGGTTGAGGGGGAAGCCTCGCTTGAGTTTAATGCCCACGCTGAGAGTGAGAGCTTCCGCGAACAGCAACTTGTCACCCCGTCGTCGCAACACCTGACGATATCCCCGAATACCAACCATGAGGATGGTAGGTACAGCGGTGATCGTAAAAGGAACATTCGTATCACAAAGTCTAAGCGAGCAAGACTTATTTCCGCGTACGAGGCCATTGTTTTCTCAGAAAGCCAGATGCCTGTCTTTTTGAGCCAAGACCATCGACAGACAACGTCTGCCATCACGACCAAAGGCCGGACCAGCCACCAGACCAAGCATGCGGCCGCCACCATCGATATCGTGAACGACCAAGATGGGACTGAGTAAACCAGGGGCTGAGGAACAGTGACTCGCTGGTAGACCTGCAGCCACTAACAACGACGCCCAACCCCATCAACTCCAGACATAGTGATGTTGCTCTCGATCCAAAAATAAACAAGGACGTTTCTCCATGGTACTTTTCTTTGGAAGCCCATGGTGGTGGACAGTGCCTTCAGAAGATCTTATAATGACAGAAACAGTAACATTGCTCAAAGACAAGAAAGCAACAGCCATAGGGTTACGCCCTCGGGAACAATGCGGGCAGTAGAAATATCTTATCAGTCATCTTTTGATGCTAGTTTCAACAAGAGCATCATACGCGACGCATGCAGGTACAAAACAAGCACGCCGTTGCCGCAAGGACCGCTTTCCTTGGACTTCAATTGCATCTCAAACAACTTTTCAAACACATACCATGGCTCAGTGTTTTACTTCACTTGCCATGCTGCTTAGAATAGACCTTCATCACAGCAATGAAAGTTTATCCTGTATGTATTTTATGGCATATGCTTCTCTGGAACTCGATGGGGGTTATGGCATGACTTTAGTGGTGCGCCTCTTCCTCTTCTTCCTCCTCTTCCTCCTCCTCCTCCTCAACAGCCTCCTCAGACACAGCATCTACAATCTCGACGTTGGCCTGCTCCCAAGCAGCAAGATCGGCAGAGGCATCAATAGCCGGGGTCTATGATGATAAAAGCAAATGTGAGTGAAGGATCCCTGGCATCTTTCGCAATATCCAAATCGAAGTCTACAGCCGGTAACAAAATCTTACAGCGGGGGCAACAGGGACCTTGAACTCCTTCACCTGAGAGGAGGCGTCAGCACCCTTGGCCTAAATGACGCGTCAATCAAACAAATAGAGACTGGCGTTAGTTCCAGCATAACGATAGAGAAGCGGTTCCTGTCCGAGCGACGACTCCTGAAGAAAGAAGAGGTATACATCGGGGGTAGGCTTATAACCCTTGAGCTCCTTGATGTACAAGTCCTTGAGGATGTCTATAGCATTCGTTTTTATAATTGAAAAGAGATTGTGAGTAACTCGATATAGCACTACGCACATAGACGGCTCAAACGCGTCGACCAAGCACAGCACACTGAAAACATACCCTGCATCAGAGGGGCCGAAGGAGCAGTGAAGCTGCGAACAGCCATGAACGAGACAGCGGGGCGAGCGACGGCAGCGCGGGTCTAATTGGCAACATGAACAAAAGCGATAACGACCGGTCTTTGGTTAGCCATGCTAATTCCACAGAAACAGCGTTGTGGGGGAAAGGTGTGGGTAGTTGCTTGCTTGGTTTCTGCAAGAGAGTGAATAGAATCCCGAAGCAATTGAGAGTCATTTTCCTGATATCTATCCATTGATATCGGTGTGAGCATGCTAACGACAAAGTAGATGACCCGATGCTTGCGGCGCTGTCTTTCGTTCAACTGGCGCCAGACGACGACGAGTAAAAGTAGCCCCGGCAAGCGCTACTGGACATCGAGCGCTACATCACCATTCGTAGCATAGGGCTATTGTCTCCTCGCAGTGCAGTAGTGGTCGTCCTGGAGCTGATACAACTGATACAACCGCTGCGGTTCCTGAAGGCGTCCTGATCAACCCGATGCAGTTCCAGCAGGCGTGTTTGGTCGATCCTCACGCATGGTAAGAAAAATTGAAATACGAAAAACGAAGGTGGGGCAGAGGAAGAGGAGGCGTTCCACTTGAAATTGGTTTACCAAGAGACGAGCAGCAAACATGGTTGATAGAGTGATGAGTGTGCGAAGGGGGATGGGGAAGGAAGGTGATTCTCGATCTACACTCGGAGAGAGGCCCCCCCAGAAATGACGAGTGGCAGATAATTTGATCGCAATGTCTGCGTCAGTTAAATTCGATTGGATGGGCAAAGCTCTTCCCTTTCAGGGACAAAACGAACCTGCACTCTTATATCCTTCATCCAAGCAAACCGACGATGCCATCATCTCATTCCATCAAGACGCTCCTCAAAGGACATGCTTCTTCGGAACAGGTCCCGGATAGTAAGACCAGTAGCGCCCCAGCACCAGCCAGCGCCCTTGCCCCTGTCGATCACCGTGTAAACGAAGCGCATGCAAAAGATAAGACGCTCAGCAATGCAGCCAAAAGTCAGGGTACACAACTAGAGACACAGGTACAGGAAAAAGGTGTACAAGACAAAGCCTCGGACTTCATACTGTCGACGCCAGGATCTCGGAAACGGTCAATCCTGCTCAACATGATGCTACCACCGGAGGCGCCTCCGGTTGACGCCAACCTTGCCCTACCACCAGTCCTCCTCTTCCCACCCATGATCGAGCCCCAATACAACGCTACAACAATCCTGGAGCGTGAAATATCTGCAGATACCGCAGTGGCAACGCCTGAAAACACAACTGAATCTACTTCAACAGCGCGTTCATTACGGTCGTGGGTAAGGGGCAGCAACAATGATGGGCGTATTACAAAGCGCAACAATCATGCTGTTCCCGTCAAGCGTGGATCAGATGACCCAGGGGTAAAGTGCAAGGAGGGCATCATCATGGATGTAAATATTGTCCATTCTGAGACCACCACTGTCATGTCGAAATCAAGTCATGTTCGGACGTGGATCTCGAAGATAGCTCGCACTGTCTCTGAGAACCGAGATGGAGGGGAGACAGGAAACGAAAAGAAGCAGGCAGTTATAGGTGGCGCTAGTACGACCAATGTATCGACAATGCAGGGCCAGGAGCAACAACAGACCATTTCGCTACCAGCGTCAACTTCATCCTCAGTCTTATCAGCTCCAGTGAAATCGCTTAGTGGCGGTACGGAAGGAACTATCACAACGACGACGACGACAACTGTACAACAGCAAGAGATTGTACACCAAGAAATCCATCAAAAGACACGATCGGTGGCCCTTGTGAATGTCAATGTCTCGATACAGGACGTTTTTGGGCTGGGCAAGATCCTGGAGATGGTGCTGGCGCTATCTCATGCTCACGGTGCGTTCCTGCGCCGACAGCCCTTCTGGCTGCAGTGCGTGATCATGGGCTGGGAAGGGATTCTTGTAATGCTGTTGGTCTGGGGTTTGCTACGTATCGTGGGCCTAGCTGAGGTGGTTGTCTGGGGGGCCGATGACCTGGTTCGCGGAACGCTGTCAACAGTCCAAACCGTCGGCAGGGTATTGGCAACATACTTTTCGCATTAGACCCTGTCATTATCAATAAGAAAGTGTTTGCAAGGTGTTAGCGGGGTTCCCTCCACGTGTACGTACAAGAGGTTTCATAAACCGTCCGCGTTGCATAAAAGTACGCGGGTGAAATGGATTTTCGACTGTGGTCTCGCTTTTTCCATGGGACTGGTTTCATATGCGTTATTCATGGCAGCTGGCATCCTTCTCCACAATCATTTCCCATTGTCCATCTTTTCCTCATTACAACACCTACACACATATACTCCAGTACTCACTTAGATACCTACAACTTATAAACGGTTTCAGTATGGGCAAGAAAAAACCCTCGAAGAAGGCTTCCCGCCCAAAAGGACCTACGCCTTCCGTTTCTGCTTCCGCCACTTTGAACAGTGTCGCTGACACTCCGCAGAATGCTCACGCCGCAACAGCAGCACCAATAGTTGACGCTCAAAACCAACAAGTCGATGTGGGCATTGTCATTCAACAGGATGACCCTGCCGGAACCACATACACAGACGACACCCAGAACGAGCGCAGAGAGAGCCATGGCCGAAGTTCGGAGTTACTCGCCCAGGATCTGCCTCAACCTCAGTCCGACCTTGCTCGTGCCAGTGACACCTCCATGGATTTCGTGTCTTCGGAAGCACAAGTTCACCCATTTTCAGATAATAGCGGCGGAGTTGACAGAGTTCAGGAGGAATGGCCATCATTACAGCCCACGCGTGACCCCCACAGTGCCAGCAGAATCGCCAGAACACCCAACGAGTGGAGCCATAATATGGATGAGCAGGAGATCGCTGCGGCCGACGATACTGACTTCAGTGATCAGCACCCGATTGAACATGCTGCTCCTAGACGGTATGAGGATGATGACGATGAGGACAATCACCGCGATACTGAGCATTCGCCCCTGATTCAGGAAGGATCGCATGAAGGTAGTGGCCGCAGTGGGGACGAGGGTGGACAAAGGGTAGGGCAGGGATGGCCAGGACAAAAGAGAACTACGCAGGAACAACAACAGCCGACGACATGGGCAGAATGGGCCGTACAAGTTGGGCTGCATCCAAGAACATGGAATCGACAGACTTACATCAAGGCAGCTTTGCTTGCGGTGTTGTTGACGCTCATTATCCTGTCCTTCACTGTATTCCATATCCAAGACCACATTAAGGATGTTCTTCGGTGAGCTAGTGGAACTATTATCTACGCGATCTGCTTGCGATGAATGGCTGCACACATCTCGCGGCCATTTTTGACGTATTTCTGCATGCCATTAACTTAATTCTTCATTTTCATTTTCATTTTTTTTTTTTTTTTTTTTTTTTTTACGGTAATAGATACATTGATAAACATAAGCGGATAGGTGCTGTGCTCTTCATCCTTTCCTATACTGTCGCATGCACTCTTTTCCTGCCTGGATCACTCTTCACCGTCGGCGCTGGATTCCTATTTAAACCTTTCCCTTTGGCGTTGCTCATTGTCCTTCTGGGTGATATCTTCGCGGCGATCTGGTCCTTTATTTTTGGACGCTATGTCTTCTACGACTGGGTGAAGAGCATGATGGCCAGGCATCCAAAGTTTAATGCTCTAGACGAGGTTATCAAGGATGATGGTACCTACGATTTTTATTGCCTGTGCTATTACATAGTTTTTTGTTGTTGTTGAGGAATGTTTACTAATCGCGCTTTCGATCAATGTGCTTCCATATCTAACACAGGTTGGAAGATCGTGGTCATGTTGCGATTGACGCCGATTCCGTTCAACTTGATTACCTACTTTTTCTCGATCACGTCCATACGACTGTTTACGGTTGTCTGGGCGACCTGCGTCGGTGTTCTCCCGGGCTCGTGTATCGGAATTTGGATCGGATCACTGCTCAAGGGTCTCTCCGGCATCGACAACCCAGATCTTGAAACCAAGAACGTTGTGATTTTGGTCATGAACGGCATATTCATTGTCTGCTGCATCCTGACGCTCTCCATGTTTGGAAAGAGGTCACTCCGCAAGGCCATGAAGCGGCTGGATCAGCATCAGGCGCTGACGAACCTTCAAGAAGTAGAAGTCGTTGTCGAGGGAGTCGCGACGGTGATCCGTGAGCTGGAGGACACGGCGAGAATCCCACCGAGTTTGAGAAGCAGTTTTATTGAACGATTGGCAGAAGAGGAAACGGAGTTTAATCGCGACGGAGGGGATCTCGAATTTGCTCAACTTTTGCAGCCTTCACATCACATAGAAGGCCAGACCAGTCGTGCGACTTCGGCTACTCTAACAAACCATCGCGTTGACGATAACAACAAGGCTACAGAAGCAAACTTGCCGCCATCGTCGGGCTTTACGCGCGGGGAGAAGATTACGTTTGTGGTCATAACGATCGTCGCAGTGCTGAACGTCTGCGTTTGCGTGCCTCTTTATTTTCACTTTGCGAACCAAGGCGAATAGAGAAATAAAGTTCCGCGTTTTTGGTCGTGAAAAAATGGTGGCGGTGGCTTCCTGTAAACGAACTTGCCTCAAAAAAAACATGAAGTACGAACCTGCAGCGCGTTTTCCCTGACTCTCATTATACCACATACCCAGCTGAACTGACAAGGAACAGTGCCATGGATGAAGACCAGGTCATGAGCGATGCCAGTGACGCATTCGACTCCTTCGCCTCGAACTCAAAGTCGAAAGGGAAATTCGTCGAATCCAACGCCGCTACTGATGAGAACTTGCCATGGTAAGGCAACTTCGCATTCAAGTCGGCAGGATACATGACATATAGAGCAAAGTTCGTGAGCACCACCAGCGACTGATACTTCTCTTTCCTCATAAAAAGGGTCGAGAAATACCGACCAGTGACACTGGACGACCTCGTTTCGCACAAGGATATTACCTCCACGAGTAGGTTGCGCTACATGTCGGTCAGCATACCAGAGCTACAAAGGCGTCTTTCTCAGTTGACAGTCGAAACTAAGGAGCATTTATTTCCGGACTTTTCTCAACTCTTTCATCACAGTTGAGCGGTTCATTGACGAGAACAGGCTCCCACACATGCTTTTCTACGGGCCTCCAGGAACAGGCAAAACTTCGACGATCTTGGCATGTGCGCGCCAACTGTACGGACCTATGTGGAAGAGCATGACTATGGAGGTGGGATACTGCTATGAGGACATTTGGAAGAATAATGCGTGTGCTAAGGGTTCCTTATACTGACACGTCTTCCTAATGTATCTAGCTCAATGCATCCGACGACCGTGGAATTGATGTGGTTCGTGAGCAGATCAAGAACTTTGCGAGCACAAAGAAGATCTTCAGTTCGGGATTCAAGCTGATCATTTTGGACGAGGCCGATATGATGACCCAGACTGCTCAGAACGCCCTGCGTCGAGGTAAGTAGCTCTACATCTAGGCTTAGGTCGATAGGCTTAACGTGATAAAAGGCTATGTGAAACAACCTGGCCATCTAACCCTTTTCGCACTTTTCGCTCTCGTTATCTTTGCTTTATTGCCTGTCTTTGGAACCACCAATAATCCATAGTCGTGGAAAAATACACGCGGAATGTGCGATTCTGCATTATTTGTAACTACGTGAGTAAGATCATCCCTGCGTTGCAGTCAAGGTGTACACGTTTCAGATTCGGACCCCTGGAGATGAGTCAGGTCGACTCGCGCCTGGATTTTATCATTCAAAACGAAGGGTATGAATGCTTGTCAGCACTTAGATTCCATGTTAGAAGCATATTCGTCAAATTCAATGGACTAACCATTCACGGCAACACATGTTTTCTTGAAATCTCAAGTGTCAAGATTACGCCCGAAGGACGAAAGGCGCTGCTCCAGTTGTCCAAGGGAGACATGAGACGTGCACTTAACATCATGCAGGCCTGTCATGCCGGTTACGACGTCGTGGACGAAGATGCTGTTTACAACTGTACTGGAAATCCACACCCAGCCGATATTGACACGATTGTCAACAGCATGCTCACGGAAGATTTCACCACCGCTTACTCTAGTAAGTGCACATTAACGTTTTCTATCACTCCGATGGTGTTACTGTTCTCTTTTTTTTATTTACTTTGAGTTTCCGGAAGGATTTCAGGCCCACAGTTCTAAGACATTACACCCAATTTGTTTTCGTCAATAGACATTTCATATCTGAAGACGACGAAGGGAATGGCATTGCAGGATATTTTGACCGAAGTCTATAACTATCTGGAACTGGTCGACATGCCTGCGAACTCGCGTGTCTATCTTTTAGACAAGATGGCCGATGTCGAGTAGGTGCATCGATGATGATCATCGTCACTGGTACTGCCTTCTGTGCAAAATAGCACTGTGTTCTAACCAGACCTTGGTGTCTGCGTCGCTAGGTACAAATTGTCGACAGGTGCAAACGAAAAGCTGCAGCTCACATCGCTGGTCGGTTCTTTTCGAATTGGAGCCGAGCTTATGCAGAAGTAGGAAGTCCTCAAAAGCATACACACGGAGAAGACAAGCCGGAGAAATCAAAATAAGCCAAATGTAATTGTACCATAAAGGAGCATTTTAAACACCTCAGCGCCTAGCTGCTTATTAGTCATGGAATCCAGATATGTCCAAGCAAAGCAACAACTGCTGAAGGAAGGAGATCTCAGCTGCCTCTGTCGAGCAAGATGAAGAATTCCGCGTGCCCTCCATGCCCACACCGCGTTCATCCAGAACCTTGAGGACCTTGATAAGCATACGACACGATACACGAAACTTTTCATGCATGGCTTCCAGCTTCGCCATCCGTGGTTGTTGCTGGTCAAGCGATTCCATCGCTCCATTCCCATCCATGTTCCCGTCAAGATGAGTCAATCCATGTGCTATCTCTGGTAACCGATCCACATACTGCGACAGCTTGAGAATACAGCTCATGATTCCATAAATGACTTTGAGGATCGGCGCCTGCTTCCGCTTCAAGAGTGATCGCAGCAGCATCAGGTCCAGAACATGCTCGTGGAATTCGTGCAAAGCCGCCAGGTTGTCCAGCTCATCCAGCAGCCTCCCCTGGACAGTAGTCTGATCTTTCATGGCGTTTACGATCTCTGGATCATCGCGACCTGAGTCCAGAATGGTAGCTTCCTCGTCATCTGAGCCCTCGCTCGCACAACCGCTCAAGATCTGATCCTCAATCCTCTCCTGAACAGCGCTCAATCGCTTGATAAACACCTCCCATGTCGAACCCATGGCCACGTTCATGATATATCCATGGAAGCCATCAAACATCTGCTGAGCTTCAAACCGAAACCGGTGTAGCGTTTTCATTTCCTTCATCCACGCTTCCAATAGCTGTGATTGCTGCGGGTGTAGCGTCGTTTCATGTGTTGTAAATGACACAAGAGCCTTTTGTCGAGCTCGAAGCTGTCGAAAGAGCTGCTTCAACACCGCGTCTATTCGAGCAAGACGCAACCGGAATGAGAATAATCGCGTGTACTTGTCCATTGCTTCAGGAGTGAAGAATAAGAGAAGCAAGGGTTTCGGAGCCTTATACTCTAAGTATAGGAAATCAAGAGCTTCGAGTGCTACACAATAGAACAGAGAAAAGTAGAATATGATAAAAAAAACCTGGCGCACACGAATACTCGTAGCATACCAAAGAAACACGGCATTCATGGAACATACCATTAACATCTCTCGAGATCTTCGTGTGGTCATCATACTCCTTAACCGCGAACGCCAGCGACTCCTCCAGCTCCTGTGGATCCACTTGTCGTCGCTTGATCTTCTCTGCCGTCAACCATGCTCGCTCCGCTGTTGCAGACCCTTCAATCTCCATATCTGACCCATCCGACCTATCGTCTCTTGATGCCGCTTCACGATCCATCAGAGAAAACGAAGAGGAGGACTGGAAGCAATCCAAAAGAACAGTCCTCAATCCCATTTCCAGCTCACCAGTCTTAGGCGGCCATCTGGGGCGCGCCGCTTGCCACGCGGAAGCACCGGAAGGAGTGGACCCCACGGAGATGCGCCTGCCGTTATTCCGTGCCCCTGAAAGGCTGCCCTGCAATAATAGCATAGAAGGTGAAGCGGTCGCAGGGGCATTAACCGACGTACTAGCGGCATCAAGTCTATTTGTAATGCAAACAGTCCGCGCCAAGAGTCCAGTTTCCTCCGCGAACAACGCCTCCGCAAGAATCGCCATAAATCGTCCATCCCTCATCAATAAGAACCGCTTCATGACTTCGAGATGCCCCAGCAGATTCAAGTCGTGGAAATAGAGTGACATGACGCATGTGTTGATCAAGGATATCCGCATACGAATAGAGTAGCCAAGACTCTGTTCAAGAAGGATCGCGAGAGGCGCCATGACCTCGAGCCTTGTCATGGGTGTCAAAAAGAGATCGTCAGGCTGTTGGTTGGCTGTTGTGGATGCTCCAAATTCTGTCGATAAAAATGGTGAAGCAGACGACCTTGAAGACGAGATACCGAGTGTGTAGGGTCCAAGAAGAAAGGCCATAGTGTTCGGGCACGCTAATGACAAACCGCTCATTTTGCCAACTGAGGGAGACAAAGAAAAGAACCCTTGTAGATCTGAGTCGAGTCCAAAATCAAGTCTCACGCCCGCTGACGGCAACGGTGGCGCTGGATCTCTGCTTGCTCCTGGCAATTGTGAAAGATCCATGTCAAGTTCTATAACCTGCGATGCTTCGCTGAAGGCTCCGTTTTGCACTGTAACACGTAACGTCGAATTCGCGTTTCCATCCTTTTCAAGAATTTGACGCATCCTCTGTCTTGTCAGCGCTTGCGCATCTTTCGTAGTGCGCCTCCGGATCCAACCCATGCGTTTCAATCTAGTTGTTAGAGCCCGAAAAACGTCTTTGCTTGATCGCGCGTAAAGTGTCCGTTGTCTATCAAATTGCCACGTGAGAGTGCGTTAAGATGGATGCCCATAGTCTCTACTCAACCCATACTGTTTCTTCAAGAGTATGCTAAACAAGTATGAACTTACGCGACAATCTCATCCTGGGCACAAAGCCATTCGAATCCACTGCAAGTCTGTGTCCTGTTTCTATCGTGAACGATGAGCGGGTGTTTTGGCTCAAACTCGGTCAAAATCTGAAGTCCCTTCCCGGCCTCAATGACTTGAGCCGCGAGCTGCTCGTCTATGAACGCTTCAGGCGGCGCCTTCTCACCCATCCGAAATTCCGCGTCATAGTCCAAAGGATCCGCCAAAATGATGGGCTCCGACCCATCCCACGACCACCCATGCTTGCTTTGCACAAAAAACTCGTCAAACGGATCCAATCCCTGCAATGATTGCTGAAGATGGCAATCAAATATCGAAAGCAGATCGCTCCTAGACTCTTTGGCTCGTTGTTGTTTGGAATAATCATTTCCCACAGCTCCACACTCTGAAATTCCAGATAACGAGAGTCCCTCTGCATCACTGATCCGTGACGCCCGGTTCTGAGTAAGCTCTGCTACTGCTGACGGTGTAATACCTAGCCAGCGACTGAGGATATCTCTATACGGTTTACTGGCTTGATCCAGGATGCTCAGCAACAGCGCCGTCCACAGAGGATCTGCAGAACCCGGTTCCGCCTGGATCTCATCACAGATCATCGAGAGCAGATCTGGACCAGAGGGCAGGTAGAATCCAAGGCGTGCCACCGATGTGTCCATCATGTCATGCGCCACATGCTATTATTGTCCCCCAAAAAAGTAGTCAAAACAGTAAGTTACCTTCTGTCATTCTAGGACGCTACTGCCCAGCACGCAAGGTTACTTACGCACTGACAGAGATTGGCCAGTCTCTCCAGCATCAATGTCACGCCACGCGTCTTATGGTGTAGTTCCAAAACTTGCATCTGCTTTTTCCGAGATGTTTCCTGAAGTACAACGATGGTCCCTTGCAAAAAAGTCAGATATGATGACAGAGAACGGCCGAAAGCGATCCGAATCAAACCCATTCCCCTAGAAAATACCATAGACGGTGATCAGTAATGCTGTTTTGTTAGGAACTTTCTTTCCCTTCGGTAGCATTGGCTCAAAAGTATGAAATAATATAAAGATGCTTACTCTGGGTGGTGTATGCAGGTTTCAGAGACATTGACGAGTCGCCTTATATGGGTTCCAGCATCCATCATATCTTGCAGCAAGCTATAGACCATTTTTTTGTCGAGAAGATTTATCGAGTCAGTATCCTATTACCTGTACCGCGCTATCCCTTATTGTGTAGATAGTCGAGTCCAGAGTCTTACTTGAATACGCCCTGAGTACTACAGCCCTCGATCCTGATATTCTCATTGCCCATCTCAAATTTCATACTGTCTGGGTTGTAGGTAAAGACGGACGAAGGAGTTCCGCTCAATAGTAAGAAGATGCTCTATGCAAGTCGATCACGTTCAAGGTTAAATGGATGAAAATCAGTCAAAAATGAAAGCCAACGCAGAACTTCAAGCTAAAAGAGACACATACATCGACTAGTGTCGCGCAGGGGACGATCGCAGGATTCGACCGAAATTTGAATGCATAATCCTGGTGCCTATTGTGGTTGAGCCATGTCAGTGAAAGCTATACTCTCCATGGCATTTGGATCAAGCAATATAGAGCCATTACCTTTGATATGCTGCCTCAAACACGCCAACTCCTGCCTCGGTCACATATGGCGATGCAATCGGTATTCCCGGCTGAGCAAGTGGACCTGCTGCGATGCTCATCTCCCATGTCAACTGTACTTTATCCGGATAAGCCGCTGATTCATTGTCCTGCCCCGTCGTTGTATCACGCTGTGATGGTGTTCCTGCGGCGTGCCACGTATTTACTTGTATCATGCGTGTCTCGTTCTTTTTAGGTCGGGGTGGTATTTTGTAAGTCTTAGTAGATCCTGTACTATTACCAGTCTCCACACTTGACGCTGATGCCCAAACTCCAGAGTTCCTGCGATCGCAGTACTCATCCAAAATATTCCTAGGACGTTTCGACAGCGGCGGTAGTTCAAAGACGAGATCCGCTGTGGGCTTGACGTTCGATGACTCCGGCTCTAGAGGTGATTCCGGTCTTACAGGATGGGACAAAGGCCCAAAGACCGAATGTGTGCTCTTTTTAGGGCATTCATCGGTCCTTGGACCCATTGTCATGTTGTCCCCTAACCGTGTGGCTACCGGCGATGTCTGCAAGGGTGGTATTGAAGTCAATGGCGATAAATATGAATCCTGATCTGCTGTATGGTTGCAGTGAGCATCGAGGAAAGAGTCAAAGATGCTGCGGCGGTCGATGCGCTGTACGTTATGATCCAGATCCTGTCCCCAGACAGTATCCCACGCGTCCAATGTGCCCATATCCTTCCTTTTCCTCCCTACGAGGCGCTCGCGTACTCCATCCTGGTCGTGATGCACGCTCTTGGATGACGCGCCTACTTGATCAAGAGGTCTGGACTTTTCTGCGCAGGCTTTTTGTTGCTGTAATTGACCAGTGGAAGGCGACGGTGGCATACGATCTGGGATGGTGTAGATATTAGGTGCGACGCCTTCCCCGACCGACTCAAACAGCGAAGGATCGATAAGCAGGGGCGCGTACTCATCACGAGAAGCGAAGAACAGCGAGGCAGGATCCTGATCTTGCATCCTAGTCTCCTGATTAGCAGGTATAAGCGAAAGCGAAAGCTGACGATGGCCTGCACAACAGAGATGCAGAGCGATGCGAGGATGTTACTGTATGTTAGAACGAGCAATTGAGCGCATAACTCAATTCAGTATGTTGCTGCGTTTGCAGTCATGGAGGCTAGTACAAAATCCATGCTTAGAAAAAAGCCATAAAGGGTATCTTGCGCATGGCAGGTGGATCGGAGAGACAGCTAGGGGTAATTTAGTTCCTTGCTTGCTTCGGCCTAGGTTCGTTCAGCACTCAAACCGGATTAACATCAAAGCACTCAGCGCTTGAAAAACGACTTATCATCAGAGTAGGTCCTAATACGTGTCTTGTGTTGCTGTTCCAAAGAGGGTGAATGTCTAATGTACACTCCCGTATCTGTCTACACTATCTAGGCAAAGGACTTGGGATATGTCGTGCTGGGCGCGCACGAGTATTATACAAGCGCAAAATGTCCCCGTCTGGACTGTAACCAGTTCCTGATCAAGCTGCCGTTTCGTTCTAAATATTGTCCAGGATGCCGTGTGCTGTTCGATCGCGATGCAGTGGGGAGCGAGAACATAGCCCGTATATACTGATCGCAGCTACAAGATCAGAAGAGACCCGACAAATACAACAACAGCAGCAGCCTAGGTCCGTTCATATCTACAACAGCGAGCAGGAACAAAAAACGAGCAGTTGACAAGGATCCGTCAACACCAGCCGCAGTGAACAAGAGCCAGAAGCGTCAAACGCTAGCAGACCCCGGCCCATCAACCGCCACATTCAAACAGCAGTAGGAGCCATGAGGACATTGCTAGAACAACACGATTTGTTGGGCTTTAAAGCTCCAAGGACAATTTGTAAGTTACAGCCATTCTGTCTTTGCTTGCTTTGCTTGTTGTATTAATAATATGCCTTCTGACCGCGTATTCCTCTGAACTGGACGCAGACGCTACTAGTACGTAAATAAAAATGATGCTTATGGGCTTATATTCAACAAGAAGCATTACCAATCTATCTCATGTTGTTTTATGGAGTCCCGTTGTAGATAACGTCGTTCGTCCTTGGCAGTCTTATTAGAAGCGACTGTGCATCTATCCGTGTCTCTTGTCCAAGAATTCCTGGATGTTCTCTGGAAGATCAAACAACGCGCACTTTTCCTGGAATGCCTTCAACGAGCGACCGCGGACAATATCCTCGACCGTGCTCTCGTTTGCAATAATTTGACGCTATTAATCCATGTGCATAGAGAGGTCAGTTAGAATAAATGACGAAGGTTGTTGTCTATCTCGACATCGACCATGTTGACGCCGTAAAAAGAAGCCCTTGCCTTGGATTCATCCGTCATGATACTGTCCTTAAGTGTGTAGTCATCCGGATCCTGGTACAGCTTCTCCTTCTTTGCTGCAATATTCTTGTCCATGATCTAGACAGATTGAGCGAGAAGCGAGTACCAAGGAATCTAAGGTTAGTACAGTAATATAAGCATTCCATCCTTACGCGGAATGAACAAGGACTCGATGAGTCCTGCTCCTGACACTTCACTGTACCTCCAAGCAAAATTTGATGCTGGCATCGCGTTTCTGATATGCAGCGACGAGCTCATTAAAAAAGCTAGCACAGGCAGCCTCGGCGTGCGTGTTGGTCTCGTTTAGGCGGAGCATAATGTTGTCATCCAGAACTCGGAACGATTTCATTGTTGCTATTGTTCGCAGGGCGGCGGGAAGATGAGATAACAGGACATCGGATGAGATATTCGGCCGCTCCTCTGATCGTGTTGAATAGACGATATTGAGATCGTAACACGATACTCTTCATTCGTAATCACATCCTGCTGTCGACTGGTCGGCCTCTTAGGACTTCTAGGTGAGAGATACTCATGCTCTGCACAAGAATTCGGGCAAAAGTAGTCGTCCTTTGTCCATCCCGTCCTGTCCCTCTATGATCAATATCCCGATAGCCACTCTGGTTCCGGAAACAATAAGATACTGATATGGAGCACTAATCCTCTACCTCTGAACTTTGAGAGGTTATAGCATGTTGTCTCTGCAATGGCGGGCATGGTCGGCTTTGATTCCGGAGTGAATAAGAAAACGAAAGGAGGAGAGGATGAACGGGATCGATGGCTGGTCGTCCTTGTTGAAGGCAGGAGTGGCTTTTCCGCTATTTATGCTGTGCCATGGTCCTGCTTTGCCAAGAGCAAAACCTCGGGACACTATTCTTTATTCTCCCTCTCTCACATCGCTTTGGTCATCATCCACCATGGGCGAAGCATCTTCGCCTTGGGGACTGTTTGGCTTGATGGTCTTCTGCATCACCCTCGTCATCTTTGGATTCGTCTGGTGTTTCTGTTGTGGCACATGGTACGCCTTCTCTGCACACCTTTGACACGAACTACCTGGCTGCCTTCGTTTACAAAGTTTAATCAATTAACGCTCGGTAAATCCTCTGCAACAGCGTCGGGAGAGATGCCATGAGAGCTGCAGGACTATCCAGATTCGTCCCTCCTCCCTACATGCAGCCCTCGTTTATGAGCCATTCAAGATATCGCAAGCGGAGTGGCGACGAAGAAGACGGATTCGAAGAGGAAATCGATATGAACGTGCTAGCGGACGAACATCACGACTCTTCCGTTGAGTATGACTATGAGTTCTCAGATGAGGAGAGCAGCGATAATGAGATAGAGGATACTTCCTATGCTCGGAGATCGCGCTAAGTAGAAGATCACCTATTCAAACCGCTGGATTACTTGCACACGCGGACGCGACAAACAAGCAATTTCGTTCGCAAAGATAGATGCTATCCAGGATATTCTCATTGTCCTTAACAAGGCAAGAAAGGATGTCGGGTTGAAACCGCGCAGCCAAGATGGATGTTGCTGCCCTGTCAGGCCTTTGACAATTGCGACGTGTCAGCGAGAATAAAGATATTTTATTGGGTTTGATACGTATTCCTGTATATCTATATATGAAGCGGCTTGCTGGCACAAATAATCATTCAGCGCTCAAGACATGTCATCGATAAGGCTGTTCCAATTGATCGGTTGCTGTCCATTCTGCTCTAAGTACTTGTTTGCCTTTGAGAAGTGGTGACTATCAAAGAATCCGCGGTGCGCGCTAAGAGGCGACGGATGTACGCTCTGCAATACGAGGTGCTTCTTCTTGTCGACCAACACTCCTCGGTTCTGTGCGTCCCTGCCCCACAATAAAAATACTACATTGCGACGCTGATCACTGATCGTCTTGATCACCGCATTGAGTAGGTGCTCCCAACCCTTTCCCTTGTGCGAATTGGCCTGATGTGCACGCACCGTCATGGCAGAGTTGACCATCAGCACTCCCTGGCGTGCCCACGTTTCGAGGTAACCATGGTTGGGGATTTTGAAACCCGGAAAGTCTTTTTCGAGGAGCTTAAACATGTTGAGGAGAGAAGGTGGTGGCCGAACTGGCTTCTTGACGCTAAAACACAGTCCATGGGCCTGACCATCGCCATGGTAAGGATCTATTATTAACATGTCAAGCAAAGGAAGGGTCGTCAATAAGATTTGCTGTCCGAGAACACCGCATAGAACCATCGAATAACCTGTCGACAAGAGTAGTGGCAAGATATGAGTATTTACCTTGGCCAAGAATTACAACGCGAACTGTAGGGAGGGGTGTGAATCTGGACCAGCTATAGATATCGGGCTTTGGTGGGAACACCTTCTGATTGCTGAGATCCTCCTGCTTGAGAAACTTTTTCAGCTGTGACAGTTTCCAAATGAGAATGGAGACATGTAGAAGTATTCATTAGAATAAAGTTTCTCTCCACCATCGTGTCGAAATAACAGCATCATTCAACAATTGTAAACAGCAATTCCTTGGACTTACTTCAATGAAATAGGGCTTCGTGAATTCAGCCTGCAGAGCACGCAGCCATGTCGCGTCCATAGTGTCCTGCTCCAACTGCAGCAGCTCCTTTTTTTCGTCGGGAAGGCCTTTGAGGATATCAGGCTTTGCTTTAGGAGCTGCGGGAACAACCGAAGTCGCGCCTACCGCTATAAGGGGCGCTGGGGCTGTGCCTGTTGCGGACGAAGGAGTGTCTGCTGTGGCCTTGGGTTTTGGAGTGGCCCAGGCCAGCAATGATGACTGCTTGGTCGGTGCAGGTTTGTCTGCTGCAGCGCCCGAGTTGAGACGCTTGAAAGAACCGTCCTTGGTCGCGGCGGTATCAGCGGGTCGCTTGGTTAGTGTCATAGTAGTGATGGGTGAGTAGTTGGTTGCCTGTGGGATTTGTAATGAGAGCGATGGTCGCGACCTTATTTCTTGTTGTTGTGCTCGTGGAATCAACTGAAAACGGCGGCAAACCTCAGTCACATCAATTGAACGCGACGCGCATAGCCAGATAGCAATTGACCGATCCCGCAGTCGTACTGAGAGACTTTGAATAATGCACCTGCTCAAAACGGTATGCGCACGTCTACGACGACCTGTACTTGTCTGTCATGGCGACAATACCATGTCGCCGGCAATTCTTCCGCGCCTTGCCACCACCCCGTCTTGCACGACCCTTGATCCTACTGTCGACGCTGGTGCCCGCTGTCTTGGTCAGATGGATGGAAAGACTATAAGGCCATTGTTTGGGACACTTCTTGGGATGTTTATATTCCTGGGCCAAGGCCTTGGTGCCATGATGGAAGTGGAATCTCTCGCACCAGTCATTGGTGAATGGTGCCGCTCGACTCTTTGAGAGAAGAGAGGACAACAGGAGTGGCTAGCATTAGCGCTACTAGAGCAAAATTGTCGTTCGCAGCATACAGGCGTGAATTTGATGCCTATGCTGCTTGATACAATGCCTCAAGCTGCGCACAGTCGATCTCAAGCCCGTTTCATTCGTGTGCGTTGGTTGCGCACATCCTTCAAGCGATCGCAGATGGCTTCAAATGACAGCAGGAGCTTTTTGTACCCGGTCTACTTTTCTTCCTCAATAAAGCTTCGCAAAGAACGCTGTAAGCATTCCTTGCGGCTGAGTCCGGCCGTACTCTTCGCAACCGACGCAGCGCGCCTCGCATGTGAGATGTAGTTAGTTTGCTGGGCGGGCATACTTTATGGCGGCATTCTGTTAGAAGGAATAAAAGCCAGCGTTGCCGTGACCCATTAGTTGCATTCGTTCAGTTAAAAAAAAAAAAAAAAAATAGCATGAGAGTGCTTCAGAGCGATTTCTGTGCTTTTGTATCCTGTCAAAGGATTGGGGGCATGTCTCGCTCTGATAGACACGCCATAATCGGCGCCGCAAAAGGCTATCGCCTTCTTGCTTCTAGCTCTGCCGTCCATGATGCCAGTGATGTCGATATGCTCAGTCTTGTCCTTGAAGGTGAAATGCTTCCATGTGGACGCAATGAATATGTAGTCGTGAACCGTAAGACTATGTTGCTATTTCCGCTGGCATTGTTGCTGCTGTTAGACGCCTTAACGCTTTGGCCCCAAAAGTACACTCCTTGCCGACTTGTACTCAACGCAGCTTCCTACGAACCAAGCTCGTACGGACCTGCTCTCGCTGTCCCAGTAACTAAAGCAGAAGCAGACTCTGCAGCTGAGGCTAATTCTGGAACTAGAGCAGGGAAATAGCTACAAGAGTTACCGTCAGGATGCCTATGTAGCAACAGGTTCCTGGGACATTATTCGTAAGGAGCCACCGGTCATGACACGACTTGATAGCCCTCGCTTATACTGCCGCTGTCGCCGCGCACAGAAACACCAAGAGCACTGTTATCCTTGCACATTGACCCAGTCCAAATCTGCTTTTGCAGTATTCAGGACAGTTGAGGTAGCCACTACGACTTGAGCAATGACTTTATCAGAACAATTACTCATCTCAAGCGCTGGGACATACAGTCCTGTTGAGCTGGCTTCTGAATAGCGAAATAAAGTTCTGGTCCCACACGCAGAAGCCCCGCCCTGCGCGCATTGCCCGCATAACCCCACTTTTCTATTCCCCAATTGCCTAAATATTCCGGCAACAAGTACCTCTCGCGCTGGGCCTTGTCCAAGAAGACATAAAAGGGGAAGAGATGCCGCTTACTGACATGCTTCTCATTCATCCGTGCCTCTCATTCAGCAGCTTCATCGACCATCGTTCAACTGTGCTACGTTCGATCTCATATGTAATACAGTCGCTGTGCCCTCACTCTATTTACAACCCAACCATACCTCAAACCCAGCACACTATATCGTACGGAAATGAGTCCCTCGATCCCGGAAGAGACAACCGAGGCCCTACTGACGGTGCAGCCCGTGTCTATCACCAATGACAACTTTTCGCGTTGGGGCCAAGTTGTGCGCTTGCCGGATGCAGATCCCAATGCCGTCCAGGTTAATCAAGGTATGACTCCGTAAGCGTTTGCTAGCCAGGTACACTATATCTATGTCTTCATTGGCCTCACAGACAAATCGATTATCGATTAACCACCGTAATGCTTTACTCTGCTTCCTAGGCACTGCCCAAAAGTTCTCCCACCTAGCCGAGTTCGTCAATTTGCGTCCGCCTGCGACGGATAGCGCGAACCCCAACCCATCATTGGCATCTGCGGCCGCCAACATCGCCATATTTAAATGCTACAAACCCGTCACTACACCTCAGTTCCCAATCAGGCTGCTGGAGCGTCACCCGTACTCCTCGCAGATGTTCATGCCCATGGGAGGGGATGGAAACGGAAGCTATGTTGTTGTCACCGCAGAGAATGGACCTGACGACAAACCAGTGCTGAGCACAATGCAGGCTTTCAAGTGCAACAACACCTTGGGAATCAACTACAAGCCTAACGTATGGCATCACCCTATGATCGTGATTGAGAAGCCGGTCCAGTTCATGACCATCACGCACGAATCTGGGGTACCTCTAGAGGACTGTGAAGAGTACTGGTTCACAAAGGAGAGTGGATCCGAAGGAGGTGCTGCAGCTTTGATCCAGCTGGTGTAGTCAAACATCTTATTCATTAATTAAAAACATTCAGCTTCTTTGCTTGGTTGACTGGACTCGAACTTTGTATACAAGATCGACGATATCTTGAAGGATCTGCGCTTTATCGGCAGCACCGATAGGGATGTCGACTGTGTCGATTGAGTCGATCTCGCACTCCACCTTATCGAGCAGTTGGTATGTTTTGAAAATGTCTATGCCAAGATAGATCCATTTTGATGCCAAATTATTCTTTCCTTGTTAGCCGAGTCCATGATATCCATAAATCAGCAACGGTCTTGAACACTACATCATGAATTTGAGGTGGATTGCCTGTTGCGCATAAAGTAGATAGGAACGAGGACGTGTAATGGTGGTTTATCTCATTAACAGCCAGGGCCTTGTCCTGAAGAAAGCGAGGCCCTGGAAAAAGGTGCAGGACCGACGAGTGACCTGGAGCGGAAGGTGGCAGCACGGACTCGATTGAGCATTGTTGAAGAGCGCCGAATGGCGAACTTCGATTCACAACACGTCCATTGTAGATCAAGCACTCCACCGCACCTAAACCCTTAACATCACGTCGCCATTGTTGCACGAACTCAGTTCACGCACAGTTCAAGCCTTCCCAATCCCACCCTGTATCATAATCTACCTTTTCGTCTGTCAGCCAAGGGGCCGGCATCATCTGAGCTCAAAGTATAGCTGAGGATAGGATGAGGATCTATAGGCAGCACCAGCAGCATATCTACATGAACGCACTCAAATCGGGTCACATACATTTCAGACGAGGGCCCCAATTGTTTATTTAAGGTTTCTAATGCGGGGGTACAACACACCAAATTCAGGAACCTGTCACCTCGCTCTGTACCTCCGCCATCATCGCATCCTGATCTTCATCTCACTGTGCTCTATTCCAAAGCAGGCCCCAATCAACACCAGCAACAAACATTGCAAAGCACGATAATCTTAATCCATGCTCAGAACCACCTCAAGAACTGTGCGGGTTTCTGGAGTAGTCCTCACAGTGCTCTTGACACTCTTCCTCCTAGGGACTGTCTTCCATCGTCCCTCCCTCGATCGACGCACAAAGAGGCTTCGGTACGCCGACAGTACCCTTTCTTACTCTCTCCTCAAAGCACAGTTATAAAAAGCAACCTCTCATACCTATTTACTCATCTCCGTGATCCTAAAATAGTGTCGAGGAACCAGTCGTAGTCATCTTGGTGCACCCCTCTCCGTCCTTAAGTAAAGCCACCAATTTTGAACTCAAGCGGGCCATTGCCAGGACGTGGGCCAAGGATGCTGAAGATGTTGGTGCGAGCGTCTTCTTTGTAGGTGAGCACGAGGGTGAAACTGTCATGCGAAGACCAAGCGAATTTCAGGGAAGGGCTCACTCGCCGTCTTCCAGATTTGGGCCGGGAACACACCCCGCAAATGCTGGCGTCGGTGCTGGTGCCGGTACTGGTGGAGCTGGCTATTCCAAAGAAGACTCAATGCGCAAGATGCTGATTCCGTCCGTGCTCGAGAACGGACAGGCGGATAATCCCTCAGGGCTGCTGAAGGTAACAGGAACCAGACGCCAGATAAGATTGACAAGATAGCACGATTGTCCAGAACCGCAATTAACAAATGGGTCCTCCATTGTTCCCTCATAGGCCTATCATTTTTTGTACAACAACACCAATTGGTTTGCAGGACCCATCTTCCAGACCTACCCTTTTATTCTTACGACCGACACCACCCACTACATCCATGTCGAGAATTTGGTCTCCACTTTGCTGTCGTCGAAACCACGACGACTCTTGACTATGAAGGACGACTTGGCATTCTCAGGATTGGTGTCTGAGGCCTCTGAATGCAGCGCAGACGATTATGGTGACAAAGCACCACTCCAAAGCACGGGTGAGAATAATAATATCGACAACGACAGCATGGGATCGCCTGTTCACAGCCACTGGACTCTCTCAAGAACTCACTTGGTCACGAAGCAGCTCGTCGCCATGCTTGGACCGCACTTACGACATTGTATCAAGGCTGCGGCCACCTCGTTTATGGATTCAGGCGAAGCTTTTCAAGACTGTGTCAAGGAGTGGGCGTCCCATCCATTGTTCTGGAAAGATGGTTATTGTGGTCGTCTTGCCGCTCGCCGCTACCAAGCTCCAGCTCCTGGATCTAACCTCAAATCATCATCCTCCACTCCCGACTCTGTCAGAAACGAGCGGAGTGGCTCTCCGCCAACGCCCCAAGAATTCGAAGAGTTTTACCTCATGAAGCAGGAAGAGCGGGCGATGGAGCACCTAAACGAGGATGGTGGAAAAAAGGCTGGTCGAGAAGCCGTAGCCGCTGCAGCCGAGAGCGAAGAAAGGTTGTTGCGGCCAAGAGGCGATAACCAGGAAAAAGAGAGTTCACGACGGCTGTTGCAGCAACTGACGTCGTCGTCCTCAGGATCGTCTGCGCGCTGGATTGTAGCGTCAGGTCTAACCCAACCTGAGGATTTCACTTTGGTCTACCAGAGCCTGGTTGACCGCGAGGAGGAGGAGGAAGACTATGTGGAGGACCTTGACTACTAAGGGGTTTCCTTTTGGACAAGTATGTATTGTCCTACAACCAAGAGTTTTGGAATCCAGCAACTTGTTCCTCTGCTCTTTGTAATAGCTGTATTTTCTTTGATGGACCTTGGCAATTGAAGAAGGATGGCTGCCTTGAAATGATTCGTCCCTATACTTTCTTCATTAGCCTCTCTCGGTTAAGAAGACAATGCGACAGAGACAAAAGATGCGCCAAACGGAATGCTCAACAAGCAGGGTCCATGTTGTATGTATGAATAAAATATTTGATTTCTAATAACGAATATTGCTTATCTCAAGGGACGATTGATGCACAGCAGAAACGCAAAATATGGCAATCCATAGCTAAAGAAAGACGCGAATAAGCAAGCGCGTCCAGGGACAGGTCATCTTCAATTATGTCCGGGACAGACCAGGCCATCAACCGCATCCTGCCTTCTTATTTTCCCGCATCTATTAAGGCTTGCCGGAATAAAAGGCTTTGGCGTCCTTCGCAGTGCGTATATGCGTTAACACCTGTAAAGTCCACAGATCCTATTGTTCTCGTCTTTCACATTTCCACTCTGCTCTACAGAAGGAAAAGAAGGCTACTTCGCGTTACAAGGCAAAGATTCCCAAGGATTTACTCCGTCGTTTTTCAACGATTGGTTCTTGAATTGGCTGCATATCAAGGGCAACCAATATCAAAAGCAGCGGTGATCAAACGATTGCTACCCATATGTACATGACGGCTCACATCACCAGCATGATCTAAGCCTATGTGTTTCGCGCCGTTGGATTGTACATTCCACTGGATATTCACCACGGCGTCTGCCAAAAGGATTTCGATCTACTTCTAGACAAGCATTGTATAATGAAGCTTTTTATTACTAAGGAGTTGTCGCGTTTACCAAAATGGCTATTTGCAAAGGCCAATGGACCGTCCTGCTGTCTTGAGACATGCCTTGAGTAGGAGCAGCACCTCTGGATCATGACAGAACATGGCGTCCGTCAGAGGATCGTACAAATAAAATAGATGCGCCGTTGGCCCTGTGAGGACACTCTCTCTAATCTCAGCTATACAAGTTTGACATATCCGAGAAGCAACATCCGAAAAAGAAGCATTGAGGTCATTAGTTTTGTTCTAATCTTTGTACAATGGATGCACCAATGCGCCAATCGTAAGTCCTATAGCCCTCTACTTCACTTACCAAACTGGGGCTGCTGCTGACCCTTTCGTCCATTGTCATGCCCAGATTCTAAACTGAGGACGCCTGGTACTAACTTCAGCTGGTCAAGTCTTTGCAAGATCAGTGAGATTTCTTGGTGACGCAACCGCGGGAAGGGGCATTTGCCCAATAGAGCCTGGTCTGCGCTGTAAGCGTCCAGCAATGCATGGCACCTTTGCATCAGCACAGGCGTCATCACATTGGCAGTCCTATTCCGAAGCTCCATCTCTGGTGGGCTTATTGTGTGCGCAGACACAGGGCCACCACTGCTACAAGTGCTAATGCCTCGGTTCACTCCATTCTGTTCATTGTTCTCCTGTTGTAGCTCCTCCCCCGACGAGCAGAGGTCGAATAGGGTTTCAAGACAGGCAAATGCGAATCGTTCGCGTCGGACAGGAACCATGGTGTTCGTAGTTGAGTGCAAAGTGATGCCCAGGCCTTGGATAATGTCTAGATGCGAATCGTCCGCGGCAGAGGACGCCAGCTTTGACTTTGAATCGGTTGAATTAATCTGCCTGTCATTGGTGACAGACGCCGATAAAGGTGCTTGCGACGCTGTGGGTACTGTAATGGTCGTCGGAGCATCTATCATGGCCGGGGTGGAGAGGATGTAGAGATTGGCTGCGCGATCGAGGATTTGGATTAACTCGGCCAGAGTGTCCATAGGCACGCGATGATATCCCATCCTAAAGAAGACCTTTGTTTTGAGAGTGTGAAGGTAAACCAAATCAAACGATTCGTCTAGAGCCTGGCTCTTAAGTGACATATCCGTTAACGGAATAGGTCTAAGGTGGTTAAACGACAAAAGAGTTAGGTAGTGTACGCATGAAAAGGCGAAGCGGCAAGAGCTGCTGCAAATACACTTACAGTGCAGGCGCCATTGTTCCGCGACACACATCAACGATTTCGCGCCAGATCTCAAAAAATTGTTCATCGGAAATGTCTATCAAGATTGAAGGACATCACAATTTAGAAGAGTGCAGATAGATACTGTGGCAATTCAAGTGCTCCAGGCGATATAATCTCGTACCATTTTCCAAAGACTCGACGACAGTGAGACCGTATTTAATGCTCTCCATGAAGGCTGTCGTAGCTGTTTTCCAAAGTGGAGCATCTTCAACGTGTTTATACGACGGTGGGCATTTATAACGCAGCCTCATGGCAGTACCAAACGACTAGGAGTATTCGATCATAGGCAGACGTTACACGTTAGCAGATACGAACAGTACACCAGCATTGATGATCATTTCCAGATCCGCATGGCTGATTGGGTACCTTGAGAACCTTGGCATAGACCCCGTCCGCATAGATTCCTTTTTCCCGCTGGAATTTGTCCAGCATGGAGACGATTCTTGCCACCGTCACCTTACAAAGAGCAATATATGTTGGCTTGACAGATCCTGTCGAATTTGTCGGCGCGTTCGTGGGTGCGCCTACAGGCTCAACTTCAAAGGCAAGAAGGAATTGGTTTGTAAGTTGCTCCAAGACAGCGGCGGGACCGCCGGATATGGTATTCAGATTAAGCATTGTCAAGGCGTCGTGGATCGAGAGCTGCAGTGGCGATAGGTAGTCAATGTCAGGTCTGTACACAGGGCTGGCATCAAAGATCAGCACCAGATGGACAACGTCTAGGAACGCTCGCAAATCCCTTAGTTGGAACTTCTTGGCAAGGATGGGATACAAATGATGCATAATGTTAACATATTCCGTAAGCGTGTCCTGTGTAAAGTTTTTGGTCATAGGCCGGTCTCGAGCACTGTAGTCCACGCGCTGTTCACCAATGGATGGCTCACGCCCCACGATAGCACAGCCAATCCGCTCCCAAACTTGCCAAGCCGTGTCCCAGAGTCGTTCCAGCCGTTGTTCTCGCTGTTCGCTGTCTGGATGGTCCTTGGAAGCCTCGTCGTCTTTTGCAGCTGGAACCTTCATCATCGTTTGGATGCCTTTCAAAGCGGCGATGGCCACATCTGGCGATGAAAACAGCGATGCCGTCTCAAGTCGCTCTAAAAGAAACACCCAGGCTTCCAAATAGTCGTTCAATCTGATCAACTGCAGCAAAAACGCCTGGAACACATCCGCAAGACCATTAAATAGTAGCACATGCGTCTCATCCCATTGCTTGCTTGGCGAATCGTTGCGCATCACAAATGAACCCGTAGGAGCAGGTTGGGGCTGCACATAGTCGACTTTTCGACACGAGGATATATCGATCTCGTCCAAAAGAGGTAGAAGAATCTTCCACACGCACTGACGCCATGACCGCAGGTCCAAGCTGATGGCGTTGATCTGAATTGTTCGAAGCAGCGTTTGTATCGCGCCGTTCCTAACTTCTGGACGAGCATCTGAGCAAAGGGTTGAAATCTTGTAGAGAAGTAGCATCCAGAGCCCATTGAGGTTCTTTTGAGACAGGGTGGGATCCGGAAACTGCAGTACTATATCTTCAACGGCTCCCGATTCGACTGAACTTGATTCTGTTGCTGGGTCGAGCGCAGACGATCCAAAGTCCCGCAAGCTCTGTTGAATAAAGTCGGAGATGTTCCAAAGTAGACCGACAGAAGTAAGGGAGATGTTGAGGTCCTCAGTCTGATAACCAAAGGCGGCTAGGGTATCGATACAGAGCTGAAGGTTATCTGCACTCAACAGCGACAAAAAGTCCGTGCAAATCAACTGCAGGCACGGGAATGCAATCCGAACAAGTCCAGTAGGTTTTGCAGGACCCGTGGACGGTTGGTGGTCGATCTCGTCGCTGGCTTGGTCTTGCTGTGGTGTTGACTCCGCTGGTATTCTTGAAGGAAGTGTTCCAATCGAGCTTTGAATCATTTCAAAGATGATACCCCATCCAAAGGACAGGGATTGGCCTGACGTCTGAAGCAGTTTGTTGAGTGTCTCCAGACCCATGCGTTGAATCTCCACTAGCGAATTGCTGTGCCCCTGGATCAGCTCCCGCAAATTATTCATCACGCGCATTTGGGTTTCCTCCTGCTTCGCCATAGAGTTTTGTTCCGCATGCGCCATAGCCGCGATGATGATATCAGAGATGGCATCGCATGCCTGCATTCGAATCTGAGCTGAGGGCGCTGGATGGTTGGACGTCTCAATCAGGTATCCCACAGCAATATCCCAGACCGTGATGCCTTTCTCTCCTGAGGCAATCCGATCGACATTGAGTAAGCATATATGCCTCAGCTTCTCGATCGCAAACGACCTGTCGTCTGATTTCTAGATGAGGAAACTTGAAACGTTGAGAAGTTGTCTTAAAAAAAGTGGAGAAACAAATTGAATTCGAGATACGAGACATACGTTGATGTGTCGCAGTCCCTTGAGAAACGGAGCAGTGGTTGCCCCTTTGCCATCCGAGAAGGGGAGACCACTTCCAGCTGCGCCCAATTTGCATAGTGCACGTGTAAAGCTCCGGAACGAAGGAATGTCGAGATGTGTTGAGAGATCGAACAGCTGCTTAAACGACGCAAGAAGGGCCAGCACGTCCGCATCCTGATGCGAGGAGCCTGCTGCTAATCCAGCATAGTCGATAGCGTTATTCGTGGATTTGTGAGAAGAGCTCTGTGACGGTGAGAGTGCTTTTGCAGTCTGCTGGCTGCTTCCAAAATTTCCTGCTCCAGCCTTTTTCATCTGTCCTGAGGAACTCCGATGCAGCTTAGCCTTCAGCAAATACTCCGCCTGCTGCATGGTCTCCAGAATGAGATACCAGCTGTCGAATAAGGTGCCTCCAAGATACTGAGCAACATTGAGCAGGATACGTAGACAGTACATGTTCTTTTCTGAAATATTTGGAGTTGTTGTATCCTGGATCGCGCTGTTGCCAGTAGGTGGTCCTGGCCGATGCTCCAATGCTGGAAGGATCGGAAGACAGTTTTTGCACAGCGAGGTCAAAAACGCATCTCGTGGTATAACAAGTTGCAAGACACCACAAACACTGGTAAAGTTTTGGTAGGCACGCATCACATTGTGAAACAGCTCCTCGTCCAGATTCGAGCCGAGGAAGTATGAGAATGCTGCCAGCAATCCAGGCCAGGCTGACTCCGCCATGATGGTAACCAGCGCAATGTCGTCAGCCTCCTTTGTTTTCGAGAGTTCAAGAGAGTTTGTGTTGGGAAACAGGGAGAGAACTGGTTTTGCTTGAGCAGGATCTGCGCTTTCCGTGGTGTCCCTTTGTTCCTGTGCGAGTCGTTGCTGATCGTGTAGTGCCTGCGAGACGATCGGGAATATGTAGGATGCCAGCCCATCCGCGATTGAGTTGGTGCACACGAGAGATAAATAGTATAGGTATGTCTCCGGGATCTGAGGAGGATCTGCTTTATCGAGTTGATCTACGCTGTAAAATAAGATAAAAATAAAGAGAGCGGTAAGAATAAGAGGTTGATAGACAAAAAATCCAAACTGTGAACATGAAGGGAACCTACCATTGAATACGCATGGTCGAAGTTGGGATGCTTAGGCCGCCGATTCCACCTTCATTCGCATCCCTCTCGTTGACACTGGCTGGTTTGGTATTCTCAGAGCTGTCCTGAACGAAGCTCCCTGCGCCGATAAGCTGTGGCTTCTCAGTTGATAGACGCCCGATAGCAATGATCATGTCTCCAAAGATGTCCGTGCTTGTTCCTTGCTGGTCATACGCATTATATACTCTTCTCATGAGAGCGTTGTCCCCGCATATTCCCCTGAATATCTCCATCGCCAACACTCTCTGCCATAGGATGTTCCCCTCTGGCTCCAGCAGCTTGATCAACATCGAGAGAAAAATTTCGCATTCGATAGCCTATAGACGTCCCATGAAGTGAATCTCAACCATGTCAGCCGCCTTGATATGCGATGGCTCTGAAACAGGAGTCCGTGAATAACATAGTGGATCTTCCGAAAACCTACCAAGATCTCATGAAACTGCTTGATCAGTATGTACACCACTCGCATGAGGCGCATGGTCTGCGGGAAATCCTGCTTGTCGGAGAAGTTCTTGATAATCAAGGGGCAGACCCTCTCACGCAAGAGCGAGGCAAACTCCTCGTGCTACAGTTGATGATGGCATGAATGGCATTAAAATGACGGTTCCTGCAACTTGTCACCAAAAAGAATCGAAAGGGAAAGACGAAAAAAACACAGAGAACCCTGCGGACAAAATAAACCAGCTGCCCCGCATCCGCATACCTGCTTGAAAAGGTGAAAGTGGTTGGTTAGAACACTCTCGATAAGTTCTAGTCCAAACGTCCGGCTGATGCTGCCAAGCTTCAAGAAACGAGCGTGCTCAGAGTTGGTAAGGAGGCACAAATCCTGAAACAGCAGATACGCATCCAAGGCGCATGGTCCCAGCTGCTCTTCATTCTCCTGTTCTGACGCCGGGGCATCAGTAGCTTCCTCCTTTTCTTGCCATTGGCTAGTTTTTCCTACAAAATGAGAGTCCAAGATGAGCAACGGCTCCATGCCGCAAGTACAGCACGTTGTCATCGCCTTCAGATCACCTCCGTTACCTTGCTCCTGCTTCGCCAAGTCTTCGTCGCCAACCTTTTCAAATATGTATATCACTAATTGACGAAGGGTCGCTGCGGCAGTGTTATTGACAAAAACAACCCTGGAATCTTGTAGGCGAAAACAGAGAAGAAGTGCCTAGAGCGAAGATAATCGACTAGTTGGTTAGCCGAGCAGCCTCCATATGGCCGAGCAGTCCAGGTGCACCAAAATGATTGAAAATACTGACCTCTGCCAGCGAATCTCCGTGGACATTATAGTTGGTCAAAAGCGGCAAGATCGTCTGCAAAATCTTGAGCTGTATCTCCACTCCATGGGACATGATGTCGTTCAACGTCTTTAATACCACTTCGATGGCGCTCTGAATTGGAAACATTGATCATCAAAGAATAAAGTGACGACGAGCGTAAGTGGCATGTCCGATCTGGGTCTAACATCTTTTCCATCATGCTCAACGCGCTTGATACCTCGGGCATAGCACGATGAGATATTAGCTCGCGGAGACATCCCATCGATATGGTCACCAACTTGACGTTTTTGGTGTCACACGCGAGAAGAAACGGCTTGAGTACATCTTGATTCTGGCTAAGCACTGTTTTTGAGAAAACACGTTAGTATATGGATAGGCACAACTGCACGGCGCCTACATAGTTTACTGAGTACAACAGCGACTCAAATGATTACTGACCATTGGCAAGACTGGAACCCTGTCCTTGTCCGGGGTGTCGTAGTAAAGCGATAACCCTCTCGGCAGCCTACAAAAGATATCAGAGATGTACCAACATTTTAAGAGGGCACTTCAAGCGTTTAACAACTTGGGTTCCTGGACAAGCGATGCCCATTGATCCTGCAATAATGCACGCTACCTCCTTGATTTCTGGGTGCTTGCGCCTCGCTTCATTGGACAGAGCGACAAGTTCTGTTTGAAGGTAGGCTGCAATGCTCATCCTCGCTTAGTGCCTTTTCTCTGTCTGGAAGGGAACACTCTAAGGCTTTTGGGACGTACGTATGTCGAGTTGGGGTAGTTAAAGAAGTAGCCTTAGGCTGGACAGCAGGCGAATAAAATCGATATGCTTTACGAAGTGAAGGGCGGGATGACACGTCGCAAAATGAGGATGATGAGATGACCAGTTGATGAACGCGGAGATGGATGCAGGATGCACTTCTTCTCGTGCAACGTGACGTGCCATAGACGCGCCAGTGAGCGTTGTAGGCTGACCTCTACTTTTTTCCTTCCTACATTCGAACTTGCCCGCCGTCAAGGAATCTAGAACCAACTGTAGAATGGCTTCGGCATCCCTGTCCATACCAATCGCCTTTTGGACTAGGAACATATCGGCCGCAACCATATCTTCGACACTCGCGCGTGGAGACTATGTGGTTTCTGGTCTCGAAGACGGCCTTATTTGGGTCTTCAAAGCGGCTTGTGGTCCGTCTGACACGTCCTCGACCCCGCACACTTCTGCCAATTTAGTCATGGTACTTGGAACACACTGCGGACAAAATAGAATGCGTGGCGCTCAAATGCATGGTATACGTAAGGCTGATCAGCCGATTCCTTGGCTCCTTCTCAGCTGGAACCCTACACGTTACTTATAGGGCACAGCTGTCGCATAACGGCACTCGAGGCTATGCTCGTGGAAGGCGACAACAATTCGACAAGCGAGTGGATTCTCATAAGCGCTTCTGAAGACGGGTAAGGCACGGGTCAGGTTTTTACGGCATTCGAGACAACTGCCGACCCTTAAACCCTATCGCACCCATTGGACATGCTAGGGAAGTCAAGAAGTGGAACCTGGCAGATGGTCGCTGCCTGCAGTCTAACTCAAACGCATTCATCGGCGTTCCGGAATACCTTGGCGTGTTCTTTTCTGTGGGAAAGGTAGACTCGCTAATCATCTCTAGACTTCATACATGCTGCTGACAAGACTTTTGCACATGACTGACATACATTGGCGGCTCAGTCAGGATCAGGTCCCAAGTTTATTGTTTGCGCCGGTGCCTCGAACGAGGCCTGTATTCTGGATTCAACTTCATTGGAGGTTGTCCGAGTTTGGGGCGGGCACTTGGATTGGGTTTATTGCACGTCCTTACTAGGAGATGGTACGTAGTGAAGGCTTCTGCTAATCCTGCCGAGATTAGGGACGAGCAATTAACGGAAATGCTTATTTATTTTGAAGACCAACATCAGAGTAGAATTCTCTCAGTGTCGGCTGACTGCAAGCTATCTATGTGGATCTTTGACACCTCCAGCCTAGCAGTCGTCAAGTCTAAGGTTTACGATATTTGTACAGATACACACGATAGCATTGTATCGCTCGTCGCCTGTCGATATAACGCTTCATGGGTCGTGTTGGTCACGAGAAGTTCTGCACAGGTATAAACAGGCTAAATCAACCTTCAATATGTCTTTTTTTTTTCTTAAAAAAAAAAAAAAAAAAAAAAAACGTAATCTAGCGCTAAATAACGATTCTCTGCGAATTTTTAGATCGTTTGCATACAAGCTCAAAGGAAAACATGTTATGTGATTCCATGTCCCGAGAATGAGTCGCTAGCGGGTGCGGAATTTATTTGTGCAGGCAATGTTGTTGTATGGACGCAGGTAAGAGTGACTCTATAAAACTTCTCGCTTCAGTCCTTGGTAAATATCATGGCAAATTCGAACTGACAATACAATTCCTCGATCGTGGAATATACTGTTTGATAGTCGGGTCGCGTCTTAATGTATTCCATTGCGGAATTTGACCAAAAGGGCGATCACTCTTCAGCAGATGATTCATCGAGCTCCGTTCTAGAACCAAGGTATCGCAAGATGTGAGATCTGATTTAATGAAACTGTTGATGTGGTCGTGCTAACGTCGTCGTGTTCCTTGCACAGTGCCAAAACATTGGCGTCCACCGATCCAGTACAAGGTAATGTCATGGGCAGCGTTATGAAGTACTGCATTATGCCCTTTCTGCTCATCCTGTTCTTAATCGTATGCCTTTCAGTCTGTGATATGCAATTCTGCTCAGGATATCTCCCTCATTTGCTTGTCTTCGAAAACAAGGCGAGATCATATCTCTTGAGCCTTCGAAATGGACGCAAAGACATCAATTACACGAGTGTCAAGTTGGGAGACTTGAACTCAAGACATCCTCACGTCCAAGGTATCTTCCTTAGCTCGATGATGGTGCGTTTTTATCTTTTGCAGTAGTATTCTAATGTGTTACTTATATTCAACATAGACTATGATATACAGAAGGCATGCATTCAATGGAGTGCCACCGGTGATGACACCTTTCCGACGCCCATTGTGACTTATTCAGTGATGCTCAACGACACTCTGGTCGCATTGGGCTGTAGTAAGTTGCACTCGATTTTGATCTGTCCCATCACTGTTGCACGTTAAGTTAGAAGAACTTGCTGACTGTATCTGACGAATTAGATTCCGGAGATATTTGGGTGACGACCATCGACGAGGCGCTGTCACTGCTATCTACAGGATTTGCTTCTGAGCCATCGAAGGAGACACAGATTTTGAGAGGACATATTGGCTCAATCACTACTATTTTTACTTCAGACGACTTGATGCAACGGTCTTTCTTACTTACTGGAGGCAGTGATTGCTCTGCAAGGATATGGAATATCGGGTAAGCGCCTTCGCTTAATGCTATGCGGCACATCATCCCTACAGAGCACGGAACTAAAACCAGCGTTCTCGCCTTTGTTTAGGTCCAGTACCGAGGTCGCGTGTTTTAACAACCATAGCCGACCGGTAGCCCACTTCCTGCAAGTCCCAGAGGAGGTGAACTCTAGAATCAGGAGAAGCGTGGTATCGATTGCGGAGGATCAGTCTGTTGCCATTATCTCGATAGAGGAGATGAGCTGGTAAGAATAGGGGGCCATAGGTATCATGGCAGCTCTTTGTGAACCTGGTCTGATCTCCGACTTCTGTTCACATTTTAGTATCTACCTCTTTGGTGGCTATGAACACAATCTGTTATCTCTTCAGTGGAGACCCTCGGAAGATTACATTGTGTTGTCGCACGCCGATGGAACGGCCTTTGTGTGGCAGGTTGGTTCACCTATCTCTATTTGCCGTTCTCGGTCTGGGGATCATACTAAGGGGATCATACCAAGGGCAGCCTGAGTACTAACCGCTCTGTAATCATCTCATAAAAATAACTATGCAGATGCAAACTGGACATTTAGACCGGATCGTTAGAGGAGAAACGGCACGCGAACTTATGATGGATGCCCGCTGGGGCGTTTGGTACGGTACATGAATGTCAGATCTGATTTTATGAAGAAAACAGCATTGGCTCTTGTCTGGAACGCGCTAATCGCTCTCTTAATGCCCTAAATTGACTGGCTAGTGAGGTGTCCCACGTTCGGCCTCACTCGTCCAAACTGGCGTTCGACTGCACGATCGTGCCTCTGTCTAGCTCTGGTGGGTATTCGATCGTAGGGTTATAAGGATTGCACAAACTTGACCTCAAGATGCTAATCTAAAGTGACCGTCGATGGACACTTAGTGGGTGTTCAGACAATCTTGGTCAACTTAAAGCACATCCTCAGTGTGCTATCGCAGGCCCGTCCTGGAGATCAGCAACTGGACCAGCCTACAGTCTCGGAGGCCGGCAACGTTTCCCAGCGCCAGAGAATACTCAATGGGCAATCCAAGACATCTTCTAAAGTAAGACCGGTCTTTAATGACCAACCATCACCTCTGCCGGACAAAGTGAAGCAATGCTTGAAAGCTGCCAAGGCCATTTTGAGTCTCCTCATCACGGAAGACGATGCTCATGCAATCTCGATAAGGAATTTGCTTGGTTTGTCGCAACCAGTTCGATCTATCGCGCTGGGAATGAGAGGGTAAGTTGGCTCGCCCAGAATTTGTTTTTTAGACAAAGATAGTGGTATGTATTGACAACATTTTTTTACCTTAGTGCCTACGGAAACATCTCTTTACAGGCACCACCTAAAAATGCGAATATGAGCGAATCGTGGTCAGTATCTCCTACTCTGACAGCCTCCAAACTCATCGCCATTTTGGCCTTGAGTAAGGTTATTGCCGCGGTACAGAATCTGGATGTCGATATGGATACTTGGTCTCGAGGATACTGCTGCGCCGTCCAGGATACTGCTGGGTCAAATTTTTGTCCGCCTTCCCTCTCATATCTCGCCAAGTATTGGCAGGACCCTCAAGGCGAGTTTTGTAGGAGGGCATTACTCTTGGCCGCAGCGAAACATTCCGGTACAACTCCTAATCCCAGATATAATGAACCACCTTTACCATTGTTTAGTCGAAGTCCAAGAGGCGACCAAGATCATTATGCTCTCCGCTATTGGGCGAATTTCCAAAACAGAAGTCGCTTCCCTCGTCAAGTATTGGTCAGCATTCTGTAAGAGATACCCGGCGAAAGGGTGATACAACAAGACTCTCATTTACGGCTGATAATCCTAATACCTCGCACTCATTCATGCCTTGTTTAGTACCTGCCGCTGCCTTGCCAGATACGTGTTCCAGTCAGTTTATGGCGCGCTCAGCCATCATTCTCGGGATTCTTGGTGCCGAAAACCCGGAAGCGTTACAGGAAAGGTGCGTATGAAGAAGCGAGATGTTTTTCATCACTATCGTGCTGTATGAGGCTAACATTCAAATCTTGACACCGTCTTTTACTAGAGTCAAAAAATTGGTTGCTCTGTCGCTCACAATACTCCTAAATGATGACTCGCGTGTGTCTTATAAGATTGCTTCGATCGACTTACTTGCCCAAGGGTTTGCAACATGGCAACCCTTCATACGTGCGGACGCGGTGCTCAATACACTCTTTGGCATGGCGATGGACACTCTGCCTGGCAACCCCCTGGTTTGTCGCAGGGCACGTAGGGCCATAGCCCAGATCGCGATAATCAACCCGGCTCTTTTTGTCGCGACACTGACACAGGAGATCGTAGATGCCAAGAAGCCAGCAGATCGGATTGGCCTACTCAAATTAATCTCCATATTCTCTCGCAAGGTATGTTCTCCTATCGGTGCCCACTTTAACTGTATCCGAACGCACGCATGGTTTACAAATCTATAACAAGAGAACCCTCTGTCCAGAATCCCGCTGTGCTTTACCACGGTATACCCAGGATAGCGGAAGCCATTGTGAAGTCGCTCGACCCAGTGGTGCCTCAAGTCAGGGACCTGTCATTGCCCGTTGCAACGTCAGTCATGATGGACCTAGTGCAATCATTCCCGCAGCTAGATTTCCATATTGGTTCGCAAAAGCTAGCAGTCGGAACGCCAGAAGGGGCTATCATCGTCTACGATTTGCAGACCGCAACTCGCTGGCAGATCCTCGAGGGCCACAGCAAGGCTGTATCTGCAGTTTCGTTTTCCCGCGATGGCAAAACCATTGTATCCTGCTCTATCCGGGAGGGCACTGTCCGATTTTGGCATCCCAACCCTGGATTCTTTGGCATGCTTATAGGCGGGAACAGTCTGTGGGGAAGCTCGAAATCGATTTCCTCTTCTTCTAACCAAGGACACTCCCAAAGCCACCACGGCAACATTCCATCGCTGTCATCACAGCATTCGAGTCGCACTTTCGACTTTGCTCTTCAAAACTCTATCGTCACAGGTAGTGTATTAATGCACTATGCAAACATATCCATGCCAAGGATACAAGCATGTCTGCTCCTAATATGTCTCTAACATAATATTATGGACACATAGGGTCCGAGGAATCCATGATAGGCCATATTCGCTTCGAATGGACTGGTGATCGGGTCGTCAAGCTGACTGTATACGATCACATCATGTCGTTCAACATTTAATATCATGCAGTTGGCTCTGTGAAATTGCTTGGGAATAAACCTTTCACAGGGCTACGATATTCATCCAAAAGCCTGCCTTCCCACCAGCCATCGTCTCTTGTGTGAAGCACTCCGAGAATATCTCCTTCCTTGAGACTCAACTCCTCAGGTATTGTCGCGTCATAGTCATATATAGCACGCACTATCGCCGAGAAATGTAAAAACAGCCAATGCTATATCAGTCTATGAAGTTGCACAAATAAAAGGCTGATCAACACATAGCCTATATCCAACATGAACTCTACCATAAAACAAGATCGGCCGACCATCATGTGGCAACTGCATGGCTTGTGGGTAAGGCGGATGAAACTGATCTGCCCTCGACGAGGCCGCGTAGGATCCGCTGGCAGATCTCATGTGGTTGACGGACTCGGCATGATGAAAATTGGACGCCGTGGGCTGGTTCTGGGCAGGCATTGTCTGACTGCGTGCATGAATGGCGGTCATATCCCCCGAAATCCTGTTGCTGGAATGCTGTTGCTGCTGAGGATACGTTGTCCCGTGCCCTACTTTTGCTAATGGATGAACTGAAGTTGGATGCGCCTGTAAGGGGACTTGAGGCTGCCAATGTGGAAACCGGTTCTCCTTCACTGTGCCGCTTGCATCCAGCGAGATCCCTAGATTGTTATCTCCGAGTGACTGCCGCGCATCAGCGGCTGGTGTATATGGTGAACTTTCTCCAGTGGATGCGATAGTAGAAGTAAAGGCCCCAGAGGTGGGATTTACTCCGTCGTCCGCTTGGTTAAGCATCGCTGTCGTCTGAGGGTCAAGTTTAAAGACGTTGCCCCCAATAGTGAGCGCCATTTCGACAGGAGCTCCGGCCGGTGCGCCCTCCGTATCAGACCTATAGTCCGCTGAGTACACTGACTGGCGGCGCGATGACGGCTCCGAGCCGTCGCTGCTTGGTATGGGCTGATGCGGCCCACAAACAGTCCTGACCCTGGCCTCCTGTGGCTGCGCACGAGAGATCACCGGACTGTCAGCGCTGCCGTCGGCTCTGTCAGGTGCCTTGGAGCTCAGATACGTTGGGGTATCTGGTACATCTTCGCCAGTAGCACAAGTGTCAATAAAACTTTGCAAATTCTGGTTCACATCGCATAGTTCTAGCGAGGATCGTATACGTTCACAAGACTGGTAACATAGAAGTTAATACCATAATCACTGGAGGCGAGAGTGATAAACCGAGACGCATTAGCTTTACAACTCACCTCATCATCTGCGACGCAAGTGCTCGATATGATGTTGGCATAGTTCCAGAGGGTTGTTCTCAGATAATCTATTCTCTGCTCCTCAAGAAGTTGAAATTTCTTTAAAAGGAAGAGCGAAGTGTCAGGAGGTGTACAAAAAGACGGATACTTGATGAAAAGAACCGACTGCGACATAGATCTTTCCATACATCACAAGCGGCCCTCCACTCAATGACCCACTTCTCGTTGATCTCTGACAGCTGACGAATACTCGCTTGATACTCAACATCTATCCCGGAGATAGAGGACGATTAGTTCCAGCAAATCTGGTTTCACGTTGATAAATGAATGAGCGTTGCGACTGTACCTGCTGCTCTGGATGCGAGCTCAGTCTTTTCTATCTTCATCGAGACTTTGTCCAGCTCCTTTCCCATGAGATTCATTTTTGCTGCTGATAAGCCTTTGGTCCTGGTGCACTCTGCATCGTATTTCTCCTTCGCCTAGAATTAAAGAAAAAGGCAGAAACAAAGGAGTGAGATGCAGCCCTGCCCTGCCTCCAATGCTACGCATAGACATAGTGCTGTAGTTCTGCTCTACCTTGACGAGTTGCTGTAGGTAAAGCTGCTTGTTTCTGAATGTTCGGTCGATCGATGCTTGATGCTATTTGATACGACAGATACGATACAGGTGAATACGAGGAACCGAGCTATGGGATAGCAGCAAAACTGGATGAGTAACTAAGTAAGCATACCAGCTTTCGCTTGTCCTTCTGACTATTGTTGAACTCTGCCAATGCGGACTCCAATTGATCCCGCATTTTGCTCGCCAGCTCGATGTGCGACTTTCCGGTCGCCTCGATCTCATATCTGACAACATCCAGTGATTCGCGCAGTGACCTATTGGATGACAATCGTTCCATCTTAGAAGGAACACTTTATACACAAAACAGTCAACCATAAATGCGTCGTAATAAGGCCATTGGTATCCTTACCCTAGTTCGTCCTTTCCAAGCGGTGATTTTGATAGCTTAAGAAGCTTCTTACCATATTCTTCTTCAAGCGAGGCCCTGAGATGTGATGACATACAAGAGCGGGTGTTAAAAATACAGGGACGGATATGCGATCCGTATGACGAGCCAGTAAGTTCAAAGAGGGAACTAACCGTGCCTGGAACATGCCCAGAATCTCCTGGCAGGTCAACTTGGCATGTCGCATGCGTGTTGTCAATGCCGAATACCCTGCATCGTCTTTGCCCTATGCGTCAAAAAATTCGGTCATAGTGAGTTCGAAGAAGGGGGTGAGCAATATTCACGGCTATAATAACGACAGGCTGTCACACAAGGCTTACCCAGAAGTTGTGTGAGAATCTAGGCGCTGGCGCCTCCTCGGTCAAGGGCGGTCGCTCCATGTTCATAATGGGCTCTAATTGGTATCGATTGATATGGCGTAGGCAGTGGTGCGTAGGTGAGAGAGCGTGCGTATGTGAGAGAGCGTGCGTATGTGCGAGTGCGTAGGATGCTGGCGTTGCAGGTATGGAGAAGGGACACGGAAAGAGAAGGAGAGAGATCAAGCAGAAAGGTCGAGAGGGGAGTAAAGGGAAGAATATGTCTGACGAACAAGTAGGCCAGGTAGGGGGACAAGGCAAATGTAGCCGAGGCACACCCTACAAGCCTTGCATGCGGCCGTCGTCACAGGAGCAACGCAACGCAATGTACAGAAACGCCTCGCCCGCCTCTTTTTAACCGAGAAAAGAAACCTGCAAACCACACAGCCCTCCACCACAGAAACAAACGAGAAACGCACTCTCAATCTCTCAACCATGGCCGACAAGGATCTTCGTGAGTGGAGCATCAGCATCAGCAACACCTTCCGAATCAGCATCAGCATGGGGCAGGACATATATTGTGACATGCACTCGAAGACTGACCGATATTCAAATTTTGCAATACAATTGGACATAGAACTCTTGGATAACGTGGAGCTACGGTTTGCTCTGGCTGAAAGTGATCCCCAACTCGAAAAGACGCTTAATACCTTCCTGTGTCCTGTACTTCTGAAGCTATCGAGTCCATTTGAGAATGTCAGGGCCAAGGTATTACTTAGATCCATTGAGCCATTGCCAAGATATGCGAACCTTGGGAACCAACTAATTTGCGGTATGCTTTACGATGATCTGTAGGTGGTTGGTATCCTTACCCATATCAACAAGCGAGTCCGACCAAAGCCTGAGATCAAATTACCAGTGACAGCACTCTTACAGCAGTTTGCCGATAATAACTCTGTGCTCGTCAAGAACTTCACCTTGATATACATTGAAATAGGATATGGACGAATTCCTCTCGAAGTAAGTCAATACCAAGTGAGATACGACAATCGAACTGCTCATGCTCCTGGAGTATGTCAGCAATTAATGCAGATTTTGTATGTGTATGCGCTTAGGACCAACTGGCAGGACTCCCGCAATTGATCAAAGGAATCGCTCGTCGCCCCGTTGTTCAACAAACGACTCTTGCCCATATGATTCTTCCTGTAAGTAAAAAAAAAAAAAAAAAAAACTCGCTAGTATCTTAAATTCTTCCCACCTAAACCGCGCCGATCTTAACCTTACTGGCCCATTTTTTTCAGGTCTTATCCTCGATCAAACAACATAATGAAGACAACACAACCGCGGATCCTTATGGGTTTGTGGCCAACCCATTAGATGCAATTTGCCTGCTTCATATCCTTCAAGAGGTTTTATTGTATCGCCAGCCGATAGTCGGATCGCAGCCTGCGAAACATCAATCAACGGAAGTCGGACCATCAAGGTCCGTAATTGAAATATATTTGTCTGAAGACGTTGCATCGTCAGACGAAAAATACTAACCACAATCGAAATTGATCTGGGGACCTCGACACGATTTAGTTCGCAAGCTGGATCGTCTGCATCTGGCCAGAATTCGACTAGTTCGCCGCCTCCCGACGGGATGAGTCATCAGTCAGTACTGCAGGTCACTAATAACGGCAAAGCACTGTGGGCTACAACGAGCGAACTCAAGAACATAAAGGTGGGTTACAAAGAGTGGGCTGGTGTTCACTGAATGCTATATCCTTCTTATCACTCTGTCTGACTTTTCCATGCACCCTGAACCATCTAGACTGGCGCCGTGCGCTTCATTTGCTCACCAACAGCATTTCCCGACTCGCTGCCCTTACAGGTTCATCTGGAGAGGTTTGTGGCACTGATCGCTGCTACGGGAGATGCATACAACGACGTTTCAGGCATGGGTGAAGATGGATTAAAGCGAATCAAACTGCCAGATTTGGAGGATAAGATGGTGATCGACAGGATTTATGAGATGTATCAGGGCTCCAATAAGGGCAAACCCATTCCTGGTAGGTTTAGCGTCCCGCCTGGAATACCGCTTGGCACGTCAAATACTTTTTTCAGTCGGAAGCCATTCACTAAGCGATCATTCATTTTCGCATATTGGTCAGGTCAAGAAGATGCATTTCGCCAACCGAGCTCGAATGTCGTGAAGCATAGGATCATGGGATATCTCTCAAAATCCAGGACTGCAGCGGGGTCATTTCCTTCTGCACTGCAAGTCTCATTTGACTGCCTCTATGGTAACGAGTAAATCATGACAATCACTATGCATTATTTTCTCTCCTCCTGCTGCTTATGATAGTAAATTAAGGCATCCTTTGCATCTTTAGGTCCCAAGGCAAACACAAAGCTGGTTATGGCCGGTATGGCCTTTGTTCAATGGATTGCACGAATGGTATGGACCGTGTACTGTATAGCACTAAAATCACACCCGGTTGGCACTCCTGATACAAACTCTTGTCTATGGTCAATAGAGCTCCGAGGCAACACTTAAACCAATTGCTCCTGTACTCGTTTCGGGATTGCTGAAGTTCACGCGTGAGAATGAAAACGTTATTGGACTGGGTAAGTACGATGAAGGCTAGCGACCTGGAGTAATGCACGAATGAAAGTGCTAACACCATTAACTCCTGTTTCTAGAGAGTGAATCGGCTAAAGGATTTGCCTATGTAGCCCTTGGCTTGATTTCGAAGCGAGGTAGGAATTTAACTCTTGTTTCATATACGACGCTATTGCTCGGGTGATGTAAACATATGAACTGCTGAATGAAATCTTCCTCTTACAATAACAGTGCCCGAGATCTTCAGGAAAGACCTTACCATTGTTCAAGGAATCTTTGATCAACTTGCCTCGCAACCCCCAAACGTGAAAACATACATTCAGGAAGCTCTTTGCACTATGCTGGACGCTTTCCAGCCAATGAAGGAATGGGCCACTGAGGACGACGTTGCTCTCATTCTATCCGTCATAGAGACCAACATGGACAAGGCAAGTGCTTTATGACTAGAAGGAGCAGCACCAGACGAGATGTCTGTGATCCAAGATGTAGTTACTGACATTACATTTATTTCCACAGGAGGAGCATCAAGCGCGCTTTTGTGCAGTCAAGTATGCCAATGCGCTGTTTCCGTTTTCGGACATACCTTCCAAGTATATCTGTCTTATGACAGTAATCGACGATAAATTGGAGATCAGGGAGGAAGCAAAGCGTGGGCTTACTTTTCCAAATGCGCGCGCACTGGAAGATAATGCCGCTGCCAATAACAACTCCATGCTCCCGGACTTTACCAAGCTCCTGGAACTGGTTAGCCTCAAATCACGGACATCATCACAAACTCGCCTTGATGAACTGCATGCACGGCCGACGTTCGGCAAGTCGTTCATCATGGGATTCTCGTCTGAGGTCTTTATCCATATGCTTCAATTCTTCCGTCGCCTATTGATCACCTCAGCCGACCCAGATGTGATAATCGAGGAGAGCTCCAACGAGTATGAAATCCAACAAATTGTGTTCACTCCGTCAACTCGAGAAAAGGTCAAGAGTTGGCTTCTTCACATGTGGGAGCTCGACAGCCAAATCGACAAGGATCAAAAGACATTATCATTGTACATTTCTTTCCTGGAGACTGGTTTGAATCACCAAGGGCCTCAAGGTAATTACTGACTGTATAGTCTGCCGAAGTGCTATAGCCATCGTTATCCATAAAGATACTGGAAGAAGCAAAAGCCTAATCATTAACGCCTTCTTTTTAGACAAACTCCTCCATTCGACGGCTTTGACCTGCCTACTCGAGTTATTCTCACTGGCACCCAGTAGTCTCTCTCAGCAATATGCCCATCGTCTTGGATGGTTCAAGGTACGTTACTATCCTACAGTCCTGCACTGGTGTTAGGACATTTAACTATCCATACTGAGACACGGCCTCCTTCTAGCCCTTTATCTCTTCTCCGAAACCGGAATCACGACTTGCGGCGGCCCATATTATCGGAATCGTGGGAACTGACGGTCTCGAAGAAGCTGCACCCCAACGCGAGACGTTTCTAAAATTTCTAGACGAATTGCATAGCGTTGCCAAGGATCCGACTAAGCAGGTAAGCATGCGCTCTGAACACTTAATACTATTCAAGAACGAAGACCATTTTAACAAAATACATATTGAATTATAAATCTTAGACATCCTCAGAGCAGCGACATGGCATGGTTTTGGCTATGGGCTTTATTTTGGGACGACTTTATTATCGGTACTCCACAAAAACTTATGATATCGTCCCGCAGTCGGAGGTGAAAAAGATGGTCGAAGATATTGCTCTTGATCTCGACTCTAAGCAGAACATGTTTGTTTCTGGAGCCTGTGTTGCTCTGGGCGAGATCGGCAGGTACGGCTCCTTTTCCGAGGGTGCTGCCAAATATGTTCAAAAGCTGATAGAAACAGCCAAAAACACAAAGGACATCAAGATCCAGGAACAGGCAATCGCTGCGCTTGGTGCCATTGGCGTTGGCAATCCAGACCAAGCACAGAACATATTGGCATTTTTGTATGATTTTGGACCCAAGCAAACCAAGCAAGCCGAGGTGAATTTCACAATCGGTGAGTCCATTGCCTGTATCGGTGCGGGATGGCAGTGCTCAGTCATGGATGTTTTCGCAGACGTGGCTGACAAGGACCCTACGAAGACCGATGTGGACTCTGCGGTTATGGACGATATTTTGAAGACCGTCTTGAGCGACATGGGCTCGTCTCCTAAAGCGGCATCGAAGAAGGCGGCCTGCATCTGGCTGCTCACTCTTGTCAAATTCTGCTCAGGCCATAAGAGTGTCAAGGTACGCAAGAAGTTGACTGAAGGGATTGATGTAGAGCGAAAACTTATGACTAACTCTGTGAATTCATCATCATTCCAACATTTCACATCGTACAGGACCGACTGGAAAACATTCACTCTGTGTTCTCAAGCCTTCTCTCAGACCGGGATGGTAACCACGAGTCCTACAGCGTCAGTTGTGTCCGCTACGGTGCAATCATCATCATGGCTATTAACTTCGAGATTTATTACCACATAGAACTGACGCAAGAGGTAGCATCCAAGGGTATTGGCCTGGTGTATGAGCTCGGCGATCAGTCTCTTAGAAGCCAACTTGTCGGATCTCTTGTTGGGATGTTTGGAGAAGGCAAGAAGGCAACGGTGAAGGTCACAGGCGACACAGAGTTGTTTGATAGCAACGCTCTGGGGCAGGCACCCGATGGATCCTCGCTCTCGACGTATCAGTCCATTCTATCTTTGGCCAGCGACATGAATCAGCCTGAACTGGTGTACAAGTTCATGCATCTTGCCAGTCATAACTCGATGTGGGAGTCAAGGAAGGGAGCAGCATTCGGCTTCTCGTCTATTGTTTCTCAGGCCGAAGCTGAACTCAAGCCTCACTTGGCGACATTGATTCCTCGTCTGTATCGCTATCAGTACGACCCCAACCCCAAAGTGAATGAGGCCATGACAAGTATTTGGAGGGCACTTGTTAAGGAACCAAAAAAGGCTGTGCAAGAATATCTTGATGTCATCATCAAAGATCTATTGGATGGCATGGGAGCCAGAGCATGGAGAACTCGCGAATCAAGGTATATAAAGATGGCTAATGAGTTAATGAGTGAAGATATGCGCAGTCCATATGCTAATTAGTCGGTGATACCTCAACTGCGAGTAGCTGTTTGGCTATGGCGGATCTGCTTCAAGGTCGGTCTGTGGAGGAGATCGAGGCATATCTTGAAAGCATCTGGACTATGTCTTTCCGAACTTTGGACGATATCAAAGAGAGCGTTCGCAATGCAGCCTTCAAGACATCCAGGGCGCTGACTTTGATGACTGTTAAGTATTGTGATCCCAAGAATGTGTCTGCCGTTGAGGGTCAGCGGGTTTTGGACATCATGGTCCCATTCCTCGTGCAGAAGGGCCTTCAGTCCAGCGCAGACGAAGTATCGAAGTTCAGCTTGTCAACCATCCTCAAGATCTGCAAACAAGCAGGACCCTTGCTCCGGTCCCACATATCCATAATTGTAGTAGCCCTGCTTGAGGGACTCACCTCGATGGAGCCACAGATGATGAGTATGTCTTTGAACTGTTGCTGATATGCTCAAGCATGAGTGCCACCTCTCCTGCAACACGAAATGCCTGTTCCTGACCAGCCTTATGTGTCTCTTCGTATAGATTATCTGAGCTTCCACACTGACAAGTACCAGGTGTCTCAGGAGCAGCTCGAAAACACTCGCCTGAATGCAGCCAAACTTTCTCCAATGGTACGTTAACTCATGTTTGCTTGTAAAATATACTTGCTCTCCGCAGTGCTAATATATCTTAAACTTTGATCTAGATGGAGGGTATTGAGGCTTGTCTGGAAAACGTCGATGAGACCGTGATGCCGGTGCTCTCTGAGCAGCTTGTCGCGCTAATGAGGAAAGCTGTTGGTCTACCGACTAAGGTAACTTTCTGTCAAGGAGAAATTGAAAAACGCTTCCGCAACAGGCCTAACTTTGCCTTATTCTATATTACATTCATATAGGCGGGATGTGCTCATCTTCTGGTATCCATGTGTATTAAGAAACCATCTGTTACGAAAACATATAGCGATACGCTTTTAAAAACCTTGGGATCTTCTATCAAGGACAAATCGCCTGCAGTACGGAAGTCATATGCAGTGGCAGCGGGATACCTGTCGAGGCTGGCGACAGATGCAGCGCTTGTCAAGTTTATCGAGCGTTTGGACAGCTTCTACCTAGAAACGGAGGGTAAGCCCATAATTCAATGGGAGCATTTGTCTATGCGAAATCCTGTGTTTATTGCTTCCGCCTAAGTTCTAATGCGAGGGTATTGCGTCGTATCGAATTGCATAGAGGACGAACTTCGATCAATAGCGGCTATCACAGCACGGGAGATTTCAAAGAACGCATCGGACCGATTTAAAGGAGTGGCCTCTGCCATCCTCCCCACTGTATACTATGGCACTTTTGACGCCAACAAGGACATTAGCGGTGTTTGGAAGGACATCTGGGAGGAGCATACCACTGGATCCTCCTCTGCGGTGAAATTATACGCAAAAGAGAACATCGTACTGCTGTCAGCGCAGATAACGTCGGCGTCATGGAATGCCAAGAAGCAGGCGGCCAAAGGTCTTAAGGCGATGTCAGATGCAATGGGTATGTATTCCTCAACCCTGCAGCGGGATTTCTCTGTGTTTTGCGCGCTCACTGACATTGAATCCTTTCCTTTCTGGTAGATCTGAGCGCTTACATGCCCACGTTATACCCGCTTGTTGTGGACGGGCTTGGTGGTAGAACCTGGCAAGGCAAAGAACATATTGTGGAGTTGCTTCCGGCTGTTGCGCTCGCGTCCAAACAATACTTCGAAGACAAACCTGAGAAACTGCAGGAGATTGCCAAGGTGCGTGACATACAGGTGTGGCATGATAGGCCTTTGTGAAGTACGCACATACAACAGACTAGCCTTATTCTGGGTCTTTATACTCGTATGAATAGGTTTTGTTGAGAGAATCGAAGAAAGTGAACAAGCAGTATCGACGGTTCGCGATTGACGCTCTCGGAAAGTTCCTTGATGGATTCCCAGAAGTAGAATACTACTTGGAGACCAAGCCAATCCTCATTCCTATCTTGAGGAACGAGGATGAGAATGACGAGGACGACGACGAACATGACAAACCTCTTCAGACGATGGTGGTGGCCAGCGCAGCCAGAGCGTTGGGGATGTCATGGACGCGAAACGAGCAGCTGCAGGGTATGTCGAGCGTCTGCATTTTCGGCACTATTCCTGTGTATGAATATACGATTTTTCTCTAACATTGTTATCCACGTCCTGTCCTGTTTTAAAGAGCAAAACTCGGAGGAGTTTGTAGGTGTTGTCAGCAAGGCGCTTGTCCGGAACATCTGGAATGTTCGGAGTGCATTGCTCGAATCGCTTGATAAATTCTTGATCAAGTTGAGCCTGTCAACATCTCGCAGTGTCGTCTCTGAGGAATCGCTCCTTCTACTGTTGGATAGTCTGCTGGAGGGTAGCTTGCAAGACACCAAATATGTCAGTCTGCGAGATCAGGGACTAGGAGTGTTGAAAGCTTTTGTTGGAAAAATATGCGGTAGGTCTTGGAAGGCGCGTTCTGTTTACTGTAAACAGGAGCGAATATTCTAGATGTCGTCTGACACGCTTCATTCTCTTTCGTGGGTACCTGATATATTAGGAACTTCGGCTTATACAACGCGTGTCCGTGAACGGCTCACTGAAGTTATCGCGATCCTCAAGAAAGATCCTGTTCCTAGGGTTTCTGAAGCTGCTGCGCTCTTGGAGTCGGAATTGTGATGGCACAGAATAGAAAAAAGGCTACATTAAAGTCAAGGACCAATGATGAAATGAATAGCGCACTCTGTTGAAGACAAAAGCTACCGGCTCACAATAACTATCGGTTCGTTATCTGCAAATGCTTCGCGATAAATAGAGAATATAATAATAAAGTAAAAAACGGAATTGACAAGTGGTGAAGTATTGGTGGTCCTATCTTGGAGCTAGATTTCGAGGCCCCGTTTACGGCGAGGGCGTGAACCTAATATGCTCTCTCAGATAACAGCGACGAGATTTCATCTCGAGGCCCAACATGGCAAGCAACGAATTCATTTGTGATTTGTACAGTGAGAGGCGGTATTATGGAATCGTGCACAATCGAACATTTTCTCGCTCTAGAGGTAGACTAGACTATTCATTATTTGGATACGCGAGCATTCAAAGAATCTATTGGGTCGTTATCTATGCTACATAATGGCAATCTGGAAGCACCTTAGATGGACCCGATAGGTAAAGAACACACCGTCAGCAAACGCGTTATTGACCTGCTATTCAGGCTTTTTTTTTTTTTGTCTGAAATGCCATTATACTTGAATCTCTCAGAAGTTCATGGTAATGAGGCTCCCGTATAGAGCAAGAGCTGGTGGTCGCTTTTGTCTGCATGTGGTACCTTACCAGTATCTTGTCTATGCTTTGGGCGACCTTGAATAAATTACAACTTGCTTTTTTTTTCCTGGGTTCCTGAGCAATGCATCGGGGTTACACATGTCCAAGATGGCACAGAATCAGAGGCGGACGGACAAATTGCTGGTTTGATGAACCCACTGGGACCAAGTTCGTAAGCCGCGATAGTTTAATAACATAAGATAAATATTGGTATTGCAATATCCATTTGTTTGACGTTGGCGAGATTCTGTGACATCCCTTGAAAGGGATCTTTATTGGTCCAGGAACTATCTCTGGATAATCCGTTGCTTGTATCGCAGTTATCGCGTGAGCTTGGACGTGTGTGCCTTCTTGGCGTAAACCTGCGCAATTTCATGAATCCCACGCGTGCCTCGGATATGGTACCCTTTGACGTATACTTTATCTGTCATTAGTCCCAATCCCTGATACGTTGAAAACGTCTCAGAAGAATCGTTCCAAGTACAATTGGGATAGCTCAATCGGACATTGTTCGGCATTCCTAGAGCAAAACTTGAGATTAGTAACAAACAACATCCCGGCGGCGAATTATCGTTGCCTTGCTAGCGTCTTGTGTAAAAGAAAAAAAGTAAAACAGACGCCCAAGTCGTTGCTTAGCGCGCGTACCTTCTTTGACAACCAAGGAGAATATTTGCTTGAAAGAACTGGCCTTCTGCTTTCACGTCTTAATTTTTGTCAATCCGTAATATGAGCCTCCTAACGCGTTCGTGTGTCTTTTCAAGAGACACCTTGTTGACATCAACCAGGAAGCAAAACAAGGCAGCGAGAGCAGTGTCCCCCCCCCCCCCCCCCTCCTCCTCCTCCTCCTCCTCCTCCTCCTCTCACCAACCACTATTCATACACCTGAGTGGATGCTGTGCCCAGCGCGTTCGTTCTAGACGGCGCTTCGGTGGGCGTATTGTCAGGGGCCCGATTTTGCCGGTTTGACGCCACATCCAATCAGTCATACCAAACCTAGGGTTTCGCCAATGCGCCCCGGCCGATATAGATTCATGTAAATCATAAAATACACAACAGCCAGGGTTTGAACTTTGGAAGAAAAAACTTGGGCGCCGACTCGACTCTTTTTGTCGGAGACAATAAATGCCTAGAAAAATGACTTTCTTTCGTCGCGATCTTTTTTTTATGATTACACTTAGTTGAACCTATCCAACCTTACAGAAGTGTCAGAGCAGGGGTGAGTAGACGATCCAATCGATAGAACTCCTATTGTATTTTTGTTTACGCCTTAAGAACAAAAACGATCGTAGCAATAATGGCCTACAAACAGGCCGCCGCAATGTTTCCCGCAAGGGTCTTTTTTTTTTTTGTGCTGGCTCAAGTCGAAGGAAGAGGTTCGTGGTGATTGTCGGGAAAAAAGAAATCAAACAGTACATTAAGAGAGCGTGTGTGTGTGCGCGCACATGGAATTGCATAGACAGATAATGAGGATGCTCTTATTGCTCTCATGAGAGGGCTACATACATTCATATAGTTACGCGTCCTGAGCGAGCGAGCGGGGCGAGACGAGCAAGCTCAATTTTAGGCTCTGTTTGAGGTGCCTCTTCCGCCGGAGACAGGGGGAGAGGGGGGCGAGGGTGAAGTTGATGTTAGCACTGTTTCGTGAACAGGAAGCGAAGGGTTGCTACCGCAATGACCTTCACCACGAATCAAGCATTGACATGACAGGTGGCAAACAATGTTGCGCTCGTTTTTTTTTTTTTTTTTTGCAAACTGAGCGAGCTAGTAGTAGATAGTAGTAGGCCTTTAAAAAACCTTTACGGAGACAAAAAGAATTATTGCTTGACAAGTCGCGATTTTCGTGCTAGGTCTCTGCGGAGCAAATTGCTTCGATTGTGCCTGAAGGTTAGGAACTCGTATAGGGGGGAGGGAATGGTCCCGGCCGGTATCATGGGGCAACACCACATCACCACTTGGTATGAAGGAGGGCACGGCGTGAGTTGTTCATCTCTCTCTCAAAAAAAAATAATGCTCGCAAGATGTGTAGTAAACCCCCGAGAGCCGTCGTTAATGCAAGGCGCTGACCCTCAGAAATACCACGTTTATTACTTTTCTCTAGTTACGATCGCTCATTTTTCATCGGCTTTAGTGTCGTGCTACAACAACAGTTACAGTTCCTGCTTACCCCAGCCCTTTCTTTTCTGTTCTTTTTTGGTAGGATTAGATGGGGTTCCTGAAGGGCCGTCCGTGTATGATCCATTTGCCTTGACAAGCACAAGCACGAGGATGATGACGAGAAGAGAGGCGCAAAGGGAACGAGTTTGAACTTGCTCTTGTTTTGCTCCTTCAGTTCAATATGCCGTCTCCTTTTTTTCCATCTGGGATGGGAGCAGCAACCCGTCGTATTTGTGTGATGGCAGTGATCTTTTTTGAGCAACACTCCTCATTCTCCCGTACATCCACCGAGAATGAGTGAGAGAAGCAAGCAGGCCATAAGGGGCTGCTTTCGTTAGTTCAAGGCTGGAGCGAACGGAATAAAAAAAAGTACACAGTTCGATAGCAGAAGAGTTTTTTTTTGTACATTGGTATATGCATTGTACAAACCCAAGGAACGGACGGACGGAGAGTGGGGACAGATCTTGAAGGTCATTGTTCTGGTGATAGATAGAACTGAGACTCAAATCGGATACTCATCCATTCGTCCATTCATTCATTCGAAGGAGGCCCGGATATCTAGGGCAGGTATTGGAATTATGTGGAGGATATCTTTGATGATGAAGATGATGATGATGATGCATCAAATCGGTTTCCATCCGCCCCGTGGCGGCGAATATAGGTTTTACGACAGATACGATTGAGATTGAAGCCCGCAGACTTGACTCGCAGGACTGGGACCGGGACTGGAAGGAAGGGAAGAAGAGCAGGACGAGCTCTAGGCCCTTTGTTCAATTGTTGTCTAGTCTCTGCATATATTATCCAACCCTAATAGTCCTAATGGTCTATTGGCCCAGGAAAAAAAGAGGGGCACACAGACATGCGATCCAGACGCTGTCTTCTGTGGTGCACTACAAGTATGTACTCAAGAAGAGGCGTAAAAAAAAAGGCGGTGGCAGGGCACAGTGGGAGTTGATGGACATGCCACATAGTCAACAGGTATATGGATCTTATAAGGAGCAGCTCTCTATTATTTTATTGGTATTGTTGTGTTATGTTATGCTATTGTGGGTAGACTATGTCTAGCGAGTATGTGAGTGTGGGTGTGTGGGTGTTGTTTGTTGTTTAGGGAATTGTTTACACTCTGGTTCTGTTTTCCCTTGGTCTGCCTTTGGGCTTTGTCGCGGCTCTTTGGGCGCGGACTCTCTTTCATACCCTTTTACATACACACATACACACATAATAAAGATACCACTGCTTCTTACATTCATATTCATATTTGATTTGATTGACTCGCACACCAAGCACCCTATTGACTACTACCGCCTACAGTTATACTGGACTGGGATGCCATTAGCCAACAGGAAAAACACATCCTCCCCCCTCCTCTCTTCTCTTCACTACATCAACTCCACCTCCACCTCCATACAAAGCCCTGTCCTCCTCGACCTGCTTCGCTGCCTCTCTCCCTCCCTCTCTCTCTCCCTCTCTCTCCCCCTCTCTCCCCCTCTCCATTGTTTTATTTCTCCTGCACCTGGACCACCGCCACCCCGCTGATCTATTCCCATTTTTCACTGCAGTGCCCTGAAAGAAAAGCGAAAGAGTGAGTGTGAGTGAGAGTAAAGAGCGAGCAGAGAAAAGAGACGAGTTTCCGGTCCCCCCTCTTCCCTTCCCTTCCCCTCCATTGACACTCGTGGTATATCCCCGTCCCCCCCGTCGCCGTCGTTCACGAGTCTCGTATGTATCCAACAGCAGCACCGCACAGCCATCTGCCACAGCAGCAGCCGAGGCACCAGAATCAGCACCAACATGTGCACCAGGGCCCCATGTCGATGATAGCACAGCAGCCCTCGTACCTGTACCATCATCATCCGACGCCACCATACCATAGCCAGGCAGAGGTATATCCAACCTACGCCAAGGGCCCGCAATCGCAACAGCAATACCGACAGGAGCAAGAACAGCAACAGCCGCATCCATCCCATCCCAAGTATCTCGCCACCCCTTCCAGCGCCTTCCATCAACCCTCTTCCACCTCCCGCTCCCGTCCTGCACCACCACATCGCCAGCAGCAGCCAGAACAGCACTACCAGCACCAGCAGCAACCACAGCATCTGCAGTCTGTCGCCCCCTTGGCCATCAACACCAAAATCCTCGCTCCTGTCTCATCCTCGGCGCAGTCTTCTCCATCAAGCAGAAAGCAGCAGCAGCACCAGTCGGTCGCCCAGCTCGCTGAGTTTGCGGCCCACATGGTATGCTATATGCTCTACGGTCATCAGTCCACGAGGAGACTGAGCCACAACCTCTGTGTGGGAACACCTCCCTCGTCCATGCCATCCTCGCCCCATCCAGGCGACAACTCGCCGCCTTGTCCATGCGAGGTCTGCAGCCGTATGACTCCATACTCAACAGCCCCATCAACGCCTCTCCCGTCCTCGGCACATTCTCGAGCACACCAGCATCAGCGCCTGTCAAGTCGGCCGACCCATCGGAGGATTATGTCCGAGTCGGATATTGTCCAGCCAAAGCCCGTGTTTCGTAAATTTTGTCTTGATGTCTTGAGTGCCACTCTTCTTTCCCCAAGCGTTGTTCTGCTGTCGCTCAAGTACATCCAGCAATTGATGATCAATCTCAAAGAGTCCAACAAGATCGTCAACACAGGCGAGGGCGCCGAGTATCGTTTCTTCACTGGTGCACTGATTCTCGCCAACAAGTTCTTGGACGACAACACCTTCACCAACAAGACTTGGGCGGATATCACAGGCATGAAAATCAAGGACGTGAACCACCTCGAGATGCAGTTTTTGAATGGTATTGACTTTCGACTCTTCACCAGCTCGGATCACTACTCGGAATGGCTCGCAAATCTGACCCAGTTTACCAGCAACTACATGCCGTCGCAGCATCAGGTGGCTTTCCAACAGCAGGTGGCTGCAGCCCAGTCCCCAATCTCACCAATGGACTACACCAGCACTCCAGTGGAGCCAAACTTTGGACTAATGAGACAGCATGGATCAGCATTGGTCGGCAGCCAGGGATCCCAGACGACTGCTCCAGTTGCACTCTCAATGGCTTCGATTTCTCATTACATCGATTCGGTAAAGCAGATCCACCAAAAGACAGCCTCCACTATGCGCTACCAGCGAGTCCCCGCTTCCACGATGTACAGCCAGCAGAGTCAAGCACTGGTCACATTAGCAGCACATCCCTCTCAGTCCCAGTACATGAACCTGCCTGCTTCATCCAAAGTGCAGCAGGCGTCTGCAACTGGAGTATACCAAGGACCAACTGCGAACTGCAACTCCTCACCAATTCCAATGTCATACACCTATCAATCAGGAGCCCCAGAATCCGTGCAGCGTAAAAGATCAGCCAATGCCGCGTTTGAGGATGCCATGGACCGCTCGCCCTGCTACGAATCTGACTCTTTGTCTCGCACATCCCAAGTGCCCGCCATGGTGCCAACACATAAACGGTTCTCTTCGGCTTCGTCGGTGAGCGCATTAATGGGCATTGGTGCTGGACAGGACATGGTGCACGGAGGACCTTCACCTTTGATCCAACAGCAGCGTAATCACCCGCAATCAACTTTCTCTCACCGCGCCAGTGTCGGATCCCTGCCAACCTCATTCAGAAGCCAGCATCAACGCAGTGCATCAGGAAGCTACTGCGTCGACATGGCTGGATACTCGTCTTCCTATGGCCAGGAACCGACTCACCTCCCGATGGCTATGCCCAACACGTTCTCGCGATCGGGGGTCGTACACCCATTGGACAAGGAGCAGGACTATTATCGCCCATCATCCAGGATGGACGTCTCATACTCGGGCTCGCATCCTATGCACGTGAGGACTACATCGTCGGCGGGATGCACACAAGGCTACCGCCCTGTGACACCACCCCAGTGCTCCCCCAACAAGTGCGAACCATCCTGTCAGTCGATGAGATGTGCCCCGAATTCCAACAATGGATCAGCGTATGAGGTTGACCCACGTCTGTGGGGCCCCCTGGACAGCCTTTCACTCTACGCTATCACAACTCAGGCTGCTAAGCGTGTCGTGGCTCAGAGTAAAGCTCTGTCGGCCTCCGCAAATGGACTTCACATGTATTACCCCACCACCTTGGCCTAAAGCTTGCGCGTTTCAAGTTACCTGGCACATCTTTTTTTTTTATATTTATCTCGTTCATTTGAATAGCTCAATTCCCTTGTACTAGTTATTCTTATCTTTCTATTGCTCCAACGCTTCCCTTCTTTTGGCTTTTTCTCTGTAAAATATATCCTTCGTTTAGTCTCTACTTCCCATTTCTTGTAGCATAGCCTCCGATTCTTGCATGTTTCTTTCACCAATTGTGAAAATAAACCATTCGAACGCCTCAATTGTTTATGAATATATCAGTTCTCGACGCACAATTTTTATTTCCATGAGTCTCTGCATGGTTCCTGCCTATGATCTTTGACGATTCTTCAATAAGTTACGCAAGGTCGCAGGCAGCTCTGGAGCCGAGGTTGTTGCTGTAAATGATGTTGCTGCTTCTTGTCCCTGTTGCTTGGCGTCCACCTTTTCGACAAGATGCTCCAATCGGCGGTATATAATCTCGGCATTCTGAAGTGTTTCCTCAAGATCAATTGTCATACTCAAGTCGTTGACATACTATGCATGGGCATAAGAGAGTCGCGTTAGTTAAAAAAAAAAACTCGAAAATGAAACTAGCATACATGAATGCATGCATATATGAGTATATGAGTATCAAAGAAAAGAAGCGGGGTTTGACGGACGTACCTTCAAAATTTCGTCAAAGCCTTGCAGATGATCCATCATGACATCTCGGTGTTTATCAAGAATCGCCATTGCCACAAACAGATGGAACTGGGTCGAGAGATGGTCTGAGAAGAGGACTTCCCAGAGCCGCATGATATCGACCCACTCAAATTCGCGTTTGTACCAAATAAGGAGCCAACGGAAGCAGAAGAACAGATTCAACGCCTCGCATTTTTCTAATTAAAAGCCAAGAACAGATTCAGGTGTTCAATCAGGGGCAAACAAAAGTGAATGAGTACATGGTAAAAAGAAAAAAAGAACGATACTGATTTGTTGATATAAAAACGTTTAAACCCCTTACCAAGATGTCTGTAAAGCTTTGGATCCAGCACCTGGATCAGTTTACCTAGAGTCTCAAGCTGGCTCTGCATTCCGACTTGGTCCCGATAAAAGTTCTTCTTGGTCTTCTCCATCAATCCGACAAACGCCCAGAATCCCATCACCTCATCGCCCATGACCGCAAAGACAGGCGCCAATAGATCCGACATCCCTTGCACATATCCCTCCAAATGATTTGCCTCCGCAGACGCGGTTGGTGGTGATGCTGATGAGGTAGACGAAGTGGTCACCGTCGTTTTCACAGGCGATGGTGATGTGATTTGCTCCGATGACGATCCCTTAGCGGCCCAGACATTATAAGTCAAGAGGATGTCCTTCAATAGCTCCAAATTTTCATTCGATCCAACGCCTGTGAAATCTCCTGCAGGATTGGGCAGCGTCTCCGAGGCAAAGAATGAGATGGTACGATCGGTACGATGAACGTCCTTTTCGATTCGCAATTTTTGCTCCTGGAACGTTTCAGTCTCTTGAACCGCAGGGTCGTCGAACCACTCCCGCTTGAGCGCATAGTACTCCTCTCTGAAGGAGGAAAATAAAACAGATACAGCGATATGTTAGTTCCTCCGCTTGCATTCAACGTTTCGCAGACACAAATCGCTTTTGATCTACTATCGCAGTCCTTACGCCTTTGTGGTCCGGATAACGACGCGCTCGGCTTCAGTAGAGTCCCATGGATAGATGCCCAAAAAGAACTTCCAGACCTCGATCCTGATATCGTGATCGATTCCTCCGCGGAAGACTGCTTCGCGGACCTGTGCCTCCGATACGATCAGTCGTCCCATATCGTCGAAAAAGGCGAACCAATCCATTGGTGACAGAGGATCTGTCCTGGTGTGGTGGATCATCGAGCACTCCGTTTCAAGCTAGGGTCATTACAGGGAAGAGTTGCGAGAGCAAAATGAGAAGGGCGGGCAAAACACAAAAAACATAAAGGAAGCGGATCAAATCATTTGCATGTGCTTCAGTATGTAAAACTCACGTCAAGCACGTTGAATGCCCCGAGCGGCCCCTCCTCATCCTCGTGATCATTGATACGACGTCCATGGTCCCCGTGAGCACGGTGCTTGCCAGAAGGCGATGAACCAGAGTGAAGTCGGTCCATTTCACGGGTCTCTCGGCGCTCACGATCTCCTTGATCCGCGACGGTCGCAGCCCATTTCGCTAAATAAACACGAGCGGAATCATAATCATCCATGACCCTCTTCGCAGCCTCAGAATCCTGGATACGCTGCTGCACATGAGGAGGCAAAATCTGCTTCGTGATCGGATGGTCGAGAATGTTCGTAGCCGCATCTCTGGAAAACCTGGCGACCTGTGAGAACCGCTCCAGGATATTCCATCTCATTTCCTTTACGGTCTAGAGTAAACGAAATTTGATTCCTGTGTTAGACAAAATATCGTCCAACCATGGCTTCAGCATGACAAAATATACACTTTCTTGTAGACACTTACGTTCACAAGAGGATCGATATGGTTCTCAAAGGGCAGAGGCGTCCGTGGACGAGCAGTTTGCGTCCCATTTGAGCTGTTAGTAGCTCCGGGTACAGGCGAGCCAGAGACTGAGGCTGACAGCTGCTGACCATCAATCGCCTTGCTCCTACCATTCTCTACAAGAGATCGCCGTCGACGCATGCCCTCGACCGTTATAGGACCGGTCGTGGTTGATGCCGAAGTCTTGTTGGATTCTTCATCATGTGAATCGTGAGAGACTCTGTCGGCTGGTGCTACAGGCAATGGATTGGTTTCCTCTAGTGCAGGGTATAGTCTCTCCTCCTGCACAGTCTCCTGCAACGGATGTTTATCGACACTGGGCGAAAGAGGGTGTGGGGGTGAGGCAGCTCCATGGTTAATTTTGTCCGCCTGCGTTGCATTCACAAGATATACTCCAGGCTCGATCGCGCTCCCGACCACGTCCACGCACTTCTCCATCGTACGCAAGAGCTCCTCTCCACCCCAGACAGGTGGTCCTCCAGCATTTGCCTTCCCCTTTGAAGCCAGTCCTTCATCATGAAAATAAAATGCAGGCAGGGACTCTCCGCCGATTAGATTGACGATAATGGAACCATGTCGATCCTTGACACGCGGAGGATAGACAAGAAGCGAGTAAATATTCCGCAGTGGGATAGAAACGGCGTAATCTGAAGGATGGAATGATCGGCGTCTTGGATCGGGCGATCGAGGAGGAGCCACGAACGTGGTGACTAAAATTGATGGCGGAGACATGTATTATTAACACCATCCAGCACTCAAGAAGGCAATCCAGCCTCTCTCTGTGATGCCTACACATACCGTCGTGATCATCTTGACCGGAGATATCGACATACGAGTCCTCGTCAAAGCCAGGGATGGAGGCCTCGGGGGTCCACGACATAATGTGCTCATAGTCGACCTAAAAATTCATCACACGCGCAAGAGATGTTAGCAATAACAAAAAAGGAAAAACCGCACGATTCAAACAGTAAAGGGAAAAAAGGATTTGGATGGAAGATGCCAAGAACACAGCTTGCCAAGCCGTGGGTAATGTTAACTCTTCGTCTGACTCCTTGGCAAGGGCGCATTTTAAAAAAGAAAAATCGAGCATGTCCAGTATTCAATGATACGTGGCCTTACCGTTTCGATCAATGAAATGAAGCCGGGCATGCCATCCTTGTTGTCTGCTGTTGTTTTGACAAAGACCTTTGGCCGTGTGAATAGCAAGTTTGGCTGAGCAGAGTGCTCCAGCTGGATAATGTTCAATGAAAATGATAGATGTTTAATCCTCGGGTTGAAGAGACTCTCGAGCGTAAGTAAGCACAGCAGGCTGACAGAAGTACCAACGCCAACGTACCTCAAGATCCTCCATCTGGGCAATCAATGGGTCGCTCTCCATATTGGCGGCTAGGTTAGGTGGCAAAAGGACTTGCAGTGTACAGGAGGGAAGGGGGGGCACCAGCTCTGCGGTCGTGACTTGTCAAAGAAGGATATGGTGCGTGCGAAGTGGTATGAAGTTGTTGCTGCTGAGCGTCAGGGGAAGAGTGGGATAAAGGAAAAAAACAAAACAAAAACGAGAGTGGAATAAGAAGCAAGAAAGTGTGAGGGGTGGTGAGATTGTATTGGCGGCAAAAGGGAATGGAGAAGAGTCGACAGAATGATCATCGAGGAGGCACCTTGGAGGGCGGGGAGTGCCAAGCAATGGGATTGGTTTAGGGATCTGGGCGAATCGCGAGTGCTGCGACCCTCAAACCCTGCCCACCGCACCCGTGGCACCTTCCTCTTTTGTCTGCAGTCGATGTCAGTCAGATTCGAGTCCGTCTACGTTCCGCGGAACGTGGGGGGGGGGGGGGGGGGCAATTGAACCAGGCCAAGGCCTTCACTGTCCTCTGATGCTTCTATGTCAAGGACACGGCCACTACACCCAGCCCACAGACAACCATCCGCGCCGCCGTGTGGATGCCGTGCCCATAGCCAACCGTTTTAGGAACGTCCCCTTGTTGGGCCATCGACCGACCAGAAAAGCATAAACTAATCTGAGCCAGAAAATGTCAGACAACTCTTCTCTCTTCTCCCTTTCTTTACCTGCCAAAAAAAAAAAAAAAAAAAAAAAAAAGAGACCCGAGTCTGCCGTGCTCACATCCCTCCCATCCATCTGCAACTAAGCAGCCTACAAGTCCATCCTATATTTGGCAGCGATGGGAGCGCAGCCTTCAAAACGCACCAGAGTCTCTTCTCGGCCAACAGCACACAGGGAAGTAACTTCGCCCGACGGTGCAGGCACGCACCAGATCCACAAGGATCTCCATGACCTCTCGCTGTCGTCGCAGCCGGACGCATCATCCAATTCCGAGCGGAGCTCTGGTCAGTGGACAGAACAAAACGATTCCCAAATCACCGGCGAGACCCCAGCGGGGGCCACTTCAGAGTCGGTCGCCAGCTCCAAAAGCAATCTCTCTTCTTTCTTGAACTCAATAATCGGCAACAATTCTGATGGCAGCACTAAATCTGAGCGGAAGGACGATAAGGGCCAGAAACTAAGCGATCTTCAGGAGCAAAAACAGCAAAAGAAAATCAACAAACGGAACCAAAAGATGCAACAACAGGCAGCAAAGCAATCCCGAAAGCAGCAACAGTCGCCAGGACCGTACCAACATCAATCCGCTTCGTCAACATGGTCTACTCTCGCCACGACTTTGTCGTCTTCTTCAAAAGCCCTCTCGTCCAGGACACGAAGCGCCAGCGGAGTGCTTTCAGCCATGAGCGTCCCCTCACCCACCCCAGGCAATGCAGTGTCCTCTACATCTCCAGGTCCACAAGGTCTGTTCTCTTTAATGTGGATATGTCCTCTGAAACCTCTGAATCTCTGAACCTCTGATATTCCACAGAAAAGCACGACTAACCTTCCCAATTGAATTTCGGCCACTAGGAGGTGGAGACACAGACCAATCCAGGCGGCTTGCTTGGTCCACAGCGGCCAATGCGTCGCAGCAGGAAACGAAGCCCTCAAAACTAAGCTTCATCCGTGGCAAACCTGGCTTCGCGTGGTTGGAGAAGCGGCTGCCTCCAGCATCGTCTGGCCTGGACGAAGCGTCGTTGAGCAATATCTACTGGAGCTACCAACAGGGTCAGCTCTTAGATGAGATGGAGACCGAGGCGGCTAAGGGCTACATGGACAGGTATGCTCTTTAGTCTCGGCTAACCATGCTTGCGCATGCATCTCCTCCATCCTTGGGCTCACGTAGTCCAGTTTGGTTCAGACACACTTGGCTCACTCTTTTTTGTTTTTCTTGCTAATGCACCATCCATTCACGGCTACATAGGGTAACCGACCAGCATTACTTGATGAAAGATGTCATGGGCGGCAACTATCATGCGCCGATTGATCTAACTTTTAAGCGCGTTCTGGAGAACGGATGCGGTGCCGGAGATTGGACCATTGTAAGTGCCCTTGCTCATGGCAGTGTTGATAAATTCGTGGATTGTGCAACATCCCTTGATTCTTTGGACCTGTTCCCTGAGATTGGTAACACATAGTGGCAACCGCGGAATCAGAAGGAATACACAAGGGGCTCAGATAGCAGCGGCCCTGGAATGTTATTTCTGTAGATCATACCATGCGATCCCCAACAGCAATGGTTGTTACCTAAGCAGACATTTGCATTGAGACGTCTCTATCTTTTTGGACGATATAGGACATGGCGAGCGAGATGCCTGAGACCGACTTTGTGGGCTGTCCGCAGATCATGTTCACCGTATCGAACGCCGAGCGGGACAATCTCGCTCCACGCCCGCGTGGCCTCCTAGGGGCCGATCAGTCGCAGCAGGGCTCGACCCAAGGGTCAAGTCCATCCAAGGGTGCAAGTGCCACTGTCCGGCCCACCCTCCGACCACGCAACTGCTACTTCCATTCCGAGGTACCTCTCAATTGTCTACCTTTTCCCGACGAACACTTTGATCTTGTGTATCAGCGTCGGCAAAACGTAGTTCTCCTGGCGACAGAGTGGCAGCGAGCCGTTTCGGAACTCTTTCGGGTCCTCAAGCCGGGTGGATGGGTGCAGATTTTAGAGCCCGACCTGTCTCTCCGCGGTGGTGGGGACCTTTGCCGGATGGCTGGCGAATACTGCGTCAGAATGTTCGAGCTTACAGGACGCAATCCGAACGTGATCCATGAGCTGCAGTCACTGCTGGAGAGCGCTGGATTTGCCAATGTAACGGTCAAGATATGGTCGATTCCGCTTGGCTGGGGAGGTGTGATTGGACAGGCCATGCTGGTTAACCAACGTCAGTTTGTGAACGAGATGGAGCCGATCTATGTGCGTCAGGGCCATGGCACCTCAGAGGAGTATCGTGGTTTGACCAAAGGAATCTTTGACGAGGCCGTGGAGAGGAAAGCCTATATCAACTATCATGTGGCTGTAGCGCAAAAGCCAATGTCGATTCCGGAAACGGGTGCCACAGAATCGCCCAATATCCACTGCTCGACGTAGACGGACGTCTGTGGGACCAACGCGAGATGAAGGGTTACGGCAGACCCCTTCATCGCACTAGTCTTGGTCCAAGCAGTGGTAATTGGAACCCTCAGCGTCTTCCATGCAAACAACCATCCTATGTCGTCCTTTAGCCGTACCAGTATATATTTGTCCATATTCGCTTCGAAATCCCAACTTCTAGAGGCATCCTGTGTTCACCGTTTAGAAGACCTTTGTACAAGAATAATAGAATACAACTAATAGTCCATCATCCCCCGAAAAGATGTAGCTGTCTCCGGCGCCTTGCAGGACGTGTGCTACCTATTCCAGCTCCTGTTCCAGTCTCAAGCGCGGCACCTATGATCCATATCCGAGGCTCCTGCACAACGTCAACTTGCTGATCCAGCCTTGGCGTATATATGCGTTCCTCTGGGATGTAATAATAAATGACAAAATGCAGCTTTTTTAATGGTGTAGTTGCGCAATCGTGTTTGACAAAGTTGAAGGTTTCTAGCTGTTGAGCTTTGTCTTGTACCTATATAGCCGCAAATGAAGAAAAAGGTCGATAGTGTTAAATGTGGCGTCCATTTGCAATGTTGTGTGCGGAAACTTCAATTGAGAAGAACAGCTCCCAAGCGATTATACAATGGTGATACTTACGCGCACTTCGGACATGTGTAAAACACAGTTTGACCTTCATCTGCAGAGCGCAGCTGCATGGTGTGATACTCCATCTCAGGGTTGCCACACTTTGGACAAGGCTCCTTGACCTAAGAGTTCAGAACAGTACAGAGAAAAAAATACGATGGAACCAGAGCATGAGTCTATCACATCCTCGGCGTCCATTTTTCCACGTCGGAAGTACTTCAGAAACCAGACAATACTAATGCTGCTGCGGCGTCCTTGATGTCGCTCTGAACATCATCCCGCTTATTCCTGAGTGTAGAAGGGAAGGCTCCGGGTTTACTAGTTGTCACAACCTCAAAGTTCTCAAAATCTAGACGGATCGAAACAAGCGACATGTTAGATCCGAGGTTTGCGATACTAGTCCATTGAACAGGAGGCGAGGGTCAAATTAATCCTTAGCTTACCGATACTCTGGTGGGTGTAGCTGCAGAGGTTGCACACAATAAGATCGTCCTCACCTGGGATATCGAGCAGATTGCCGCACTCTGGGCAAAAAATGAGTGAGCCAACCTATGAACAGCCCAAGTGTCGAGCGTTAGAAGGGATGAAGGAATACCGAGCAGAGTGCAGAGAGAGGCAAAGACATACAGTGTCAGGCTTCAAGGAGGGTGTGGACTTGGACATGGTAGTGTGGTGTGTTGGGAGGAGAAGTGCACAACGAACAACAGAAAAAAAAAAAAAAAAAGAGTGAGAGAGCCATTGTTGTTGATCGAGCTATGACAGTCACGAATAGTAGGGAGAGGAAAGATGCTCGAGTACGCGGCCTTGCACGAGAGGCATGCTCTCAGGAGCAGGTGTCAGTTCTCTTCATCCCCATCCACCATGAATACCTTGTCAAAGACCTTTGCAAACTCAATGTTCCAGGCGGCCAAGCGCCCTGCCATCACTATTGCTCGGCAGATGAGCGTACTGAGGTTTGGCGCTCAGCATCAGGCCAGTACCCACCCGAATATCTTCTCAGACTGGTCGCAGGAACCTCAAGCACAGACACTGGTTCCCTTTGTTGTTGAGCAGTCTGTAAGCACTTCGACCGCAGGGCAGGATACGCGGAATCGATGAGCTGGACTACGAGGAATCGAGAGAGCAAATCTTTGACGACATCTATCGTTTGTTCATCTCTCTCCTTCTTTTCGCTTTCATGACGGTGACCGTGATAGGCTCGCGGCGAACGATCATACGATATCTTTTCGCGTTTACTTAAAGAACGGATCATCTGCCTCAATGGAACTGTAAGATCCAGCTGAGGTTATCCTGGACATGTTTAATTTTGAGAGTTGTGCAAATTGGACTCCGCGTGCATACCCTTCCTGACTTTACTCTTGCTTTGTTGGACGTCTCTAGGTGCATGATCATTCCGCGGCACTAATCGTGGCGCAACTTTTGTTCTTGGAGTCCGAGAATCCAGAAAAGCCTATCAGCCTCTACATCAATAGTCCAGGAGGGAGTGTCACTGCAGGGATGGCGATCTACGATACTGTATGTGCAGCTTAACTGCCATGTCAACAAGGAATACCCCTGTACTGTCACTTGAATTGGGATTTAATAGAACTAACATGTGGTTGTTCTCGCTTGTTCTTTAATACAGATGCAGGTAAATGATTCTCTTGGAGCGGTTTTGCGGACAAAAACTACCGCGCAAAATCGGCCACGGCGTCGCGGTTTGATTACACCTTGTTATTTCTCCATAAAAACATTGATATCGTCTGCCGCCTGTGTTTGGAATTGCCGTATAGTATATCAAGTCCCCTGTTTCTACGCTCTGCAATGGTCAGGCTTGCTCTATGGGATCACTGCTTTTGGCTGCTGGTGAGCCCGGAAAAAGATATGCGTTGCCCAACGCAAGTATTATGATGCACCAGCCCAGTGGAGGAGCAAGCGGACAGGCCAGTGACATTGCCATCCATGCCCGGGAGATCTTGCGGGTCCGCGAGAGGCTGAATAGAATTTACCAGAAGCACTGCAACGTCAAAGACCTGGAAGCCATTGGTATGTCCTGTACTACCTCTATCCTTTCGTTCTCTTTCCTATGTTTTCTTTCTATTTTGCGTTCACGTTATATCCATGTTCTCATTACTTTCTGGCATGATTTGATAACAATAGAGAGGGCCGTTGAGAGGGACCACTTCATGGACGCCGAGGAGGCGCTCAAGTTTGGACTGATTGACAAGATCCTGGAAAAACGACCGGAATCAGTCAGCGTTTGACATGCCAATAAATTATCCGCTTTCACCAGAATGAAACCCGAAATGCCGTGTTTTTCTGCCCTTGAAGAGACCGCCATGAACTGTGCATATCCAAAGAGTTGGCACTTGGACTGGACATGGCTTCTCTCTGCAAGGAGCTGGTTTTTTTCAAAACATCATGTCCATTTACCCCGCTACATGGAGCACGCAAGATCAAACTCTAAACTGTATCGACGCACAAATGATGCTCTCAATGGGCGCTGTCTTTTTTTGACATCCTGCCCCGAGTCAAGAACTTTATACCGATGCGGTACTCACCGCTCGCTCGAAAGATGACAAACCTGTCAAAATTTTCTATGACAACTCTTTGACAGGAGGGTCCCCGGACAATTGTATAAAAAACTGCCGGGTCCCTTGCCTGCCCCTCCTCTTCCTTAAAGCCCCTCACTCTCAACGTCCTCGACCCCTCTTCTTCTTTCTTCTCCATCCTCCTTTACTTCCTCCTCCCCTTCTACTTTCCTACAAGCAACTTGACTACAAGATGAAGGTCCTCTCGCTCGCCGCAATGCTCCTCTGTAGCTCTGCTGCCATGGCCCATTACATTCTCGACTACCCTCAGTCCCGTGGGTTCGACGACGACAAGGAACCCACCGCACCTTGCGGAGGATTCGACACTGTCGGAAACCGCACACAGTTCCCCCTGTGTAAGTACTGCTGTACATCCTTGTCCTATCCTTCCAAATGTGAACCATTCCCAGCGTGCTAATCTACCTGCTCTGTGCTTCCCCCATACTTCAATAGCCAACGGATTTCTTGAGATTGAGAGCTTCCACGTAAAGGCCGATATCAAGATTAATGTTGCCTATGGAAACGCTCCCTCCGCTGCCGACTTTACGACCGCTGCTGCCACTCCTGCCAGCTCGATCTCCATCAACCACCCTGGCCTCGCCTGCCTACCCCTGGACCTCTCCTCTTTCAATGGTGCCGCCAACAATACCAATGCTACCATCCAGGTCGTCTACAATGGCGGCGATAGCCCTCTCTATCAGTGTGCAGATGTCGTCCTGGTCACCTCCGCCCCTGCTTTCAACCAGTCCATGTGTGTGAACAACAGCAACTCGTCCCCTAGCCCTTCGACAAGCGGCTCCGGTACTTCTCCTACCAATACCTCCGAGGCTGGAGCTGCTCTCTCAGCGAAGGGCATATTCACGGCTGCTGTGGCCGTGCTGTTGACCGCTGCTTTGGCTCTCTAGATGCGCGAGATTGTAGCAAAGAAAGCACGCGCCCATAAACATATATATATGTATCATATTTACACATAGTTCATCGTAATAAATCGTCGCAGACGCAGACGCAGAAAACATACAGTCTATCACATATTTTTGGATGCTTTGTAGACGTGTTCAATTGTAGTCAGCGCGGCTATTGTGCTATCATGGAGTCCAGAGATGACGGACGACCAGTCCATTCTCGGATCATTGTTGTTGGCGAGAATGATTGGCTTGTCTTCAATCTCGCTGACAAAGTCTCTTTTTTTGCTGACGCCGTTGTCGGCGCTATAATATTGACGCCCGCGCGTTCGTGCTCAAGCGATTTTGAGATAAAAGGTCAGTCCATTCCCCACGCAATGGTCCTCTGTGCTATTCTCAACCTCAAGCCTTTTATTGCAATGCCATCCATCTCTGGCCAAGTCGTTTCCTCGTCTAGACAAGCTGCAGGTCTTCCTGTTCCCATCGAAATTGGACCCAACAGCCGTCTAATTATCCAGTTGCTCGACGTCTCTTTGATGGATGCCCCTTCTGTGACCCTCAGTGAGGAGACCATCTCTACTGGTCCCTCCGGACACTTGCGCTTCCCGATCCCATACAGCTTGAGCTACGACCCCAGCCAGATTCAGCCGTACCAGAGCATCTCTATCTCTGCCAGTGTCGTCGATACATCTGTAGACGACGAGACCCTTACCTGGATCTCGACCATCAGGCACTCGGTCCTCACTCAGAACAATCCTTCGAACAATATCGATATCGAGATCGAGTTTATTGCAGATCGCGCTCCTGCACCATGGAGCACGCTCTCAGGCACGATTGTCGCGTCGGAAAAAGCGGAAGCACTGGGCTCTGATGGGATCGGCATTGGTCCTAATAGCAAGATCCTGGTTCAGCTCCGAGACGTTTCGCTGATGGACGCGCCCTCAGTCTTGATAAGCGAGCAGGTCATCACAACCGAACGAGAGGAAACCAAGGCCTTCCCGATCAAGTTCTCTCTCCAGTTTGACTCCAAGGCCATCAACGAGCGCAACATGTACTTTGTTAGTGTTCGAATTCAAGACTTGCAGTCGGACGACTTGAAGTGGATTTCGATGTCTTCGCATGCAGTCTTGACGGGAGGAGAACCGAGTGATGATGTTGTGGTTGATCTGGACCTCATTCGGTCGTAAACCGCTTTTGAAGCAGCGACACACTGACCATGATATAATAAAAGAAAATGCACAAAATGACGTGCTGCAATTCTGTAGACCGCTCTGCGTTGGATAGCGTCGACATAGGATCGGGGACCTACATCAAGACAAAGTTATCAGAAGGAAAAAGTTCCCAGACGTACAGGCCAATCGACGCAACGTTCTCACGCCATTACAGCCTACCACGTTATTGTTGCTGCTGTTGTGATCGCTTGCTGTTCCATGGACCTACACTAGGCAGGGCTCCTTTACGGGATAGAACTGTCCGTCTTTAGGGTTTCCTCTCCCTTCCAGTTTCTATGGCTTGGCACCCACATGTTTGTGCAACCCTGAGCAATCATTCGCCATATCTCACAGGTATGGGGTGTTATCAAAATCGCTTGCTTGGAGACTTTATGCTCGCAAACCAATACGGTCCACATGTAGCACACATGTGTCCAGTATCCGAGACAGGAACCGTGCTCTTTCGAGCAGTTCTCGATTAGACAAATCTGTCCCCTGGAATGATCCAAGCAATCAGCGTCATCTCAGTGCATTACAGACTGCATGGCTGCGTTCTTAGCGGCCCTTCTGTCTATTACTTTTTTTTTTGTTGTTTTTCAGGCATACAGACCTTCCATGGACTCCTTCCTCGTTCGGTTGTCTGCACAACCCCTTGCGAACCCCAGGTGCTGTGTGAACATTTGCCAACGGTAACTGAACTAAAAAAAAAAAGTTCCGCAATCGTATTGTGAAGGGATCCTTGGTGAAGGAGCCAATGGGATATGTGTGTACGTGTAACCAAAAGTAAGGTTAGTCCAACGGTGTGGGGCAAAACAAACAGATGATGATGCACCTGTTTCTAATTTACGCGGGGGAGAGAGGGAAACTCGGACTGTACCAGGATGTAAGTATAAGTGTCCGGTCTATATACGGTGGTCAGAGCAGAGATGTCAGGAAACATCGTTCTTTAATCCAAGTGCAGCACAAAGTGCGATCTAAACCGCTCCGTCGCATTGGCTTCGAATATGATTGCTGCGTCCGTCCGATACGTCGAAGATTTTAAACTTCAGCAGTAGTGGGCTTGATCGGCCTTTTCTTTGGATCGGCGCGGACGAACAATTGCGAGTAAGACCTTCAAACACCTTAGCGCCCTATGTACATTAGTATCTCAACCACTCACAGGGAAGTTGGCACTAGCATTAAGATGGGCACCGTGCCCTTTCCGGAAGCAATCCCAATTCTTTCCAGTGGTGGTCGGTGCCAAAAAAAAAAAAAAAAAAAAAAAAAAGACAGATGATGTCTCCGCTAAATCAAACGGCCAAATGAAAAAAGAAGCGTCCAGTTTAGTTGCTGAAGAACAATATGGCGAGGGTCCAAGGCACTACTTCCGCAAAGGAGCGAGAAGGATAGTAATCGGGAGGGAGATAGTTCCGGTCGTAGGTGTATGCATGCGGATGAAAATAAAGATGGATCGAGAACAACAGCAACACGAACCAAAACAGGCAAGCAAAAAACAGAGGGCCTGCAGTCTTCATGCACACATGCAATATACGTTGCATCAATGGAGACGTCTTTGTTTGTTTGTTGAATGACTTGGTCTGATCCTCTGGGCGAGGAAGGCCCAAGATCCCATGCCCATTAGATGAGCTAGCCGCCTAGTCATGAACAACGCTGCTGCCAAAATATTCCGCTTATGAACCATGACATCCTTCGATTTCTTCGCCAATTGTGCTTTTGGCCATGACTTTTCTAACCAAAAGCGACGACACGACTACGTGATCTACCCTCTTTTATGAGTCCGCTCCTTTCTTTTCTTGTTGACATCGAATCGCCGTGAGGGGTGAGGATGTACCTCTTATTTGTTTGCATGAAGAAAGGAGGTCGCAAGGGACAAAATACTGAGCGGTCCTACATGCACACAAGCACACGTACAAAGAATTCCACATGGCCCCATTGATGTACACGTTTCCCTGAAGCTCCTTGATCTCTGAACCACCCGCCTCGTGCGCATAGTGTCCGCTAAGTACTGCTCCTTGGCACTTCGGTTGATGTCAAGCAGGTGCTTTATAAGCTTGACAGATCAGAAGGATGTAATATTCATGATAATGCGTTCATGCCCCGTTCTCAACATCCACTCCTAATGCTAAATTTACTTACAACGGGGACTGGATCCTAGAAAGTATCCCTAAATTCCGCCCGATGCACGATGGTGCTTACCGCTGCATGGGAAGCAGAGCATACGGTTTGCCCCTGCGCTTCCTTTTATAATTAGAAAGAGCTATCTGTTGCCCGCCAGCTCACCCCGCCCTTGGTGTATTAAACAACTTCATTTGCTGATGATGAAACATGTACCAAACAACCACGTTTCTGTACAAAAAAAAAAAAAACGTGGATCTTAGCTTAGATCTAAGAAGATCAGCAACTTGACCAGCCGGCTCACGTTTTGCTGCACTGATGTATATCATTAGGAGAATGACGCTGTGCGTAGGATAGGCTACTTGATATGGAACTGATGCTTCCTGAGAGATACTTACGTGATTGTCCATGGTACTATCAGATTCAGAGATCGTGCATGTATTGGCCGGTCCTGAACTCCTTCTTGTCCAGTCATCACACAAGACCTCTGCTCGTGTGGCCATTAGTGACCCGATCTCGTGTTTTGTCTAGGTGTTCGTTTGCACACGGAGCATAAGGGATTGGATACACTGAATGAGAAGATGAGCAAGATGTTGGCGATCGTAGAGCGAGATTTGTTGATTTGAGCTCAGTATTCGAATGAAAAATTGCCCTCTTGTCCATGTTGCGACTACGAAGCGACTCACTGGCCAGTGTTTATTTTACGTTTGACCGCACTTGAAAACCAGACAATAAATACATGCGTTCCGCGATAAATGGCCCAGCTTAAAGTGTGCTATGCATTTGGAAGGATCCCGGTGAGAACATCACCATCAGATGCCTGATCGCCGCCTTGGAGTCATTTCTGCCACTCGCTTGCACTCCCGGTGAAAAGCCGCAGGAACAGCAAATGAACACACGCACACAAAAAAACGAGTGCCCAGCTGCAAATTCATATCGATCTTTGCTCCTAAGGCACACAGGAGTACAAAAGAAGAAGAGAGACTCGGTTTATATGAGGAGGGTTGCTAAACCGCGGTGTGGGGACAAAGTAAAGAGCACTTCGCATTTATTCAGAGCTATGTTTATCGATCTTTAAGGAACTTGCAAGGCTAGTGCCGAACGAAGCAGGAGCCCAGAGTAATAACAATACAAGAGCAATCCACCTTGTGCGACAATGGTCAAAGAGCATGCCAATGTACGTGAAAGCAAGAGGAAGATATAGCGCGCTGCCGCCTACTTGAATAGATGTGTCAAACAGGGGAGTAACATCATTTTGACATCCACTCTTGATGCTGTGTATCACTGAATGCGAGCCGAGAACGCGGCTAAAATGATTGCATCGAAGCGTAAATGCTAGTCCAACACATAGTCAGTGCATCGGACTCGCAAATGGGGGTCTTGAATTTGGTCTGATACCCTTCTGTTGCATGGAGAGTGCGACAAGATCCTTCTTTTGGAATCGCGAACTTGTGTGTCATGGGTACATAAAGCAGCCAGGAACCGTATTATCGCAATAGGAGCGAGGTCTTTGGAGACAACTCTACGGGATCCATCTTCAACTTGTGTGTGAATTTTTTTTTGTCCCTCTCCCCCTGGGTTCGGGCTCTCGCCTTTATAGCCGCCCAGGTGTAACCGAACGGATATCCATATACACCTCACAAACAAGTGTTCATCTTCTTTTCATTAAGTTGCACGGTTATGTTCTTATGCTTTGACGAAGGCACCCATTACGACCTGCAATGCCTGTGGTCAGCGCCGAGCCCTTTATTTATGCTGGAGAAGATGGCGCCTATCAGTAGCCTTTTAAAACTCGACGATAAGTTACACTCATGTATTAACAGACAAGCACTCTTGTGTCGCCTAATTTAATAGGATGCGGGACAAGCAATGTTCTTAGAAACAAGTGGGCCTGTCTGGTTCATTTCCAGGCTATGGGCGTAGACCAGACGATGGGATGACTGTCCTGCATAATCACCTGCCGCCAAAGCAAAGCGATGGAGCGCTATGGGTTATGAAATGCACTTGTGGTCAATCACGCTCTGTGCAACACTGCTTTTTGTCCGCCCTCGAGATGTGGCCACGATTGATCTCCACCTTCAATGTTCACTTTCTTGTGCCTGCTAAGGCTGACGCCTGACTATGTGGTTGCATTCGACAAAACAGTATTTTATCCGCCGCAACTAATTACGGCCTCAAGGTCCTTTTCTTACCCGAGTTGCGCTTCATGCTAATATGGTCGGCTCCCTCCTCCCTCCGCATTTGGAAAGCCATAAAGTTGAATAGTTCTTGCAAACCAGAGACATGGATTCAGATCAAGTTTATTTTCCGAAGCAACTTCAGAAGAAAGGGAAAAACGAAATATCGAATGGTTCATGGGGAAAAGTCCGAATAAGACGAGACGCTGCACAGTATAGCGTTGGAGACTCGTAGCTCACTGCTCTAATCTGTGCGCTGTGGAATTTATCTCTATTACTGAAATGAACAAACATAGAAAACAGAAGCGCGAGCTGGGAGGCATCCGTGCATCCATGCTCCCTCTCTTGCAATTCGTATTGCTAATCTTTTGCTGCCTCTTGCTCGTATCCTTTGCTCTCATCGGCGGCATGGATAGAATAAGCATCCATTATTTACACAAACTTACCATGCGCATGTGTCTGTATGCAAATGCGGGGACCCCGATTTTTCATGGTACAGTACATGTTTCTGTTTGTTCAGTCCATATACCAACAACCAAGCCGAAGAGACGGGAGCCATAAACACAAACGCATTCGCGACCCCACATCCATGTATACGTGCCGTAGTGCAAGACCTGCAGCACGGTACGAAAGAGATTCAAGTCTACAGTGGATCGATGATACAGTGGTGCATCCTGCTCCTCGGTTGTCGCCCAGGAGGTTTCCCAGGAATGCGAACCGACTTACATCGCAGAGATTTGTCACAGTAGTATGTGTGATTTGGACAGGATTCGTGAACCATTTCCTTTCATTGTATCTCGCCTATCAAACCGGGATCTTGTCTTCTGACCACCCACGAGCTGCAGCCCCTATGAACTACTAACTGATCGATGCCAACCAATGACGCATAGCCCAGTTGAACTTGCCTTGTCCCTTATATCGTCCGTCTGCGACAGCTCGTGAAAAATAGCCGAGAGCTGAGGAGCGAACGCCAAGATGAATAGTCCGAGAGGTGACCAGGAGGAGGGGCGCTGCTATCTAAGCAATTATTCAACGCTCGAGGGTGAGAGACCGATGTCGCTGCTTACTCTTTCCGCCGATTCATCAGCTACCCTCGCTATTGTACTGTAGTCCTTTCAAGTAGTCGGCAGTGTAGCAGGGAGGCTACAGAGGAAAATGACATCGCCTTGCTGGTCCATTGGTGGGAGAATGGCAAAGACGAGGGCGGGATGTTGTTTGCCCACCCACATCGCCTTTTTTCCCTCCTTTGACCACAAACAAGTTTTCGTCTGGTTGAGTTCTACGTACACGATCAGCTATGGATTGATTCAATGGGGGGGTATTTTAAATGAGTATAGGACAAAGTAGATGTCCATGGTCCAGCCAATCACACGCTTACAGCTGCCATAGGAGCAGTTCAGTCGAGTATTCAATAATCATCCTATTCCATAAACAATCTTATCTCTTGAGTTCACAGCAGACAACAAAAATAGGACTTTCTCAACGGTCCATGTTGACAGAGTACTGAAAGCCCAACTCAGTTGTGCGCTATTATTTATAAAAAAAAAGCCTTTTTCTTTAGCCCTCGATTGCCTAGCCTTGGTGGCACAAGGGCCAGCCACTGTGTTCTCCCTCAGTCGTTTTTGCTCAAGGTTGCTGCGTTCTGGTTGGCAAGAGCAAGGAAAACTAATAAGTTGCGTCGAATGAAAAAAAAGAGTGCTAATTGAATAGGGTAAGGCAGTTCTTTAATACGGGGGATTAAACAACCCTGTCTCGTCTCGTCTTACCCTTGGGTTGTACAGCTATCCCAGCCCTCCCTCCCCTCTTTCAAGGTGCAGTGTCCCATCCCATTCATTCATTCCTTCGTCCATTATCCATGGTAGTATAGAAATAGAAAAAACAGCGTTGCCCTGTTCTCCTGCCCTTGTAGTCGACCGTCAATCGTTGGACGATTACACACTTCTTTTCTCTCGCTCCCTCTTTGCTTTTCCTTTCTTCCTTCTCTTCTCTCTCTATCCTTTTCTCTCCCTCTCGTCAACCCCCTCCTCCCTTTGCTTGACACCCCCTCTCTCGCACGCTCTCACACCCTCATCAAAATACCTACCCCCTCCTCAGCCCTTCCTTCCTCTCCCCCTCTCTCATATCCCCGCGCGCGCTCACAACTCTCTTTTCTTATTTTATTTTTCATTTCCCTCAGCTTACTCTTCTTGCTCCAAGACTAGAGACACTCATCACACTACACGCGCACATATACAATACATACCATCGCATCATGATGTCCAAAACCCATATCGCATACCATAACCATCACTTTGCTGCAGCCGCAGCGACGATAGTCTCCCCACTTCCCTCCCCAGCCATGTCCCTGAACGACAGCATCAACCCCTGGGCCAATATCGTCACACCTGTCCCCTCATCACCGGCCCTTGCAGCCCCAACAGGGGTCCTCGCCAAGGACCTCTCCCCGCCCTCTGTAGTATACTCGAACACCGCCCAGCCCACCATCTCCTTTGATGGCAGCTGTCAACCCAAGAATGTCATCAACGATGTCTTCCTATCCTCGACCATGCTCTACGACGACGTGGAGCTGTACCTGAACGAGTCGTCGTCAAGCAGTTTTGATAGCGACTCGGACTCTGGGTTCAGCACACCCTCTCAGCAGGAGGAACAGCAGAGCTGCTTCTCGACCCCTATGACGCCCATGTCTCCTTTCATGGAGAACGACGCTGAGGATGAGCTCTATACTGTCGAGGAGGGCAGCGAGCAGCCCCTCCCCGAGCAGCAAGAGCCCTCGGAAGAAACCACGCCTGCTTGTGATGGTAATTTTCATATTTTTGAACTCGTCCCCCCCACATTCAGTTTACGATTCTTGGTGATTCTGTCTTTATATCGTGTACGCCATCCCCTCAATTCATCCTTCTGCCGCCTGCTTCGTTTCTGAAATGGCACTGCTCCTTATGCATCCGTGCTCCCCTCCCCTCGCTCGACTCCCGTTTATATCCCCTTTCTCGTTTGCCGCACGCATCGTCCCCCTAGTTCTCCTAGTAATATCCTGCCTATTCCTGATCCAAATTGTTCTACATGTATGGCCTTTTGCATCATAGACGCTGCCAACATCATCGTGGATATGAAGAGGCCTATGTTCATCCCGGTCTCTATTTGCGATGCCAGAGATTTTGCTGCCATGGCCAGTCTACCAACGCCTCCAGTGTGCAACGCCCGCAAGCACTCTTATGATTTCCTCAGCAACTCTGACGCGTTCTTGCTGGGAGGCATTTGCACGACTAAGCGGAGGAGAATGCTCTCCGATGAATTGATGTCGGAGACTCCTGCCTCGCCCCCAGCATCCAATGCTGGCGATGATGACGTCGCAGAGTTGAGCGACGCTGAATCGACCGCTGGTTATTTCATGACCCAAAGGCGGTCTCTCTTCCAGATGCGTCACGTCCGCCATTTGACACCCACTTCTCCTTCCTTGCCGGAGATCGTCTGCTTTGCTCCCCCTACACACGAAGAATATGACTATCACCCAGAGCTAGACCACTCTGATGATGATGAGGAAGAGGACGAGGAGGAGCGCAAGGCTGGTGTCGCTGAGAACGTGGTTGCTGAGGCTGTGCCTTCAGACCTGTTTGTGGTAGAGGCCGATCAGGAGATGGGTCACAGCGCTTACCTCTCTGAGGACAACTATTCTTCCTCAGATGATGAGGCCGATTTCGGTTACCATTCTGGGAACCAGATGCAGATCGACGCTATGAGTTCGAGCGATGATAGCGACTCCGATATCTCTGATGTCGAGGACTATCAGCCTGTCAGGTACATCTTAGGCCAGTTGACACAATGTAATTTATCCCTTTATCTTTGAAACTAACGTTTCGCTTTTCACATGCACGGTTCCAAACATGTAGACGTCGCGGCACCTGGCACGGTCCTAGTCTGGAGGAGATTGAGCGGGCATCTGTCAAGAAGGTTAGAGCTAAGGCGGCTGATGCCAAGGAGCCCCTGAAGGCGCAGATGACCCATCTCGAGAAGAAGCAGTCAGCAACCGTCCCCTCTACATCTGCTTCTTTCTGCAACGCGGCTACTCCTGCCACCAAGGCATCTTGCGAACCTAAACAGTCTAAGACGCCCACACTTTTCCAGATCTTGACCAAGGCCAACATTGACTGGTGCCGGTACTGTGGAACAACCGAGGGTGTTAACTGGCGCCCCGGTCCATGGGGAAAGCGTACTCTCTGCAACAAGCACGGCTGTGACTTCAAGGGCTATGGCTTCGCTTGCAAGTTGCCTCGTCTCGACTTGACCAGCTACGCACACGAGACAGTCGATCAGCGTATCCGCCCAGTTCTTCAGCACTGTAAGTACTTCTAGGTCCTATCTGCCGCTGTATTGTCCTATTTATTGGTTCAATTGCGCTTTTCTTATCGAATTGTTGTCATATATATTTTTTATATTATTATAGTCTGCCATGGTTGCCAATCTCAAGAATCAACCGCGGGTAACATTATGGTCCGCTGCGAGGGATGCCCCAAGGCCTTCCATCAAAAGTGCCACGGTGAAACCGTCATTTCTGATGACATTGCCTTGTCGGACAAGCCTTGGTTCTGCGACGAGGCCTGCAAGGAGAACGTCAAGAAGCGTCGCGTGTGTGTTGAGCTTCCCAAGAAACGCCTGCCTCTGATGTCAACTCCAAAACCTGTTATAACGACGGCCTCGCCTGCTCCCCTGGCCGCAGCCGGTTCTGCGGTCGAGACAGGCCGTTCCCGTGGAATGAGGACATCGATCCCTGGCGAGACGTCCCCTGCACGATCCAAGTAAAAGAGTGCTTTGTGCTCTTTTGCTGGAGTATTCCTTTGTGTTATCGCAATCCCTCCTTTTCTCTACACTGACCGTTGCTCCTTGAACAAACCATTAATACCGACCTGCCCATTGATTTTTATTTTATCAACTTGCTTTCCTTTCATTTTGATTTCTCGTTCTTGCTTTTTTGTCTTGTCTTTCATTCCGTTCTTCTTTTACATAGTCTTACATCTTTAATTGGAGTCGCTCTTCTGTACATTTAGCTTAGATTACTTTTCCTTGTTTCTTTTATACCATCGATGTGTAAGTACCCATTTCTCGTTTCTTGGTTTTGTTCCGCTCCGTTTTTGTTTTTGATTATTTATCCTACTACGTTAGAACGCACCATCGTTTTCTTGTCTCGCCTACAAAAGTACATTGCCAAATAGTAAGATAAAAAAAACATAATATAATCTACAATACAGTCAACTTCCACAATGTCTCATGAGCATTTGTATGTTGCTTTGCTATGTGTGTGGGTCTGAGACTAAAAATCAGACGCGTTCCTGAAAACAAGGTTCGCCACCAAATCAAGTTGTGACAGGCCCGCTTCTTCTTGATCGTCTCTTTCTTCCCATCCCAAGTTCTTTTTGCTCTTCCATGTCAAAATACTGGCCTCTCTTTGAGCTGCATCAGCTTGTGCAGTTGACGCATTCCACCACCGGAAAGACCATCTTTTATTCCCAAGTTCATTTAGCCTCTGACGACCATGTCGACGAAGATGAGGCCGGAGGCTGGGTTCTAAGCGCATTTACAGGCAAGACCTATTTCGAGCGCGAATACAGACGTGACGATCTCAACGATCTCGTAAGACATTCCTATCCCAATTGTCTCTTAAAAAATTTCGCAGAGAAGACGAAACGAAGGCGACTGGTTGTTCATACGACGCTAATATAGGTCTGAGTATGTTTATACGGGCATTAGCTGACCACGACAGGAGATAAGGACTGGTCATTCTTTGCAAGACGGTTCAAGAAGGCAATCCTTGAGGGATATTTCCATATTGTGGACACGAACCCCAGAGAATGCAAGCTCATTGTTGATAACGATGTACACTCACGGACGGGCAGCAGCCAGAGTGCGCTCGAAACGATAGAAATCGAAATGTTTCCTGTCAATCATGCGACCCGTGGCGAAAAGCTCAGCGAGTTCATGTTTGAGGCAAGCGGCATTTTTTACTGTTTTATTTTTATTCTTGTTGTCCCTATTCATTCTCTTCCTCCAAGGACTGGAGGAGGACGTGCGAGTTTTAACACATGAAGACCTCCGGTATGAATTATAGTGCACAAAATATATTCAGGCTCGCGGATGCAGTCTTATGGACTCGAAAGATTTAGGAACCAAGCTAGCTCCCCATCTAATTGGCAGCGTAGGATCAACAACTACTACGAACGCCGAGACTGCAGGGGATAGGAATGGTGCAGGAAGAGGGGACAGGAACTATGATGATCTGAAGTTGGAGCGCGATAATCTCAAGACTGAAAATGCAGAGCTGAAACAGGAAATCGAAAGGCTGCATGCCAACGCTCTCAAAGCGAACAATAGTAAGGCTCTAGGACACGAAAGCGATTAATGATACTAGTGGGAGTGCATGAATTATAGTACTAGTTTTGTCCGCAGCATCATTAACATGAATTGCACTCCCCTGGTCCCTCCTCTTTCTTACCTAGTGTCTCAAGGCGGTCTGGGAGCAGCGAGCGGTCGACCCAAGTCAAAGAACGCACAGATGGCCATGATGGTGAAGGAACAGCTCCTCAAAAAACGTAAGGGCGTCAGCGCTCTGAACCCGCGTATGAAAAGGTGGGTGGCTGCTCTGTTTTGCTATCCTTCTGGTGTGTATGCCATTACTTGCTTCATTTCTGTTGCTCATTTATATATCTATTTGTAATTCGTATCTAGGGGCGTCGTGGCAAAGGGAACAGAATTCGGGAGTGACGACGACGACGACGATGAGGATGATGAATAAGGCAGCGTTCGCCACTGTGTTGTACCATCGCTAGTCAGCATTAGTTGTATAAGATTTTTTTTTTTTTAATGCAAATCGCGATCTGTCTATGTATAATTTTCGTATCGCTCCCTTGGTCCCGGTCACAATGTTAATATCCACCCAAACCCTTCTCGACCGCCTTCAGAAACTTCTTCTTATCCTCCAATCCTATGCTCTGGTTCTGGCCAATCAGCTGGCTAACGTTACTCAGCAACACCTGACCGTTCTCGCCACCCTTGCTCGATCTCAGTAATGAAAAGGGAGCACTTGGTCTGGTATAATCGCCTCCCAAACGCTCCAAACGCTTCCACGACTTCTCTGCTTGCTGGTCGCCTGTACCGCTGACCTCGTCTGATCCTGTCTCATACTTGATGTTAGCGACATGACCCAGTTTTCCGTTGTTGAACCGGTTAATGGCGTTGCGAGGGTTGATGATCTCTTGATAGTTCTGTGTCATGCGGAGCAAGAACGGCTGGTTCTCGACCGAGACGTCCGATTTCTTACGATGATCCTTGTCCTTATCGTCTTGGATCGCCGCCAAGTCCTGGATCAGACCCTGTTCCACTTCGGGATCAAGATCGCCGTCGGCACGGACACCTGTAACATGCGCCGAAAAGACTGTGCCTGGAAGAATTGGGTTGTAGTCGGTGCTGTTTATGGCAGCAGTTCCGAGGGGTGCAATCATCCCGCGACCGGCAGCAACGTTGGCGTAAAGAGGACGAGACGAAGTGACGGATGTGACTTCCCAATCGATTTTGTCAGCAAACTGCAGCTCCTTGGTAGTGTTATAGGCAATTGTGGGTTGAGGCTGGAAGCGAGAGCCGGAAGCCCTGTTGCCGCTGGTGTTGTTTGAAGACTCCTCGCCTGAAGACCTGGGTGAACGTCTAAAGTTGGAACGACGATCAGGGGCCCCTGCAGTTGGGCCCGGTCCATCTCGGAAATTGCCACGGCCCCTCTGCTGACGCTCTGCGATCTCAAGGAGATAGCGTGCCGTGCGATAAGGTGCCCTCTTGTTGGAAGCCGTGTCTTGGTTGTTTTCGCCGTGTTTCTCCTGTTCCTGGCGCAAGGTCGAAACGGAAAACGCGCGGGCTTGCTGCTGTTGCTGGTGGCGCTCAATGGCAGGGAGCGCCGACGAGAATGTCTTTTTGAGCATAGCGACAAGTCGGTTTAGTTGGAGGTGCGGGGAGGACGATGAAGTTCTGCTTCAAGGATGATCTTTATGTTTTCAAACTCAATGGCAATTCCCGTGATTGAAGTAAACAGTGCCAATTGTCTAGTCACTTTTCTGCTCCCAAAGACCTCTTCACTTGCAACATACCGACAGAAAGCATAATGGAGGCACGTAGCAGCACTGAACTGGGGTTGCGAATGAGAGAGCATGGATGAAAAACTGGATCGCTTGTATGATTATACTCAAGCATGCAAGTGTCAAGAGAGGGTCCTAACCTGGGTCATACTCTGTCTCCTCGCCCTACAACAACATAGCCCACAGAGTCCCCAACATGGTACACAGACGCTGAAAAGTATTGGGACACAGTCCCTGCGACCATCAATGGCATGCTGGGCGGCCTGGGCCAGCTCGCGCGCCCCGACGCTGTCTCATCTCTCCGATTTCTCTCGGAATTTGTGACTCCACCAACATCCTCTACAGCCTCCTCGATTATCAATCCTTCTAATACCAAATCGGAGTCAGGATCAGGGTCAGGATCAGCAGCTGTGTCTACAAAACGTCAGAAACTCCCGTTGCCGGGATCAGGACCCTCTCGTGTGCTTGATTGCGGAGCGGGTATTGGTCGTGTAACGAAGCAGGTGCTGATCAAGGCCTTTGACCATGTTGATCTGGTTGAGAACAGTGCCTTATTTGTAAAGCAAGCAAAGGAGGAGTACCTGAAGAGCGAGATCGAGTCTGGAAAAGTCGGTGAAGTCCGCTGCTCGGGTCTGCAGAATGTGATGTTTGAGGGCACGGACTGGGAGAGGCGGTTTGATGTTATTTGGTGTCAGTGGGTATTAGGGCATTTGACTGATGGTACGAAGATAGGACATGGACAAGGACAGACGCGATTGCTTAAAGCGTTGTTTCATTTGTCACGGATGAATAGTTGCTAACATTCATCTCTTGGTTCTCGCTTTTTTTCTCATTTTGTAGATGACCTTGTCGCGTTTTTCAACAGATGCAAAAAGGGCCTGAAACAAGGTGGAATGATTTTCATCAAGGAGAACAACGCAAAGGTCGGGATCGTGATCGACGAGGAAGATAGCAGCATGACGCGATCGGACCAAGTCTGGAAGGAGATATTTGCAAAATCGGGACTCCGGCTGCTGAGGGACGATGTGCAAAAAGGTTTTCCCTCAGGGCTATTTGCCGTCAAAATGTACGCTCTAGAACCCATGCCATGACAGCAGACGACCATATCATAATTGCGTTGGATATATAGTTTTATGCACATTTCGTGAGATCGGAGATATATCACTCGAGGTACCGTCTTCAGCCATGACTATCCGCCATAAACGATCCCTCCACGTACTCCGCATCTTCGTCCTCTCCTTCTTTGCCTGCCAGAGTTACATGTACAGAGAAACTGCTTCCTTCTGGCGCATCTTGTTGGTGCTGAGCCTGGTGATTGTTTGTGGTATCGGGTCCATAGCTTGCGTTCACACCGCATTTGCCTCCTGAGCCTGTTGTCGCACCTGGCGTGCCGTCGCCATCTGAGTCGCGACTATCATCTTGCGACCCAGTGTTACCGGTGTGTGTTGCAGAGTCTTCACAGTCGATTTTGCTGGTCGTGCCGATGCTAGAGAGGTCATCGACTTGGATCACAACCGTAATTGGCACTCGGATCACGAAGTCCTTCAACTTCTGAACGGTAATGGCAGACGATTGATGGTGCTGATGGGATTGAGCGTCTTCAGATAGTACCGAGGCATGGCCGTGGTGTATAAACCCCTGTTGTGGTTTTGATTGTCCTCCACCGCCAAGGTTTTTGCCAGTCATCATATTAACCATCGTGTTCAAGCCCGAGGACGATACCTTCTTCTTGATCGCGCCAATGGCTCCGGCTAAATGACCTGCTGCTGAACCTGCAGATTCGCCGCCATGAGAAGCTGGGATATCGCTACTGCAACTGTCCACCGTGCCCTGAGAAGCACCAGACCCACGCCGTCGTCCGAAGTCGTATGCCACACTGAGCAGAGGCTGAGGCGGATAGGCCAGCAACCCGTCACTGCTAACACTGTTACTCCGACTGGTTCGGTGGCTATGATGGCCCGCTCCACGCTTGTGATGGCCTTGGTAGTTACGAGGACTGGCTCCTTTTTCGTCGTCTAAGTCTGTGTCCATATTCAATATCCCTGCAGTTGAGTTTATGAACGCCAGGGAGGATTGAACGTTGGGCATGCCTTCGCTTACAGATACCGTAGAAGCCGCCGAAACAGAGATGCCGCTATTGATTGAGTCTATTGTTCCATTTCGAGACACGCCTCTGTCAGTCCTGGCCGCAGGCGTCTTGATTACACTTGGTGTGGATCGATATGCAGAGAGCTCCTGTACATTCTTGAGCTGCTGCAGTTGCTGCTCCTCGTAAGCTTCCAAATCCAGTTCTTCGTCCTGATCCAGCTCTCCTTCAAACTCAAGCATATCGATAGAGAGTCGGAAGCTCAAATAGTGCTTGACCTCAATCCTTGATCGGGTTGAGATAGCGTTTGGAACTTGCCCGTAATGATCGTAGTGATGGTAGTGGCGATGGTGATATGCAGACATCGGCCGAAGATCGTCTGTGTTATCTGCAGCCGCGTCATCCGTGGGGTTCGAAAGTCCTGAACTAGATATCGGTGCATTAGCAGCAGCACTATCGGCGGCAGTACCCGCCATAGCCATTTGATATGAAGATTGTGAAGTTGGATAATTCGCTCCGACGCCAGAATTTGAGAGGCCTCTTGATGTAACCTGCTGAATAGGGTCATAGTATTTGGTGGGTAATGGCGAAGGCGTATCCGATGAGGGCCAGGTAAATGTTTGGCGCAACTGGGGTGAATCCAGCGGCACGGGTATAAGCAGCATAAAGGATCTCGAAGCCTGGGATATATTAGGGTGGGGTACGGTCGAGGTCATGGATGATTGAGCAATCGTCTGAATAGCCGGCGATGTGTACAGAGATGTATTGGATCCTTGGCGGCTGGATGCATAAGGGACCATTGATGTCCGTAGAGGTGAGGAGGACAGCGGCGACGACTGGAGAGATAAACTGCTACTCATCTTCAGGATCGATGACGGTGGCATGTCTACGTTCGAGTTTTTTCGCTCACGAGCCGGTTGATCTGCGGGGGCCCTACCGGCAACGTTGGCATCCCAAGAAACGGAGGCCGTTTGTTGTGATGGTCCACATTGCGTTTGATAAGGATAAGATGACAGTTGCGTTGATGGTCGCGACCGTTCCCGCTCCTGCTCCTTTTCTGAATATGTGAACGCTGGTCCCAGCGCATGCTTGATCGTTCTGGAGGCGCCTTCGGACGTATCTGATGGAATGCGACAACTTTCCTTTTGCCAAAATTCGCACTTGACCTTTCGAACTCGGATTTCTCTCCTCCATGTCGTCCGCTTCGATCCATTTACGCCTTGAGGATGACCAAAGGCAGCTGCTTCCTTGGATTTCGTATTATCGTCGGCGCTAGCTTTGTACTGAAAAGCGAGGCTGGGGCTCGACGTACTGGTACTCAGCATTCTATTTCGCACTCCTGCCGTTTCTGCAGTGAGAAAGCTGTTGATGTTATCGCTCGATGAGGCAAATGGCGAAACAGAGCTTGATACACCAGAATTTTGATATCGTTTCTTCAACAGATCGCTCTTGTCAATCTCCTTTTGCGTTACTTTCCGAATCGTGAGTGCGACCTGAAAGCTGTCCAGATATCTCGAATCAACATTCCATCCATCGTCGCTGTGGTGATGGCGGTAATATTGGTACTGGTGATGGTGTTGTTGTTGTTGTTGTTGTTGTTGTTGTTGTTGATGATTGACTTGTTGGGCGCTATTTTTGTTAAGGACAAGGCCTCCCTTTTTCGAGTCCGGCATCAGTCTTGATGTTCGTGCATATCCTCGAATGGGAATGAGTGATGGGACTTGGATCTGGACTTGGATCCGAGCTCCCGGTATAAGAGCCTTCAATCGACGGGTTCCTGGCAGAGTAGGGAGCGCCATGGAGGGAGGGGGTAAGAAAAATGCTCCGTGGGAGGGTGTGTTCGGCGGTGGCTTGATAAAGTATAGCTTGAGGATCTTTCGGATCAGAAACGGAAGGGGTTCAGCAGCGTGACCAACATCTGGTTCTGCTGCGCCCAAAAGGGGTAAGCCCTGCCCTCTTGCGAACGCAGACCGGAGCTCAGCCTTACTGTTGTCGCCGTGCCCGCTGTCCTGCAGAAGGCTGTTATCTCTCATGCGTAGACTGCGTTTGACATATTCTTCGTGTTGGTTCCCCAGCTTGAAATCTCCTGCGTGCTGCACTTTTTTGCTCTTGGTGCCGACGCGTAGTTTTCCAAGCGCTTGCGCTAACGACTTTGCCTTCTTGGAAGATCCTGACAGACGTCGCATGAAAATAAGATGGATACTGTACCTGGTAAGTGTTTGTTCCACTTGTCTTTGCACTGCTTCTGCTTCTAGACGATTCGGGCATTTCATCCCATACCTTCGAGTCCTTTTAGTAAGGCCGATCCATTGTGCCGATTCGATCCACTACCGATCATCGAGTCGAATGTTGTTTCTAGGGTCTGCGGAGAAGATTTTGCAGCCTCAACATTGCCGTCTTTATCGACGTCGTCCCATCGGAACAAGCACTTAGCCTCCAGTTCATACCAGACATTGCCCATCGAACCTTCAAAGCTTTCTGGTCGCACCTCGTTCTCGGTAACAGGTACAAGCCATTCCCATCGCCATTCATCCGCTGCAATTTCGATCCTGTTCTTGCCTTTGGAGGGCTCCTTGACGACGGCGACATAAGGTTCGCTTCCTTCCTCTACCTGCCGGTCCTGATAAGGCAGTACCATCTTTTTGTCCCACACCGTCTGTGACCAGTCCCGCTTTTCAATCTTGAAGGTGACCAAATCCTGGCGGGTCCATGCGATGGATTCCTTGAGTCGAAGGTGAAGCGCCAGTGATACGAAATGAAACTGTTTACCAGCAAGTTTGGGGATGTGAAGAAAAAGTCGACCCGAGACAGAGGGCCGATGAGTTGAGATTTCTGTGTGGTGCGGCTGAAAGGACAGCATGGGTGTATTCCGAGCCGAAGGTTTTTGTGAACCAGCATTGTGGGGTGCCAAAGGGACTGGATCATGATGTCGAGGATGAGCAGTGGCCTTCCTTTCCTCGTCGAGCGTTGTTGAGCGGGAGTTGTCCTTGTCTCGGTAGAGGGGTTCCATGCTCATCGTAAATAGATCTCCTGGTTGCTCTCGTGAGATGTGATTATTCGCCCCCGAGCGTCTATATTGTGATTGATGAAAAGAAGCAGATCGTTAGGACCATATTGTCTGCGACAGTGCGCAAGGGGCTCTTTCGCTTTTATTGCTAGTGCGAAGCTTTGTTCCTTGCTGACCTGAGCATCAGACATGTTCAATTGCGTATTTATTGACGCCGTCCATTACTCTTGATGCTCTTGAAGACGAGGTTCCCCTCTCTCCCATCCTTCCTTTTTTTTTTTTTTTTTTTATAAAAAACGGTCCAGATTTTAATGTCCATGCGCTTTGTCATGCAGTGACATCCTCTGCACGTCAATAAGAGAGGAAGCTGGGAGTCCATGGTGTGCGATAGTAGTTACGCTTCCGCTTCATCAGATCCTTGTGTGCATTAACGCTAATTAAATTAGCAGTTGCAGGCGGTCGGAGTGCAGGTAGAAATCGATACTTTTTTTTTTTAAGTCCCTGCAGAGGGCGGGATGTGATGTGATAGATGTCGTTTGGTTTTAGTGCGAGTGATCGAGTACGGGTTTAGTGACCGGCGACTGAATCAAGTACGATGAGCTGATGGTGTAGCAAGGGGATGGCGGGATGATGATGTCGCTCCTAACCAATAACGATGACTTGAAAGTATGCTGTGAATCAGCCATGAGAGGGGGTCAATTGGCTGTACCTGGAAATGGAAGAGGGGTAGGCGATAACGTGGATTGCGGATAGCAGTTATTCCTGGGTGCTTTCTCGTGATGCCGAGGAGGATGGACAAAGACAAGAAGTAGTGTTTGTTATGGGAGAGGTGTGGTGAAGGGCCAAGGGTGAAGAGGCAGAGAGATGAAAGGAGGGTCGTCAATTAGGCGAAGGTGCAATTGAGTATACAGTGTACCTGAAATGAAATCTGAGAGCGTATTCATCATTCCACACAGATTTATGTTCCGTTCAAGAACTATAAGTTCATACACCTTGGTGCTACTGACCAGGGAGATGGCTCCTCAGGGATTGCTCTATGCAACGTTATTTGTGCCTCTGATTGGATAAACTCTTGGTCAGATCGTAGCTTCATATACGTCTCGCCCTGCTCCGATTGGAGTTCGCTACGATGGCAACAGGTCCGCTGCTACATGTCGGGGCCTTTGGACATCATATCCTGGCGCTCTCACATTAGGTCGAGTAGATATTACGATGCTCATTACGGCTCCCATGCAAACGAGGTGTGATAATTGGGGGGCCACTACTGTTGCTTTCTTTGTTAAGATGGGCGTTACCAGTTTAGTTGTAGCACATCTCTTTTCTTCCAGTATTTGCGTCTGGCTCAAAGCTCATACAATAGATATCTTTACAGAGCGCTGAGCACACATTGTGAACATGGATCATTACAATAATTCGTATTTATTTTGCTGTGTACAGTTGTCTCCTGTCCATCGCTTCCTGCTCCGTGAACGGACTCTCTTCCCTCCTGTCTATATTGTTTTTTGGTACTTCTCGGATTTCTTAATCTCTGCCGGCCAAAAACTTTTCCAGGAAGCCTTCGGGCTTGGGAGGAGCATCATCCTTAATAAAGTAGCGCATGATGTGAGTCTCCTGCTTCCACGCATTCATGGTCTCCTGGTACTCCTGACGACCCTTGAGCAGCAAGATGTCGATCACAGCCAAATCCTTGACGTCGCGGTGGCGCTCAAACTCCTCGCGAATCTTCGTACGGATCATGGACATGGGGATATCGATTTGGTGTGTACGCATGATCTCAGGAACCTAATGTATTTTTTTTGTGTCGAGAAAGCAGTAGGGAACAATACACGTCAGGTTAATAACAGAACGCTGCATTAGGCCAGTTCTAGACAGCGCTGTGCTCTGCTCTGCTTTGTCCTAATTCTTTGCGGTCGACTCCTTAGATGCTCGTGTTACTCTTATCCTATAATATCCTTCAACCTTGGTGTTGTTGGATAACGCGACACCCGCAAATATATATTTCTGAATCCAACCTCTGAAAGCCTGTTATCGTGCATCGAATAGCCTCTCTGACTCTGAATTTCACCCTGCGTCGTATTTCCTGACAGGAGTTGATTCCTGGCTGACACCTATTCCGATCGTGCCGAGAGTAGCCTGGATACACATGTTCAACTTACTCCACGCTGGAAATCGCGGTAGAGGTGGATAACATTTTGACGAGCAGCAGTGAGCGATGATGACTGGGCAGTCGCCACCGACAAATGGGCAGCCATGGCAGCAGACATGTTGGATATTATCGAGCTGAAAAAGGAGAGAGTGGAGAGAGGTGGGATGTGGAGGGTTGGATGGAGATGCCATTGTCCGAAGATCTCGGAAAACACTGGTCATGTATTTCCAGTCAAAGTTCTTCGACTGATGTCACTGTTCGGAATTAACGATTATTTTTGACCCTTCCCAAGCGTGGCATATCAGCCATACTGTCTTGCTTGTCGAAAGTGTTACTGGCTCCTGAATCTACCACCGCTCGGTACTAGTTCTCTTTCTAAGCATAATGGTTTTGAGACAGACATCCTCTAGTTTAGGGTGCAACTTGGCCATGATTAAAAGAACGAGATTGTTTATCATAGACATTGCACCAAGTAACCAGCCTCCAACGATTGAAAAAGGAGATGGCAGCAATGTAGCAAGCTAAGAATTCTGCCGATAGCTGCAGTGATCCAGGTGAATCCACAGACAAGGATCAAAAGCATGGAAACGCTGCCGGTTACCCGTACTCAATTTGACCATAAATGCAGGCATTTTTCTTTTTTTCTATAAATAACATCTTTGATGCATTTACAAGACTAGCTGGGATTTATATGCATGTATATTTTTTTGGCAGATGCTATGCTTTTAGGTGAGATGATGTAGCGGGGAGGCAAATATCGAGAAGAGCTCGTAAGTCTATAAGTATTCTATTTGGCATGTAATGTACCATAAGGCTTCGAGAGTCTGTGGAGTACCAGTCCTCATAAAATTATCCAAGGTATATGAACCGGCTCCACAGGTTTACATGTAGTCATGGTTGTTAGTCTGTTGGCTAAGACTCGAGAGTTGAAGCTGAGGTGTGCCAACACGCATTGAAGGTGGTAAACGCGTGCTGTTGGAACGTGCAATCGGGGTTGGGTGCGACTGTGTTGGACTAGCTGCAACACGCGTCCGGTTTGAGCTCGCATTGCTTCCTGCACGCGACATACCGCCATCCAGAGGGGAACCAGTTCCAGAATTGCCAGATCCTGCGCGATCTAAGATTCCTTGAGTGGCTATCCTTGATAGTTGGCCATTGTTGTTGTCCAAACCCCTAGTTGAAGTTGTGGTCCCTGCACGACGTCCGGAATTGCTCCTGTAGTTATTATTTCCATCATGCAGCTCCTTCTGGGGCATACGGCTTGAATTTGTACGCTGGACATACGTGGGCTGCTGATATTGAGGCTGAGGTGAGGACGATGCTGCGGTCGAAATTGAATCTTGCTGGGATTGATGTCTGTGATGGGCAGGCTTGGGTTTTTGAGGATTATGACCACCCGCAGAGCTGTAGTGATGATCGTCAATCTGGTCCAGGTAGCCGGAATTTGAGCTTCCAGAAGAATAGTAGGGGTCGGCGGATTCGGTCATTGGTGGGCGACTGTAATCCGTGGTATCCTGATTGTCCTGATACGACGAAAGAGGGCCGTTCAGATGTCCATACGAGTTCATCTCATAGGCACCTTGGTTTATATCGTCTCGATTGGGTTTCTTCATGCCTCCGGCGCGACCAGTGGACCTGCCGTTGCCAGTGCCTTCGCCAAAACGAACGCCTTGTCCAGACTGTTGATCATAGTCACTCCGATCATCAAACGAACGTCCTGCTCCATTTGCGGCAGCGATTTTGTTCCGTGTAACCTCATTCGCAGCCAGGACGCCGCCGGGTCCGACATCCTTCATCAAGGCCCGCTTGCTGATGGAGGCTTGTTTAAACAGGGCGGCGTCACTCAATTCGGAATCTCCGCCTCCTTTCTTGGACCCCTTATCACCATTGACCCGACCGCCCTCCAGATTCCTTTGCTGCTGCAGTCGAAACTGGTTGCGGTATTTGGCGCGTCGCCAGGTGGCTGATCCGATAGCAGCCACGAAGAGGATCATGAACGCACTGTAAATGAGGATGCCGGTGGTGAGGTTGTAGCCAGCGATGACAGAGGGCTTGCCAAAAAGTGCCGTATCACCTTTAGAGTCGGGAAGCGCAGTGGGTGTCGGAGTGGCTGTGCCAGTCGCGGTAGAGGACATGGTCGGCTTGGGGGCGCCACTGCTGTTGGTGTTGGTGGGGGGGCTCTTAATCTTTGTTGGTTTTGAAGCTGCGTCAGTGGTGGTTACGGCTGGTGAGGGTTGAGGAGGGGCGCGCTTGTGGAGTTGCACGCCAGGGAGTAGTTCAGCGACGGCAGGAACGTATGCTTCCTCTGAGTCCTGAAATTGAATGTGGGTGTCAGGGGTCGAGGACACGAGTGAGACAGGGGATGAAGTGGAGGTGTCAAGGGCTACTGGAGAAGCGGAGGAAGCGTCGGCCAGAGGAACCCACAGAGACGAGATGGCGATGGATGCAACGAGGAGGATGAAAGGGAGCTTTCTTGACGAAGAGAGTGGGGAGGACGCGGAAGAAGATGAAGAATGGAAGGAAGAAGTCGAAGAAGAAGAAAGGGAGTGCAAGGACCCAGCCTTCGCGAAGACGGGGAACAAAGACGGCGACGAGGACATGGTTCTTTAATCTAAATATCGATCGCATATCACAAATCACACCCAACCAATGGTGAGCGTTTGTTTAGCGCACTGTTCCTAGATTCATCGGGGTCACTCTGTTCCTGGTATCAGCAACAGCACAAGACAAGGGCGAGGGCAACTCACCTTGTGGGACAAGCAGACGTCGGACCAGGGTATACAGTGTATCGAATTATGTGGGAGAGGAAGCGCTTTCGTTGTCTTTCCAGGGTTGGCTGAGTTCAAGCAGAAAACAAGTGAGAGAAGAGGTCTGTAGAGCGAAAAGAAGGAGATGCAGAAAATAAATAAAACAAAAAAAGGGATGAGATGTTTGTAAATGGATGGATATGTTAAAGGCACGAAATATGCAGCCAACTGCCGGGCCTTGTAATATATCCTATATGCACTGCAAGAACCAACCGTCGTGTAATGAAATTAACCGAAACAGGAATGATGAGGAATGCAGAAAATGCGTGTGTCTGCGTGCAAAGCGTGGGTGGAGAGAGAAATGGAAGTGTAGGAAATAAAAGCGAGTTGATGCGGTTAGCTGTCTGTATAATAAGACTGCTGTTGGTGAACTGTGTTCAACAAAAACTACGACGCACAGAGACGGCTGAACGAGAAGGATGCTCAAAAGGCGTGCGGCTGACTCGAAAAGGGATGGAAGCAGGTGAGAGAAAACAGGACAACTTGGCCTCAAAGAGGAAGAGGAGAAGCACAGAAGCTGAGGAAAGGCGGGCGAATGGGGGGGAGGAGAGGAGGAGGGGGGGGGAGGTTTTGGCTGAAAAAAAAAAAAAAAAAAACGCGGGTGGACGAGGGGTGTTTAAATGGACAGGTATTACGTGAAGAATGGAGGACGGGAGTAAACTGCTGTCTGTTATTGGTCCGAAGGCCAGGGCCAAGCGGTGGATATTCGGCGACCGTCCGTACCTTAGATGTATGTGCCTTAGGAGTATGAAAGCCTACGTGGATGTAGTGTAGAGAATGGACAGTGATTAGTGGGACTACGGTGGAACTATAGTGGTGCTCCTGGCTGGAACTGGAGCTGGGGCCGGTTGATCGATAATGCTTCATCTGTTGTGCATGCACAATATTCTAATGTCTCAGGTCTATTAAGGCCGATTGCTTCTTTTTCTGTCCATCCGAGGATGTGTCTGCGTGCTTGCTGTAGACCCGGATGTTCATCTCACTCGCCCCATGGAGGAGTATCCTGTCGTTTAAGGCTCTATCCCTCGTACCTGGATGTTTGAGAAAATCAGGTGTCTTAGGCCGATATAGACGTCATTAACGATCCTCACGGCACCACGGTAAAGAGAGGGACAGAAGTAGCCGCACCAGAGAAAACTGAAAACGAAAGAAAGAGAATGGTAGGATGGGGGGAATGAGAAGAGAGAGATGATCGAAGATGATGGAGCTGTCATCGCTTTCCCCCACCCACGCTTTAGAACCACTGGTGTATAGAATATATTTTAGCGTCGTTTGCGGCTCTCATTCCATGACTTCTATTCTTTTTTTGTAAGTGCTTCTTTATCTCTATCAGCCTATTTCTCATATTTGGGCCTGTTGACCATAACTTGGGCCATGGAGAAACTGTCAACAGGAAGCTGTTTATATTTGTCCGCAACATGATGATGTTCGCAAAGTGATGTCCGCAGTGCAGACTTGGTCTTTCCTTACTTTCACAACTTGTTATTGTGCTGTTCCTTCAAATTACCAGGAAACCACTGCCCAGAGGATGTTTATCCACAGTTTAATGGCAGACATCTTGGAGTGAGAGCCCTATTTGTACTCCTCTACAATGCTCTTCGGATATATTATTAGATACAGATGCAATTATTTTTCTCCTCTCGAGCTCGAGGAAAATTATGCCATAAGCAAATTTGAAATCGACACTAGCAAATCCCCTAGACTTGTCGGACAAAATTTTGGGCGAGGCGTAGACATGTTAAGAGTAACGTGTTTGCCTGAATACACATAGCGCATTTTACTTCAGGCAATGGGCACGTCAGAACACCAAGTAAACCTGTTTAGATTTGTTTGGTATGTATTGTCGCTACGTCCGTGGCCGTGGAAATCCATGGTAATGCGCTGTTTGATAATGAGGCACCTAAAAAGCACAGTGATAGAAAGAAGAAAAAAAACGCGTCTGCAAAACGCGAAATGTGGTAAGTGCAGCAGTTCCCAGTCAACTAGATAGAGACCTTGCCAGGTGCATTTCCTATGAGTCAGCAGGTCGCGCAATACTTCTCTATATTCCACAATGGCATGTCCATCCGCAATTATTATCATATTAAAAATTGAAGCAGTTTAACGACAATCAAGTAAAGACGTAGTCTACTGTCTGTTTTAGGGATGCTTCTATCCTAATTTACGGTGTAAGAGATAGAAGCGATACGTCAATTGGATATGATAATAACATCGTTGCTTAGTAGGCCAAATCTTAAACAATGGTGCTTACAGGTACTTAAAGACCAAAGTGAAGATTGGCATACGGGATCAGATGGCTATTAGTCGCCATGCCTTGTTTACCTATCTTAGAATAATGGATACTTCTAGCATTATATGAATGAGAAATAGTGGGGTCAGTATATGTTTTTGTATGTTGCTTGCACATCAACCGCGGGAAGAAAGATCTTAGAATTATAGTGTATAGAATCCCATGAAGAGTACCAGCTTTTAATATTGGACGTGTCCCACAGAACTTCAGCGGTCGCGCTAGAGACGTTTACAATGCGCCAGGTTTCTGCTGGTTCCGAGTTCCGAGTGACTTCTACAGCCAGGTTTTCTGGCGCGAAAATCATTGTTGTTTTGTCGAATGACCACTTAAAGGTGATTAAACTTCTAATGGCGTATAGAAGAGGGTCGGTCTGGTTGAATTTGGGATTGACCATCGTAAGACGACTGGCGGGCATCTGTGGGTTGAAGGCAGTATTGGTTTCAGCTGGCACGTTTACACTTGGATTTGCGGTAGCATTAGGCAAGGATTTGCTGGAACCCTGTAGCAACTCCGAGTTCGAGATATTAGGAAAAAGGCATATTCTATTGTGCTGCCGATGTTCCCCATATTTACTCCAGAAGTCGGTTCATTGGAAGTCATGGATGAAGCTCTGTGTCCGCGAAAGATTCTGAGGTATCGATTTCCTCTTGAGGTGCTAATCGTATATGATATTAAATAGGATTCTCTTTGATCAGTACGAGCGATATATGGATGTACCGTCAATGTGCCCTGGATGACTATATCTTGTATCTACCTTGGAACCTTGAAAGTTTCGGATCGGATGCACACGCTATTGATACAACAGTGTTCAGCAACACAGCGACTAGTAGCGGTGTTTTGGCACGCATTTTATTACCAAGCATGTGGCGAGTAGAGGGTATGCATTAACTCAGAGTGTATTGATTGAGGCGGAAAGAAAATAGCCGCAAAGAAACAGGAAACTAGAGGCGAGAGACAAGAGGATCTTGAACGCAGCTCGATTTCAATTAAAAGCTGAAGTCCGACCTGGCTCCGGCTCTAAATGTGAGCGTATTGTACTATGTATATCCGTAGTGAAGGGGATTTTTGTGAACGTAATCGAGGGCGTGGCACAATATTCGAAGTTCCTATACCAGCCCGGGACTCTTTATATTAGTGACATTCAGGGCGCGTTTACTTACATCTGTAAATGTAGACGACTGTTTCCCGATGACGCGGAAAGTAGAGATTTTGGTGGTTGGGATACACTTGCCTATGTTATCCCGAAAGGTATCAATGAAACGTGTATTATATGAAGTTTTACCTTTGCTGTGCTTGTAATAATGCAACGTGCTCGCATCGACCGCGCCGTCCGCCATAGGCCTAAATACATATATTACTTGAATCCGCTTTTTTTTTGTAGTTTGTGTAGCTTGACATAATAAGCTGACGATCTCATATGAAAGCATTGGAACCTTTACGGAGAAGACAGGTGGCTATGGACTGCGCAGACTAGTCAGCGCGATCGAGGAAGCTGCTTACAGGCTCCAGTCTGGGATAATTAAAGCGGGTCCTAACTGGTTGACTTTTAAAGCTCTTTATTGGCTAGTATGGGCTCGAGTGAGGGCACAGCCCCCCCCCCTACGCGTTTGCCGATGGTTTGTGCGGAAAACACAAACAAACAAGCCACGAGCCAACGCTTTTTTTTTTTTTGTGCTTCACCTTGGTTATCCTCTCCTCAACCTTGCTCCACATACCATTCCCTACTATCTACTATGGGTAAAATAAAGAACAACAAGAAGAAGCAGAGCCGTCATAATGCTACCGGGATGCAGACGAATGCCGAGGTCGAAGAGGCACTGAGCCTCCAGCCTATCCCTGTCGAGACTATTCTGCCCTTGATTGCCAAGGTAGGGCTACTTCCCCATTCAGCACATTCAGACAAAGAATCCTCATGTTTCATTTTTTTCTTTGGCCTTCTCTACTTCCATTGCTATTCTCCTCATATTTTATTTATAAATGCCTTTCCTCTGTGCTCATCTATAGCTGTCTTCGCCGGACGCGAACGAGCGTGCTTGGGCTGCCGCAGGAGCCAGCAACCTGTTGATGCACGACGCCGGCACTCGTCGATTGATGCTCAGTAAAAATCTGATTGGCGCCCTGGTTGAGCGCTTGACTGACTCTGTGCACGAGGTAGTGGTGGAGGCCTTGGGTGCTCTTCGCAATTTGACAGTTGTTGGTGGTGATGAAGTCATCAGCGAGATGTACAACAAGAACGTCCTTACGCCTGTCGCGGCATTGATTCCCGCACTCGGAACCATGATTGACAGCATGCTCAGTGGTCCCGCGACGAACGGCAGTGAGCAGGAAAAGCGCAAAACTGTATGGGATTGGGCAGACAATGTGATCAGCATCATCTGGGCTATGAGCGAGAACTCGGAAAAGGCGTTGAAGTTCGTCAACAAGCTCAACATCGTCCCTTTCCTCATGTCGTTCATGAGCAATATCGATAAGGTACCGCCCAAGGTTATTGTTGCCGCCGGTAAGAGCTGTTGATTCTGTTGCAAAGCGGACAGGCGAATTATCGCGGACGATCTGGCAAGCACATGTCTAACATTGCTCGTGTTTTTACTCTTTCATAGCCCAGTGTATCTACACCCTCACCGATGATAATCCAGATTGCCGAGCTGTATTTGTCAAGAACACCGACTATATCAAGCCATTCATGAACATTTTGACATTGGATGTTGATGTAGAGCAGGAGTTGTTAATTAAGACACTGGCATGCGGAATTGTCATCAACCTGAGAACTGTCATCGCTCCCAAGGCATCAGAGAACGATTTTACAGACATCCATAACGCGGTCCTCCCTGTGTTGAGCGGCGCACTCGGCTATGATCTTCAGAAAGCTAGCGTCGAGGCCGCCGCCGCCGCTCAAGTTGTTGTAGGTGACTTGTTGTGGATATCATGATGAACCTAGGGCCTCAAATCGACGGAATCCTTTCTAAATGTTTCTGACGGCCATTAATTATTGTATAGAACGCGCAAAAACAGGAACCTGATCTTTCAAAACCAAACCAGCCAGCAAGCACAGAGGAGCAGGCCCTTGCCGCGATTGAGACCCGCTTGCAGACGCTTCAACTCGCCCTGGAGTTGATTGCCAACATTTGCACTGAGAGCGTCGAGGGCGTTGAAGAGGAGGAGGAGGAAGACTGGAAGGACGCAACCGGCGATGATGACGAAATGGAGGGAGACGAGGATGAAGATAATCTCGAGAATGGGAATCAGGATGATAAGAAGAACGACGGCTTGGATGAGAGCACCATGCGGGAAATGGAACAGTTGGCAGCCGCTTCAGTGGAGACTCCAATGGACCTCTCTAGTCACCCTATCATCAATATCTTGATCAGCACTGTCTTTCCGGCACTTATCAACCTTGCAACGCCCACACCGCTGTCTTTTCCCGAGCAGATAATTCCTACGCCAGTAACAGTTGCACCTGAAATCACAGCACAGCTAGCCACGACACATTTGCGGGCAATCGAGGCGCTGAACAACTTTTTATTGACGATGGCGGATGCGGTCCCTGGCAAATGGTGGTACAAACATAGGAAGGCCGATGCAGAACAATGCTGGACATGGCTCTTCCAGCAAGCAGGCGCTGTTGCAGGAAAAGGTGTCCAGGTCGGAGCAGAGGAAAAGGGTCAGGAGATGCGTGGTGCTGTTCTGGATGCGATCGTTGGATGTCTATGGACGTTGGCGCGTGGACTGGATAGTAATGTGCCATTGAGCGACTTTCATGTGCCGGCATTGATGGGTGCCTATTCATCAACAGCGTCTGACAGCATGCGTGTCAAGGCTATCGGATGCTTGGGAGTGATTGCTAGGCGGCAAGGCGCAATCGAGACCAACAAGGTACAGTTCCAATATTGTTTGTTTGTTTCGCAAACGTTATTGAGTGAGAATGGGAACTTCACAAAGAGAACGAAAGCAGCTAAAGAGGATGGAACATTGACTGAATGCCTTTTCTTATTATACTATCATTGACCTTGGCCACGATATTTTGTATAGGTCATTGGAGAGTTTTTGATCAATTTGCTCAAGAGCAACCCGAGCGCAGAGGCGTGTGTTGAGGCTTTGAATGCTATCTACGACATTTACGCGGACGCGGAATTCGATTACGACATGCCCGTATTTGTACAGGGCAATTTCAATCATGAGCTCAAGGGTATGGTCAAGATGACCCGGTTCATGGCCCGGAATATCGACCGACGCAAGAACAGAGATTTGAGAACTCGGGCGGACGAAGCGGTCATGAACCTGGTCGAGTTTATCAAGTACAAGGAGAAGGAGCGTCGGCAATAATGCGGGCCGGGCGAGCGACAGAAGGAGTAAGGCCTACCACATGCAGCCTTACAATAGAGGGACAAAGTAGAACAGGATCAGTACATGAGTAGTAGAAAACAAACTCGATTCATTCACACCTTGGCATCAGACACAATTTCTTTTTGTAATAAATACCAACCATAACATCCTTTGAGGCATTCTCTATTTGTAATGAAAATCCGTTCACACGGCGGTCGCTGTGTCTCTTATGGTCCATTGCAGGCCGGTTGCGAGCAATGGGTTCTTTTTTTCAATTGGCCAGCTGATGCGAATTCTCGCATGCAGACATGCCTGTTTTTTTTTTATTGACATAAGAATACAGCAGGAGATAGATAAGTAGGTAAAGAGAGAAAAGGGATGTGCAGCGAGAACATCAAATGCATAAAACTATTGCTTGTCCCGCCATTCAAACGGCGGACTCGATGATGCGCTCTTGTTGTGGATGTTCGCGTTGAGATGGCTATGCGTTGAATAGCATCCACAGAGTTATTATTATATACAGCTTTTCGTATGCCAATACACATATTAGACAATAGAGAGAGCATTAAGGATGGAAAGGAGTCTAGAAAGCGAGAAAGTTAAAGAGATTGGGTATAAGTGTATGTGAACCATGCTGGTTTTGTGTAAGCATGCGTCGTGTGATGCGATTGGCTGGATCAATGTTCCCATGAAGAGGAAAGGGGCACAGGGGAGTGTTGCACAAAGGGTTTCTGATTGATGAATATGGAACAACAACTGCTCAACGCGAGTTATTGCAAGAGCACTTTCCATTTTCTGTATAGCTACTTACTTTTCTTTCCTTCCCTAAGATAAGCCTCGACAGCATAAAAATATATATAGACGGACCACAATGGACGATGGTAATAAGAATAAGTAAGATATAAAGTGTGCGATGCCAATGGAATTGGAAGGATGTCCAATACGCATCTTAACAAAAGTATCTCAAACTACCGATTATGAATTCATACACGAAGAAGTTCAATTCTTCAATATCATAAGCAGCGATCGGTCTCTCAACTTTGGACATCAATTAAAAAATAATGACGAGGAAGAGGTAAAGGAAGTGCTGCAAAGACGACTATTCGCCATCTAGACTAGGAACCAGGGCTCAGTTCGGATCAGAGCCGTATATTTTTGGTTATGCTAATGGCATCAAAAAGGACCGAAGCATGCAGCATACGTTTGGCTCAGGCGCTCTGGAATATAATAAAATGGACCCAGAATCAACTGCAGAAGAGTCAAGTCTTGAAAAGTTGTAAGGGAAGAGATTTGCGACTTTTTTTATGCATGAATATCGTATATTTTTGCTACGAGCGCACGCGTGTTCGGGTAGATCTGAGCCGTCTAACCCGCAAGGCCGACGAGACGAGCGCACTGAGCTCTTGGCACGGGTATCATACGTGGGTGCCATTGCAGTAGAAAACCCATGTTGTCGTGTTTTTTTTTTTTTTTTTTTTTTTTTTTTTTTTTTTTCATTGCGCGTCATTTGGTAGCTGCAATGGCACGCCCGATTGGGCGTAAAAGACTACGATACCTTTTTTGGGGCTGACAGCAGCGAACTTTCTAGAGAATACATTTACTTCAAGGCACATCTAGGAATGCAGTGTTTGTAAAACGAGAGTCGCAGAGTTGTCACATGAGATTGTATATCAGTATGGATATTAGTCCCAATACAGAGAGATGTTGGAGGATGGAGGGAAAGAGAGGGTGAGATGGAAAGCACAGAAAGCATTATAACAATCTGTTGACAAATGTGCATCAGCACGCGAAAAAAGGTTTGTACCGCACCGAAAAACAAATGAACTCCAAGAGAAAAAGGGCTAGAACGCCATTCGGTGGACATTGAATGACCCGGACTCAATAAACAAGGGGGGCTGATCATCAGAATCAAGTCGCTTCCGAATATGCAAAATCTCTTCCTCGCGCTTTATGTTCACAAACTGTCATCATGGTGCAACTTGTGTCCATGACCGAGGGTCTCAACTGTTTTCTAATCCTCCAAAACACGCATTGTATAACATATATGCTGGTTATGTAGTCTATGTAGTTTTTCAGAACAGTTCCATGACGCGTCAAGCATGGCTGAAGAGGTTGTATTTCATGGACACACAGCAGTGTGTGCGGTTAGTACTTGGATATGAATTGTTGTATGTCAATACAGGTAGCAGCGTGTACAGCTTTACGATGAGGCAATAAGGCAATACTGTATTGGAAGTTGAAGAAAATGAGGTATTCGAAGACTATACGTTTCTGCCTTTTTTCGTGCATTGCCGGGTACGTTGTACAAGATTAATATCCCATGCATGGTATTCTAAACGGAAACTGAAAGATATATCAACTGTAAAACGACCCTGGAGATAGTCTATGATCTCCACTTGCGGTTTTTCCAAGAACGGCAAACATGAAGGTGTGCATCAAAGGTCACAGTCGGTACGCGTCTTCTCTAGTGCGTTCCTTCTTTTGTTGCAGACGGTAAGTCTACACGCGTGGACGGATTTACTTAAGGCAGCTTTCTTATCGAACTGAACAAATAGATTGATGTAAGCGGGCATAACTAGGGAGCGACAAAGAGTAGAATTAAAGAGCACGCATATAACGGGTGAATTCGGTGCTTGGGACACTGAGAGAAAAATAGCATGGCAGGCACTCGTGCTAAGAGCTGGACACAAGGCACAAGGCGAGGTACTTTCAATTTGCTTGAGCGTGTGATCAAGGAGAGCACAGAGATAAATATTTGACGCGATGGGTATAGTCTACGGCTGCGGACCGATGAGGGATGAATCTGATCTTAGTATAGACTGGTTGACAGCATTCGGCATTTGTTTATTTACTTGTTTGTTTGTTTTTGCGCGCATGCTGTCTCTGTTTATGATCGTCTTGTCAAGGTAATGTTTTCGTCCGCTTACTACTGCCTGACTCAGTTTAATCGATATCAGGAGGGAGCGCTTGTCGATGGAGTTGTGTGTACCAAGGTGAGAAGACAAGAAGATAACAAGGCAAGACAAAGGCTAGCTGGCAAAGTGGCCTATTGAAGGGTATGTGCGGGTGCTAGTTATTGTAGCAATCACGAAATCAATTGGTTCGGCTGGTGATTATGCACTTTATAATAGTCTATGTGAAAGATGGTTTGTACCTGAGAAAAAAAAAGTTGCCGCGAAGCGGCCATTCGCCAAAAATATCGGATACACGCACAGAACCCCTCCCACATGGCATGCCTCGTCCGCAATCGTGACCAAAGTCCGATTGACCCCAGACTGATGGCAATCCTCAGATTACCGATGGTGTGTTCCTAAGAAAGAGAAGGGCATTGTGGGGAGGAGGCAAGCGAATGGATGTGAACGATGCAGTGGATAAATGCGCTAACAGGACAGCCAACAACAGCTGAATAAATTCAGGGCAGGCGAATGATTGGATACAGCCAAGACATTCCCATGAGGAGAGAATTGGACGGAACGAGCTACACATACAAACACTACATCCGCATACAAACACTTCTTTCCCGCCCACATTGGTCGTATTGTGGACGCAAACAGAAACGACAGAACACAACCATGCGCGCTTTTTTTTCGCATACATTGCATGTGCTAGAAGCAGAAGCAGCATGAACAGGGAAGAAGAAGGGACATCGAGAGGAGGAAGCACCACCATCCACGGCGGGCGGATGTGGGGGCGAGGTTGGGGAGGGCCGAAAGCATAAAGAGGGAAGGAGAATCAGACGGTCTTCTTGGTTCCTATTCGCCCTGTTGTTTCTTCCTGACACTTCTCGCCGCCTCACCCAGCTTCTCCCACCTTACTCACCGGCATCAGCTTTCCTCTTTTCTTTTTTTTTTTTTTTTTTTTTTTTTTTTTTTTTTTTTTCATTCCATCGTCCATCATCCCTTCTCCTCCTCTCCTCTCATTCCCATTTTTTATTTTATTTTGTTAATTGCTGTCGCTGTGGGAACACAATTTGCTCCTTTATCCAGCTCTCAATCCACACACGATCGGGGCTTCAGTCCGTATGCCTACTCGCCCTCATCCTGTGAACATTTCCCTTCATAGTTTGACCAACCAGTACGGCCCTCTCCCCTCTTTCCTCCTACCTCTCCACTCTCTGCGATACTTCCCATCCTTCTCTCCATTCCCTAAACGTCGCTACACACCTCGCCTTCTCAGTCCCCTAGGAGGCCACGACATTCAGCATGACTCTTGAACGCTCCATCATTCCGATTCATTATAACTTGAAGATTGTGCCTTGTCCCGTCGACTTTACATTCCTTGGCGAATGCTCGATCGAGTAAGGCCAGGCACTTGTGTCTCTCTTTCTCTCTCTCTCTCTTTTTTTTTTTTTTTTTTGTCACACTCGCACACAAACCCATTGTTCCGTCCTTGACCTGCCAGTGGCAATCGCGTTTGTTTATCTCCTAGGATTTGTATTGCCGAGCCAGCATATGGTATCACCTTAAACGCAAAAGAGCTTAACATCCAGACAGCAACTGCTAGAGACCAACTGGGGTACAGGTAATGTATAGTGCAGCCCCATCCAACCTTGCCAGTTCTGTTGTGCTTCTCTCGATCTCTTTATCCTTATTTCGCCCATGCTCACCCTGGATAGAGTGCGTGTGTGTATGTGTACCCTGCAAGAAGATTATCGAAATTGGAGCAGTATTGAGCACAGGCATTCAGAAATAGATCGTGCCTCCTTGTGTTTTAGTATGTTCTTCATGGTGGCACAGCAGTACCAAGAAACAAAGACGGGCGACGCGGGACGTGGTCTCCATTTCTGGGACTGCAGATCTGGCCCAAACGCGAAGTGTAACAAACGGAATGTCCTAGGGAGGGATAAGAGTGCAACGTTACCGCGCGCGGTGACAAGGGCGGGCGTAGCCTATGGAGTTGAAAATAAATTAAGTTGCAAATAGGATGATGGATAAAGAAAATCATTTCCATTGTTGGTATCCATTTTCTCGCATCGGAGGGTGCAATGGAGCGGAAGCAGAGATAGCGGGAGAACAAACAAGAGGGAAAGCACGACGATACCTTCCATGCATAAGCACCACATGTAAACACAGCTCCCCACCTCTTGTTCGCGCATTCCTTGTATCCCGATTGATGGGAAACAACACCATTCCGCGCCATACATACCAATACGAGATATTGCAAGCGTGTGATGCGCGCACGGTGGCATTGGATGCCATGCCATTTGTTGTTTTGCGATACAAGGCTGGGATGGACCTTGTACCCCGCTAACGAACTTCGCGTGTCAGCTATTGCATCTTATACAACGCGCGCCCTTTTCAGACGCGTGACGTAGGGTTATGGATTGGGAGGGGAGTAAAGGTGGAATTGGTAACATATGTGGGTCCCCCCGCCTCGACTTACCTATCCTTAAGAATGACGGTGCAAGATCTAACCCAGGCTGCTCTCTTGCTTTCTGTTCCCATAGCGTCACTGCAACGAGCGTGAGTTATAATGTCGAAGAAGAAGCCATCACCCTCGAGTTCCCAGAGATCCTGCATGTCAGCACATCCTGGATCCTGGATGTTACCTATATTGGTCTCGTCAACGACAAACTGATCGGGTTCTATCGATCCGTATACACCGATACCGACCACAATGTGCAGTAGGTGTTGCAATGCGTCTCTATTCTAGGGCGCTATTCACCAGCAGACGGGGTTGCCCGGTTGCATTGCGTCTAACAAGTTCTCCTTGCATGCTTCTTTATTCAGTCAACTGACAACGACGCAGTTCCAGTCCACACATGCCCGAAGAGCATTCCCGTGTTGGGACGAGGTATAGCTACAAAGCGCTGAGTGGTTCTCGTTGCTCAGCCCTCCATGCCTTCCTTTTTTTCAGGCTAGTTGACATGTATCATCCGTCAAACGCTATCTTTTTATTAGCCCTCCATCAAGGCCACCTTTACACTGACATTGATCGCTCCCCAGGGCATGACCTGTCTCTCTAACATGAGCGTGGAGTCGACAAGCATGCTCGAGAACGGAATGCAAGAGGTCACTTTCCTTAAGACGCCGATCATGGCTACTTATGTAACGCAAAACTACTTTGCTTTTAGAATGGTCATCCTTCCGCTGGCGAAGGGTAGAGCTCTTTTCTTAATGTTAGATGTTGTATCCTTCTATAACAATGGCTTAATAGCTACTGGCATGGACAATTGGTGATTTTGATTATATCGAAGCCTACACCTCTGGCGAATTTAGTGGCGAGCAGGTACCCTGTCGCCTGTATGCCCCAGTTGGTCTTGCGAGGCATGGCCAATACTCCTTGGATCTAGCTGTCCAGGTAATTACTAGCTCTCGCCATAGCGCTAGCAACAGTAGTATCCCAGTATCTGTTCAATGCAAATACACTCCCGCCCTTTACAATTGGCAATGTCGATCCTCACCTTTTTTTTTTTTTTTCCTCCCTGGTTCAAATGATAGTCAGTCGAATACTTTTCGCGTTTATTCAATATACCCTATCCGCTGCCCAAACTGGACTTGGTCGCAGTGCCTGACTTTGCCCTCGGCGCCATGGAAAACTGGGGGCTGATCACTTTCCGAACATATGCAGTGCTGTTGGACGAATATGGGACGAATGATAGTAAGCGCGAGATTGCTTCAACAGTTATCCATGAAATTTCTCACCAGGTAAAAACGCGGTGCTTCTGCCTCTGAACTCGGTACCTTGCTTCGTCGTGATAAGATAAAGAGTATATTAATTAATAACATTATTTTTATGGTCCTTTGCTGTCATAGTGGTTCGGAAATCTGGTGACAATGGATTGGTGGTCAGACCTATGGCTTTTTGAAGGGTTTGCCACACATCTGGCGTACATTGTTATCGACGAGCTGTTTCCGGGCTGGGACATCTGGTCTGAGTTCGTAAAACGGATCCAAGAGGTGCTGAAACACGACGCTCTGCGAACATCGCATCCTGTAGAAGTAGGTGTTGCCAATCCAGGCGAGATTACTCAAATTTTCGACGAAGTCAGCTATATGAAGGGTGCATCGGTCCTCAGGATGTTGGGCGCATGGTTAGGCCAGGACCAGTTGCTGAAGGGGATCAGAAAGTTCATGCTCAAGTATATGTGGGGGAACGCCAACACGGAGGACTTGTGGGTCACTATGGCGGAGGAATGCAATGTTGATGTACCGGGGTTCATGCGCAAGTGGACAAGACAGACTGGGGTATGTGCATCAGGCAATTTGCTGTATAGAAAAATGTTGGCCATGGATGAATGTATAAGCGACTGATGCCGCATCTGACACCGCGAGTAGTACCCAGTGTTGTCGATCACCGAGCTGGACGAGTCAACAATAGTGGTCCGACAAAACCTTTTTCTCTCCACAGGCGATGTCCACGATGAAGAAGATACTCTTCTTTGGCCTGTGCCTTTGGCGGTTGCTACTGCCAATGACCCAACTCCTCGGAATATTATGCTGAATACCAAGGAAATGATCCTCAAAGTCGACACGACGAAATGGTACAAGTTCAACATGGGTCAGACGGGGTTCTATCGTGTTGCATACCCGCCCAAGACGCTGGATCTCTTGGGACAGACATTAGGAGCACGAAAAGGCCACGAGACCTTGGATGCCGCAAATAGGATCGGGCTGTTAACAGACGCGGCAGCGCTAGTTGCGAGTGGCCATACTCCAACGAGCAGCTTCCTGACCCTGTTGAAGTACTTTGAGGACGAGGAGGATTATATGTAAGTCATCGTACTTCAGAAATGTGCCATTTAACTGCAAAGTATGACTTACTAACGCAGGTACCGATTTCGTTTGCTATCGAAACCTGTAGGGTTTGGGCTGAGATCTCATACAGGCTCCAGGAGCTGTTCTCAGTCTGGCTAGAGCAGCCTGCGCGCATCATGAATGCTCTTAAAGAGGTTCAGCGACGTCTCTTCACAAAGGTCGTGAAACGCTTGGGCTGGGACTATCCTGAAGAGGAGGATCCTGCCATTGGAACATTACGTGCCTTGGCTATCCGTTATGCGGGACGAGCAGGCGACCCAGAGTACGTTACATTCGGTCTTTTCGCCCAACAACAGCGTCGTATCTTATATTACCAGGCTAACTCCATGTTATGAAACTGGTTTTACTCTAGAATTGTGGCCGAGGCCAGGAGACGGTTTAGAATCTTCATGAGCAACCGTGACATGTCGGCAATCCCTCCAGATCTGCGCTTTCCTGTGTTTGAAATCGTTCTCCGGACGACAACCGGTGTAGAAGAATATGAGGCAATCGTGGACTATTATCGCGAGACATACATGCCCGGAGAGAAGGTGGTAGCGCTCACAGTGTTGGGCTATGGCCACTCACCCGAGCTGATCCACCGGACTCTCGCCTTCGCCATGTCGCCCGAAGTTCGCACACAGGATATCCTTACTGCGATTGCGACATTGCGGTCGTCTGTGCTTGGACGAGCTGAGCTTTGGGGCTTTATGAGGCGTAACTGGGATGTGTTATATGAGCGCCATTGCGACGACATTCGATTCCTAGAATTCTTTGTCCTCTTGTGCATAGGGTCATTCTCAACCATAGAGAGATATCGCGAGTGCCAAGAGTTCTTTGCCACGAAGGACAGGAGTCTGTACGAGAGGATCCTGGCAACTTGTTTAGAGGGTATCCGGATGCATATCCTGTGGCTAGAAAGGGATCGGAAGGACGTGGAGCTTTGGTTGAGGAGCAACGGCTACTTGACGACTGGGCTTGAGGAGGATCTGCACCTGCACCGAGAGCGAAATGTATGGCCTGCGCATCATTCAATTGCTCAACGATCCATGCTTGACCATGAGGATAGCCTGGCGACTGCCGGGAGGAGCAGAAGTAGCAGTTCAGTAGATGGATTCTCTTCTTCAGAGACTGGACAAACGGCCTGCTCGGACTCTTCGGCTACATCGTCATGCTCATCCTCCCCGCCGAGCGTGCACCTACAGCAAAACCAGCGTCACCGGCATCACCACCATCATCACCACCATGACCACCAACACGACCATTCATTTTATCTACAAGAGGGGAGCCAATTGCATTCTGAGATGTATGTGCACGGCCCAGCGGCGTTGACGGACGAACAACTTCAGGTTCTGCAACTGCAACAATATCAGCAACAACATCAGCATCAACACCAACATGAACGCCAGCAACAGCAGGCGATATTGCCGCAATGTCGCCAGAAAGTTGGCTTGGATTTGGGTGCCACGGTGCACCAGATGAGCGAATTGATGGTGCTCTCGGCAGCAACTGTTACTGTTGCGCCACGGACACTGGAGGGAGAAATGGAGCTGCTGAGAGTTAACGGCGAAGATGACTATTGAGAAATAAATCTTCAAATCCGCACATCTGCGCACGCTTAAGTGACGCAGGGTAGATAGAAACGATGCATATGCAACAACACCTCAAAGCCAAATAAGCCCAAGCTGGCAACCCACTCATCACCACAACATTCACTACACATTCCTGGAGATCATGGGAACCTATGGCGGAGGTAACTTCATCGGCTCGGTTCACGTTGCGCAGGCGAATTCAGCGTTATCATCCCAACCGCTTGAATTTTGATTACGCGTCGACCCAAACTGATCATAATAATCACCATCCAATCACGACTCTTTAGACGAAGTCGCGGCGCTAGTTCTGTCCGTCGGCCACACATGGACGCAGGCTGGATATGCAGGCGAGGATACACCAAAATCTATTTTCCCAACGTCAGTAGGTTGGGTCGACTCACCTCCAGAGGCTGATCAAGGCGACGATGCAGACAACTCGGAGGACACACAGATGCAGGATGTTTCACAGCAGCAGCAGCAACCTGGCGAGAACGGCGCGGGCAATAACATTCACAGTAAGGATGCGGATGGTGGGGACGTAGCACCTCAGCAGTCTGTAGGCACAAGAACGGTACCGACGAAAAAGAAGAAGGCTGTGCGTGGCAAGTATTATGTCGGCGACGGAGAAATCAGCTGCTGGAGACCAGATATGGAGATCAAGTCGCCTATTAAGGATGGTCTTGGTAAGGATGAAAACAACTGGAGGCGAGCCATTTCAACGTTTGCGTTGTCCGTTTGTTGGCCGACGAGCGCATTCATGACTGACGATAGAATCTTGCTGTGCTAAACTTTTTTTTTTTCTTAGTCGAGGACTGGGATGCACTGGAGCAGATCTGGGACCACGCCTTTTTGAAAAGACTTCGCTGCAATCCCGCGGAACATCCACTGATCATTACAGAGTCCGCATGGAATACACGCGAGATTCGTGAAAAACTGACTGAACTGGCGTTTGAAAAGTACAACTTTCCAGCATTTTTCGTCGCCAAGGACGCCGTCATGACTGCGTAAGTGGAGGCAGGGAGGCCATGAAAAGTGTGCGCTAAGCGTGAAAACGCAAACCATGAGTTTGACTAAGTTTTATTATCTTTTTCACCACTCTAGATTCGCCGCAGGACGCCCACATGCGCTAGTTGTGGATTCTGGTGGAGATATGACGAGTGTGGTGCCCGTGTATGACGGATATGTTCTTCGCAAAGGAATTATGCGACAAGCATTGGGAGGCGACGTTCTCTCGGAGCAGGTCCTGCAGCAGTTCCAGGCCACCAATGTCGATGTCGTCCCTCAGTATCTGGTCGCCAAAAAATCGCCCGTGGGACCAGGACACAAAGCGAACGTTGTGTTGAGAGACCGCCCTGCGACAGCCAGCTTCCACAAGATGATGCAAATGCGTGTTATTCACGACTATAAGGAGTCTGTATGCCAGGTCTCCGAGTCGACTTATAACGAGCAGTAAGTCGAACGATCGTTGTGTTGACAGGCGCTGCAATATGCAAAATGCTGGAAGCATAATCTTTTACAACACCATGTCTCAGGAATGGACGCTGACTGTTCTCACTGTTCTCTGTCTTCTGTAGAAATATCTTGGCGAGACCACAAAAGCCATACGAGTTGCCAGACGGATATAATCTTAACTTTGGAGCGGACCGATTTAAGATCCCAGAGATCATGTTTAATCCCAAGGACTTTTTGAAGAACCCGACACCAGAGCAGGAGAACTTTGTTGGATTGCCCAAACTCATCTTCAACAGTGCTCAGTCTTGCGACATTGATTTCAGGCCCACGCTCTTCAGCAATGTTGTATTGACTGGCGGTAACACTCTCTTCCCTGGATTTGCAGACCGCCTGCACTGGGAGCTCAACAGCATACCCCACTCAGTAAGGACCACAAGGACTGTCCATGTATCTTTACCAATTTTATTACAACTATACTCACATCGTGCGTCGTTTTCGACCAATTTTCTGTTGGACCCTCATAGTACAAGGTCAAGTTGCATGCGCCAGGAAACACTGTGGAGCGCAAGTGCGGAAGCTGGTTGGGAGGATCTATTATGGCCTCGCTGGGCACCTTCCACCAGCTCTGGATCTCTCGAAAGGAGTACGACGAGACTGGAGCGAGCATCGTTAACAAGAAATGTGTGTAGAACATATTTGCGACTGGATATACAGACGCTGAGCGTAATAAAGAATAAATGCTTTTGCTTATGGATGGCTATCACGGTTCCTTCTGAATCGCTCGAGAGTGAATGCTTGAAATGGTTTTTATTGTATCCCAGGATGCCAAAAAGCAACTTTATTCGAGGTCATCGTCGCTGAAGCCCTCCATCTGATCGTTGTCGTCAACAGAGAAATCCTCCTCGTCATCATCCGAGAATTGTGGAGCCATATCGCCCATATCCGAGTAATTGTCGTCAGATGCGTCATTATAGTGGTCCTCCTGATCTCCGTCCTGATCTTCTCCCTCTTCAGAATCATTGCGTTTCCTCTTCCCGTTCGCGCTCTTGCTATCTTCCTCATCCTCATCTTCGTCCTCATCCTCCGCTTTGCGGGGTGCGCCGCCTGTCGCGATGCGATGTGCTTCCTTGGCAGCCTCCTTCTCCGCCTTCTTCTTGGCGACATTAAGCTCCTGTTCCTTACGGCGGGCGGCCTTCTCCTGCATCTTCTTCTGACGCTCGGCCTTCTGGGCCTTGAGTTCCTCGGGCGAGCGCTTGATGAAGTCGTGGTAGAGAACCTCGCCATCACAAAGACCCGCCTGGATCTTTATAAGTTTAAGTTCCATCCGTGGACCCAGCTCTACAAGCTTGATGGCTCTCTGATCCTGCTTGCGGTTATTGCGTCCGATGTAGTCCTGGCCCAGCGTTACGGTTGAATCGGGACCATCTTCGACATCAGATTCTGAAGCGAATGCGCCGCGGAGGACGTAATCTGAAATATCCTCGAATCCCTGCAGATCGGGAACATCTGTGGTGATGACACGCTTAATAGATTTGGAGATGCCGACGGGTTTGACGGAGACGTTGTAGTGGCGGAAATCGATATGCTTGGTCTCACTATTGTAGTTCAAAAGAACCACACGTCGAGCTTCCGATAATTGCATCTAAAAAGATCACGATTGTTGAATACCATTAACAAAAAGGGCGCTTTTTGATTGAACACCCTTCTCCGCTTATAAAACATGGATATAGCACTTACAGTCTGGATATTAATTGGGGGAAACATGTTTTGAAATACTGTGCTCATCAATTTCATCTCGTTCGAATCACCAAAGTTGTTCAGAACCAGCAGAGGGGCCACATGGAATTCAAGCCCTGGTGATTTGGGTGCCTTTTGCATAGCAGCGATATCCTTGGCCAGAGAGTAGGTTTTGATCTGAAATGAAAGAGTAGGTCCACGCGGAACACGGGCGATCCTGAGGTTGGTGCCATGATCTGTCCGGGACAGGATCACAAAGTGTGTCACGCCCAAGGGTCCTGCTACGGCGACGAAATCACGTAGACGGTTGTTTTTACGTTCCTATAGAATTGAAGAAGAGGAAGGTCGATGGGTCCATTAATCATTCATGATGAAAAAAAAACCGATCCTGTGCTTCCAACGGATCCGATAGTTTTCAAAGTAGATTGCTTACTCTGAGTTTGGTTGCTGTGTTGGGCTCCATGAGTCGACGGATATCGTTAACGAGCCCCATGACAGAGTGGCCGACCTCTCCTGATCGCATGACGAAGGTCTTTGGGACCTTTGCTGCGTTCGGGTTCTCTCCTTCCTCGGCCTTCTTGTGGGTCCTGTTTTTCTTGCGCTACAGGGATACGTATTGGAGACATTCTGTTAGAGTGAACGTTCTACCGTTCGGAGCGAGGTTGTAGTGGAGTGCAATGGGATGCTGACGGAGGGCTAACTTACAGCCTTTCCCATGATGAATGTATAAGGGGTGGTGTTGGTATGAATGCAGGTGTGTGTGTGTGTGTGTGTGTATATGTGTAGGTGTGTGGGCCAAGCAAAAAAAAAAAAAAATGTTTACATTTGTGGCTTTGTGGACACAGTGGCAGCACCTTCTCTGTTGCATTTGACCCTGGGGTATAACAAAGGCCTCCTTCACCCTGGTTTCATTGTTGAAGCCGTAGCTCGACCTGCCTTAAGGATACCACCCTAGGCTGAAAGGTCCTTCTTCATCAAAGGGAGAAAGAAGGTGCGCGTTGTATATGCCGACACCATTTCTTCTGCTACAAGAACATGACCTTAAGCATTACTGTCTACATATAAACATCCATAGCCTCGATAGTTCAAAGCTCCCTCAGTTGATCGATATCCGCTCATCTTCAGTCTTCTGTAGCTTTCGTTAGACAATTGCTGGGCCGCCTTGCTTGTTTCCTCCTTCCGGATATGTCTTCTTTCTCTGAGGTATGCCGCGATAATAGCCATCAGGCTGTCCAAGATCATAGTCTATTGGGACCAAGGGATCTGGCAAGGGAGAAGCCAACTTCTCACGGGTGGTGTGACCACGACTCACAATGACAGTGCAGATCCGGACTGCAGGTTCAAAAAGACCCTGCTCTGCGCTTTTTTGCAGTTTTCAGTTCACCTTCCCCGCCTCACTGGAACCACTTCGCCCGAAAACCAATCACAAAAAGCACATTCGCATCATGGCACAGGAGCAGCAGGAACAAAAGCAGATCAGGGTCGGCGTCTTGGGTAAGTGAAGCAGGGACCTGATCAGAATCTGATCAGAATCTGATCACCTACCCCTTCGACTCAGAAACACGGCCCAGAGATATTTGAATGGATTCCATCACTCTGACTCACATACCATTTCGACACAAATATAAATACAAATAGCCCTCCAAGGTGCATTTGCCGAACATATCATCCTCCTCAATACCCTTCCTCAGGTCTCAGAGGCTGTCCCTGTCCGTAATGCCCAGGAGATTGCGCAGGTCGATGCTCTGGTGATCCCCGGCGGCGAGTCCACAACAATGGCTCTGATTGCGGAAAGATCCGGCTTCTGGCCCGCACTGCAGGAGTATATTCAGACTCACCCCACTTGGGGTACATGCGCAGGCATGATTCTTCTCTCAGAGGCCGTCACCTCCGGAGGCACGCTGAAGGGCGATCAAAAGTTGCTGGGTGGTTTGGGGATCAGCATTAAGCGCAATGCATTCGGCACACAGAAGGAGAGTTTTGAGGCAGGTCTCCATATTGAGGGCTTGGATTATGCGGAGAAGTTGTTCCCAGGCGTCTTTATTCGTGCGCCCGTCATCGATGAGATCCTTCAGCCAGAGGATGTCCAGGTCGTGGCCAAGTTAGAGCGGGATTATGGAAGGACGCCCAAGGGAACAATTGTAGCCGTGAGGAGGGGACACCTGCTGGGGTCCGCTTTCCATCCTGAGCTGACTCACGACAGCAGAATGCACCTCTTATTTGTCAAGATGGCGCAAGAGTGGATTGAAACTCAGGCCAAGTAGAGCTGCTTGATGGAGCTAAAACCGAACTGGAGTGTAGAGACCGATAGATCCATGTATAGATCCACCAACGATAGTTAGATTATATGTGACAAAAAACACTCGCCCAATACCAATGTTATCCCCTTAGCTCCGCAATCTCACTGAGGACTCCGTTGAGTTCAGATAGCAGGGCTTTACAGCGCGTTTCCATCGGTTGTTTTGAGGGATCACCATCGCTACAAAGCTTTATCATTTCTTTTTCATCACCCCTGGATCTCACTGCTGAATCGACTTTTTGCAGCCTTGGATACTGTGGAAAATAGCTTCGAGGACTGTTAAGCAAGTATATAAGTGGTTATTCAGGCATTTTACGGACAACGACAGGTTTTGTGTAGCAATCAGACAATGGGTGGTGGGTTTACACATTGGCATAGAGACAAAGGAACAGCTGCTGCGGATGAAGATGATTATCGGCTTCAAGTGACCAAGGCACTCTCCACATCAATAGAGGACGGATACTGAAGCAACAAACGTCCTAGGTTAAAGGCTGTTCGTGTTGCCTCCTAGCCATCCCACGCGAAGGCGTTACGGGCTCGAATCAAGAAGTTGCAAGATCTTCGCCCTACCGACAGTACGCACATTCGTATTAGCAAGCACAAACAGACCAAAGGGAGAAAGCTGACAAAAGAGGGGCGTCGAGTCATTCTATATTGTTAAGAGTGTTGCAAAGCAGGGAGAGAAAGTGGCAAAGCTGCTTCGATAGCCGGCCCTATGGAACAATGCTAGAGATGTTGTACTGAACAGAAAAATTGAAACTACTAGCATTCAAGACACACATCTCCCTTACTTGAACCTATTGCACCTTAACTGTGTTTTCTTCGTTGGACTGGCTGACAGTGGAAAGAGGATGGTTATTTTGAACGGTCCATCCCTTTGTTAGCATCTCTCGGTTCAGAAGATAACGCGACGGAGACAGAAGACTCACCAAGGTGATTGTTGGCTGTCAATCACACCCCGCCCTCTTATTTCCCGGCATCTATCAAGGCCTGCATGCATGCGTTGGCGCCTATACAATCCGCGCCTTTTGGCAACTCTCCATCGCTCCCTACCTTGCAATACACCTCCATTTAACCAAAGCACACCTTCGACTTTATCATTCCTTCTACGCATCCCCGACTCCCCCTACAGAGCCATGCTTCAATACAAAATACAACTTTTATCCCTGACCTTGGGTGGCATACGAAAGCCCTGAATGTCCTGCAGGCCCAGGCTCGACAGGCCCAGCTCGCGCTTTTTTCTAAGCTACTCCCCATCCTGGTGTCGCCAGCACCACCATCCCGCCAGTCAGCAAGCGCTGGAGTCATCTTTAAGCTCTCGATATCCAAGCACGATGCCACGGGAGCCTCCAAAGTGAAGAGGGGATTATGGTAAGAATATGGAAACATTTCAACTATGGGTTGTAGACTATAAATACTTTTCTTTCTTTTGACACCAATGCTATGAATATAGCTTGTCCTAGATCTAGTCGTAATGACTCCCTTACCATCTTCGTGCATCCTGAGGGTCCACAAGGGGGCCTATATGCACCGTCACAACCGACCGAGGGAAGATATTGGGCTACAGCGCCCGCGAGGAGATAGCCCTTTGGGGTCGCCTCCTGCGTCTTGCACTGCTACTATACTAAAGACAAACTGAAATGAGGGGTCGTTGACATGCGGTGTTTTTTTACGAATATCTCCCCTGACATTGAGTGCTGCTGCCCCTCACTCACCGTTCTTTCTTCAAATCTGCATACATCTCACTGGAGAAATAACATTCACTGATGAATAGGAGAAAGTTGCCCTAGATTTCTAGAAAGGCAGAATAAAGATCAGAGTGCTGGAGCTCCAAGGGTAACTATTTCTAGCCTTGATGCCAGTGGGTTGATTTTGTCCGGCAAAAAGGCACATATAAATACTCTTCAATTCGATACAGCTCTTGTCAATATCACAGCATCTCTTTATACGTTTCTTTCCTTCTCAGCGCTCTTCTCGCAAAAACGCTTATACCAGTCGACATTCAAGAACAAAAACAACCATGAGGATTTCTGCTTACTCAGTGACCGCAAGTGTAGCGGTCTTATCTGCCACCGTATTCGCGTATCCCGCGCTCTACAAGCGCGTTGCAGACGGGGCCAATGTGTTCTCTTGCTTCGCGACGTGAGTATTGCTGGCAAGCTGTTTCTATCTCGCGTTATCAAAAACGATATGCTCGTAGATTGACTGTAATCTCTTCTCTCGATGAAATGTCTTCTTGCTACTTCAGAGCGTTGGTGACAGGCACTTGGTCTACCGACTGTGCAGCAGCTAGCGCGGTGAGTTCCCTTCACCTTTACCGAGATACGTGCATCATACGATAGAAGACATGGCTCAGGATGCATTACTCATGTTCATCCTATATTTGGAGTGTATTCTAGGTCGATGTAGGGATCATTCAGCGGGTCAATGTGAAAGACCTGCTTATTGATTTCACCGCCGATGATCCTCGCACGTTGGGTCTGTCCTCGACAGGTCTCTCTGCGAAGTTGATCTCGGTCCCTGGGATCAAATGGCCGGTAAAGGACACGGCTCAGCATGTAAGTCGATGTGTGTCTTGACGCGAGATCGTTTCACGAACAAAATAATAAGCGCGCCCTAACATGGGGTTTCTTTCCTCCCATACCTGTCTCCAAATACTTGCTCCTTCCATTCATGCTGACAGGTTACTATTGTTGTAAGTGCAGATAATAAATACATTTGCTATTGCCATGCAAGTCCTACTTATGGTGAATTACGACTGATATACAATCCTTTTGCGATAGGACAACGGCAATGCGATTGCCACTTTCGATACCCCAACGTCCGCGGCATCCGTCACCGATGGCACCCTCTCCAGCGTCGTCGGCAACTCCGCTCTCAAGATCCCTCCCGGCCAAGAGGACAACTTCTCGGCCTTCATCTCCGCTCTCGTCAGCCAGCCTTCATACGCTTTTGTCCTCCAAGGCTCCGTTGACGCCACACTCTCCGTCTCAACCCCGGCTAGTCCCTCCCTCAGCGGTATGGCCCCCTCTCCCCTTGAAAAGACCTTCGCTGTCTCGAACGTAGGATTCAAGTCCCCCATCACCCTTGCCGCCTGCAACAATTTCCCTCAAGTCCAGTATCTGAGCCAGGCCAGTTTCACCCACGACGCTGCCACGGGCGAGTTCACACTCACATCCTTGATCAACATTCATAATCCTTCACAGCTCGTTCTAAAGTTAGGCGATATCCGCTTCAACACGATCGACAAAGCAGGCCAGGTCGTGGGCGTGACCATGCTCAAAGACCTAGAGCTGTTGATGGGCGACAACAAAGTCGTCGCGATTACGACTTCGATGAACGCGGAGGCATATAATACGATTACGACTACAGGGGATACATATACGCTCGTTGGATTCGAGAGCTCGTCCGCGAACCCAATCTTGGCAAAGGGACTCTTGTCCTTCAAGACCCAAGTTGTGGTGCCAAAACTGGATCCTGTAGCCTAAAGCAACTATATAGGAAAGGATTACTCGGCACAAAAAAGATGCCGTCCCTTCTGGATCCACCGGAATGATGACATTAGCTAAATAAGCATAGTACACCAGCGCATCTCTGAATGCTGCTATCCCACCTCCTCGCATCAGCATCTACCACATTGGCCAGTATGTCCTCCTCCTCCTCCCCCTTTGGATGCCTTGCTGCAGCAGCTCTCGATTTTCCTTTGGTGGCCTTGCATGATATCCTGAGTAAAAATTGCTTTCTGATTTTCCTCATAAATAGCCAGATAGTATGCGCTTTTTGCATCTCAGTCCATTCCAAATATCCTCTCTGCATCGCCTCTTTCATTCTCACATTGTTCCTATTTAGACCCGATTTGACACAAAGCCAAAGAGAATGAAGATCTCAGCATTCACCTTGGCAGCAAGTGCTGTGGCCCTGTCTTCCACTGCTTTGGGTTTGCCGCCCCTAATCAAGCGCGCAAGCAATAAAGCAGCTGTTGTTACGTGCTTCGTGCAGTAAGTATCCGCACTCCTGCTCTTCTCGATATCAGTAATGTAAATGATAACTGCTAAAAATGCAAACATGGCCGCTTTTTTTTCTCTCGTTTCAAAGACTCTTCACTTCTCAAAGCCTGTCTCCTGCGTGCTCCGAGACTGTCCGGGTACGCTTCAAAGTGTCTTTTTCTGAGATGTTCGATAAGTCTTCATCGCGACTCACATCTGTACATTCTCTTCGTTTCTCAGGATGATGTTGGACTGGTCCAGTCTGTGGACATCAACAACTTGGCCCTGTCATTCGCACCCGACGAGTCTATCACTTTGTCGTCCACAGACCTTAAAGTCAGCTTACTCGCCTTCCCCAGGTTCAGCGTTCCCATTACAAAGGCCAAGCAACATGTAACGAAAATATACTACTTTTCTCTAGGATAACGTGAGGTTTTATTTACAAGCATATTTGCACAGCAGCTAAAGCTACTACTTCTTCCTGTCTCCTCCCACTCCACAAATAGGTGACCATCGTCGACAACGGTATCGACATCGCCCGCTTTGACAGCTCCGAAGCTCCTACCACACTCAAAGGAACCTCCCTCTCCACAACCCTCCTGCCCTGTCTCGTCACCGTGTACCCACAGGCGACCGACAACTTCATCGACTTTGTCACCTCCATCTTCTTCAACCTCACACACACCTTCCAGCTCAAAGGGACCGTTGACGCAACTGTGGCCATCTCCCCTCCTACCCCAAGCTCCTCACCATTCGGTGGTATCGTACCCCAGCTGCCCTCTAAGGAAATTTCCTTCACCAACGTCGGTTTCTCGTCCAATGTCACACTCAGAGGGGTCAGCGGTATCTCCCGTGTCGAGTTTGTCAAGTCCATCAGTCTCGTCCAGGACCCCGCCACCGGCGGGTTCACGCTTACCTCCATCATGGGTTTCAAGAACCCGTCGGCCTTGACATTCGGTCTGGGTGATATCCATTTCCAGACAGTGGATACGGCCACGGGTGTGATGGTCGGGATGACAGTTTTGAAGGACTTTAAGCTGGTTCCTGGTCAGAATGAGTTTACGGCGGTAATGACCTCGGTGAGTAAGGATGTGTATATGGCCTTGACGACGGTAGGGGCCGCATTGGCGTTGAATGGATCCGCGACGGAGTCATCAAGGAATCCAATTATTGCGCGCGTGATCGCGAAATTGGACATTGCGGTCAAGATCCCGAAGCTGAGTGCGAGCGCTTAAGGCGGAAGGATGACGATGTGTTATCAAAACGGATTGACGAGGGGGAAGACGCGCGAAGAAGAAGATCTGCACACTAGATATGCATTTTCTGAGATTAATGAGAAGCCCTTCCCCCCTTCCCCCCCTCTCTCTCTCCTTCCCTTCCTTCTATTTTATCGACTTTAATTTTTTCTTTTCCGATCGGCATTCCAATTCCATAGTTCATCCATGTAAAAATGGACCATCGACTGAGAATGTCGTTAAGCAGTAAAGCATTTTCTGAGGCTGCATTTTTTTTGTGCGACCATGAGAAGGGGATCGCAAAACGCGTTCATCGGATGTGTCGTGAACTTTATTTTTTTATATCCACATCCTATCGACCGCGCCGATCTTTTTTTTTTTTTTTTTTTTTTTTTTTTTTCAGCCAAGTGATTTTTCTAGGGATCCCACCAACATTCTATGTGGGTCAATCATTGGTTCGAAAGAACGCGTCGTTCAGGACAGCATCGATTTCATGATTATTCGAATGAGCTATATTACAAGGGCGACTATAGTAGGACTGTCTTCTGCTGCGCCTTTTTTTTCTTTTTTACAGGGCTGTTGCAGACTTGATAACGGATTATGTAGTCGACGTCGAGTTGGATGATTTTATATAGCTTGAAAAGGTCTCCTCAGAGGCAGACTCGTCCAGGAGATCGTTCACAAAGACATCAACCTCAGCAGCCATCTCCTCATCCACCTCTGGAAAGTTCTCCAAATGGTCATCATCACGGTACAGTGATAGATACGAATCCGTTCCGTAGCCCTCCATCGAAATCAAGGACAGGTCGCCTCCGAAATAACGCGCAATCAGCCTGGCAAGAGGAAGGCCATGGCCTGATCCACTCAACGGCAGATCCAAATAGTCCTTAGCCTCGCTCGCCAATCCTCCCATAACAGCCATCGAATCCGCAGGCTGGAGCACCATCCTTGGAGCTGTCTCAGTCTTGGAGACATTAGATGTATGCAATGTCGAGGTGGTTGGGGCCGACGGTTGAAACGGCGTTGTGGTCGTCGTGGTCTTGGGGACCTCCTGTTTCATTGTGCTCGATGACTGTCGAAGATTAGACGATCCTCCTGAATGAACATAGCTCCAGATGTTGTCCATTTCGCTCAATGCCATTCCGCCGCCTTCGTCAGAGATCTTGATAGTCACATCCTCACCGCCATCGACCAAGACCAGCTTGATGGGCGGCAGCTTTGATTTACTTGTCGTTGCAGACGAGGCCGTGGACAATCCCAAGGAGACAGGGGATCCATTGTTCAAATGCGTCTCACTGGTCGCTCGCATAGCATTCTTGAGAAGCTCATAGATATTCCTGTGCAGAAACTCTTCCACATATGTTGTTGTGATATCTGGATTAGGGGTATGAATGAGGACTGATGGCGCTGCCTGCCCATAATGAGCAGCGCACACTTTCTGAGCATCCCGAATGGCGCTTTGTGATATCGACAGCGGGTTCACGCGTCGAACCAGATTCAGACCGCGATCATGCAATGCCAAGTGCTCACCTATCAAATAGCAAGTGACCAACAGCGATGAGTATTCCATTCGAGAGGATATGATTTGAATATCCTGAATGCACAAGTAGACCAAAGACATGTCTTACCAATCAGGAGTCGGGTCCCGAGGTTGATAGTGTAGAATCGGTTAAAAAAGGTCTGGATAGCCCTGTCTGCCGCAGGATCGATAGTGTAACCCTTGCCGTTGTGATAGAAAAGTGGGTTGTGACCAGAGTCGTGCTCAATGCATTCTCTCTGGACGTTATCCATGAGCTCCCTGAATCCTCTACTGATAGCCAGAATCTTGATCTTATGGCGCTGTTCCAGATTCCGGAGCAGGGCAGTGAACTCTTCTTCTAATTGAGGTGTCGAGGGTTTCGGCATCTGCGTCACCATGCTATAGACGAACCATGAAAGGCCGTAAAGTCGTTCGTCAGTACGCTGGATAGCTTTAGCTAATGTCTGCTGTCATTTTATAGCCCCCATGTTCTTGTATTGTATCTGCGTAGACTGTGGGATCCATCGTCCAACCATAGCCACAAATAAACAAGTAAAAATAAATAGAATGTGCATGCCCCTGTCTCTCCAGTTTTTTTTTTCTTCACAAAAACATGTGTTAGCATGTTTGTGCTATTGTATGTGGTTGGTAGTGCTGGGTTTGTTTGGAGACGTCCGCGATAAAAGGGGAGGGGGGCGCGATTTTCTGTGTTGTTGGTCCCGAGTTTCTCCACATTTAAGGGATCATGACAGTAATGTGTCATAGTGCTCTTCACTTCGATGTAAGGAGGGATGGTGGTTTACCTTATGTCTTCCAGGTACGAGCGAGCAATATTCTGGAAATTGGGCATGTCTGCCATGTTGACCGGCAGCAAATTCGAGTTGAGCATCTTAAGTGCGTGGGAAAGCCGGATTGGCAGCTCCTGATGCAGGAACACTGCGGGGATGACGAGTGCACCCTGGTTCTTGGATTCCAAGACATGTCTACGACGAAGGGCGTGAGGCAATTTTGATTCCGTTTAGTAGGCTGAACCGACTGAGACAGGCAGAGCTTTTTTGCATGTGCAAATAAAACAAACGTAGGCTGCTGTCCCATTGCTGTATAGGATGGACGCACCAACGCGCGCAAGGAAGCCTCAGGTCTGGGCAGAAAAAGAACTGATCCTCACTTGCGATCCCATCATCTTTTGCCACACGACAATAACGGGATGAAGAGAACCCCTGGTTGGAATAAAAAAAAGGCGAAGGATAAAAAGGGAAAGCGTAGAAATCATAGCGATGGAATAAAAAGAACAAAAAAGGCACTAAAAGCAATCGTGTGCCTAGTCTACAATGCGCATCCATTCTCGGCCGGGTACCTGGCCATGGGTAACAGCGCATGGGAACCCATTACAATATTTGGAATAACATTGATATTCTTCTTTACCTTCCAAGCGTATATATCTGCTTCAGCTAAGGTCATCAAGCACCCACAGAAGCAGAAAAAAAAGGAAGAGATCAGAGTAAGGTTGTTAATCGCACGAATACACCATGTGGTGCAAAAGACAGGATCGCCAACGATGACACGCACAGGGTGCCGACTTACAGAAAGCCTGGTGACCTTGGATCGACACAGCTTATTGATTAGATCGCTCGGTAGGGCGTGGAGTGCGGCGTGGGTCTGGTTCATGGTGGCAAACGATCGGTGTGGAGTGCGGGGGATGAGAGCCGTGCGCCTTAAGCGGGGTTGAGACGGGGCAGAAGATTGGTGGCGATCACGAAGAGTCGGCTATGGCAGGCACATAAAAGAGCGACGACAACAGCAGCGAAGGATCGAGGGAATGAGCAAGAAAGGGGAGGAGAAAGAAGAGAAGAGGGGGAAGAGCTGAAGAAGAGAAAGAGCTGAAGAAGAGAAAGATGTTCCTTTTCCTTTACCCCGGATGGATTGGGTTCATGGGTTCAAATTCACTCATGGGAGTCATACTTGGAAATCTTATTTCACTGGGCCAATCACACCGACCTCTTAGTGCTTTGCCCGTTCAATACATGTCATTTCTTTTCACATGCCGCAGGCCGTATCGGGTCCCAGGTACCTTGAGGCCATAAGCCATTGCAGTCTGGATGGCTGGCCAGAGTATTGACCTTGTAGCATGGGAAATTTGCCTGGACATAGACATAGCACATATCTATACAAAAATAAACATGTCGACCTTTTTATTTTCTTGGTTAAATTACAACGGCCGCGCGAGAAGCTGATCGACCTGCTCAATGACCTGGTGAATATCCAAGCGCATGGCAGGCTCGACTACCAACATGGCCTTGACCAACGCCCTGAACTCTGAAGAGTACCGATCCGCCTGATCCACCGTCGGAAAGCGGATATTTCCGTTCAAAACTGCAAGCGCTATTGACCCTCCCTGGTTGATTTGATTCGTCTCGAAAGGTGAGGTACCATATGCCATTGCATACAAAGTACATCCGAGTGACTGGAAGCAGCGTTCAAAGCAAAGTAGTTCGTGTCGTATCAGACATAGTGCACAAGTAGGAGGTCATGTTTCGAATCGAATGCAGCATCAACTTACCCAGATGTCGACCTTCTCATCAAGAGTTGCTCCGGTCTTCACATCAAACAGCTCCGGCGCCCTATAAGGCATCGAACATTGCTCTGCTGCCAAATCCTGCTCCTGCAACGCCTGTTGTCGTGTTTGGATCTTGACCCGGGCCCTCGCCATTGATCCGAAATCCATCAACACCGGTGTCTGTCCGTCATCAGCAATCATGACATTGGCAGGCTTGATATCACGATGTGAAAATGGCACAACTACATCATCATTGTCCTCTGCTGGCCCTAGTCCGTTGGCTCCGCCATGGCCGTTGTCGTTGTTGTTGTTGTTATTGTTCTCGACATGGCGACCCATATCCGTCATTCCGGTGCCGTGCTCTGATCCTGTAAAAGACACGGACGAGCCCTGCCGCCTCATACCCGTCCGACTGTCGCGTGAATCCCAGGCCTCGATACCACTGGTAGAGGCATCATCTTCCTCTCGCGAGCTGATAGGCACATTGGGCAGTCGATGACAGTGCAACGCCCTGACGCCATAACAGACCCCTTTAAAAAATCGCAGCATGTCCGGCTCTGAAAAGTGAGTGTGGTGGAGCAGGTTGGCAGAGATGGCATCCAAAAGATTTCCACGCTTGTAGTAAGGCAGGAATATATAGACGATCTTGCTTCCATCCTTATCCGATACGACGCATGTATCCTATTACCATCAAAGGAGCGGGTCAAAAATAGTGAGTTGTGGTGTGTTCAATTGATAGCCGTTTGCACAAGATTAACAAGCGATCCAATGACTACTACAGGACAACAATGTGCGACGGAGAACAGCCCATTCTTCAATGCCAAGAACCGCAAAGTAGACAGATACACATACCACGACCTTGATCAAGTTTTCATGATGGAACGTCCTATACATTTCGGCCTCCTTCATTGCATCCTGCACACCCTCACTTCCGAAAGGACAGCGAATCTTTTTCAGCGCATAGTGTCGCCCTGTTGCCACATCCTGCACGAGATATACAAAGCTGAAACCACTATTCGCCGTTAAAGAAAAAGAAAGAAGGTCGATAAAGGTCGATAGAGCAATTGATATTTCAATAGTTGACAGCTGTAGAGCGCAATTCAGGCACTAATTGACTCCCGCCCATGGTGCTTTTGTGTCGCGTAGTTGAAGAGGGGGAGGAGGGGGTTATGGTGCCCTTACCCTTCCCCAAGCAGCTTGATGACTTTGAATGACCTCCTGTTGATGTAGAGTGTGGGGTTGGGCAGACAAAGGCCAGTCAGCTGGCTGACGGCATCTGTGATCGTCGTGAGGAGCGCCTGTGGGCTGATGTTCATTATGATGAAGCCTGGCGAGAGTGTCAAGAGCGGAAGGGAATGCAATCTATAGTTTGGAGAAAGGACTTTAAAAATAAACGGCGACCCTTGCTACCCTTTCGCCCATGCAGCCGACCCCAGTCCAGGTTGGCCAGTCACTCCTTAAAAGGTGCACTCAAATCAAGCAAGGTAGAACTGTTTGCCCATTGACAAGATGAATGCAAAACAGTCGACAAACCTTAATTGAAATTACCGTCTTTTAGAGTCGAATAACATGAAGACTCAGGCTTATTATCCGAGGGCCAGGACCATACATGTCCCACCCTCTTTTCCCCACCCTGGTTTGCTTCTGGACTTCCTGGCTCTCCTTTGAGAAGATAGTAGACTTTTACAGTCAAAGAGTAGAGTTTATTTCATTTTTTCTTACGGGTAGTTTATTAAAAGAAGATAACACCTATATAATGGTCCTGGCCCGAAGGATAATGTTCATGAATGCATGCATGTCTATCTCTTTATAATCCTACAACGCATAGTTGAACTGTTAGTTTTGTAATAAGAGAGTGGATATCAAGAGCTTGAACATGACACCAGTGCTTGCTGACTGGCGGTAATGGTGGTGCTGGCGGCACTAGGATGAGGAGTAGCTCAGAAAAAAAAGCGCGAGCTGGGAGTGCTGGGCCTGTTGAGCCTGGACCTACAGGACATTCAGGGCTTTCATATTCCACCCGAGGTCAGGGATAAAGTTCTACTTTGCACTGAAGCATGGTTCTGTGGGGAAATAAGAGGATAAGAGGACAAGGTGTGATTGATGGCCTGATGTATGTCCGTCTATGATTGAGGCCAGCTCGCGTCAAATCTTTTATTCATGCGCGCAGAATAGACCCTGCGGAACAATCACTTTGGCGTGTCTTCTGTCTCCGTCGCGTTATCTTCTGAACCGAGAGATGCTAACAAAGGGATGGACCGTTCAAAATAACCATCCTCTTTCCACTGTCAGCCAGTCCAACGAAGAAAACACAGTTAAGGTGCAATAGGTTCAAGTAAGGGAGATGTGTGTCTTGAATGCTAGTAGTTTCAATTTTTCTGTTCAGTACAACATCTCTAGCATTGTTCCATAGGGCCGGCTATCGAAGCAGCTTTGCCACTTTCTCTCCCTGCTTTGCAACACTCTTAACAATATAGAATGACTCGACGCCCCTCTTTTGTCAGCTTTCTCCCTTTGGTCTGTTTGTGCTTGCTAATACGAATGTGCGTACTGTCGGTAGGGCGAAGATCTTGCAACTTCTTGATTCGAGCCCGTAACGCCTTCGCGTGGGATGGCTAGGAGGCAACACGAACAGCCTTTAACCTAGGACGTTTGTTGCTTCAGTATCCGTCCTCTATTGATGTGGAGAGTGCCTTGGTCACTTGAAGCCGATAATCATCTTCATCCGCAGCAGCTGTTCCTTTGTCTCTATGCCAATGTGTAAACCCACCACCCATTGTCTGATTGCTACACAAAACCTGTCGTTGTCCGTAAAATGCCTGAATAACCACTTATATACTTGCTTAACAGTCCTCGAAGCTATTTTCCACAGTATCCAAGGCTGCAAAAAGTCGATTCAGCAGTGAGATCCAGGGGTGATGAAAAAGAAATGATAAAGCTTTGTAGCGATGGTGATCCCTCAAAACAACCGATGGAAACGCGCTGTAAAGCCCTGCTATCTGAACTCAACGGAGTCCTCAGTGAGATTGCGGAGCTAAGGGGATAACATTGGTATTGGGCGAGTGTTTTTTGTCACATATAATCTAACTATCGTTGGTGGGTCTATACATGGGATGTGCATCGCACAAGCTGTGGTGTGCATCTACATGATTGTGCAATTCGCATCTTTCGCATTGCGTCCCTGATTGATCCGCCGAATGCTGTTCTTGTGTCCATTCTTATCGAACTTGGCCCTATCCGACAACCTTGTCTGTGCCTCCTTATTGCCGTTCGCCGCTGCCAACTTATAAAATTCCATCGCCTTCGTCATATCGATAGGGACCGAGATGCCGACCTCATAGTAATATCCCATCGCATATTGCGCCTTGGGAAGCTGCTTGTCTGCCGCCTTGGCCGCATACTGGAACGCAAGCGAATCGTCGGCCTCGAAGCAGTTCTCTGCTCCACTGAGATACCATCCACTGAGTGCCATCTCCGCCTCACCTTTGCCATCGCCCGCAATTACGGCACGCTCGTAGTGCTGAATCGAGAGGAAAGGGTCGACTTTGCAGCCCAGGGTCCCGTACTCGTAACAATAGCCCAGCTTGTAGTTTGCAGGGCCGTACTCTAACTCGGCCGACTTCTTGAACCATTCCAGTGCCTCACCATCATCGGGAAAAGCAATATCGTCGGGAATGTTGAGCTCAGTGTATTCACGAGCTAGGATTAGGCCGAGGACGTAGGGGGATAAGGGCGAGTCTTCTGTCGCAGACGAAGCAGCACGCTTCAAATATTGGAGTCCTGTCTTCATGTTCTTGCTCTGACCGAGATCGCCATACAAGTAGACCATAGCCAGGCGCTAATGAGAGAGTAAAATAAAAAGAGAACACAGTCTGTTAGGGGTCATTACTCATAGATACTATTACGAAGTGTCCGTTCACTTCGCCATGCCACTTACGTGGTTCGCAGGAACATCATTCTGTGTTGCGGCCTTCTTGTAGAGGACGATGGCCTTGTTATTGTCCTTTCTCTTTTCACAAAAGCACGCGACCTTGTAATGAGCAGGAGAATAGTCACCCTTGGATGCTGATTGGTAGTACCGCAGGGCCTTGTCTGCGCTTTTCTTTGTGCCATACAGACCATCCTCGTACCATGTCCCACGAATGTATTGAGCCTCTGGCTGACCTTCCTTAGCCAGTCGATCGACCCAGTAAATAGCTTCTTGGGTCAATTGGCGCATTCCCATGCTTTCTGATCCCTCTGGTGCGGACGTGGAGCTCGATGATAACGCAGACGATGATCCTGGTGACGCAGATGCATTGGATGTCCCCAATGACGATGAAGACGGCTCTGCTGAAAACATCTCTGAAGGCTCTCCAATATCCAGTAAGTACTTTGCGTACGACAGCTGCAATGTTGTATCGTTGGTCTTAATAGCGGCATCACGGTATTTAGCCACCATGGCTGCATCGTTCAATAGTGAGATCGAGGTCGCGACAGAGTTTTGCTTGGAATGAGAATTAGAACGAAGACCGGGCCCAGGGCTACCGTCAGGACGGCGAGGAGGCGTGCGGTATCCGTATGAGTTGTTAGTGTTCATAATCATAGGCAAGCTGCCATCGAGTGACTCCGGGGTGTTGGGAGACCATGACTTGCGATGCATCTGCCGGTTGCCTGGCACATCCATACTCATATTGTTGAAACCGTTGTTGGACATTCCAGAGTCGCCTGGACCCATGTTTCCTAAATGACAATATTTAGACATATGGATTTAGTCCAACAGCCCATTGAATTTAATGTTCATTCTTGTGCCTCATCTCACAAGAAAAGTGCTCTCGCGCATGTGACAAGATACTCTGCACAACGTACCTGTGTATGCCATGGGCACGCTTGACGTCGAGTTATGTTGCTGGTGGTGATAGACAGGGCGGTGCTGTATGGGAGATGGGTCCGTCTGCGCATGCGGTCTAGGTCCAGGCTGCTGGCCATACGAAAACGACTTTTGGTGTTGTAAGTAGTCGCCCGAAGGAGTTGTCTCCTCTGCGGGCGAATCTGTGTACCCAAAGGATTCCATCATGAACTGTCCTGGGTTCGGAAAGCGCTCACCGGGATAGGAATGAGTGGGGGTCGCAGGTGTATCCAGGAGTGCACCCCAGTCCTCTGATTTCGTCGGGAGGGGTCTGAGGATGTCGTTACCACTAGTGGTGTTAAGTGGTGATGGCGTGGCCCTGCCCGATCCGAGTCCAGCCTGCCCCATCGATGCCGCCCGCAGATGCTGACCATGATGGGCACGATTTTCGTCCGAAGAGGACGATGTTCGAGAGGGAGACGACGCACGATCGCCCATCGTGAATACCGAGGGCGAGGGGGCTCGAACTCCACCTGTCGGCACAAATGGCGGCGAAATTGCATTGAAGTTGTTTCCATACGCGCCGTTGGCAGACTGAACAGGGGAGGAAATTCCGAGAGCAGGCACAATACTCGACGGACTCTGCAGCTCACCCCTGTTCACAACCGGCGGAGGAGGTGGATAGCTTTGATGCCTGGATGCTGGTGGTGGATGATATGGCTGCTGATACTGTTGTCCTTGTCCTTGTCCTTGTTTTTGTTCTTGTTCTTGTTGTTGTTGTTGGTGGTGCTGCTGGGGTAATTGCTGAGGAGTCTGCTGAGGAGTCTGCTGAGGAGGAGTCTGCTGCTGCTGGGACTTTGACTGAGGCGTGTACTTTGACTGAGGCACATACATCGACTGAGGCACATAGTTCGTTTGGGGAGCATAACTCGCCTGAGGTGCATAGCTCGTCTGTGGGGTATAGCTTGCCTGCGGGATATAGCTCGTTTGGGATGTATATACTGTTTGCGGGACATATGCCTGCTGTTGCTGTTGCTGTTGCTGTTGCTGTTGCTGTTGCTGTTGCTGTTGCTGTGGCAGCTGTTCCTGACTGTAACCGACGTAAAACTGTGCCTGTGATGATGAAGGCGCCATTGCGTGACCAGGCATGCCCATAGCCAAAGAGGCGGGAGGAGCACCTAAGGTAGGTGATAACAACAATGAGGATCCGGATGCACCGCTGTAAGGATTTGACAGCGGAGGGACAGGAGCGACGATCGATGCTGAAGGAGGAGGAGACATGGGTCTGGTATTCGTCGCCGCGGAAAGTGCATGTTGTATCGTCGTAGGAACTGGCTGTAAGCTGAATGTTGCGTTGGTTTGTGGAAGAGGTTGAGGATGAGGATGAGGATTAGGATTAGGAGGAGGGGGCTGGAAAAGGTCCTCGCCAGAGAGGAAAGATCCAAGTCCGTCCGAAAAGGAGCTCTGGCCTGTGAGATGGGGTAGAACCAGATGTTGCGGTGTTGGTTCTTGTAGACTGCTGCTGCCATAGCTACTGGCACCATTACTGACTTGATTCGGACTTTGGGAGGCACCAGGCAGAGGAGGCAGCTGCTTGGAGACGGGCTTGTACTGCTGTTGATGAGGATATCCATTGGGATTGGTACTGATACTCAGACCCTTTATCTCCTGCTCGATCGACATTGGCGACTGCTGATAGTTATTTGCAGAAGGAAAGGGAGCAGCAGCGAGAGGAGGAGTATTCACAAGGCGGATGTTTCCTTCATGTTGTTGTTCCTGTTGCGGCACTTGCTGCGGCTGCGGCTGCATGGTCTGCTGAGAAAATGATGGGCACGAAGCCATTCGATATTGTTGCTGCTGGATCTGAGCCATAGGCCGTGGAGGCAGATGAGGATAAGGATTGCTCCCTGCAAGCAGCCCTGAGGACGCAGACGGCGGCGAGTGATGAGTCGAGGACATTTGACTGAGGTGGTTTCTTTTGAGCGCTTGGATGCTTGGATGCTTGTCTTGTTGGCTTAGAAGTGAGCTGTAGCAGCTGTATCGGCGGAGTTGCTGAGAAGGGCGTCGACCAAAGACGGTGTAAACGATGCGGGCATGGACCAGGCGATAAGATGAGAGAGGGAGGGGAAAAGAGAGAAAGAGAGAGAGATAAGATCGATACGCCAAAAAAAAAGTGATAAAAAAAGGTGTTCAAGGGGATCGAAATGTCAATTGACACAAATGTGGTGTATATTATTCTTAAACAGGGTGTCAATCTCAACCAAAAATATATATAGATTTATACGCATACATACAATGACGCAGAGACGGAGCGAATGAGAGTGAGAGAAAGAGAAAGAGAGAGAGGGAGATTGCTTGCAATGCAATGAGAGTGGACGTTAATGAAAAAAAAGAGAGAGAGGGTGAGGGAGAGAGAGGGCGAGAGAGAGGGTGAGGGTGAGGAAGAGAAAGACGAGGAAGTGTGCGAGAGAGAGGAATAAGAGGAAGAAAGAAGGCGAGAGGGAGTTGCAGCAGAGGTACAGCATTTGTTTTATTTTAGAGAGAAACCCATAAAAATAGAAAACAACCATCCATTCACCTTCGATGGAGGTGGGTGGCGATGCATACATTACTATTGCCACCATATACTCTCATATGAGTATCGGTTACTGCACCTTCCTTTGTTTCTTTGGCTCCTTGTCTGTCCTCACCACACGACTCAGTTGCTCCTCTACCACCTCAACAACCAGTTTACGAGAGAACAGGGCTGGCGGTCCTTTTTCCAAATCTCATGCACATGTATATTACATGAATGCGAGTATATTTGTTCCAGAATGGATCTATTGGTATCTATACCTGCCCTCTGTCTCAACCTACATACCCTCCCCTTCGCGGAAAGAGATTGGGGTTGAGTTTAGTTCACGGTTGCTTTCGGAGAAAAACACTGAGTACGATGGGCACGAGTACGCGATCCAAGCACTGCATCGCCACCGTATCTTCTGGTCATCTGCTCATACATTACAGAGGCAAGCCTACGTACGCAGACTATGTAATTCATAGTCCACTCTGAAGGAGGAGACATGGTGCGTTGAATGAGGTATTCCTCCGTACTGGCCTCAAGTCGATTTACCAAGGATCCAAAGAAACATCGATCTTCTACAGGCTCTTTTTTTTTTTTGAAACGAGTTGGTGCGTGTGCATGGGGACTGTGCACTGTAACATGTAGGTTAGATTTGGTCTCCTATGCAAAGAGTAGTTGACGCGTAGGCCTGCCTGGCTGAACGTGCTCCTACCGCTTTCAAGCATGTCTCCTGCGCATCAGTCTATGTAAATGTTCAGCACACACACGGTCTGGGGGTGAAACGTGGCGTAAGGGAGCATCATGTGATGTGGTATGCCTCCTTCTTGCTGATGCCTTGTCTGCTGCATTACTTCCCATCCCTCTCCTTTTCTCGTCTTCATCCACATCCCATTCTCTTTCTCCATCCCGCTCTCACGCCTGAACCTCTTACCCCTTGAACACAAACCTCAAAAGAAGAAAAAGGGAGACACAGCCCCCCCGCACATCCCCATACTCACTCACTCACTCACTCATTCACTCAGGTAATGCTGTGTATTGTCAAGGCGACATTGGCAGGCGAGCATAGGCGATTCACCCTCGCCAACCTCGACCGCACCAATATTCAGCAGAATGGATCCATATTCAGCTTTGAGACCCTTCACTCCAAGGTAAAAAGGGAATTTTAAAAAAATCCTTATTGGGGAAGGAGATTGTTTGCCAAGACCCATGGGCACTTTTGGGCACGTACTGCATACACAGACGCACTTACGCACACTCGCTGTTCTTTTGCTCCTTCATAGCTCTGTGCGTTGTTCAACCAACAAAAGCTGACTATCATCTTCGAGGACCAAACTGGGGCCCAGGGACGCATCCAAGACGACGCCGATGTCTTCGCCGCAGTTCTCAGTTCGTGCGACCTTGTGCCACCAAATGCCTCGATGGTCGTTATCCGTCTGAGTGTCCAGCCCAATGAAGGTAATGATCGACTGTGACTTGGTTTTGATGCTTTGCAACCCAGGATGGTTGGACTTACATCTTCCCAATGCCAAATACACAACACCGTGTGCTATAGATCCTCAGATCGTTGCTCCCCTTACTCGTCCTATCAAGGATACTGCTCCCGTACCACCCCGCTACATGTCCACGTGCTCCTCGACGGTGATCCTGTCTGAAAAGATCTCAGAGAGCAGCGCTCAAAAGGCTGCTTGTCAGGAGAGTAATCACAAAAAGGCCGAATCTTGTGCCAAAAAGGGATTCTGCAAGCCCGTTACAGTCAAAAAGTCGTCCAAGAAAAGCGCTTGCAAAAAGGATACCAACTCGACGACGCAAGGCGAAGGTGATTAAATCTTCTTACAACCAAGGCTTTGCCACACAAGTTCATCTGTACATCGGATGCTGATATTTTGTCTGTTTTGTAACAGTGATCCATAGGAACGTCTTTTGTGATCTCTGCTTGAACATGATCAAGGGAATACGGCACAAGTGCCAGAGCTGCGACAATTATGACCTTTGCCATAGTTGTCTGATTTTTGCAGCAGAGAAACATCGTCCTGATCATGTCTTCTACGCGCTCACGAAGCCTATCGAGAATACGCGACCCCGCATTGCGGTGGAAGGAAACTTTTCGACCGGTTCATCCTCGCAGTCGTCGTCCCGCAGCGTGAGACATTCGGCCACATGCGACCTGTGCACAGTGATCATTTGCGGTACCCGCTACAAATGCTTCGTGTGCCCAGACTATGACTTGTGCCAAGAATGTCTTCCGTTGGCACAACTCCATCACAAGGGCCACAGTTTTGCGCCAATAACCTACCCGGGCCAGGTGAAGATTAACCTTGACAAGACCCATCATTTCGACGTTGTATGCGATGCATGCAATAGCGATATATGCGGCGTCCGATACAAGGTACGGCAATCGAAAGGCTGTCCAGCGCGATCACCATTTGCCGAAAATATAAGCTAACGCGAGTGTTTACTTCCATAGTGTGGAAACTGCCCTGACTATGATCTCTGTGGCAACTGCGAGGCTTCACCAGTCCCTGTGCACGATCCTCATCATCTCTTTATCAAAATTCGGACGCCCATCAGCGAGCGCATGGGAAGAGTGCATCCCCTCCTGCCTATAATGTACAAGAAGGGATGGGGAGCAGATGTTTGCTACCATTCCCAGGCTACGAATAAACGCTGTCCTATCAGTGCCACATCCACTTCTGCCCCGAACCAACTCTCTGCTGCAGAGGCATCATCCAGTGTGGCAGCGCCGCCACTAGCACTAGCCTCGTCCAGTGTGACAGAAATAGTACCAGCAGTGGTGCCTGATGTCCTCGTTCCTCTCTCGCCACCAGTCGAAACAATGTACGAATCCACATATTTGATGGAAACTCTTGAGCAACATATTGGTTCTAACACTGTTTTTTTTCTGTCTTTCTCATAGCGCCATGGTGCCAGCTGCCATTGCTGATACCATGCCCGGAGCTTACGCGAAAGATCCGGCATGCAAAGCCATATTTGTCAAGGACATCAACCTACACGATGGCACAATGATCCAGGCAGGCTCTCAGTTTCTGAAGATCTGGGAAATGTCTAACTCTGGCTCCTGCGATTGGCCCAAGGACACGGTGGTTCAATTCGTAGGTGGCGACCGCATGTTTACGGATGTTGACATGCATGCTAAGACCCCATGTTTCAAGATTCCGCTGGCGACTGTTGGTGAGTCGGTCTGTGTTACTGCAGATCTGAAGGCACCAGCGTCCCCAGGCCGCTACATTTCGTACTGGCGCCTAGTTGCACCCACAGGTGAGCCTTTTGGTCAGCGTGTGTGGTGCGACATCCTTGTTGAGGAGGCCTCCGAGAGTGGTTCAGATTCCGTCAGTTCCTCGGCCATGATCTTCCCTACGGTCGACTATCAGGAGAGCAGCAATGCGAGTGCTACGTTTCCCAAGATCGCTGATAATATGGTGACAGCGACGGTCACAGAGACGGCTACGGCGACTACGACACCCTCTATGGCAAATAGTTACCATGCGGAGACAGCGACGACAACATCGATGACTGAGAATCAGCTTTCAATGACATCTGAACGGTACACGACCCGTTCTAGGGCGTTGTCGATGTATGGATACGACGAGTATGCAGATGACCGAACAGAGACAGAGACGGAGCTAGGAAGCGATGGGATCACGACGACGGATCGATTCTTTTCTGACGACGAGGATGAGTTTGTGGTTGTTATCGAGAGCGATGATGACTAGAGCACAGTAGCTTGAATAGTCTGGGGCAAACAAAGCAAGCCGAGGAGGCAAAGGAAGCATGGACCATGTCTTTATTCATGCATGGGTTGTTATCTTCAAGTCTAGGGTAGTTTTGGGCTCAGTTGCTGCCTGATTTCGTAGTGAATAGCAACTTTTATTACTTTGATTGAAAATGAACAAAAGATAAGAAATGAATATAACAACATAACGAGCACGATGGCACTTTTTTGTATGTGTTGGCGATGAACTAGATGCAGTGGAACAACCCTCTTCAGTCTCCTTGGTGCTGGGATGTAAACACGTCCGGTTGTGAAGTCAAGGAAGGAAGGAGATTGTCACCAATTCATATCCCTCCTACCCATCCATTGAGCATGGGCCATGGTGCTATCTACCGAAGACGACAAATGGACCAGAGGAGATAGCGTGGTTTAGATGATAACATATCTACAGCATATAAAAAAGAGACGAATGTCCCTCTTCCCTCCAGTTACTCCATCCGCTTTTTTCTTCATTCCTATTCATTCCTTTTCTCATTCCTTTTTTCTTCCGTTCATTCCCCAAGTTATTCGCACACGCCATGACCGCGTCTGATAAAACTGCCATTAAATTCACGGCTGTCAACAAATCTGGCCTCCAGGAACATGACGGCACTGGTGTCATTCAACTCGATCCTTGGCTAGAGCCATATTCGGAGGGGTTGAGAAAGAGGTACTCAATATTTTTTTTTTTTTTAATTCATGTAGCGAATGCTTCGAGATAAGGATTTGTCGATCCTATTCTCATTTTTGATGCTTATGGGAAAATCTTATCCAGATACGCCCTCTATAAGAACTGGAAGGACAAGATCGACCAGGCCGGCGGGTACGAAAAGTTCAGCAGGGGTTATGAGAACCTCGGATTTACCATCTCAAAGAAGGGAATCACTTACCGCGAATGGGCGCCGAATGCTGTGGAAGCCTTCCTCTTTGGCGACTTTAGTAAGTGGGGAGATTTTTTTATAAGCGAGATGGAATATACATGGATTTGATTCCCCCCCTCCCTAACAAAGGTTTTTTCTTTTCCCTCCAGATGGTTGGAACAACTCAAGCCATCCTATGAAGAGGAACGAGTTTGGTGTGTATGAAATCTTCTTGCCCAACAAGGCCGACGGATCGCCTGCGATCAAGCACAATTCCAAAGTCAAGGTAAAGCGTCATGTACCCAAAAAAAAAAAAAAAACTCCCACCCTTATCTTAAAATACTGTGGTCCTTCGATCTATTGAATTTGTCGCTAAACGTGTTTGCATTATCCCGGATGTTTTACTCCCCCCCAAACAGATTACCATGATCAAGCCCGACGGAACACGCATCGATCGTCTCCCGGTCTGGATCCAGCGTGTCACGCAGGATCTGAGTGTGTCCCCGACATATGACGCCGTTTTCTGGAACCCACCCAAAAAGTATCAATGGAAGAACAAGTCTCCACCCAAGCCCACCAGCCTCAAGGTCTATGAAGCGCATGGTAAGCGCATGAAAGGACCGAAAAGGAGTGACGTTTGTTGGCTGAACTAAATACACGAGGGCGCTAGGGTTGTGATTGTACCCTGTTTAGAATGTTTTTGTTGCACTGACCAACAGACTAGAAAGATAGGCAAACTCCGCTTGTGTACTAATTTTGCTTGTATCTCATGATGCGTTTCTTAGTGGGAATTGCCACGCCAGAGGGTCGTGTTGGCCAATTCACGGAGTTCACGGCCAATGTCCTCCCGAGGATCAAGAAACTGGGCTACAACACGATCCAGTTGATGGCCATTATGGAGCATGCCTACTATGCCTCCTTTGGCTACCAGGTCACCAGCTTCTTTGCCGCCAGCAGCCGCTATGGTAACGAACCTCCATACGTACTGTCGTTGATACCCATCGTCAGTGCTCTCCGGATACTAAATACATGCAATTTACTTATACCTTTGGAAAAAAAAACAGGTACCCCGGAGGAATTGATGGAGCTGATCGATACAGCTCACGGTATGGGCATCACTGTGCTTCTTGATGTCGTGCATTCCCACGCCTGCAAGAATGTGCTGGATGGTCTCAATAACTTTGATGGAAGCGACCATCAGTATTTCCACGAGGGCGCTCGTGGTCGACACGAGCTTTGGGACTCGCGTCTGTTCAACTATAACAGCTACGAGACCATGCGATTCCTCCTGAGCAACTTGAGATTCTACATGGAGAAGTACCACTTTGATGGATTCCGATTTGATGGTGTGACTAGTATGATGTATCTACACCATGGCATCGGCTATGGGTTCTCGGGCAATTACCATGAGTACTTTGGAGATACGGTTGATCTGGAGGCGGTGGTTTATTTGATGCTGGCGAACGACATGCTGCATACGTTGTACCCGCAATGCATTACGATCGCAGAGGGTGAGAATAACTTGAACGCGGATATCTTGCTAAGCTCGAGGTTGTGTATTATACCATCTCAGTTGTTGACTCTTAAACATGGCTCTTTTTGATAGATGTCTCTGGCATGCCAACACTGTGCAGGCCTGTGTCAGAGGGAGGTGTCGGCTTTGACTACCGCCTGTCGATGGCCGTGCCCGACATGTGGATCAAATTACTCAAAGAAAAATCGGACGATGAGTGGGATATCGGCAACATTGCATTTACGCTGACAAACAGAAGATACAAGGTATTTATTTCAACGCACTGAGAGGAGAGGTTTTTCTCTATTCTTCTTCGATGTTAGTCCTAACGTGCGCGTATTGGCATGTATTGGCACGCATAGGAACCCTCGATTGCATACTGCGAGTCCCACGACCAGGCATTGGTCGGTGACAAGACGATCGCATTCTGGCTTATGGATAAGGAGATGTACACGCACATGAGTGTCCTGACGGAGCTCACGCCCGTCATCGACCGAGGAATTGCACTGCACAAGATGATCAGGTATATGTATTTTCCGTCTAAAACAAGTTTGATGAAAAGTGTTCTCTTGATTGCAGCTTGCTGATACATGCCTTCACGCCTTGCCTCTTAGACTGGTGACGCACGCGCTTGGTGGAGAGGGGTACTTGACGTTCATTGGCAACGAATTCGGACACCCTGAATGGTTGGATTTCCCACGTGCGGGCAACAACTCTTCGTTCCATTATGCTCGTCGACAATGGAACGTTGTGGACGACCAGCTGCTGCGTTACAAGTTCTTGAACGAGTTTGATGCCGCCATGAACAGCGCCGAGGCTAAGATCGGCTGGTTGAGTGCACCCCAGGTACATATTACATATTTGTTGGAAACGATAGTACTGGAATAGACAATCGAATGAACGAACACATGCAACATGAACCACTCTTCTAACACTCGATTTTTTTCCCTCTGTAGGCATACGTGTCGCTCAAGCACGAGGGTGACAAGGTGCTGGCGTTCGATCGGGCGGGTGCGGTCTTCATCTTCAACTTCCACCCCACAAAGTCGTTCACGGACTACAGGATCGGTGTTCCGAATGCGGGCGAGTACAGGATTGCGCTCAACACGGACGAGTCCCGCTTCGGTGGTCATGACCGCGTCAAAAATACCAGCCAATTCTTTTCGACACCGGAGCCTTGGGGCAACAGGGACAATTATATCCAGGTATATATCCCATGCCGCACAGCGTTGGTGCTTGTCAAGAAGTAGAGGGAGTGTTGGATGTAGGGAGAAAGCGAAGTCAGGAGAACCACAAATATTCTGGGCGGCCTAGTGGTACGCCAATAAAAATAAAAAATGAGATGAAATAAAAGGGATCCGTAAAATGGTGGTAGAAACGGCCCCGGTGCGTACTTGGAATTTTACTCTTGAGCTAAGCACTGTCGCGTACGGCTGGGTGCAGCTTTTCGCAAGGTCACACAAATCCAACGCGGAACGCGTCGATTCCCGGGCTGCTGACGAAAGCCTAGAGCGTCCTATTCATTTGATCATACGTCATTCCTGTAAACAAAAAAAGAAAGACTAAGGCGGACACAGCAAAATTCACCCACATACACCTTCTCTTTCTCTGCAAAACTCTCCAGTCTTTTTATTTTTCTTTGTCAGCCATGCTCCTCACGAGAATCAACCCTGTCGCCAAGCGGATCGCCACGGTAAATGGAATGGGATGCCGAAGAGGGAAAAGTGGAATGAGCTGAGCATGGCGTTTGCAATGCGGAATACTTTTTGGTCAAGTGAGAAAAAAACTCTTCACTGACACGGCGCTCACATTGATTTGTGTATATCGCTTGGGATGATCTGGACATTATAGCCCACTCTTGGATCCGTTCGTACGCTGAGTAAGTCTTTTTTTTTTTTTTTTTTTTTTTTTTACTCTGGACCATTGGTCACTCACGCTTCCTAGCGTTGTCGTATGTTACAGCTAATCGCGATTATTATTATTTTTTACTCTTGGTCTTTTTTGAATACAACTACACTAGTTAATAAGGCGACGATTGTTGGACGTGTTGGACAGGACGCCGAAATCAACAAGGTCGGTGATCGTACCGTCGTCAACTTTTCAGTAGCCACGTCCGAGACACGGAAGGATGAAGAAGGTACTTTTTTTTTTTTTTTTCTCACGATTTTGCTTTATTCATTTATTTACCTTTTTCTTTCTTTTTCTTTCTTTTTCTTTCTTTTTTTTTTTTTTTTTTTGGCGGTTACTGCTGATCATTGATGGGCATTTAGGCAATCTGATCCAGACGACGCACTGGCACAGGATAGTCTCCTGGGATCAGTTCAGGAACCCCTATCTGAGCGAGAGGGTTCATAAGGGCGACTTGATTTATGTCGAGGGACCGATCCATTATAGGGCTTACACCGCAAAGGATGGCACGGAGAAGCATCTCACGGAGATCACCTTGAGTACGTGTTGCCGTATCGTGGTTCATGGGATGTGCTGTTATTGTCAACATTGCTGAGGGCTATGTACTAATGATATTGGGGCTATGCTTTTTTTTTTTCTTTCTTTTCATTATAGAAAACTTCCAAGCATTGACGCCCAAGGAGCAACAGGAATAAGAAGGCAGGGATATAGTACTTTACTCAATATGCATGGGCATAACGGATCGGATCAGAAGAATGGAAATAAATAAAAGTAGACGGAACTAACGGGGAGTAACTTCCGTGATGATCAGGAGAAGGAGGGTCCAGTAGGTCGGGGCACCATGGTGAGAAAAGACCCGAACCACGCATATCCATTCATGCTCCTGCATCGAAATCTTCCTTCGACTCAGGAGCATGACTATCCTTCCAACCTGGGGTAGAAACCTTACACTCGGATCTGCACCTGGATCCACCGCGGTATTGGTGGCTGTGGCCATGGGCATCCCTATCACCAGATCTCTGTATCCTGATTCTGCCAAATCAGCATCCAGAAGCGTGTACCCCACACCAGCCAGGACGCTCAAATCCTCCCTCGAAAGACCGTATCCGAATCATCATCTGTAAAAGGTTGATTTGAACGGGGAGACAGAAAGACAAAATGCTACAGACAATGGAGTCCTTTTTAAATAAAAAAAAATAAAAAGAAGGGCAGGATATGTAATATACTCCTGGCGTCCAATCAATATGGCACATAAACTCGATAGCCTGTTCTGAACAATGACTTTATTTCTTGATACTATAGCTCTTGTTGGTCGTACCATGTTCCCTCACTGCTGTTACTATTGATCGCTGAAGTATTCTCTTGAGTGCCTACAGGTCTCGTTGGTGCAGGTGGGGCATCGGAGTGAGTACTGCTTTGAGATCGAAATCTTGTCGGATGTTTCCTTCAGGTGCTCCTTGACAATATCCGCCATGGCCTGAATAAATACCGGATCCGCGTTCAGTGACTCTGCTCTCTTCAGTCCAGTGATTCCAGCCTAGCATGCAAGATTAGCATATGCGACGCACAGAAAGTAATGGTATCAGAATCTGTAAACACATCTCAGTGCAATCAGCAGCAGAGTGTTCCATGTCTTCGGTCCAATGCTTACCTCATGTGCCTCCTCGCCGTATTCCAGATCCAGCTCAAAAAGGGTTTCGATATGATCGCTTGTGAAGGCGATGGGAACCAGAAGCTGGTCATTATGCCCCTTCTCACCCAAGCCCATGATGGCCTTATTGGTCTGTGGTCCCAGCCATGGTTTGGGTCCTACTTGGGATTGCCAGACCAACCTGTAGGGGTTGCAGAACTTCAACTTATCCATGACAGCGTGGACGGTGGCTGCAACCTCTGAAGGATAGGTGTCACCTCTGTTGACGATATCCATTGGCAGTGAGTGTGCTGAGAAGAGGATGACGACCTTGTCGCGCGACTCTGCTGAGTACTTTTGCAATCCTGCCTCGATCTTGTTCGCGAATGCCTATCGGTCGAGAAGAATATGTTGGAGATGTCAATCCAGTTAACAGAACAGGCAAAAAATGAACAAGCTTTATCCACCATACCTGAACAAGACCGGGATGTGAGTGCCAACGGTCGATGACGGACCACTTCATCTTGCGTTCAGGGTCAAATTCCTGGAGCTGACGGTAAAGCTCATTCATACTGCTTCCAGTAGTTGAGCAAGAGTACTGAGGATATTGCGTAAAGGCAACCGCACGCTCGACGCCATCGGCCTTCATTTCTTGCAGAGCCTCAGGTGTCAGCGGACTGGCATATCTAAAGGCAATATAATGTTTATGAGGAGCTGGTGCGCAGCATGCCGGTAGAACGGATCGGCATCCATTGTTAACATTTTGAAACACTCCTTCACTTTAAACAATAGCAGCCAGCTGTCAAAAAAAAAGGCAGAAAGCGCGACGTCATACCCGTCTCCGGAGAGATCTTGTCCAAAAGCTTCTCCATGGCAGTGCCTTGCTCAGTAGTCCACTTGCGGATAGGCGATCCGCCACCAATTTTGTTGTACTGGTCAATGATCTTTGGCGTCCTGCGCTTGGCAATGAACTGGGCCATGTACTTTTGGAAAGGCAGCGGGATCAGGTCTCCGTCTGAGAATAAGCGCAATAGGAAGTCGTTAACCTCTGATTCCTTGGAAGGACCGCCCAGGTTCATTAGAACAATTCCTGTCTTACTAGGGTACGCAGGCAATAAAAATATATCATTTCCTGTTAAAAAACATGGTTTCCAGCTCCAGATATATAGAAACAAAGTGTGCTTCCCACCCAGGACAGGATCAGGCATGTGAAAGAGAGAAAAAGCGCGAATCTTACGGTTTTGACGTATGGACGTCGTTTCTGTCGGTTGACAAGGAAGCGGTGGCATAGGAGCGAAGGGCAGAGACTGCGGCGTATCAAGTTGCGAGTGAAAGACGACAAAAACGACGCATGAGTAAAATGGTTGGATGTTGAATCTGATCCGATATAGGTCCAATCCTGTGCCATGAGAACGTTTCCAGTACCTGAAGAACGATTCCATGCATTCCTTGAGAGAGCCGAGACACCTGATGGAGCCTGCAGCAGGGACCGCGTTGATCTGAACATGGTGGCGACGTTTTTTTTTTTACGAAGAAAAGGAGGGTGTCCGAGGGGAAGGATAAGAGAATTAAAAGAGACAGAGAAGAATGGGTGGATGGAAGGAAGAGAAGAAGGAGGCAGAGGGTTTGGACTTTGGAGTCGGTAAAGTTGCCCTTTCCATTTCCTCTTACACAACGTCCAAACCTCGGAGGATCGCGAGTAGTGGCTTGTCGCCCATTTATTTCCTTTCTTGCAGCGCGAAAGAGCGCGTCCTAGGAGCTAGGTTCATCAAAAACTCTATTTCCGCGACATGGGCGCCTAGGCGTATTCCATTTGTATTTTCGAAGACATTAATGCAGTCGACTGAAGGCATGTTAATAAGAGAGCCAAAGCGTACGGCCCACTGTGGTTCTGAAGATGCGAGCGGCAATATAATTATTATTATCTATTGTATATCAAGCTTTTCAACACACTTGCGAAAAAAAGAAAAAAGATACACTTCTACTTGTGGCCCTATTCTTCCTGAACCACCGCTTCATTTTCACATTACGACCAAAAGCCCATAAGACTTCGTCCAGCAGAAGAACGCGCCTTATTCTTGAGCAGGCCGTTCATGAAGCCAACTCCATCCACAACACCTCCGACCATGTTGGAGACCGACGCAACGGATGCTGCGGAAACGGGTCTCGAGGGCTTCTGGGACTGGTACCGTTGATCCTCCAGGTCCTTCTCGTACTTAGACCGGAATCGAGGCGTCTTGGATAGGTCTTCGTAGTGGGGTTCTTCAAAGACCGCGCGTGCTTGCTTTAGATGAGCGAGCATCTATTATAAATAGTAGAGTAGTGTAGAAAGTAACAGCAGGCGTTAATGTATATGCCTTCTTGATTGAAATAGTTTACAAAAAAAGAAAAAAAAAAAAAGAAAAGAAAAAAAAGAAAAGAAAAAAGAAAAAGACAAAGCGATTGGTACCTTCTCATGATAAGCAATCTGAGAGTCCAAAAATTCCTTGGTGCCCTTTTGAAAGTCCTGGATGCGCTCGTCGTGTACACGATCCATCTCCGCCAACGTAATATTAAAGACCGTGTCGCATCTCGACTTGACAGTCTCAGAGTCGATCTCCTCCATGGTTTGCTCCTTTTCAAGGATCTCAATCAGCTTCTTGTGAGTTCCTGTGTGCATGTCCACCAAAGGGGCAAAAGTCGATGAAGGCGTGGCATTCTCCTTGATCATGTCCTGCCAAGGCTGGCATCCCTCTGTGATATGCGTCTGGTGAATGTTTGCCATAAGCTGCATGGACTCTGCGGTAGTCTGCATTGCCTTTGTCAATCGGAGGCAGTCTACAAACGCCGTGAGTATTAATAGAGGTGTCAGAACCCGCGACTCAATAAACTAAAGGCGACCGTAGACGCTGCAGATGGGCAAAGGTCCTTACCGACACAATTCTCGCGCCAGCACCAGGATAGCTCATCGTTCAGGGTCTGATTCTCCATTCCGTCTTTGGTCGTCGAGATCAGATTAAGCAGCGCCAGCCCGAATCGCTTATATCTGAATTGTGAATCTGTTGAAGAGTAAACATGCGCTTAGTCCACATCCAAGCTGACCAGTTCGGTGAGGAAAGAAAGAATCGTGCTGCCTTACCACTGATGCCTTCCTTATAAGCCATGGTCGCGTCCATCAAAAACGGCATTAATCGTTCTGTTCCCTTGCAATGTGCATTAAACCGTTCAACCAGGTCAATGTCCCTATTAAATAGTTATCGGCTGTGAGTTACAAGAGTGCTGAATATAGAACAAACTGGTATATCTTTTTTAAAAAAAAAAAAATACTTACCCATCCTCGTTGACATTGAACTCTGGATGGTACACATGCTGAAAGAAGGCGGTGCCGACGATGCGATCATTGTCAAACTTGCGCTCAGCTCGCTTCCAGTCGCTGTCCTCACTGCAGCTTAAAAAATGTGTCAACAAATCAGAGTAGCGCAGCACAGGGTGTCGCACTAGTCGGTTCAAAAACCTCTCCAAAGCGCGTCTCCTTCGCTCAATAAACTCTTCGGAGAATCGACCTGAGCATCGTCACAGCAGTAATGGGTTAGAGGATATCGCAGCGATACGAGAACCATGCAGATGTGCATATCTACCCTCGTTTTGACGGTACCTGCATATTGCTTCTCGGGCAAAGGTGGTAGGATGATCGCACCAAACTTGTTCACCAGACGCTCATATAGCCATTCAAATTGACTGTATCGACGCTCCACCGTCACAGAGACTCCTTGTGTGAACTGAGAGCAGGCAATGCGTTGTCAGACGTATGCTTGCATGTCATGGTCGTCTTGTTGATATCATATACATTTGGAAATACATACCGTTGAGGTCACTTGGAAAAGCGTGTACTCTTGCATTCCGACCATCTTGCGCCTTGTCTCCGGATCGTGCACTCGCACATTAAACAGGGGAGCTTTCTCTTGCCAGGTAGGACCCGACTGAATGTAGTGCTTGTCGGACTCGGTCACTTCCTCCTCATCCTCAGAATCCGCCAGGACCTTGTTGCCGCTATGGCTGCGGACGCTTGATCCTGATCCCTGAGGTTGCTGATGCTGTCTTAAAGACCCTCCAGAATTAGGTGGCGACTTTTCGAGCAGATCTTGCACAGAGCTGAGGCGGTGACCGAGCATATCTGTCGAGTACCCTTGACCATGCTTTGTCGAGTTCAAACCGTTGGAAGTTGCACCACCTGTCAGGAGGAATTCTTCCACGCCAGTTGTCACGAACCAAGAAAATCTGTTCAGCTGTCGCTTGCCAAAGACAGAGTTCCGAGGATTTGTACTGGCGGTCGCCATGGCAGTTGAGTAACTAGAGTAAACCGAAGCAGTTGAAGTCTGCTGAGTGTGACCACCATGACCATCGGGTGAGGCTGAAAAGTCGTGGATGTACTGTTTAGTCCGAAAGAGGATGCGGGTGTGAGATTGAGGGTGTGTCAAAGCGTTATCCTTGGGCCAAGCAAGAGGCAAGGTAGGGGCACTTACAGTGATATAGGCCTCTGGAACAAGTCCACGAACCCCATCCTTCTCGGCAAGGGACCATCCCTCCGCAAGTCCCACTTTCATAACGGTGAGCACATCGCCTGCAGAAAAGGATAGCTCCGAAAACTCGGGCTGTCCCTCGAAGTCGTAAAGTGCTCTGACAGTCCACCCATGAGGAGGCGGCTGCTGCTGGGGTGTCTTTTGCCCTGGCGAGAGTTGACCATCAGACTTATTCTGCTGTTGGTGTTGTTGCTGCTGTTGCTGTGGTTGCTGTTGCGAGATGGCGGCGTCGATGGAAAACGCTCCTTCTTTGTACTCAACTTCAAGATCGCCTTCATCTAACGTGGATAGGGCCTGGGGCTGGGTAGCAAAGACGGGATGGATTTTCGGGATTGCTGGTGCTGAACTGATCATTTTTGCAGTGAAGGAGGAAAGAATATTGGGTGTGTCGTGCGGTAGCAACAAAAGAAGTTGGAGAAAGAAGAAAGAGGAGGAAGAGACAGAAGCATTGGTACCTTCATTCTACAGGCTCAGGTACAGCCTTCCTACAACCCCCTGGAAAACTGATGTCAGCCGGGTCATGTCAACATTGGACACTCCTTCTTTTGTATGTGTACATGCAAATATTCATGATGATAAAATAATATAGGGGCCGGATCAGAAGGTCACTCTGAAGTGAGGCCCGCCAACAAGTACGACCACATGGCACGTTGTCGACCCCTCTTCAGAATTCTTTTCGCCCTAGGCAAGTTGAGACTTCTCCTGCTAGTGTTCAATGGTACAGATAAGATACGGGTAACCCAACATGGATGCGTATGCCATATCCTGTTGGGCGATACCAAAAAGATTGACTTGTATGGGCCTCTGTAAAACGATGTTGAGTCATTATACCCTCTATCCGTCGTCAATTGCTTCATGGTAGCTTTAAGGGACGAAAAATGGCGAATGTTATCAATCCAGAACCCTTTGACAATGTTTGCTGCCAATGCTGAAGTGTTTATTTGTTGTACAATTGCGTGCCTCTAAGATATCCGCGCGTTCGTTCCTGAAAATGCTGTGCTCTGCCCCTTACTGCTGCCATCGAGAGCATAGTGCCTCCATCGTCCTTTTATGACGCGGCGTCCTCCTTCTCCTGGAGCTTCTTGGCGTGCTTTCCGACCTGGCGAAGGACATCATTGACCTTCATATCGTCTGCCTTGAGGTCGAGGGTCTTACCGTCCTTGTAGGTGACATGGATCGTAGCGGACTTTGTGACGTCAGCATGCGAGTCAGTAACGATTTTGAGGGTGGGGTTGGCAGCGGTGGCATCGCTGGTGATGATCCTCGACAAGAAGATTCTATGTGGGGCAAGGGCAGTTGGTATGCCAGTGGTTAGCCCTGATTCAGATCTTTTTAGACCTCGTTCCGGAATCCTCGTAAAAAAGCGTATTACTTTGCTGTCTTTGATGCGGGCGAGAACGGGGCCATCGAGACCTTGACCTGAGTCAGGAACTTTGACATGGATGCGGCGGACATGGTAAGCGGGGAGGGATGTGTATAGCCAAGGTAGGAATGGTGGGATCTGTCAAGGATCTTGTTTTTGTCTCTCCCCCTTAGGAGGGGAGGGCGGCAAGGCGTGACTCAGCCACCCTCCGCCGCATTTCCTTCGCCTGCCAAAAAGGGAAGCAACCGCACAAGTGTGCTTTCTGGAGTACGAAGGGCGCCGGGTGTAAAACAAGAGCCCAAAGACCAGGCACCCGGGCTAGATACCATGGTACGGCCATTGGAAATAAAACTGAGTTTCGCTTCCCAACGTCTCCCTCGTAGGAAACGAACATCCATAGCGGGGCGAGAGGGAAGAGGAGCGAATATCCGCGTGTGATCGAGGCGGGTGGCACAACTTTCTCCTTAGTCTTTCCTTCGGCATGTTCATCTAATCCTTACTCCAACTCCACCGCTTCATTCTTTCCATCCTCTCCACTGATGCCACCACCGACGCACATGAGCACATTCATGTAGAAACAGCCTACTTTCACACTGCACCCCTAATAACCCCCCCTCCCCCCCCCTCTCTCTCTCCACCCGCAATGAACAGCCAAGCGAAGGCTCATGCGCATGCTCGCACTACTGCCACCACTAGCTCTTATTGGATCCCATGGCTACCCAGGATCACCTTCACCACCGCTCTCAGGGCCACTGTCCTCACCACCGTCATTCTGGTCCTCGCCTGGGCATTCGGCAACTCCATTCTACGGAAAATCGCATCCTTCATTCTCGCCACTCCCATAGTTCTGGTGCTATCGCTCCTCACCCTGGCTGCATCCAATGTCGCCTTCTCTATCCTTTATACCCGTAGACAGCGCCTGGCAGCTGCATCGGCCTCAGCAACCTCACAGAGCAAGAGCAGCCACAACAGTCGGACCATGCCCGGTTCAGCATCGTGCCACAGATTCCACTATCTCCGTCCAGCAAAGTTTACCCGCCCGGTCGCTTGGAGCATCATTGAGAAGCAACGCCGCCAGGAACAGGCTGCCAAGTACAGGACACCCATTGCGGACACCATGCCTCAGTTTTCAGAGGCAGTCGACACGCTGATTGAGCTCATCATCCGAGACTACGTCGCTGTGTGGATGCGTGCGATTACACCTGAAGTTGTTCTCCAGCAGCGCATTGAGGAGCTTTTGAGGATGGTGCTAATACGTTTCAAATGCCGCGTAGTGGATCTGGACCTCACTCAACTGCTGGTGACGCGACTTGTACCCAAGGTTACGGCACATGTGAACGATTTCCGAAAAGCAGAGATGGCGCTGAGAGGGAACTCACTCGAGCGGTCCTTGACAGAATCGGACGAGTTGGATATCATGGTCGCGAGTAAGTTCCGCAACGGGAAGCTGCATAGGGCGCTATCGACCTCAATTTCAACCCAGGCGACAGAGGAGGCGTATCTTAGAAACGTGGTCCAGACCATCTTGCCGACTCTTCTTCCCAAAAGCGAGGTGCAGAGTGAGGTCTTGAGGCATTTGCTACGGGAACTACTTGTCGGCGCCGTTTTGCGACCAGTCATGGACCTACTATCGGATCCAGATTACTGGAACCAGAACGTGGATTTATATGTAAGACGATCCAACTCCGAGTGCCGCTTAATGATCTCGCCCCGAACGCTTCTAATTTGCGCAATTCATAATACAATACCGCTAGATCGGCAAAGCTATTCGGGAACAGTAAGTGGATCAGCATTTTTTTTTAAGAAGTAGCAGATTTGATGTATGAGAAGTTCAGTGAATTAACTTGTGGATTTGTGATACCACTTTCCACTTCTAGGAACATGGTCAAGAAGCTTCGAGAAGCCCTGAAGCAACACACAGACAACATGGATGCAGACCCCCGAATCATCGATAATCAGTTGGATCCATATGGAACAGGGGGAGATATGTACAGATTCGAGGACTTTTTGAAGATGATAAAGCACTGCGACAGTTTATTGGATGTCAAACGAATTCGCAACACAATTATGACCGAGATGCGGAAGAAAAAAGCGCAGATAGGTAAGTTTTCAAGGACTCTTATTCGCCTGGACCCTCTGCGGCCTCGGCTTTAAATGAAGTTGACCGGCCTTTGTATCTTTACTAGTCGGCCGCGAGAAGGAGGACGTTGTCAATGGAAACAAGGTCACAGAAATCATTATCTACATCAACAGACTGGATGTTGCGAAGCGACGCGCAGAAAAGAGGATCGAGGCATTAGGAGGTCCAGTATATCCCAAGGTGAGAAAGCAACGTCTCCATGATGCCATTGCATGCGTCTTCCCAGTAGCTATGTAGCTAACCATGGATGTACTGTTCATAGCGACGACCTAGAGAATTCACTCTGGAGACCAAGAACACCTCATCCTTAATAAACCTCGACATTATCCTCTCCAATCCGTCGGGTCTTTCATACTTCATGGAGTTTCAGGATCGAAGGGACAACATGAATGAACTCCAGTTCTGGCTCTTGATCGACACCCTCAACATCAGATCGGACAGCGAACAGAAGACCGAAACAGACTCACTTGGGTCGCTGAGCGCAGATGAACGAGCTCTGATGGGAACCAGCTCAACAGCAACCACACCGTCCTCCACGCTTTCCAGAGCTCAGGCGCAGAGGACGCTAGGGGTCCTAACACCGACATCAGCGCAAACGACCGGAGGATTCACATCGTCCAGCAATCTCACGAACAGTATCAGAAGCAGTCGTAAATCCTCAATCTCCGCCACATTCGACATCACAGACACATTACGCGACGATGTCCGCATGATCTATGAGACATATTTCGCGGAATCCGCACCGAGGCCTGTCGTAGTCGACCACAGCCTAGTGGACGTATTCCGGGATTTTGCTCTAAGCGAGAGCGTCAGCAGTAAAGGCGTCCCCCTGTTTGATTCAGAATCCAAGAAGCAGGAAGAACTCAGAGCGGCGAATGTGCGGCAAAAGTTACTGGTGGCACAGCGGCAGGTGTTTGAGCAGATGCTGGAGAAGGACTATCCGGAATTCCTCAAGAGTGATCTCTACTTCAAGTTCCTGACGTCCTATCAGAATACGGAGACAAAGCAGGAGCAGAAAGGTCCTCGTGGCCACAGCAAAACATCATCCGTTTCTCGGCCATCTTCAGGGCCAGGGTTGTTTTCCGCCATCGGCCTTTCCGCGCCGGATAAGAGGCGTGATTCACCTGAGAATCCCAAACGTTCAAGCACAGGGTCGTTTTTGGATATCTTTGGGCTTGGTCGAGACAAGGACAAGGAACGAGAGCGGGATCAAAATTCGCGTAGCCCCATGAAGCGGGCCGAGACTGCTATCGGCCATCTGCGAACGCCATTCTTACCATCCGGATATTTGCGCTCGCAATCGGGTTCACCAGTTTCGACCAAATCCATGGACTTAGGAGACCAGCAGCAGCAACATGAGCCGAAACCCAAACAAAGTCTCGAGGTTCCGTCGTCATCAAAGCTTGTCGCTCCACCGCTGGCCCGCACTCGCTCACTCAGCTCGATATCGAATCCAGAAACTCCCGTCAGTGCTAGCTCCTGGGCAAAATCCGCTTCGTCTCACCGGAAAAGCATTTTTACCGCCGATCATCGTCGCGATAACTCTCTGGACCTGACAGATACGGAGGCCCTTGTCAAGGTTGGTGCGGACGATGGTTCCGGTTTGCGGGATTCACTCTTGTTGGAGCTTCAGGAAAATGAGGATGAAGGTGAAGAGGGCCTTATGGGGGACAACCAAGGTGGAGTGCCGATACCGAGGATGTCCAAGGACAGGCGCGACAAGGAGAATGTTATTAACGCAGTCGAGGCTGCACTGTCATCTATCATGGAGAGTCCAGACACTCAGCACGAAGACCTCTCGGTGAATGGATCAAAGGAAAGAGATGCTGAGGCATCCTCTCTGGATGCAACAGACCCATCATTTTCAACCGCCAGAGATGAGCAGCCCGGAGCAAATGCATTGCTTGAATGGGGTCAATCTCAACAAAAGAATTCAAGGAGACAGTTTAAGGAAAGCAGTTTGGAGAGTGGGAAGACGGTTCGAGCCAAATCTCGAGATCCGTCTGAGGTTGACCGGGCGTCCCTGGACAGCAGCTTGAAGTTCAAAAAGGGAAGGGAGAAGTCCGGTCAGGTACCGCAGCTGGTGAAGCAGAGTAGATTTGCAGCCCTTGATACAGGCCTAAATACTTACGGCGAGGGTCACAAAGACGAGAAAACTGGGCGTATAAAGATGGCCGGCGAAACCTTGTCGGAAGATTCGGACGGAGAACTAGCCCTGAGTAAAAAGCACAGCCCAACTTCACCAGGTGTGGCAGAGTCCATCAGCGACACTGTTCAGGACAATATACATCTCGCAGCTCCTGGGGATCTGCTCCTGTCAGCAAGGATCAAGAAGCTAGAGCAGGATATCGAAACCGTCCGCAAGCAGGAGGCCATTGTTGAGACTCTGATCCAGAAGGCCGAGCGACAAGGACGCCAGAATGAACTCCGGATTCTGAAGAAATCGAAGTCGGCATTGAGGCGGGAGATCCTGAGCATGGAGTACCAGAAGACGCAGTATGAGGTTCAAGAGGAGGAAAACATGATTATGCCGGTAAGGATGCATGTTCTACGGCACTGTTGTATTGATTTTGGCAATATGACACACCCTGTTAAGGCGCTTAACTCTTCAATATGCTACTTTCTTACTTGTAGGGCCGATCAACAATTAACATCACGTCCTCTACAGTTGGCCATGAGGGTTCGAAGGAGTTTGCACTTTACGTGATTGAGGTGCACCAGTTGGCGCAGGACGGCTCGTTTGCATCAGGATGGGTTATTGCACGTCGTTATTCCGAGTTCTTTGCACTCCACCAACAACTCAAGGAAAAATATCCATCCATTGTGCGCCAATACGAGCTTCCAGGGAAGCGCGGATTCTTGAAACTCCAAAAGTCGTTCGTCGAGGGTCGTCGGATTGGTCTGGAACGATACCTTCAGTGTCTGGTCCAACACATCGAAATCTGCCAGTCCCAGGAATTAAGAGCATTTCTTTCACAGGAAAACGTGGCCCTACCACAATTTTCGTCTGCAACACCCGCACTCATACCCTACAGCCTCTTTGACAACGATGGCGCTAAGGAAGGTGCGAAGCAATCAAATGCCGCACAGCCTGGAAGTCCGTTTTTTTTTGAGCAGCTTTTCCAATCAGCAACATCGCCGCTGCATTCCCCAGTGGCCAGTCGTGACCTGTCTCGAAACTCAGTGCTGTCTAACGCCGGATCTGGTACTCTTGATGCTTTTGGTGGCCATGATGTGGGTGGAGAGCAGGGTGTAGGCCCAAATGATGGATTTATGAAACACATCTACCAGACAGTCTCTGAAGGACTGGACGATATGTTCAGCGGTGGACCACCAACAGTCCTGGGCAATATCACCAAGCAACTGGGTAACCAGATGATGCAGTTTACAATGGAGATGGACGATGAAGAGAAGGCAGACTCATCCCTCATTCCCTCTGGAACACGTCGACGACACGGGAGCCACGACGAGAGCGGAAGCGTTAGACTGGTGCAAAGCGAAATCATTGATCGCACAGCAGTTCCTGCATCCTCCTTCGACACCTTGGCGGCTGCACAGGGCTCAGAAAAGGATGGAGAAGTGCATCGCCCACCGTTGCAGCGGATTCAAAGCTCACGATCTCGCCGCCTGAGTTCACCAGACCCTCATACTCAGCACCAAAGGATGCAATTCCAGTTACAGCAACAAGAACAGCATCAGAGCATGCTTCGACAAAAGCAAATTTTGGAGCAACAGGCACAGCAACAGCAGGAGCAACAACAACAACAACAACAACAACAACCGCAGCAAGCGCGACAGGGTGTGGTGGAACCAGAAGGTGTGACGACATTCACTGAGCCGCTATGCGATCTGTTTATTGAGCTGTTCGAGCTCAAGGAGAAGAACAACTGGCTAAGGAGGCAGGCTGTCGTGATCATTCTGCAGCAGGTCCTAGGAGGCACGATCGAGCGCAAGTTGAGAGACACGATCAAGGCATACATTGAGGAGAGTATGTTGACTTTCTACGTGCTAAAACTCCGTGACGCTCTCTGGCCCAATAACTCTTCGTCATCTTCACCTGACTTAACTGGGGAATATGAGGTCGTGGGAGAGGATCTGCGTCTGTCACCAACCATGCCCAGGTCACCCGCGGACACTGCAGCGGGTAATCCATCATCGGGGCCCAAGAAGGTTATTCGTACCCCGGAACAGAAGGCTCTGACTAAGGACCAAGCCAACCGCAAGTTGTCTGTGTTCTTGCCAGAGCTTCTCGGAAACATGGTCGGACACCAGAATGCACGCCGGGGAGCGCGGAGAGTGTTTGCGGCATTCCAAAACCGTAGGCTAAATCAGCAATTGGTCTATACGACGCTGGACGAGGTGATTGCCGCTATGTGGCCAGAACTGGTGTTACCTTCATCATCCACATCGTCATCGTCGACCCTGCCGAACGCGGTTTCAGCAGCGACGACGAGCACAAGCACAGCTACAGCCCTGTCTTCAATGGCGCTTCCTCCTAACGCTGGACTGTCTATGGCGGAAGTAAGCGATTCTGGGGAGCGTTCTGCGAGCTCTAGCAGGAGCCGATCTAGATCGAATACGCGCGACAAGTTTTAAATAAACTTTTTTTTTGAACGCGTCTTTGTGATGGGTTGGACTGTCCGTGCGCCCTGATATCAATATCACATGACATTCACTGTTTGTTTACAGTTTTGAGTATTCTTTTTTTTTTAATGACAGTCAGCTTCTGCTTGCAACCATTGCACTGCTTCCTCCCTCTGTCCAACAACTCCCTTCGTCTCTCAGATGCCCAACCCCACACGTCATACTACCATGTCCTCATCAAAGAGAAAGAACACAGAGGGACCTAAGGTCGGATTGGATTATGCCAAGGCCGATGTCGAGGCCGGTGTCGAGGGACCATTCCTTGGTATGACCATTGCACTGCGACGCAATCAACACAGCGGGAACTGGCGGAGGCACTCCTTACCAACTACTGCCCATATTATTAACGATCCTCTGCGACCTATTGTTTCAATATAAATCTCTTAGCCGTCTTTCCTGGAGTCACCCCACCAAAGACGACGCCCTTCAACGTATACACACCCGACGTTGAGGATAGTAAGACCAAGAAGAAGAGACGTATCATCGAGGCGGACACAGGAAAGGTCGAGTTTGTGGGACAGAACTTTGGAGAGAATGCTCGTCAGGGGTTCTGCAGGTTAGTCGCGAAAACCAACTCTAGCGGCGCGTGAATTGATCTATGGAAGTTTAGCCGGTCTGCAGTAGTTGGACATGCTATTGTCAGGTTGACTGACCTCTTTTGCGTCTATACTACACAATAGATATGTAATTGCAATTCGCGACAAAGTGACAGACAAGGTCACTTTCAAGGACGCACCCGTCATTGCTGTTAACCGCACAATCAAATCACTGAAGAACGCGAAACTTCACGCATCATCCAGCAGGGATCAGGTATGCAAATCAATTCTAGATTGCCAAAGTAGATATGGCATCGGAGTAGTTATCGGCCTCATTGGAACAGAGACGCTGATTCTTGTCCGGAATTGGTTTAACTCGACTAGTATTTCCAAGCCAAGAACACATTGGGAGAGGCGTTTGGTACCAAAAAGATCAAGCAGCAGATCAAGTCTGTGGAACGCAATGCAGTCAACGTCAGCACGCTGGACAGTGTCGCAGGAATTCTTCAGGACTCAATCTCAGCCAGGACCAGTGCTCTTCCTTCCAAAGGTACACCTCAATATTTCGAGGATGGTGGTGTAAAAATCGTGCCAACGGCACTTCGCGAGAATTGCTAACGTCGTTTTCCTTTTTCAATTCCGAATTTGATACTGTAGCCGAGATCAAGGCCAAGGCCGACGAGGACAGACCTATTCCTCCCTACGATCTGGAAGCCACGAAGGTCGAGGATATTTACAAACTCGATACTCTCATCACACCAGCAGAATACCAACTTATTCCTGTCAAATCGCTTTTGGAGAAAGGCTCTCAGGCCATCAGTGCTTTGCCATTCCAGGGATCGACCTACGTCAATGATGCTATTACGGCAGCGTTATCTGTCAGCAAAAAGGATCGTCATAGGATTCGCCTCTTCATGTACATCAGCTACTTGATGGCTTTCAGAACCGTCCCTGACAAGAAATTGGATGACAATGAGACGCTCAAGAGAGTCATGGGCGATGTACCAAGTTTGATTCTAGAGAATTTTTACGACCGGTTTACGGAGACGCCTCAGGGAGGAGATAAGAAGAGGTACGTTTTATCTTTCATGTGGGCCAGATGGAGTTTGGAAGGTCCTTTTTATTTTTTGTGTCGCAAAAAAAAAACAGCAGCCGCTAACATCCGTTTTTGTTCCTTTGTAACAATGCATATGATAGACACACATTCACACCAAAGTCAAAGGACAAGTTGCTTTGCTGGATTCTTGCTATCGCATTGACACTCGAGAACTTCAACATGGACGCAGCAGTCATGACCAGAGATCTGTCGCTTAAACAGACTAAGATCAACGAGTTGTACAAGTCGCTGGGCTGCAAGATTAGCGAGCCGAGCGCGAGCCAGAAGGCTCAGAGTGGACTTGAAGGTGAGGAGGCCAAGCGGTTGAAGCGGGCCATCCTGACTGTTCCCTTGGCCTTCCCTCTGCCCAAGCGGTAAGTTTCTCATGCGGTCGTCTGAAATAGACACGCGTCTTTATTGGATTAAACATGCTCATCTTTTTTTTTACTTTTATAGTGGACCCAGGGCTAAGTAGGTGACAAAGTTGCCAGCTTTTATTGCACCAATAATCCACTTTGCATACTCATCCGAAATAAATCAGATAACCATAACTCATCAATGCTTGCGGATATGTAAATATATCTATTGTCTTTATTCATTTTATCATTTCAGAACGGCCTCCGATGTCCCTTTCGTAAGATCGATCCGCTATGAGGATCACATCCAGCAATATGCTATTTATAACCGCTGTGCGCTTGACCTTCCCTTGGCTTTCGATCGTGCCCTGGCTCGCGAGTGTGAGCTCTAAACGATCTCCGCGCCGCTTTCGTGCTACGCGGGATACTATAGGTCGCACGCAGCATTTCTGGACATCTGAGTAGTCTGGCGTTTGTTGTGGACCCGTGACAAAAAATGTTTCTTGAACGACGGCGGTCGTGGATGGAGATGTGGGACGTCGTCGACGATAGTGAGCAGGTAATCTATCGTAGCAGACACCTAATCTGCATACACGATATCTCAAATAATCCTCGGCTCAGCGCGTGTCATTCGGATGTACGGGCTGAGTATTAAAGTGTGGAGGAAGGGGAGAGAGGAGGAGAGAAGGAGAGAGAGGGGGAGGGGGGTTTATTTTGACGCTTGGGGACGACGACGATCTGAGTGTAGAAAGAGATGTCAACATTGGGTGAGTTGGGTATCCAGGGGGACAAGAGAGGACAGTAGAATAAGTGGGGCATTTTGGAACGTACACTAGAAGCTCTTCTGAGCGTTGAGGAGAGCGGCCAGCTCTTTTTACCATAAACTCGGGGATTGTCCTTGGGAAACAGCTTGTACTGAAAGCGGAAGAGCCTCCTCCGCTCTTTTGTTTCTCTCACTTAGTGGACAAGAGTGCAGCCAGGACTGATGCAGATCTAGGATGGTTCAGGCAATGGTATTAATGATATAACGTCGCGGGCCAATTTTATTTTATTTTGTTTAGAAACAGTGTATTGCGTCTTACAAGGCCTTTGCTGAAGGATGAGGTGGTTGGAGTGAGACATTCACTTTCAAATTGCTGGATGGGTGTTAGGCCAATTGCGAGAGGTGAGTAAGGAAGGGAAGTTGGGAAGGATGAAGGAGCCGACAGCAAGGACTTTTATACGATCCTCCGCTCAGGGACGCGTTGAGGTGCCTATTGCTTTTAAAATGGAAGGTTAGGGATTTCGGACGGGGTGCATATACCAGTCAGTTACTTGGCTCAGCACGACGGGTGGGTTATGCAAAGGTGGAGGCAATGCCAAGGATGAGGATTTGAGAGGCGACAGAAGGTGCTGTAGTCTATCAGGACCCCGACTCTTTCGAGTGCCATTTCCACAAAGCAGCAGCGGCAATAACTGCCCAGCTGTGCAAGGTACCCGCACCACATACCATTGGGCTTGGACGGCGTGTCGTCTGTTACCGAAATATGGATAGAGTCCTGGCAAGAAAGTCCTGCACCATATATTTCCAAAATAGTTTTCCCAATTCAATAGATAAAGTTTGCCCCCATGTTACCTCCCTGAAGAGGAGCGGGAGTTTCTTACCAGGACTCTATCATGCCAAAACGCGGCGAAGAGATTTTTCCTTTCACGACCCACAACAACATAATGATACAAAGTACCTTTGAAGGAAAGGGCGAGCATGGATTTTCTTTATGCTGCTGCGATTAGTTGTTTATTGTTCATGAATGACAGTGTGCGTGCAAATGAAACTGCGTACGTAGTCCAGGTCGTCGTTAGCTTGAGAAATGACTGACGACAAGGCAGTCAGCCTTCAAGGCCGGGGTTGCATGTACAGCTTTTTCCCCCGGAAGAGGTTCAGATGCAACCGCATCTTCGATCCATCCATCTTTTGCAACATGATCTATCAAACAACAAAAGTGTTTAGCAGACATGTGCACAAAAGCGTCAATAAGCAAGCGGAATCGAATCCTGTTCATGGTTGAAAATAGAAAATGCTGGCCGATCTTTAACACCGATCAAAACGCCCATTTCCTCAACCATACCTCATCATTGACAATAAAGAGGTACTTGGCATTGTACTGTCCAATGGCCGCATCCAGAACAGCAACATAATCGTTCGGCTTGTACCAGGTCCCATCGACCTTGCAGTGGTTGCCATCCACAAAAACTTCCACCTCTGGCCGAAGTCCAGTCGTTCGAGAAAGAGGAAGAAAAAAATATGGGGTCAAGCCAAAGTGGAACCGATTTTAAGGGAATCAAATCAGGTAATGAGCAAGGCGACATTGGACCTTACCAGAAGATGGCAAGTATTCTGAAGAGACGCTCCATCTCGAAGTACCAGAACTAGGCCGTGGCGATGATGAGGTGGCCAATATCCGTCCATAGGGTTTAAGTCCATATTCTGTTGTGTTGGATTGCAATGCCGGCCCTGGTAACTATCAAGAACAAGACGCATGATGGCGAGTTAACTTCAAGTCCTTCGACTTGCATTGACGCGAAATAGTTCAAACACAAACAGGAGACATACTCCCAGGGCTCTTAAATCCTCATCTAGCTCCGTCGTCGAGATCATTCGCAGCTTCGTCGTGGCAGGGAAACCATATCGTTCCTCGATACTCCGCAACTCGCTCGCCTCGACTCTGCGGTGTCTCCGCGCACGGACCAAGGACAATTTATCGGCGACCACTAAATGAATGTCCAGGTACATGAAAGTTACTAGTGAGTGCCGTGCGCTTGTCTGTAATAAGAAAGGTCATACCACAGGTAAGGAAATAAGACGCCTTACTGTTCTTCCTGCGGACGTCAGACGATAATGCCATCTCTACTATCGCTTTCTGCTTTCGCTTGCCCAGCTCCGTTGTGATGTCCTTGCGCAACTCGCGCTTCTTGGACTAGATGGTAAGCATTGACAATGAAGGAAACAGTTAAGGTACAAGGCAACGCATCATTATTTTTCACGCCATATGGTTTGAATGAGCTCTTTACCTGATAGGTGCAATGGGCCTGATGCTCCTTGCTCTCAAACTCGCACTGCACAATCTTTCCTGTATGCATCAACCAGGCTTTGGCGATTCTAAGCCGGTGTTCGCGCTTTTCTTCAATCTCCCTCATCAATGTCGAAAGCTCTGGATGTGTGCCTGAAAGTGACATAAAAATGACAATTCGGTTAATGCTCATCTTCTATTAAAAATACCCAGATCAGATATCATCTTCCATGCAGTGTTAACTCAACTCTCTTACCATCATTGATCATCTCCACTTCCCTATCCAGCTCCAACATTCTCTCGTTGTACATTCTAGGAACAGAAGTAAGCAAGAGTGATTCGTTAGTTACTGCTCTTCATGGATGCCAAGCACCTTCAACGGCATTTCCATTGAGCATGTTTGCCCTTACTTGTCGCGAAGGGTGGCGAATTCTTCTTCGATTGCTGTCAGAGCCATCAGCGCATCGCTGTGCAGCTGCCCATTTTCATGGTCTATCAAAAAATCAAGAGACCATCTCAGTCTAACTCCTCAGATTCAAAAGCGATAACAACAAGAGCCAACGAAGGCATTCGTTCTTACCTTCATCCTCAACATCGTCTCCACCCTCAACTGTTTCTTCCTCCACCGCATTTTCTTCCTCCACTCCATTTTCTTCCAAGGTCTCTGATTCAGACCCTTTGTCCCACCGCTGGTCCTTAGTGTCCTTATGGTTGTCTGCTTCTAATCCTGCACTGTCCTCATGCTGGGTCGTATTACGGCTCGCCCCCCGCAACGATCTCTTGCGCCCTCCTAGAGCCGGTCGAGAGGATGAGACCGCGGCCATTCCAGAAAACGCGGCTGCGCTGATCTGAGCCTTGCTTGACCGATCCGCCATTTCTTCATCCGAGTCTGAATCATCTGTATCTACCGGATCCGAAAGTTCATCGTCACTGTCCTTCTCGTCACCGCTATCCTTCACGTCCTCTTCGATTACTTGTGCCGGCCGGTTCAATGTTGGTTTCTGTGAATACAACGAGGTGGCCTTCTTGGCCTCCAGCTTTGACGGCTGCACCCCCTCGTCCTCTTCATCTTCTTCGTCCACTTCATCCTCTTCATCCTCCTCCGCGTCCGCATCTTCATCCTCTACATGCGACCCTTCGTCCTCTGGTAGTTCACTCTCGTCGTCCGTGTGCGCTACTGGCGTAGCCTCTTCTTCTCTCTTCTCATCGTCATCGTCTTCCTGGTCGACCATCGCAACATCGCCATCGTCGCCATCGTGATCTCTTGGGTGCTGGGCTTCCGCTTCATCCACATGAGTGCAAGACGAGTCCCCGTGGCCATTGTTTTCACTATCCGGCGCCTCCATCAAGTTGCGCTGCTTTTTATGTTTCTCATATCCACCATCCTCTTCATTACCTTCAGCGCCACCTTGTCCTTCAAATATTCCTTCAGGTTCACGGATCACATCCGTATCCTCCGTAACGTCTTCCAAATCCTCGTCATCCACATCATCTAGCGTGCCATCCAAGAGACCGCCGCCCAAGTCCTCCGCGCTCAATGTCCCTCGATAGGTCTTGGACCCAGGCTGCTTTTCTGAAATTGGTGGCCGAACTCTTTGTGTCCTAGGTGGCGAGGCCCCTTTTATCTCCACATCATCTTGACCGTCATGTTCCTGGCGTTTTCCAGATCCAGCTGCCTGTAGGAATGACTCGCTCATTTTTTCGAATGGGCCCGACAAGGACGTCCCTGAATCATTCGCCATCGAGGATCCAGTCTTCTCTTTGGCGAAAGTGCCGGTGTTGCTGCTCTTGAGATCCATAGACGAGGAAGAGTGCTTTCGTGATCGAATCGAGGACGCCTCCAGCATGGCCTGTCTGAATGCTTCCTGGCGTCGAGCTTTTGTAAATCCCTTTTGCTTGCTGTTTACCTCTACTTCGAGCAATGGTTGTCTAGTCAGGGGCAATTAAGTGAGCATAGTGTACAGAGACGACTCTTGGCGTAGGTTGAGAAGCACTCAGGGGAATCTTTTTGTCACTTACTGATACCTAGGACGCGTTTCGCAGTTGTCAGATGATGAAATAAAGGCACAGAAAAAGTAGAGGCGATAGAGCGGCTGAAGGGGTGCGAAAGGATATGGAGATTGTCAGTGCTTGAGTGATGAAGTGGTCGGTGGAAGAGCTTCAAGGAGAAGAGACCGATGGTGGTGGGAGCGGAGTGGTTGTGTTCCTGAACAGGGTCGCCACTTCAATGGTCCGTGTGTAGGCGTGTAAGTGTGTACGTGTGGTGAGTTCGCACTCTCCGGAACGGTGCTTTGTCTGCCACAGCGAACAGGGAAGTTGTCTGTGTTGCTGTCGGTGAATGTGAAAGGCAAAAGCAGGTTTGAGGGATGGAGGAGAAGATGAAAATTAGATTGATGAGGAGAGGCGAGGTGCATCGTTTTTGGGCGCTCCCTTTCCTCCTTGTCCTCGTTTTTAGGTTTGGCCTTGAGCCCCTGCCTGGTGGCAGCCAATTACGTGTGACCGTCAACACGTCCA